TAACTAACTTAATTAATTAACTTCTAAATTCTTAGAAATAGATAAATATTCTTAATAGTGACTTTATTAAGTACTTAATAATCTATATATATTTATTATTTTTCTTCTAGCTTTAGGACTAATACTATTAGTAAATCTTACTAACTTATTAAGGCTTAGATTACTCTCTTTTATAATAGTTCTTCTACTTAGTAGTAGGTTTTCTTAAACTTCTCTAGTAATTAGGGATAAGTATTTATATTAATTAGTTTAGTATTATTAATATTAATAGTATAGTCTATCTCTTAGATAGATAGTATTCTTAGGTTAAGTTCTTCTTAGAATATATTCTTAAAGTCTTTTATTTATTTATTATAATTTATAGTTATTAATTTCTTTTTATTAATTTAGAAGAGATATAATTATATTATTAACTTCTCTTTTTATAAGATCTACTTTAGTTATTTTATAATTACCTACTATACTAAGTTATCTTTATAATATTTAATCTTATATTAGGGGTTAATAAGATAGATAAAGTATATTCTTCTCTTATTTTAAAGAGTTATCTAGCTTAATTATTAGTTAATCTATAAGTTAGTAACTTTTAGCTAGTTATAACCTAAAATCACCTTATATTTATTAATATCTAGGATCTATAACTTAATAAGATTAGTTTATCACTTAATTTATATTAGTATTCTTACTTATTAGTAAGTATTTATTATAGCTTTATTTAGTAGTTATATAACTAAGGATATTTCTCTTTTATTATAAGAAGGCTTTATTATACTAAGATAACTAGTAGTTATTTATAATATAAATAAGTAACTAGCTCTATAATTAATAAGAGCCTTAATCTAAATTATATATTCCTTACTTTATACTTTTATTATATAATATATAGAGTTAATACCTATTATATTTAGATATACTTTAATAATTTCTTATAGTAGTTAAAGATTCCTCCTTTTAGATAGTTCTTTCTTCCTATCTTTAAAGAGATTATACTATATATCTTAGTAGTAAGAGGCTTTCTTTATTTAATTAATAAGTATCTTTAGATTTATTAATCTTTCTTATTTTTTATTATCTTTATAGAGTATAATTAAAGATATCTAGTTTTACTATATATAAAATATACTTTATTCTAATAATATTATAATTTCTACTTTAATAAATTCTTATTAGGTTATAGGAAGTTTCTTCTTAGTTAGGGAGAGCTAGTAATTATACTTAGATTTATTAGATCTTTATTATATTAATTAAATTATAGTTTTAACTATAGGTTACCTCTAAGTTATTAAGTAATAGCTAAGTTATTCTTATAGAGAGAGAAATATTTAACTATTTTATTATATATTTATAATTATATTTAGTCCTCTACCTATCTTTTCCTAAGCTCTAGTTAACTCCTAATAATAAATTTTTAAATAAGAGAAGCTTTATATACTAGGGAAGAGATATATATTATAGCTTTATTTAAGGTAGTAATATATAACTATATAGATTATAGACCCTAGATAAGGCTTTTATATTTCTTTTATCTTTTATTATTTATATTATATTTCTTAAAGTTCCTTAGTAGCTATATATAAAAGATTTCTATATTAGTAATTATAAATATAAGATTAATCTATAATTAAGTTTTATCTATTTTTTATTTCTTATAAGTATATCCTATAAGTTTCTACTTAATAATAATAAGATATTCTAGATTAGAGGGAACTCTTTCTATTATTAGTAAGATATCTCTAAAATATTTCTTAACTCTTTTTTATTATTCTTAGGTAGCATCTCTTATATATATATTTTTATACTCTAAGATAGGAGTAAGATTTAAGACCTTAAAAATAGGTAATAATTTATAATAATAATTTATCTCTTATAATTCTAGAGGTAGTACTTATTTATTATATTACTTTTAGTAAATATTCTAGAAGAGTATATTAATATTAATAAGTAGTGCTCCTTAGGCTATTATCTTAAATAATCTAGTAAAGGCTTATTTTATATCCTCTAGTAGATCCCTAGTAGGATTATTTATTATAGGTGGCTAGTTATTATTAGTAGTTTTAGTAGAGAGGTTTAAGGATATTATCTTATAGGGATTATTTTCTATTAAGACTTATTTTAGTAACTAAGTAATACTTCTCTAGCCTAGAGTTATTATATCTTATTTTATTTCTATCTCTTTTAGTAGGGCTTAGTAGAGAGTTCTTCTATAATAAAAACTCTTTACTAAGTATAACTATCTTACTATCTTTTAGCTTAAATTTAGTAGTTACTTATAGGGAAGAGTAGTAGGTATTTACTAAGATAAATATAAATTTAATAAAATAAGAGTATTTAATTTCTTACTATCTATAACTTTTAGATATACTACTAAATAAAATTACTAAGGATAAGATAGTATTACTAGGGGTAAAGAGAAATAGACTAGGTTAATACCTCTTTACTTACCTAGAGTAAGATCTTCTATTTATACCTAGCTACTAGCTATCTATCTAAAAGATAAGTTATAGATATTATAGAGATTTCTTAGGTTAACCTTAGTAACCCAGAGTCAACCTTAATAATTATTAATCTACTCATGATATTCATTCACTGATATCACACTAGTGCTATTATCTAACTCCTTACTATAATTATTAGTTATTACTACTAACTTAGTAGGCTAATTATATAACTTATTACTATAACTAGTAAGGAAACTAAGACTACTAGCTTAAATAATAGGTTTATAAGAGTAAAAAAAATTAGTAACTATAAATAAGAAATATTTACTAAGGAGAATATATACTTATTAAGAGTATTAGAATCTTATATATAAAAGCCTTATATATAGAATAAATATACTAATCTTTAGTTACTCTAAGTATAGTTAGTATAGGACCCCTAAAAAAATATAAATCTATTATAACTAAGAGTAGAGATACATCCCCTAAAGGGATCCTTACCTAAAGAATAATTACTATAAGCTAATATATAGTTATAAGATATACCTTACTACTAGAGAATAATAGCTAATATATAGCTTAAGTAAGTATATTCCTTTATATCTAGCTTCTTCTTCTTATTAAACTTCTAGATAATTAGATAAATAATATTCATCACCTTTAATATACTTTTATTAGGTCTACTAAGATAAGCTTCTACTATTAGTAAGAGATATTTACTAAAGCTAAGAAGGGTACTTACTAAACTTATTAAAAATAATTATATTCTTTTAATAGATAAAATAGCCTTTATCTTTCTTTTATAGAGTATTTATATTTACTAAGTATAAGAAGAATATAGGAGACTAGTATATAAAGAAAGAGACTTACTAAAAGAGAGATAATAGTTAATATAATAAAAAGAAAGAGAAATATAAGAGATAAAAAGAAAATAAGTAAGGTAAAGTAGAGTTACTTAAAATTAAAATAAATAATATATAACCTTACCTTACCTCTACTATAATAATTATACTAGTAACCCTACTTACTAAGTAATCTAATACTACCCTCTAAGTAATCTAATATTACTTACTAAGTATAATCTAATACTACTTACTAAATATAATCTAATATTACTTACTAAGAATAAATCTAATCCTATTTACTATATATAACATTACTCCCTTAGACTATAAGAATCTTTTAGTAAGAAGTTAGATAACCTACTAAGGATAGGCTTCACCTTAAGTAGGGGAGGATGTGATATTAATAAATAAATATTATAAGTAGATTAATAATTATTAAGGTTAACTTTAGGTTATTAAGGTTAACCTAAGAAATCTCTGTAATATCTATAATATATCTTTTAGATAGATAAGCCAGTAGCTAGGTATAAATAGAAGATCTTACCCTAGGTAAGTGAAGAGGCATTAGCCTAGCCTATCTCTCTTCACCCCTGGTGATACTACCTTACCCTCAGTAATACCATATAGCAATAGTCATACCAAAGGATCTACAACATGCCTTCCGTTGTTGGTGGTGGTATTGTGCATGTCAGACCTTATGGACAACTTGTTAGCATAAAATACTATCAACATATAGATCTGAACAAAGCATTGATAGTGTGTATGTGTATCAAGGTGAAAAAAAGTGGGTGAAGCATCAAAACATGCCCTCAGGTGCTGGGACTCACTGAATCAAAATTTTCTTCCCCTTCAGTCCCTTACTACTACTTATTATATTTAGTACTATCTATCTATCTAGTTAAGGGATAGAAAGGGGGAATATAATATATAGATCTAAGGATATAAAGTATTCTATATATAGGTAGGGATATATAACTAGTATTTAGATAGGTTAAATACTATTCACCCTTACCTTAAGAATCTTTTAGTCTTAGTTTAGTAGTTATTTAGATTTGAACTACTGTTGGGATCCCATATAAATAATCAAGTACTTTCTTTGGAGTTATGAATACTCTAAATGAATTCTAAAAGTATATTAATTAGATATTTTAAGAGTATTTAGATAGGTTCTACTTAATATATCGTAGTAATATCTTTATCGATATTAATAGCCTATAGAGTCTTTACTAAGAGTATATCTAAAAGGTACTAGCTAGAGTAGCACCAGGGGGGTTAGAGGTTATGGAAGATATCTTTACTTAACCAGCAGGGGCTGACTGTATACTCCGTACATTAGACTACTAAGGTAGTGAACTAGTGATGAGAGGCTAGTTTTAGCTGCCGAGCCAGCTGTACTTTGTCCATCCTTCATTCCTGCGGACAAGCCAATGGACACGCAGACTGCAACCAACAACTTGGCAACAGGCTGCAATCAAGGATTAGCTGACAGCGGCCAGCAAGCCATAAGCTGGAAATCTCTCAGTCCTCACAGCTACAGGTGCTAGTTATGCGGTACTTAAAGCTGCCCCACGGCTGCTGGCAGTTGTCTTGGTTTGTCTGTAAGCCGTACACCATCCCGCAAGGGATGCCGCAGACATCGCCTGACAGTCCTTTATCCTTCTTTTTCTTTGATCTCTAGACGTCTGCTGTTGACATAGTCGATGGGAGCCGATAGGATATGACGGGAGCAGCAACTACAGCGTTGGTGGAGAAGAACATCGCAGATCATCCAGAAGGACAGGAAACTCACACACCAGAGGAACAGCCGCGAGAGCAAGACCAACAACAACAACAACAACAAGAAGAAGAAGAAGAAGAAGAATCTGACGAGGAAGAAAATGGCCCGCCCAAGAAGAAATCCTGGCGCTTTTGGGCCGTCTTCCCGGCCTTGTGCGTGACGACCTTCCTCTCGGCCCTCGACACGTCCATCCTCTCGACGGCCCTGCCCACCATCGCGCTCGATCTCCATATCGGCGAGCTGTATATGTGGATCACCAACTCGTAAATTCTGTCGTCGACCGTCGTGCTGCCGCTGTTCGGACAGACGGCCAATATCTTCGGGCGGCGCTGGCTGATGATCCTCTCGGTGGTCATCTTCGCCCTAGGCAGCGGCATGGCCGGCGGCGCCAACGACGCGCGGCTCATCATCGCCGGCCGCACCGTCCAGGGCATCGGCGGCGGTGGGATCAACACGCTTGTGGACATCGTCATCTGCGACCTGGTGCCGCTGCGCCAGCGCGGCAAGTACGTCGCGCTCATGGCGGCGGTCTGGGCCGTGGGCACGGTCGTGGGCCCCGTGCTGGGCGGCGCCTTCGCCCAATACGTCTCGTGGCGCTGGGTGTTCTACATCAACCTGCCGCTGTGCGCGGCGTCGCTGGTGCTGCTCATGCTGTTCCTGCGCGTCGGCCACCCGCACGCGCCCGACACCGCCTACGCGTGGTCGTCGTGGCAAGCCCTCGTCCCTCTCCTCCTGGGCCTCGTGGGGCTCGGCCTCTTCTACCTGCACCAGACGTCGCGCTTCTGCCGCGAACCGTCGATCCCGCGGCGGCTCTTCCGCAGCGCCACGGCCACGTGCGCGCTGTGGATCGCGTTCCTGCAGTCCGTGCTCCTGTACTGGGTCGGCTACTTCCTGCCCGTGTACTTCCAGGCCCTGCGCCGCGCGTCCGCCACCAAGTCCGGCCTGTACGTGCTCCCGATCACGGCGGCGATCGCGCCCCTCGGCATCGTCACGGGCATCCTCATCGCCATCACGGGCAAGTACCGTGCGTTCCACTTCCTGGGCTTCGCGTGCCTCACGGCGGCCACGGGCCTCTTCTCGCTGCTCGACGAGCACTCGCCCGCCCGCGACTGGGCCGGCTTCCAGGTCCTCTTCGGCGCCGGCTCGGGCATGATCTTCTCCAGCACGCTGCCACCCATCCAGGCCACGTTGCCGGAGTCCGACGTCGCCACCGCCACCGCCACCTGGGCGTTCATGCGCAGCTTCGGCTGCATCTGGGGCATCGCCATCCCGACGACGATCTTCAACGCGCGCGTGCAGGCGCTGCTGGGCGGCGTGAGCGATGCGGCGCTGCGGGCACGGCTGGCGGACGGCGGCGCGTATGCGCTGGCCAGCGAGGATCTCGTGGGCCAGCTGGGCGACGCGCCGCGGCTCATGGCGGAGGTGCTGGCCGTGTACCGTGAGAGTCTGCGGTGGGTGTGGTGGATTGCGATTCCGTTTGGCGGCGTGGGCCTGCTGCTGTGTTTTCCGATCAAACAGCTGGAGCTCAGCGAGGAGCTGGAGACGGAGTTTGGGTTGCAGGAGGGGAGGGAGGGGAGGGAAGGGAGGGAAGGGGAGGCCAACGGGGAGGCCAACAAGACGGAGAACCGTAGCACCTAGCCCATCTTTTTTTCCTTAGTTTCGTCCCCTAGTGTCCTAGCCATTCAATCATGACTACTACTATAACTTCTCGCAAATCACTATATTTCCCACGTCTTCCGCACCTCCTGCGTCTCCACATGAATCTCCTCCCATCCCAACGCCCCCCATCGCTCAGGCCGCTCCACCGCATCCACAAAATGCTTCATCGCCAACACAAACTGCGCCGCCCACTTCTCGGGACTCACGGCACCCACCCCGGTCGCCAACGGCGTCACCAGCACCGCCTCAATCCTCTCCTTCGCCCGGTCCTGCCGCCGCCGATTCCACCCCTCCACCTCGCACAGCAGACTCCACACACACTCGTACACGACCTCGCGGTCCCAGACCACGCGCTCGGGCACGCGCATCGTCGGACAGATGGCCACCCAGCGACAGCCCCAGGCATTGTCCTGGAGTTCGGGCGGGAAGGGGACCAGGGAGCAGGTGCCGGGGGGCGCAAAGCCGCGCCATTTCTCGTAGAGGACGCGCTGGGCGGCGCGGGTGAGCGCGTGGTAGTCGGCTTTGGGGGCGAAGGCGCGCGAGATGGCGTCGTCGAAGGCGCCGTCGAGGCGGCCGTAGGAGTTGGCGGGGGAGACGATGAGGTTGAATTTGGTGGCGGCGGGGAGCTGGGCGAGGGAGGTGTTGTGGATGGTGAGGTTGGGGTGGTGGCTGCGGGGCCAGTATTGGGCCCGGGCGCGGTGGAAGGCGGAAATGAAGCGGTCTTCCATGCAGAGGAGGTGGATATGGGGGATGTTGGATGTCATTTTGTGGGTGGAATTGGGATACTGAGGTGCGGGAGAGAGTGAGAGGAGAGGTTGATATAGATCGAGCTTAGGGTTGCTGCCTGGCGATGAGTCAGATGGGATGTGCCTGTCAGTATGCGATCATATTCGACTGCCATCGGGATATATCTGTCCTTTTCTACTTGAGAGAGAATGGAGTGTGGTCAACTCCCGCATTGGACAGCTATTATAGGTGTTTTATCTCAGCCCTATCGGCCTCCGTAGATAGATACTACGTAGTAGACGGCAAGTCCGGCAAGTCTGTGATGGTGGGGAATCGATCCTCTGAAACAGGCGGAGAGAGAGGCGATAGTCATCTACCAGGCACTGAGACTGCTCCTGTCGATATTGGGGAACCAAACGGGATCCTGCAGTCATCGAAACAAAAGCATCCAGACATACGCATACGTAGTACTGACTATGCATCGACCGGGGAGAAGCCCTAAAGCCTAAAGCCCTAGAGCCCTAGAGAGAAGCCCTGACGGATAAATGAAAGACCGCTATTTGCCTCAGGCATTAGGGCATGCTGACTCAGCAGTGGCTGTGCGATAGTTTTAAGCAGTCTGATTGGTCAGTCTCAAAAGGGAAACAAATGTCACATGCTAGCCGGAATATCGTTTTTCTCCGGTGCCAAGAAACCAAATAGAGTTCCGGACTAACACTAGTGCCGCCGTAAACGAGACGCTAGACTGGATCCGGTTAATCCCAAACTCCCAAACTTCCATGTGAAAATCTTCAAAACGCTCTCTGGATCTGCTGCCGAGTGCAGGAGTGCAGGAAGAAACGATCCTTGGAAGGTGCTCAATTCCAAGTAGATAGTAGGTACATCTAATAGACGGGAGTTTCCAGGGCAATCAATTGAATCCCACCGAGGAACTCCCTGCCTCCGATCACAATGACCCATCACATCGCCCATCCTCCTTCAACAACCCCTTTCCTCGATCTCTGATCTAGTGAGTAGCGTTGAGCCCTCAACGGTTGCGCATGGATATGACTGGCTGTGCTGTATCAATCGGTCCACTTGAGCTTTTCTTGACAGATTCCAGAATCCAGGGACACCCTCTTTTTTTTTTTTTTTTTTTTTCTGTTTTTCTGGAACCATTCCTTCGAATAGGAGAGACGCGCCAATAGCCATGCGCGCAATGTCTGTGATTTCGGGTGTAGCAGATGAAATTGCACCCGTTTTTTTTTTTTTCCTTCTTTCCGCCTCTGGGGGGGATTCGTGGCTAGTACGGAGGAGTGTCCTTTGGGACTATCATATGATAGGGATGGGGGTTTCTTTTTTCTTTTCCTCTTCCTTTCTCCGGCTGCTCTGTTTGTATTTTCCAATTGTTCTGTTGTGTGTCCAGTGCAATTGCCATTGAACACCCCCCGTCGACATCATGGCTGAAGCTGAAGTCCGCAAGAGAACCCCCGAGGCCGAGGTGTGTATCTATTCAATGCCCCAGTCCCCTTAGAGAAAAGGGAAAAAAAAGAAAAAAAAAGTTCCTTTGACAGTGCCCGATGCTAATATGTCGACTGTTTCCAGGCCGTCGTCCCCCAGGACAACACCCCCAGCCTCAAATCCCTCAAGGATGCCATTCCCCAGGAGTGCTTCGAGTCCTCGCTAGTCACCTCGCTGCTCTACCTCGCCCGTGACATCCTCTACTGCGCCGTGCTGGCCTATGGCGCCTTCCACATCCACCTCCTCCCCTCGTTGCCGCTGCGCATCGTCGCCTGGGCCGCCTACACCTTCTTCCAGGGCTGTGTCGGCACGGGGCTCTGGATCCTGGCCCACGAGTGCGGCCACGGCGCCTTCTCGCGCTACCCGCGCATCAATGACTTCATCGGCTGGGCGGCGCACTCCTTCCTGCTCGTGCCCTACTTCTCGTGGAAGATCACCCACGCCCGCCACCATCGCTACACCGGCCACATGGACCGCGACACCGTCTTCGTGCCCTGGACGGCCGATCAGCTCGCCGCGAAGAAGAACGTCCGCCTCGACCAGCTGCGCCACCTCGCCGAGGAGACCCCCATCGTCACCTTCGTGCAGCTGCTCGGCCACCAGCTCGGTGGCTGGCAGCTCTACCTGCTCACCAACGCCACCGCCGGCGCCCTGTCCTGGCCCGAGGGTACCCCCAAGACCGGCGTCGCCAGCCACTTCAACCCCGTCGGCGCCCTGTGGACCCCCGCCCAGCGCCTCTCCATCGCCCTCTCCGATCTGGGCCTGCTGATCATGGGCGCTGTGCTGTGGTTTGCCAGCACCCGCATCGGCGTCGCCAATGTCATCCTGCTGTACTTTATCCCGTATCTGTGGGTTCACCACTGGCTGAGTACGTCCTTCCCCCCCCCCCCCCTCCCCTTCTCTCACACCTCATCCCTTTCTCATACATGAATAGTCGCCATCACCTACCTCCAACACACCCACCCGGCCCTGCCGCACTACACGGCCGAAACCTGGACCTACACCAAAGGCGCGCTGGCCACCGTCGACCGCACCATGGGCTTCATCGGGCGCCACTTCTTCCACGAGATCATCGACTACCACGTCGTGCACCACCTGTTCAGCCGGATCCCGTTCTACGAGGCCGAGCGTGCGACGCGCGCCATCCAGCCGTTGCTGGGCGCGCAGTACAACGAGGACAAGCAGGAGAGTTTCCTGGGCTCGTTGGTGAGTACGTTCCGGAGCTGTGTGTATGTAGCGCCGAGTGAGCCGGGCGTGTTGCATTTTGTGACGCGGAGGGAGTAGATATCATATCATATTTTGTGAGGAAGTAGGGAGGACGGAACCGGGGGGGATGTAAAAAAAAAAAAAAGAAAAAAACAAAAGTTGTATAGTGTCATTTTGAGTGGTTTCAAGAGGTGGTGGGATTCGATATAGGGATGGGGGGGAATAGATTAGAGATCGATTTTTTGTATAATTGTTAGACTGTTCTAGAGTGTATTCAATTATTTGGAACAAGTGATTTACTAAGAGAATGTTGAATTCAGCAAGTGTTACGAATATATACAGACCGTATATATATATATATATTTATGGAGTACTACCCCTCCACTTCCCACTCACTTCTGATCCTTCAACATATACTACATCTACAACCTAACACAGGAATAGATCACCTGGAGTATATTCTACCCCCGAGCGAACAACATCTACGGAGTAGACTGATGCTCTCTCTGTCCTGCAGCATGACCAGACATCAACCCAAACCCCTACTCTGGTCGCGTCCAACCCTCAACTCCACACTCCGACTATCTACAAGACTACAACTCAGGTGTACTGCGCAGTGGCAACTGGCAACTGGCAACTTGCAGCTGTAGCTGCAAGAAACATAGATTCCAGAAATGGATTCCGCCTAGTGGGTCAAAGACCAATTCCGTCGTTGTTGAAATGGCGATCGTGAAGACAAAAAGACAACGTGCACCGCCACATTGATTGGTTGATTGATTTGATTGATTCTCGAGTCTCGACAGAGTCAGAACGCAAAACGCAGAACGCAGAACGCAGAATATGCTTTCCAACCCAAATGCGCCGTGATATCATACTACCTCTCATTCTATCCCGAATTCTACATCTCAGATCTGACTCCTGACTCTCCTACAGCCCTACTCAATGGAAATGCATATACGAGATCACCTGAGCATGCACGCACCACACACACACGGCTGCCTGCCTGCTACATAAATAAAACCACCCCCGCTAGAGCTGAAGCCCCACCAACACCCTCTGCGCCGTCCCCAATCATCACCAATGGCTCTCGCCGTGGTCCACTCGGCGATGTCATAGCTGCATGCTAGCTCTGCGTGGTGAATTCAACAGAATCTGTCGTGTTGGCGTTGGCGTTGGACCCTGTAGGGCAGCAATGCGCGTGGCGGCGGATGAGGTGGGGAGGGGAGGGGAGGGGGTGATGATGGTGGGATAAATATGAAGATATATAAGAGATAAGGGGGCAACCCGAAATCTTTCTTATATATATATATATATAATATATATATATATATATTCTTCCACGTTTCGTGAACTAGCAGCATTCATTATCGAGTTTGTTGAAACAGAAATACGGGAATCGGATCTGAACCCCAAGAGCAAAAAAAAAAAAAAAAAAAAAAACCATGTCATTCCACCAATCCAGCGAGGACATCCACATCCGCCAGGAAGATGGGTCTACCATGCTCCTGGCGCGGGTGCGCAACAACGCCGGCCAGCTGATCCAGCGCAAGATCAGACTGGACGATCATATCGGCAATACCGATGGTATGTTTCCCTGTCCACTATCCACAGGCAGGAAACTTGTCAAATGAAAATGAAGGATAAAAAAAGGCTGATGGGGGCTCAGGATGGTTCATCTGGGGCGGCAACAACTTCACGCGCACGGCCAGAAACATCGCGCTGGAGCACACCCAGTACGGACCCAAGCTGTGTGCTGATCTGGAGATGCGGGATGGGGGATCGCGGGGCCGGCAGGGAGTCATGTTGTCCGACAAGATCGGGAACGAGGATGGACATTTGAGGTTCTTGGTAGGTTTGATTATTGAGATCTCGCTCCGAGTTCCCCCTTTGGCATTGCAGGTCGGCTGACACGGGATAGGGTCCTTGAGGTTGAGTGATGGGACATGATCGTGATGTAAGATCGGATTGCGAGGCAACACTATTTCATGAAGGAGCAAATCCACAGTCGACTCTGTAGTCAGTTCTCGGTCTCATGTTTCTCAAGCAGTACTCTGAGATGTCCAGCCGGGTAAAGATAGAACCGTAGTGGGATGTTCAGGATGCTCAGCATGCTCAGGGAACAGTGGCGGGTTGTCTGTCGCGTCAGTAAGTAGTAGTAGGCAGAAGCAGAAGACAACCGAGCGAAGTCTAGATCGAGACTCATAGCTTGAATAGATGTCATCTTATGATCATCCCGACCATCGAATCCAGCTTGTCTTTCCAGACGATTCCGTTCATGACTTCAGATCCAGTGCCCATCACCGACAACATGGACCATGCCATAGTCACGTGTCCACAGACAACGGGGAAAATCCTCGAGTCAAGAGTCACCAGTCTCACGAGTCATGACACACGCAAGGAAGACGAATGCATATGCATATGGAGAAAGAAAAAAAAAAAAGTCAATACACGACCAGCTGAACCAATCGCCCGTGTCTCCAGCATCACCAGTACCACACATCCACCCAGCACTCTCTAAGTCTAGCCTCTTGGTTTCGGCCGGAGTGGGACCGTTATGGAAACCCAGTCCGTCCTGCGACTGAGACGAAAAAACCAGACCTGACCTGACCTGACCAGACAAGACAGGATGAGACGAGACCAGTAGCAATGGGCCGTGGCAGTGGCTGTCCCCTGGTCACCCTAGACAAAGCCGAGTTGCGGGATTTCCCTGCGCCGCCGCGGCCCTCAATTTTCGAGTCTCGACTACTACTGTGTACGAGATGGGAGTCAGAGTTTGACGGGGATAATTTAATTACCCAACGATCGAGAACATGGGGCGGGGGAGGGGAAGATAAGTCTATATGAACTACGACTAGAGTTTTTTTTTTTGGTTGGAAAGGAGGGAGAATTGGTAGGGTTCTCCTCGATCTTGATCTGAGATTGGAATCAAAAAGTCGCCGGGCTCGGAGCCACCAGGCGGTCCAAGCCGTGTGAGGGCACGGCGATTGGTGCCTGGGCCGGAAGTCGGTAGGCTAACGGTGATTTAACGGGGAGTTTTGACTGTAGGACGGACTCGGACAAGACTGGGGGCAGTGGGCAAGTGGGCATCGGTTGAGGGAAATTGGGAGAGAGTCTCGAAGTTGCCCGACCCGAGACGTTGGGTGGTTTGGGGGAGGGGGAGAACTGGGGAGACCTGGCAAGTGGCAATTGGGAAGGAGAAAGTGGAAAGTGGACACTGAGAGGGCGCAGAGAATGGTTCATGGGCTTGCCAAGATGATCATATAGTGGTATGAATATGATTGGTAGTCCCAGAGGCCAGAGCTCGTTTCCCTGCAGATGCGTGTTGCTTATGGATTGAGGACGACTGATGCTTCAGCTTCATTGGGATGATTTACTCGCCGTACAGAGTACTGGTTGTCCACTTCACAAGGTAATGATCTCGATAAGCTTCGGACAAATACAAAGTTAGTATAGAGTGGAAGGATTCAAGCGTCAGTCTTCGACGACTGATCATCCTTCCACCTCGGATGTTTCGTGCAGCAGGGAAACCTAATTAGACCAGCAAAGCTTGTATCATTGGTGTAGGAGGCGAGGAGCCCAAAAGCGCCCAAGCCTTCGCTTAATTCTCGGACGATCCGAGTGTGAGTGTAAGACTGTAAGTGAGTGAGTGAGTGAGTGACTGACTGACACAGACGAATTTCCGGAGTAACAAGGAACCAAGTGCTATCCCATCATTCTCATGTTTGTCTCCGCTGCAGGATCCTAGTCCTGGTCCTGGTAGCCTAGTAGGGGTGACTGACTGACTGGTTACCCTGTCCCTTTATGGAGATTGGAGTCAGAACTCAGAAGGAGCTAGAGCCCCCATTCTCCACCCCCCAATCTCCAGCCGTTAGCGAGAAGCGAGGAACAAATGGTATGGTTCCCGAGTCCCGACTGCCCGAAAGAACCGGGATGCCTGCAGTTTGCTAACTCGAAATTCTCACCGCGAGACAAACCCGAGGCTCTCTGACTCTGGGGATCCCCGCGGGGAGAGAGGACATGGGCCTTGAAGTTGGAGCTGGGGGGCCATGGCCCATGGGAGCCGACCAGCGTCATTCCGATTTCCATGTATTATTTAAATGCAAATGAAAAGGCAAAGGAAGAGAAGGTGGGCAGAGTCGCCGACAACCAAGCTTCCTGGACATTGGCGATGGCGCAAGGCGGAGAAGAACCTTTCAGCGAGTGGAAAGCCTCGTTGGTCATGCCTTAGTCATTCCGGAGTACTTTTACTCGTTAGACAGTTGGCACGTGGAATGGATTTTACCCGGAGCATGGATGCCTCGTGCCAGATGTTCGTCTATCTTGGTCTCATACACATGCTATAGATACTTTATACTCTATACTCTATACTATACTATCTACTTACATACTACATCAACGCTCGACGATCACTCTCCTCATTTCGATCTCCAAACATATCAACAAGATTGATAAACTGTCTCTGTAAATGTCTGTCTCTTCTTGACCAATAATCTCCAGTACCGGACAGGAAATCTTTTCACCACCGCCGGTGCAGACTAGCAGGCTTGGCATCACCGCCATTTAGTCTCATGCTGCGGCACACAAGCCACGTCCAAATTTTCCTCTCTTCTTCAGCTGGATCTAGAGCAAGTGAACCAGTGGCAAACGCAAGAATAACTAATCTAGCAGAAACCAAAAATATCAATCCACTTTCTCGGATTCAAACTGAGAGAAATCACGGGTCGGCATCAAGTGATCAAAACTTGAGTTGACTCGGCGAGTCCCGAAGTGCTGTCGATGTTAGTACTGACTACTGACCGTCGCCGCCTCGGTTCAGCTCGATTTGCTCGAGGGGGAGAGGATCAAATGCCATTTCTTCCAGGCCCTCCGTGGACCATGAAATCAGAATCATACTCCATGGAGAGCAGCGGTAATTACCTTGGTTTACGCCTTACAGAGTAACTACCTGAGGTAGGTACCTTACCTACCTTACAGTATATTAATATCCAGGTATTGATATAGTTACTGTCTGTGTCCTGCATTGTATGACCAGGAGAGCATGGACGGTAACTAATCAGCAGCGAGATTGCAGGATACCTGGGTGTCAGGGTTACATTGTCTGGAACGAGCCTTTGCCTACCCTGGCAATCCAGCTCCGTGCTCTACCACCATTCCCAGGAATTATAATAATAATAATAATAATAATAATTCATGATCGTATTGTGATAATCATTACTGCCCAATCTCTCTATGCAAAGGATGTCTACTATTTCTATCGAGGACCGGTCACTTCCTACTCCCGAAGATTCATATCCAATTAAGCCTGTGACAAGAAATCTCGAAGAATCCTGAAAGCTTCTGGTCGTATCCATAAGGAAACAAACTTACCACAACTACTAAGGTATCATCCATCGATTGACCACTTCCAATTTTAGGTACTCTGTCTGTACTCTGTAGTCTGTATTCTTCCAGCAAACCAAACTCCGCGCATGTGGGCCTTTCAATTCAAACTCGGCACGTGGTAGGCTGGAATCTCCGACCCCTGTCTGTCAAACCAATCACCACCCAATCACACGGAAATTAGCAACCAGCGTCGAGGTTAGTGTTTCCCGACGACGCCTTTTGATTGGGCATACTTGTTCAGTAGACAAACCCGGTTGGACTCTACCCGAGCATCTGTATGGCCAGTATCCCCGGGGTTGACCCACACTACCCACTCATCACCAAGGATCTCCATCCAAGAGTTTCCTTATCTGGCTAATCTTACAACAGACTAGCGGTGTCAGCACCGACTTCGAGGACTCGATCTGGGGTCAACAACAGTTTTGAACTTTGACCACGAGCTGGATTGGACTGGGACAACCGGCCAACGTTGCAGTGGCCATGTTACATTCTTACCTAAGGCTTGCTGTTTCTGGTGCTGATTGGGGGAGGTGTATGCTATCCACTCATTTCCTGATGCAGTATGGCTGTTCTTTTCCGCTGTATTCTGGGTTTTCTCCTCTCTGTATGTACTCTGTAATATGTATTATTCTCTGATTCTCTCTCTCTCTCCCCACTCTGTTTCCCCCAGTTATTCCCCCCCCCCCCCAGACTAGACCACACTGACCCTCTATCTTTGCCTTTAAGCGAACTGCTCCAGGTCTTGACTCCCTGGTCGACTCTCCATTGTCTCACTCTTAGTCTTGGGGATGGCAAAACCGCATGGCAACCCACCTAGTAAATAAAAAAAAAAAAATATTAAACCAAAAAATTCAAATCACACTACGGAGTACTACTCATTACTTCTAGTTCGATGGAACTAGTCAGTCCAAGCAGAAAGAAAAAAAAAAAAAACCCGCACTAAAGCCGATGGCAATCTACAAACCCCCGTAGCGTTGTCAATTCCCCCGGACCGGCATGGGGCCCGATTGAGATCAGACTGGAGGGAGAGTGTGAGACCGTGAGAGAGCGTGTGAGCAAAGTGTGGATGCTGCATCTCCAGATTCCTCCCGGTCTCACAGTCACACGTCTATAAAATCAGCCCGTCTCCCCCAGCTTCTTCTTCTTCTTCTGCTTCTGACACTGCAGATCACCTCTTCTTTCTCTCTCCATCTCTCTTCTCTTAGAACAACACCCTTTTTCTCATCCACGTGGTGATCGACAAACCCTTCTTACTCTCGTTCCCCTTTCCCCCTCCCCCATCTCTGCAGTTGAATCTCCAACGCATTCAATCGCCATGGCGGACGCTGTCACCGACTCGCGCGTTGAGGCGCCAGTCACCTGGAAGACCTACATGATGTGTGCCTTTGCTGCCTTCGGTGGTATCTTCTTCGGTTATGATTCCGGTTACATCAACGGTGTCATGGGTATGGACTACTTCATCACCGAGTTCGAGGGCCTGGTAAGTTCTTCGGTCCAACTCCATCTAGACCAACACAATCAATCAAGTGGATGCATTGCTAACGAGAGAATCTCCACGCGCGCAGGACAAAGCGACTACCGATCCCGACTCTTTCGTCCTCCCTTCTTCCAAGAAGTCTCTGATCACCTCCATCCTGTCCGCTGGTACCTTCTTCGGTGCTCTCCTTGCCGGTGACTTGGCCGATTGGTTCGGTCGTCGCATCACCATCGTCAGCGGCTGTGTCATCTTCATCATCGGTGTCGTTCTCCAGACCGCCTCCACCACCGTGCCTTTGCTCGTTGTTGGTCGTCTGATCGCCGGTTTCGGTGTCGGTTTCGTCTCCGCCATCATCATCCTGTACATGTCCGAGATCGCCCCCCGCAAGGTCCGTGGTGCCATCGTCTCCGGCTACCAGTTCTGCATCACCATCGGTCTGATGCTGGCCTCCTGCGTCGACTATGGCACCCAGAACCGCACCGACTCCGGCTCCTACCGTATCCCCATCGGTATCCAGATCGCCTGGGCCCTGATCCTCGGTGGTGGTCTGCTCATGCTCCCCGAGTCGCCCCGTTGGTTCGTCAAGAAGGGTAATCTCACCGGCGCTGCCGTCGCCCTCGCCCGTGTCCGTGGCCAGCCCCGCGACTCCGAGTACATCCGCACCGAGCTGGCCGAGATTGTCGCCAACCACGAGTATGAGATGCAGGCCATCCCCCAAACCGGCTACTTTGGCAGCTGGATCAACTGCTTCCGCGGCAACATCTTCCACCCCAACAGCAACATCCGCCGGACCATCCTGGGTACTTCTCTGCAGATGATGCAACAGTACGTTCATCCTTTTGTCTTTTGATATTTTTTTTTTCTAACGATCGATTCAGGTGGACTGGTGTCAACTTCGTCTTCTACTTCGGTACCACCTTCTTCAAGAGTCTGGGCACCATCAGCGACCCCTTCCTGATCAGCATGATCACCACCATCGTCAACGTCTGCTCCACTCCCATCTCCTTCTACACTATGGAGAAGCTTGGTCGTCGTACCCTGCTCCTGTGGGGTGCTCTGGGCATGGTTATCTGCCAGTTCATCGTGGCCATCATCGGTACCGTTGACGGCGGCAACAAGAGCGCCGTCAGCGCCGAGATCTCCTTCATCTGTATCTACATCTTCTTCTTCGCCAGCACCTGGGGTCCCGGTGCCTGGGTCGTTATCGGCGAGATCTACCCTCTGCCCATCCGATCCCGTGGTGTTGCTCTGTCTACCGCCTCCAACTGGCTCTGGAACTGCGTACGTTTTCTCACCCTTCAACCCAGCCTTCACCTGCTAACTGCTCTGCCCATAGATCATCGCTGTCATCACCCCCTACATGGTTGACAAGGACAAGGGTGACCTCAAGGCCAAGGTCTTCTTCATCTGGGGTTCCCTTTGCGCCTGCGCCTTCGTCTACACCTACTTCATCGTGCCTGAGACCAAGGGTCTGACCCTGGAGCAGGTTGACAAGATGATGGAGGAGACCACTCCCCGTACCTCTGCCAAGTGGAAGCCCCACGGCACCTTCGCTGCTGAGATGGGTCTCACTGACAAGGATATGGCCGAGAAGACCGGCGAGGTTGTGCACCAGGAGGTTTAAATGCCCTCAAGCAAATACCGATGCTCCTTCGCGTGAAGGGACATTGGAGCCTCTCCTGTTCTTTTTTTTTCTTCTTCTTTTTCTTCTGTTCACTTTTTTTTTTGACCAGCCAGCCAAACCAACCACCCTCACGTATACCCATGGTTACGCTTCATGTTACAATAATGCTCGATGTCTATCTTGAGGAATGAGACTCTAATATCGGTTTTTAATCAGGATGGCTTCGATTTGGGCTATGCAGAAACACAAAAAATAATATTAAAAAGCAATGGGAAACCATTAAAACCAGCTTTCTGCAAGTGTCCTCGTAGATCCCACCAATCCCCATCCCCGGGGTTTCTAGCCTCCATCTCCGTCAATATCAGGATCAATATCATCGAGTCGGGAACTGACTGACAACTCCGTACTTCTCCTGAGGCCAAGATGCCCAATCTGCGACACACACCTGGCACCGCCGGAAATCCCGTGACCTCGATCGTTTCATTCAGCCCAACTCCCCTCCGCCACCATCCTCGACTCTCCAGCGTATTATCCATGCATTGAAACGGTCGATCCATCACGCAGTATCCAGGTATGCGCCATGAATCGTGCTACAGATAGCATAGATTACCCCCTCGTAGGCCATCCCCACCGGAGAAGCACACCCATCACTTGTCTCCAGGATCTTACCAAGAATTGTCGCTCATCGCTTCGTCACAGAAGTGGCTCCCCTTGGGAGTCCTCCTCCCCGTGCTTGGGCTTTAGGCGCCTAGGACGGTGATTTGGCAGTCTGTCAGTCTGTCAGTCAAACAATCGAACCGGAAGGCGGCAGGACAGAAGCACGCAATGACGAACCGCATGCGACTACCCGTCATTCACTATGGTAGCTATCTGCTCATTCAATCCAAGACAATCACCAAGCTCGATTCATTCATTCATCTTGTCCCCAACCCTCTGTTCATCCAGCAAATAGCAAATAGCAAATAGCAAACACCATACAAAACCCATTCACATATCCGTAGCTCACCCCATTGACCACCAGCTGCGAAAACTGCATAAAAACCCCCAACAACTCCCGCAACACCCCGTCTTCTCTTCCACCCGTATCCCTCTTCAGCTCCTACATGTTTCTCTATATACTATATCAATACTCCAGCAAGTCTTATACACGCATACACACATCCTCTACCTGTTCATCATCACCAACATCAACACCAACACACACACATCGTTCCACAACCCCAACAGAAACACACCGTTTCGAATCACGATAGCTGAGTGTACTGCGGAATACCGTCCTCGCTATATCGACTATTGACGGCCGTGCGAGGGCATACATATATACTTCGAGTGCTACAGAGCCAGAGACACACTCGCACACACCCATCCCGTTTGGGTGGGGGGGATGGGGTTCTGGCGGACGGTCAACATCGACATCGGCAGTAACCCATACACAACGGATGCCCTTTCGGATGCTAATCGATATAGTCGCACCGAAAAAGAAGCTTACATAGCCTGACATCGCTGTGGTCAAGCTGATGGACCCTGTCCGGACTCTTGCTTGGTCATTGAATTTCTTAAAGAAGGTCATCTCATCACCAGCCCCTAGAATCAAGACTGTTGTCACTTGGGTTCTAGAGAGATACGGCAGCTGGGGAGACGAAGACGCCGGCCCAGTATTCGGCGTCTTTAGTCCAAGTTCGGGGTAGAACGCCATGAATTCATCCATGTTTTGTTCGTTTTCTCAATCGGGATGGGAATGGAAAAATAAGGGGTCGGCTGTCATTGGTACAGGAAACGGCCTCTCTTCGCTAGAGATGTTGGTTCATGCAGGGGTTCCGGCTGGCGATATGTCTCTCAGACTTGGATAGCCGCAGGGCTGCAGGAAGATTCGTCTAATCGAATTCAGAGCGGACTGATACGGTGTCCTCCATTGCTTGATCGCAGAGGATTGTGATCCCTACACGGCAATTCAGCATTTCAGCAACACCGCGCATTGGGATTGTGGAAGTGCGTCTTTGCTTATGCTTTCCCTTTCAGGTCATCACGGATCATGACGTACGCATGTCCACTGAAGCGGTGGTATACGACTTCACATGCGAGTGATTATGGTGCATACACCACTGTTCCAGGATCTCTGTCCATCAAGGCTGCAACCAAACCATTATTTGCCTGTGGGCTTCACCGCGAAGTCCTCTCTCTCCTCTGATCGGGCAGAGTTGGGTTTTTGTGACATACCTGTGGCCTTTGCTAGCACTGAAATGTCTGCTTAAGGAACAGCAAAGTCTTACAGCAAGTTTTATAGTTAATACTATAGTTGCATACCTGGACCGCAAAAATCTTCGTCTGTTTGTTTCCCGAATTGAAACATGCCTTGACGTTTTGCGTTATACCCATAATCCTGCATATTACGTGGTGGACTTTATACTCTTACCAGGTCTAGCTCGCGGGCAGATTCATTGAGAACCAGCTGGGCTGAGGTTTCGGCGCATTCCACAATGTTCCAGAGGGTCTTTGACCTAATCCCAAAGAAGAATGTCGACACTGCCTGTGACGATGAATGGGACCGAATGACATCATTCAACTATGATGCTAAATTCACTGCAAAAGGGGGGGGGGAAATGGGGGAGATGGCTGGCTCGTACGAGGAAGCTAGACAACGGAACCTAATGAGCTCGCGCGCAATCAAACAGCACCATCCTCTGTGGAGACAGAGCCAGAATGCAACTCGCAGGGAACTAATGGAGAGATTCTTTTCATCCGGATTCTCAGTAGACAGACGTGCAAACATAAGAGACAACGGCACGTTATACTACGCTGCGCTATGGGATTTTTATGTCTTATGCGGCTCTACAGCGGCCAATTTCTCTGGATGGTTGATAGGAGCATGGACAAGAAACACATGGAGACATAAACCTCCCATCTCTTATGGGCAGGCACCTGTCCCACCAGCACTGACACGCGGATCTGGAATTGTCATCGACGCCGATACACTCCCAACAGCGACAATAAGACGCAACTAGACATACAAGGTAGTCAACCATACAACATACAGTGAACCGGTCGAGCATGCTCTGCTACACAACAATCCGCACGCACACTCTGATGACACCGGCCGCCATTCCTCATCCACAGACTCCAATGACGTTGGCAGTGATGCACGCGATGACGATCCGACCAGACATGGACGATACTGACAACCACGGCGAACCGGTTAAACTGGAAGACACAGACAGCGACCCCGAAGCCCCATTCCTTACTTCCGGCAACATATAGTTCAACTGGGCGAGTGAAGTTAGGATAAGCTAGGGTCGGTGCTGTTGCCAACTTCGTCTTGAAGAAGCAGCAAGCACAGGCCATGAATAGGGATACTTGTGGCCAGCAGCACTGGGGCGGTGCACCTGTAGACATAACATCCCAGGTCCGGAGAAGAGGGTGTGTGGAAGCTAAGGCTGGAAGCCTGGTAGAAGACGCCGCATGGGGCATTGGCACTGTTGACCAGGAATGTCGAGGACTGGAGGGTATTCCAGTCTTCTTTGTAGTTCTTCTGTCTTACGGAATGATTCTACCATACAGATACCAGGCCCATTTTCAGACACCATCGCGATTGGGCATGTTTTACCGGCTATAGGAGGCGTACGGCGCCTGCGAGACATACGCAGGGACTTAATAATTGCTGTCGCATGGGCTTCGGAGACAGCAAACGAAATTGCGAAGCTAATGGACGGGGATGGACACAACTGACGGCATGGTCGCAACCCCAACATTTAAATTGCCCCTTTACCGTGTACCTGACCTTCCATTGCTGCTTTTTTTTATGCTGATCTTCATTACTACATTCCATCGCTGAGCTTGTATCTTCTTGACCCACGGACAGATAACTAGGATAGTCTTTCTCCCAAGGGGGGAGCTGTCCCAGATTGTAGCCAAGTCCCCTCCCCCTAGCTAGATATGAATATGATCATCATCTTCCTATGTCATGTCTCTCCCTTCCATGTAGACACCTTCGTAAATCGCTCTAGAATGATGGATCTCAACTCATTCATATTAATTATATTGGTATCATGTAGCTAAAAGCATGGAACATCAAATTACGAAAGTTTGGAACATCAACTCACGGACATTCAGCCCGCGGCATACGGACTCCGCTTCCGCAAAGCCTCCCCATACTTCCACAGGAAGATAGGCGCCGGGATCCCCAGCACAATAGATACAAATGCCAGCAGACTATTCCCCCAGCCATAGTGAAGTGCGTTATACATGTAAGGCGCGAAAAGCGGAAACCCGAACCCACACAGGCATCGTAGAAATGCCACTGCGGCGAGTGCACTAGCAGCAAAACGTGTGTACGTATCCACCAGATAGGTCTGGATACACTGGAACGCAATGATATTACCCGCGCCGAAGAGGCAGGCGCCAATGTTGGGCGCGATCCAGTGGGAGCGGGCCTGCGCGGTCCAGCCGTATATGAACAGTCCGGCCGGCGTCAGGAGGGCGGCCACGAACAGCAATGGGACGCGGAACTCGGGTTTCCCAACGTTGTCATTGCCCGCTTTGAAGTGCCGGTAGATGCGGTCGTTCAGGGGTGCGCAGATCTGGGAGCCCAGCCAGAAGCCCAGGCCAAGAGAGATGTAGTTCAGGCCGCCGATGCCGGTGGATTCGTGGTAGACTGTTGTCCAGAGGGCGCTGAAGGTCGAGAGGACGAGATACATGGTCCCGTAGATGAAGGCCATGTAGATAGCGAGCACTTGCACGATGGGCTGTGTGGATAACAGGCGGAATGGTCGGACGAGAGCAGTCCGCATCGTCTGGGGAAGAGTTTTGTTCTGTCGCTCGGTTTCTGTCTGGTATGCGGGATCTCCTGTCTCTTTCCGCATCTTCTCCGCCCGGCTCTTGAGAATTTTGGGCGCGTATGTCTCGCGTAGGAAGAATAGTCCGGCAAACTGAATGACTCCGTCTGCGATGGAGGTGGCGTAGAACACCCATCGCCAGGTAGTATTTTCAGAGATGAAGCCGCCGACAACAGGACCGACAGCTGGGCCAAGGAGCGGAGCAAGACTGTAAATTGCAACACTTTTGCCTCGCTCTTCTGGCCTGAAGCAGTCAGAAAGAACACCTCCACCCACCTATGGCGTGTCAGTACATATATCAAGGGTCTATACAGCTGGTCTCGAAAAAAAAACCTACAGCCAGAGGAGCACTACCACCCAATCCAGATAAAAATCGAAAAGCAATCATCTGGCCTTTGGTTTGCGAGACACCGCAGGCGATGTTGAAGACGAGATAAAACAAGTTCGCCAGCTGCAGAACGATGACTCGTCCATAGATCTCGGAAAGCGGCCCAAGGAAAAGTGGGCCGACAGCATAGGCGAGTACGAAAATAGAAAGGGTAAGTTGCGATGTGACTTGATCCCCGATCTGAAATTCGCCGGCAATGGATGGCAGTGCAGGTGCCACCATTGACGATGAGACGGGGGAGATGAAAGTGAAGAGAGAAACCGTGATGACAGCGGCCCATTTCTTCTTGTCCGGCCAGTTCTTGGGGTTCTCAGGGTCATCTGGACCATCCCAGGTCACCTATCGCGGCGTCAATAACGATATCATCCAAGTTATGATCTCAACATACCAGTTTTGGGTCTCGCCGATCGGACTTTGCGGATCGCGATTTCTCCAGCCCAGCATCATTCTGGGTCCCCGCTTCGAGATCAGTATCCCGTTCAGTCAGAATTCCTCCTCTCACTTCGAGCACGGGCGATACTTGTTTCTCATCGTCACTGTGTAACGGGGAATCTCTCTCCTCATCGACACGAGCATCGTCATCGCTGTGGTAGATAGAATGATCATCGAGATGTCTGCCCGAGTACACCCTGTCAAGATTCGGACTGCGAGGTCGAGACTTTGACCTGGTCCTCGTTATCGACGCGAGCCTGAAGCTCCGCGAGCGCTGTGTTTCCGGCGATTCTGTCCGGGAGAGATGCGATCCAGTATGTGTACTGTTCAGCGATGTCGACCGGGATCGACCGTGTGCTCTTTCTTTCCTCTCATCTCCAGCCATGACCAGCGTTGCTGACAAAGATCACACGACAATCGTATCAAGACTATCCTATAACTAATGCTCCAATATTCAGCAGCAAGAGAGAGAGAAAAAATGTAGCACGAGTCACCACGAAAGCCACCGCCAACGGGACGCACACAGGGATCAGACAATTTTTGTATTTCAATCTCACCTAACACCAAAGGACGACAACGGTGATAACAGTACCTTAAGGCCGAGGAGTGGAGAAGCGCCATGGTGGGTTTTTCACCATCGCCAATAGTTAGTCATTGGAAGCAGCGAAAGCTTGACACGCGCAGTTTCGCTGGAAATCCGGATAGGCTCTGCCGTCTCCACAGTCCGCACTCCACAGGGCTTCCATGCTGAGCGCTGTGAGGCTGTGAGCGGCCTGAGCCGTCGTTGCTCCCAGTCAGAGACCGCTAGAGCCAGTGAGATGGCGTCTGTTGATTCTGGCCGAGGAAGGACGGAAACGTTGCAGCGCTGCTAAAAACAGCCCAGCGCGACTCCAAATCGGCTCTTCGGCACGTGGATCACGTGGTATACATTCCTTCCATATCACGTGAGTCTGCATTATCTTACATCGCCAGAATACAAGCCATAGATAGATATTTGAAAATACACAATTGATGTCCAAATATCATCCTTACTCTTCTCAAACTATGGTAATAATGCTAAACAGTCCTCAAGCATCCTTCTAGATATCTCTCAACCCTCCTTACATCGTCCAGCGCTGCAACTACACCGACATACCCATCTGGTCGGATAACAGCCAACGCACCCTGGGATCCATCTACACCGTAGATCTTGTACACGTCATCCAGCTCATAACCGTTGTGGAATTTCATCTCCGAATGTTTCTTGACCTCACTCGGCAGATCATTCCACATGAACGTCCTGGATAGGCGAGGGTGGATGACTACCTGCTCGATGCTAGACGGCGGGAACCGTGGGAGCACAGTGGACCCGAGAGTGGTCAATGTGTGGGCGGAGACACCCTTGGGATCCAAGAGGTCAGAGGAAGTGAGACAAAGGATGCGGAAGCGGCCTGTGGACAGGAAGTCTGCAAGGAAAAGTTAGTATACACTCGTCTGCTGTGCCAACATTCAACGTACCATCTTGCAAGTGACGTCTATTCCCGTCTGCGTGGCGCTTGCACCGTACGTCCAGCAGTCTCCTACCTGGCCGGAGGACGCCAGCTAGATAGTCGGTGCCAGTGATGGGGTTCTTGTCGTCCAGAACCTTGTCAACAATCAGACCGTCGGGATACTCGATACCGCAGCCGCTGGTGAATCCGTTGCCTGTGCTGAACACCTTGAGGAACTGGTCGTGCGTAAGCCCCTCAACACCGTCCTCGGATGGGCCGATCTTGCCAGAGAACATGGATGAATAGGCACGGTCAAAGTCGATGAGTTGCTGGGCGATCGTGTGGCGCTCGAAATGATATGTATCAACAATGGCATCGGGTCGTCCTGGGACAGCGGAATCTGGGGTGAGCCCGTGTAGCGAATGGACCAGCTTCCAGGCCAAGTTGTAGGAGTCCATCATCGACACGTTCATTCCTTGGCCAGCCTTTGATAGTGTCAGTCGATGTTTGCGCTAACTATTAGGCTTGGGCACATACCTTTGGACTATGTGTATGACAAGCTTTCCAAGTAGAATAATCAGTATGGTTCCTTAGCAGTAGAACCGATGCACTCACCATCTCCTGCAATGAACACACGACTTACCCCCCGCGAGTCCTTGACCGCGAAATGATTCGTGACTCTCTGTCCAATCTGATACGCAGCCCACCAATCGATAGCCCCTTCTGTCTTGGGACGGATATAGTACGGTTTGAACGCCTCTGCGGCATGACGAAAAATGGACTCCTGCGTGACCTTGCTCCTGCGTGCGCGCGCATCCTCCTTGGACTGGCTACCCATCCCATCGACTGGCTGCTGATCGTCTTCGGGGGCAGTCTCCTTCGGGACCTGGACATACAGACGGGTCAAATAGTCCCCGGTTGCGATGCGCTCCCGCGGGATGACCATGACCGATCCCGCCGGCGAGTGAATAGCACAATGTCTTCGGATATCAGGGAAGTCCGTGTCAATGACCAGGTCAACAACGCCCCAGATGTGATCCATTGACTCGCCCACCAGCTCCAGATTCATGCAGCGCCGGACGACAGAGTGAGCACCGTCCGCACCCACCAGGTGCTTCGAGCGTACTGTGCGACGGACCCCGTCGGCCTCGATCTCGGCTACGACAGGGAACTCGGCATCCCCCGCCTCGTCGATCTTTACGTTCAGCAGCTTGGTGTTCCGCTGCACCCCGCGTTTTGAATACCGGAGCAGATCTGTCTCCAGAATGCGCTCGATACGGCCCTGGTGGATTGTGACTTCGTGTTGAAACCGGGCAGGTACTGCCACGTCCGGGACAATCGATGTCCGCTCGATCACCTTCTCCTTGTCGTCTGACGGGTTCCAGAAGGCAACCTCTTCCATGTGACACCCATCGTTGATGATCTCATCGGAGATACCGAGTGATTTGAGCACTTCCAGCGTGCGGGGTTGCAGGCCATCCGCCTGGCCCGATTTGAGCGTGCCAGGCTTTGCGTCAATGCAGAGTAGGGAGTCGTCGCTGAGTCCATATCGCGCCAGCAGCAAGTTCAGCATGAGGCCTGCCGGACCGGCGCCGACGACGACCACCTCGTATTTCTCGGGATCATTGCTGCGTGTGAATGGCGGGGAGAGACGGGGGAGAGGAGGATCAAAGGAAGGCAAGACGCGCAGTTCGCGCGACGAAGCGGCGAATTCAGTGAAGACAGGCATTATGGCCAGTGGACCAGGTCGTTTGAGTATGGTGTTGTCATTGAGGTGCTGCTGAGGATATGGAAGGTACTTGTAGAACGATAAATAGAGTGCAACGCAAGGTCACATCCCTTGCTCAAGGCGGCGCATGGTCTCATTGCCAATTTAGGTACTACTAGAGTTTCTTCGATCTCCCCGGAAATCCCCCTTCCCGAACGATGGGCGTTTTTGATCCACTCACAACTTCATCACAACAAGCATCATTTGAAAGTCCATTCCTTCTGTGGATAAGTCTGGCTCAAAGGGTGAAGATCATGCTGACAAATTGATTATCCGAATCTCACCAATTTCAGGATCGTCCTCTGCACAAACAGCCAAGACTATCCCGTTTCACCCGTAAATCCGAATAACCGCCAACTGATACTCTGTACCTAGTCTGCACAGTGTACACCCCTTGATCGGCCTACAGATCCTCACAACATACTCGACCTAGTCCCGCTAACTTCACCCGCCTTCCCCTCCATCGCCCGCTGCACCTGCTCCTTCGAAGCCATCAACCAAACCTCATCATTCCCATACCGGTATCCCCGGTTCTGCTCCTCCCCCCAGATGCCCTTATACTCATCCTCCCAGAAATACAACGCATTGCCCTCATGGAACCCGCAGAGTATCACAGCAGAGGGCTCGCCGCTGCAGCACGCACATCCATCGTAATTCACCGGCCGCAGCGTCACGCTCCCCTCATCCAGCCCCCTCCTCAACTGCTCCTGGCTTGATACGTAGAGTTTCTCCATCTCCGGCTCGAGGCTGACGTGCAGCAGGCGTGTCTGGAAGGACGCGTGCTCGCGTGTGCACCGGTCCGCGGCTCTGAGGAAGAGGCGGCCCAGGTCGTCGAGGGAGCCGGTTCCTTCGTGGGCGGGACTGGCGTTGGATCCATTGGTTGACTTAGGTGTGAGGGGGTATTGCTACTTTGTTGTTGTGATCGTGATGAATAGAGGACCCGTAGATGCTGTGGTGTTCGAGGATGTTTACGAGGCTCTACACTGACAGACGCCGACGAGGCTGAGATCAGACTGAATTGACTGACTGACTGGCTGACTGTGATGGCTGCCTGGTTGACGTGGCACACATCACGTGCACGGATTCTGGAAAGATGAAAGAAGTCTTTGGGCATACATAATTCCTAAAAAGGCGCTCTATTCAGAGTTTCATAGTGATTCGGCACTGTCCATATGGTAGCCACTCTGTCCAGAACTACTGTATGGTATTACGCTATGTAAGAGTTCCTAAAAACTTAAGTGATCAAGGCATGGTATCTGTCAGCTAATTAGGGTTCATCAATGAACGTATAGAAATAGAGACTCTGGTCCTATCCAATTCGATATTTTTACGGAGTACATGGTTGACAGTCACCTTGTTGGCATATAAAATAACATACAAACTACAAAGCAATGCCTCGGATCACCCTCCCACACAGCTAAACTATACGCCAGCTTCTGAGCTTTGTGGCTTCTGCTTTCAATGTGGGGGAAGTGAAACAAGACAGTTGATCGTACGGGGAATTCCCGGTCCTCCAAGTTCATCATCCATGACTGATTGAGATATATCCGGAAATCCATCTTCTACGCACTCATCCCTTGCTGTCTGTATCTACCAGGGGTAACTTGATAAGGACAAGGCAAGAGATCATTCCCACCCCTGCAATTGCTGTCAAGATGTCCCGGATTTACGCAAGCAAGACCACCGCATCTCCCCGGCCTATTACCTTGATGATGATCAGTCTCGGGGTATTCCCGATCAGCCTGAAGAAAAGCCCCCCTGGAAGCGCATGCGGCGTGCACGGTTTGGAGCGCTGTAATTCCGCGCTGATCCGAGTCTGACAGATGCTGTGTGACGCGCTCTCTCCAAGACTGAGTTTGCTAGATCTGATCTTGGAAGTCAATCATGGTCAAGATGTCTCACGTGGCCCTGGAGTGATACTGATCCTTCTGGATTCAAGTTCAACGCTTCAGAACTATAGGCGCCTATTTCCCTGCTCACTTTGGATAGAAAACCCAAATCACACAGCTTGTACCCCGCAAAATGGAGTCGCTCGTCGAACCATCCAGATTTCAGATCCAAGGGGGAATCCCGAAACGGGAGCGCGTATCCACCTCCGCAGCGAGAAAATAACTCTGTACTCCACCCTTGCCTGTTGAGACAAGCTATGGCGAAAGGGGCAAAGATACCCAGCGTTTTCGTAGGCCAGGACTCAAGAGTACATGGGGTTCCTCCCCGAGCATCCCTCGCGAAAACGGATCATAGATACACCTGCCCCTCCACCGGGAAGAGAATGGGGGAGCTTCGTGCCTTTGGCATTGGGGGTTTAGTAACTGTATAGCGTTCGGTAGTCTAGTGTGGGTTTGAAACCAGACTGTCCGGGAAGTCAGTTCTCCGCGTCTTTCGGCCTAGGTGGAGCCGTGACTTGTTTTCGTGTACTGGGTTGGCTGGTATAAAGTCTGCAATCGTAACTTGAGACTAGGGTCTTGAAGGGTGACTCGTCAGAATCCAGTCTTGACTTTCTCTTCGCATATATCGATTTGCATAGAATTATCGTTGAAGGATCTTCTGTTGCCATCCTCCTCATTTCTTCTCTCACAACCTCTCCCAGCATGGTGAAACGTTTATTGTCTGGTGGCGGAGCTACCAAGGAAGAAGCAAAGCCTGTCAACAAAAGATGGATTTTGGAGGACCGGTCTATCGATGAAGCCCGTCCTCTGAGAGTTGTGGTCATTGGGTCAGGTATCTCCGGAATCATATCCTCCATTCGATTCAGACAGAGAATTCCCAACGTCGACATCTGTGTATACGAAAAGAACACAGATATTGGAGGCACGTGGTTCGAAAACAGGTATCCAGGCTGTGCATGTGGTAAGTCTCATGAAGCTATTTCTAACTCTAAAAAAAAAAAGAACAATAGCGCCGTGGATAAGTGTCGGATGGATGCTTATGGTGTCTGTAGATATCCCAGCGCACACATATCAGGCCACATTCGAGCCCAACAAGGAATGGTCGACGTTCTATGCTGCCGCGCCCGAGATCCACCGGTACTGGAAGCGCGTGGTCGAGAAATACGACTGCATGAAGTATGTCAAGCTGAAGCATCAAGTGAGCGGTGCCGTCTGGGATGATCAGAGGAGTAAATGGCAGTTGAAAGTCCGTTTTCCTTACAAGCCTTGCCTGGGAGCAAATGCTGATGAGGTTCTGCAGGTCCAAGATCTCGACCGTGGCTCAGAGTACTCAGACGAATGCGATGTATTGATTTCAGCAACCGGGGCTCTAAACTCATGGAAATGGCCCAGTATCCCGGGGTTGCATGATTTCAAAGGCAAGTTGTTGCACAGTGCCGATTGGGATGAAGGATATGACTATAATGTAAGTCATATCAGGAGATTCAAGCAGACGCGGAAGCTGAGTATCTTCTCAGGGCAAACGAGTCGCCGTGATCGGAAACGGCTCCAGTGGAATTCAGATCGTCCCTGGGATGCTACCCAAAGTCACGCATATTGATCACTATGTCAGAGGTCGAACGTGGCTCTCGCCCACTTTTGCTCGCCAAGAAATTGATAAGCGAGGGGGTGCTGAGCTCGAGAACTGTATGCTGTGTCTTCAGCTTCCCTGCCGCAGATACTAACAGTATGAATAGTCTCGTTTACTGCTGAAGAAATCGCGAATTTCAAGAAGGATCACAGCTCCTATCAGAAGTTCCGCAAAGGTGAGGCCTTACTGAGGATACAGGCAAGGCAAAAACTAATCAATCCCGCAGAAATCGAACTCGAGCTGCAGTCCGTCCACGGAGCGACCCTCCTCGGCACCCCAGAGCAGCTCATGGCCCGCGAGATCTTCTTGGAGAACATGAAGCGACGACTAGCTCGGAAACCCGAGCTCATCGACAGCATGATTCCCTCCTTCCCTCCAATCTGCCGCCGACTCACTCCCGGACCGGGGTACCTGGAGGCGTTGACAGATGACAAAGTGGACGTCATCACAAGTGAAATCGTCAAGGTCGACGCGGAGGGGATCATCACCGCCGATGGCAAGCATCATCCCACGGACGCGATTGTCTGCGCGACTGGATTCGACACGAGCTTTACGCCTCGCTTCCCCATCGTTGGCCGTAACGGCGTTAGCCTAGCGGAGCGGTGGCAGAAGACGCCCGAGACGTATCTCGCCATGACAGTTGACGGGTTCCCGAACTACTTTGTCTGTCTCGGGCCGAACGCGGCTCTCGGAGAGGGTAACCTGTTGGTCCTGATTGAGAAGGAGATTGACTACTTCACGCTCTGCGTCCAGAAGATGCAACGTGACAACATCCGCGCGATGAGCGTCAAGAGGGAGGCAGTGGAGCAGTTCACCCGATATAGCGACCAGTACTTCTCACGGACTGTCTTTAGTGAGAAGTGCCGTAGCTGGTATAAGGGGGGGACAGAGGATGGCAGAATCACAGCCCTGTGGCCCGGTGAGCTCTCCTGGATGGAATTTTGATATTGCCCCTTGTTCTTCTTGCTGACAACAATCCAATCCAGGCTCCTCGCTTCATTCAATGAAGGCATTTGCGTATCCCCGATGGGAAGATTATGTCTACGACTATGTGAATGATAACCCGAGCGGTTGGCTTGGAGACGGTTGGACAGAGAACGAGAAGCTCAAGAAGATCAATGTGGATTACCTGGATGATAATGTAGTTGATTTCCCCACAGCTGTCATTGCTAGACAAATCGAGGGTTGATATTCCTTTGGGTCATTGTTGACGAGCACCTTTTCTTTTTTTTTTTTTCCATTCGTGTACATAGATAGGTACATTCTGTTTACTGATAACAAATGTCAATACAATGTTGCATATTCAAGTCTTTCTGATCTCTATCCGTAATCTGTCGCTTTTTCATACTTCCTCACACTCCGCAGGAGGATGTAGCAGAATGACTAATCGGCTGCAGAAGCAGCAGAGTTCACGCTATCCCTGATACAGAATTCGGTAAAGCCCGGGGTTGAATAATTGCCGGACTCCGAAGTGGAGACTCGGCTATTTTGTCCAGACTGGCAGGCGCGGGGGTGTACCGGTATCGTCAAAGTTGTAATTGCAATACGTTTATACCCGGATATTTTATTTTCGTGACTCTGTCTTTCGGGCCTTCTCTCAGTAGTAGTCAAGGGCTTACCGAGTAAGGCAACCTCAGGCAACCTCAGGCAACCTCAGGCAACCTGCACTATCCTGTATAAAGTACAGCGCAGCGCATACCGGGTATAACACACGGAGTCTGGTCTGGTACCGAACTTGCATGGCCATGATCATCGTCTGGATGGGTCCTGGAGTTTCTCCGAAGTCTGTAGTATGTAGACTGTACACAGTAGGTTAGAAAGGATCGCACTTGTTGACTGTGAGAACTTAGAAGTATCTATGTCGGCGTCGCTAACAATTGATCATCGGATCCTCCACAGTCCTAGTCTTTAGTCTATACTAACAGCGATGACAAAGCAGTTTCTTCTCAGCGACATACTTCAAGCACATTCCGATCGCTTATCTCCTTCCGAAACGCATTGGCCAACCAAACACAATGTACATTTTAGCACCTCCATGCCCGCTAAGATGCTTTTTCTTCCCTCTCAAGAGCTACCAATAGAGTTTGAATCTCAATCCGGTTCTCATAGGCTCATAGCAGATATCCTCTCAATTTCCATGGTAAACTGATGGACTGGAACCGAGAGTCCGAGACCCTCTCTTGCTGCTCTGCTAGTTCCTTTATAGTGTCTGTCGTTCATCCTTGCTCTCCCCGGATCCAGTCTCCTTCTGTCCCCTCCCCCCCCCCTTTTAGTTACCCCAGACTTCCCAGACTTTCTCCCCATTCCTCCTCAGCTTCTCCCCGATGCACGCCATACCGCCATCATTATGAGGCCCGACACAGACAAACACTTTCGTTGCACCATCTGTCAGCGAGGTTTCACGCGCATTGATCATCTCAAGAGGCATCATCTTCGACGTACGTTTGCTTTGGCCTCCCCGCCCCCATTGGGAGTCTATCTCCCTTGCAGCTCTGTTCCCACATCCCCCTCCCCCACTAACAAAAACCTGCAGCCTTTGACGCGCTTTTGCTAAGATGGAAATAACCTCCAGATTCTGGAATTAAGCCGTACTCCTGTGTCTTCTGCAATGATTCCTTTGCTCGATGGTATGTGCTTTGCTGCAACCTCTATTTCATTGTTGCTCCAAATTTCTAACGACTTTCATCTGACTGTGCTACAGCGACAATCTTCGCGATCATTATGCAGACTGTCCCAGGCGCGGCGATCGAAAAATACCCGAGACCGGACAGCGAGGGAGGAGGCGGCATGCTTGTCAATCGGTAATCCGACACTGAAGCTTTTCCATCAAGTCTCACCTAACGAATCCTCGCTGCTTAGTGCACGTCGATGAAACTGCGTTGCGACGGATCGGATCCCTGCAGTTCTTGTCAGAAACGGGGGATCGAGTGCAACAATGATCGCAAAACACAAGTCTTCAACCCGGGAGAGGATGCAGGTAGGCCAGGCGTCCCAGACTGGATCATGTTGCTGCTGGAATTGGGGCTCATTCTAGTAGATTTCATGACACCGAAGCGCGAAGACCATGAACAATCGTCGGATCGTGGATCGATTAAATTCTTGCTGAATGGCGGCACCGACAGTTTTACCCAACAGTTCCTCCTTCCTCCGCGCAGCGATCGAACACGCAGCCTCGAATACCACAACAAGAAGAATCTCGAGGAAGCGGAGAGTTCAATTCTTGGTTATGAATTGAAGGGCGGCCGGGCAGATTATGCGCCGACCTTCATCGAGTCTGACGCTGCTACCCTCACCTTCTTCCAAGATACCTTTATCGACTTCTTCAACGGTCCTTTTGGCGATCCACATAAGCTACTTGACAACCCCTTCGCGGGGGAGGTTGCATATCATGCCGTCATTCCGCCCGGGCAGGACGCCAATCTGACCTTTGCCACTCCGCAGCTCAGCCATGAACCTGAGCGGCCATTCGCCACGGCGATGATCCAGGCGATCCTCACAAGGGCCTGGTCGGTGCCTCTGGACGCAAAGGCGCAGGGGGAATTGTCGACGAATCTGCACTTTCTTCTGACCACGGCCCGCATCCGCAAGTTTGTCTCCATTTATTTCAAGTACTGGCAGCCGAGCTGTGCGTTCTTGCATCGCGCATCGTTTGATCCCGAAGTGGTCTCGCTACCACTGCTGACTGCCGTCGCCTTCATGGGTGCGATGTACTCGACTGATGAGCGTGAAGCCTATGTGGCAAAACGAGTGCTGGACTTTGCCGAGTTGTTCATCTTCTCCAGCGATGTCTATGCATCCGAAACCGAAATTAGCGCCGCCTTTAGCGGTAACCGATGTCTAGAGGACGAACCGAACGATTGGATGCATTTCCAAAAACTACAGAGTGGTTTTCTTGTTGTTGTCGTACAGTACTGGGCGGGTAGTCGGGTGTCACGCCATCGTGTGATGGAGCACAGGTTCAGCGAAGTGATCAAGGTACGTTTGGTGATACCATTTACGCCTTGGTCCAAAATCATCTAACCGATTGAGTAGGTCGCTCGCAGAATCGGTCTTGTCAAGTGTCGGCATCTGCCCCACGATCCAATGGATGAGTTCTCCTGGATCCAAAAGGAGTGTCGTATTCGGTAGGCATCCTGGCCCCTTAGAGACTCGTGCGGCTTTTGTTGTACTTGGGCTCACATCTACAGTACCATGAACATCATTTCGCTTCTTGACTGTGCATTCTCTTTTTACTCAAACTACCCATGTCGCCTCTCACACACAGAGATGGCATGCGACTTCCCATGCCAAGAATCCGTCTTCGATTCGCATCACCCCTTCGTGGAACCGAGTTTCCAGTTTGCTCGCGATATCCCCATCTCGGAAGCTTTCGAGTACCTGTTCGACAACTCGGCTAGTGAGGATCCCTCACAGTCACACATTGACTCTCTCTCAACAATGACTATCTTCGACATGTTTATGTTGATTCATCGTATGTTCTCGTCTTTTTCCTCTTTTTTTTACAGAGCCGGGCCGCCAGCTAATACGTCACAGTCCTCTACGCCTTCATCAACACACATATGACCCTCCTCGCTCCCCTAGTCCGCAAAACACAAATCCCCCGGTCGAAACGGTCCTCGTCGACAGCTACCTCCAAATCCAGCCACAGCGCGATCCCCGAGGACTCCACGTTAGCCGCCATCCGCACCGCGCTCTCCCGCTGGCGAGACCACTGGGTCACGCTCCGGAACACCGTGTCCAGCCACGAGTGGGCGTCCATGGGCTTCTACAAGAACGGCTACAACTTCTGGCTGGTGTCGCAGCTGCTGATTACTAAGAAGAAGAGCGTGGACGTCGTGATGCAGATGGAGGTGAAGTGCGAGGATAAGCTGGAGAAACTCAAGGTGCTACTCCTGGACGAGAGCGATTGAGTTTACCCCCTTCCCCATCAACTCCTGCCAGGGGCAGGATGAGTTTGCATTTGACATGCAACATGATGAATTGACCAGGGATTACGGAACGATCATATATTAGGTGTTTAGGACTATGGGACTTGGACCTAGCGGAACTTTCTTCAATACACTCACGGCAATAGAAATTCCTTCCATGGATGACTACGGTTACTAGAGTAACATCTTTCTTTCTACGAATCCTATCACGCATGCCCCAGCTTCCAACACATCTCAATATTTGTCCCCGAGTCCTCGTCCACATACGCCGGTGGCTCCGCAAACGTAACATTCTCCCCGTGCAGCTCAGCCACCTTTCCCGTCAGCGACGCATCGTTCACGAGCCTCGCCACCGCCTTCGTGGCCGTCTCCATGGGCGTCAGGATCATAGACCGAAACAAGGCCGGATCAGGCGCGATATTCGTTTCTGGAGCCAGGTCAGCCATTTCCACCGTGTCCACAATTCCATACATTAACGGCTCAAGCAAACAGGGAGACATGGACTCACCAATAATAGCCGGCGCCAGCGCATTGATCTGGATCTGCTCTTCCCCCAGCGGCCGCGCCAGCGCTCTCACCAACCCAATCACGCCGCTTTTCGTGGCCGCGTACACCGGCGCAATCGGGAAGGGGTAGATACCCGCGTTCGAGGCCGTGCAGATAATACTTCCCCTGGAGGCCACGGCTGGGGAAGATCCACCAGGCCGGGGTGTGTTTTTGGCCACGTAGTGGGCGGCGAGGTTCACCGCTGCGAAGATCGTCATGTTAGTTATCTCCTACTTACTCCCAGTAAGGAGATAAAACGGAATCGAAAGCGCAGGGGCCGAACATACTATAGATCACGCCGACGAGGTTCACGTTCAGCGTCGCCAGGCCCGGTTTCGCGGGTTTCTCGTCGTGGATGCCGGCGAGCAGATTCCCCGTTTCGGTAATGCCGGCGTTGGCGAAGACGATGTCCACATGGCCCTGTTCGGCGTGGACTTTCTCGAAGGCGGCCGCCTGGCTCTCCCATGAGGAGACGTCGCATTGCTCGAAGCTGAGGCTTGCGGAGGGGAATTCGGCGCGGAGCTGTGCGAGGACGGCGGTGCCGTTGTTGATGTCGAGGATGGTGATGTGGGTGTTTGGCTGGGTGGCGAAGTGGCGGGTGATTCCGAGGCCGATGCCTGAGGCGCCTCCTGTTTGGTTTGGGTGTTAGTGGGTGAGTGTGTTTATTGTTATACGTGGGTTGGTTTGTTTTGGTGTGTAGGAGATGGTGGTGGACGAACCGGTTACGATGATGCTTCGTTGGGGGGTCATTGTGATCTGCTCTGCTTGTCTGCTGTGATCCTGGTCTTGCTATAGCTCTCTCTCTCTCTCTCTCTCTCTCTCTCTCTCTCTACTTCATGTTGACTTGTTTCTATCATATCATGCCTATTTTCTCCATTTCCTCGAGCCTTCACGGCGGATTTGGGCCGAACCCCGCATATTCAGGCCACTAGTCCCGTGTTTATACTCCACTGTGAACTGTCATGTATGTGGAGACGGGGTTTTCCCGGTGCCCCAGCCCAGCTGACATATCAAGAGATCCGCAGATTTTAATCCGTAAGGAGTTGGATCGAGCTTCTCACGGGGTCGGTGGGAATTCTGGAAAATAATGTCCGACCGTCGGCAATGGATAGCTAAACACAGGAAGCTGACGGAAAGGACTACCGTTGAGGCAAGGATGGTGGATTCAAACAATGCAGGATAGAGCAACAACAGCTTGGACAATAATCCCTCTCAAGGCTGCCAATGAACCAGTTAATTGATATACCCATATTTCCGTGCGTTCGTAGTTTAGTATACTTTTGGTGCATGTTGAGCCTATCAGGTTTTATCGGCAGGAGACATAAATTCCCCTGGTTGTAGCTAGATTTAAGAGCCTGTTTCAGTCGTCTGCTCAGTAGTACTCGATTATCTACTTAGCTTCTGTATGCCACAGACCAGGAGATCTCGGTTTGCTATGTAATCTCTTCTGGCAGGCATATGATTTTATCTACCTGGTAGACCGATGGATGGCCGGTAGATAGTTCATTGAAATAAGGAGGTTACATTTATAGTGTTTTTCATCCTGCAGATGACTCTAGATGCACTTGACGTCCAGCTGGCTCTTGCCGACCTATTTGAGTGCTAATTAGCAGGTGTTGGCTTGACATGATGCACGGAACTCACGTTAGTGCAAACGAAGTCATTCGTGTCCTTTGGGCTAACAACGTCGATGTTCTCAGCGTAGATGTCGAAGCAGACCTAGATAAAACATCAGTGTTGGAGCTTTTAATTTATGCCAGGTACTGCAAAACCCATATCTGGGCTGGAGCACGCAATCGTGCCGAACTTGGGGTTGTATCGTCCGGATGTTGTGCCCTCGAAGTTCTTGAAGTGGATGTCTGAGATGGTGAGGTTGCTCTGTTTTTTATTTTGGGTTAGTTGTGGTTGGACTCTTGCATTTCTGGCTAATAGCAGGGAAAACGTACAGAGAACTCGTTGCAAAGAGTCAGGTGCTTCTGTCCGTAGCACTGAGTCACCTCGATTGCCCAGTCAACATTCTCAATGTACATCTGGTTGTAGGTGACGTTCTTCACGGATCCCAGACCACCGCCACCCTGCAGATCCTCGGACAAGGCGGATGAGACACCTAGACCTTGATGCGAGCACCATCCTATGGGAATTGTCAGTCTATGCCGATATCAGTGAGGTAGCAACCACTTCTTACAGAGGCATTGAACATGGAGATGTCATAAACGAGGATATTCTATACGATGTCAACCTCGGCCCTGTACTGGCCCAGAGAGCCAACGGAAATGCCGTGAGATCCATTGCAGTGGAGGTTCTGGACGGGGATGTTGGTGCTATTGGGCTTGAAAGACACGCAATCTGGCCAACCGTAAGCTCCACTCTCTGACGCAATGTTCATGCAGCAATTTCATACCATCGCCGTTGTTGATGACGGAGTTCTGGATCACAATGTTGTTCGAGCGGTATGTGTCGCTGTTGTTCAAAGTCAGAATCAACAATCCCATACACCATCTTTCGGTGTTCTTGGGTGTGTTATCGTTGTTGCTGTATCCGGCAATATCGATGCCGTCGAAGATCACGTCCGAAGAATGGGCCACGAGCTAATACCACTAAGGAGAGTAGCGCAGCTTCAGAGGGCCGATGGATCCTCACTTCAACTCAATGATGCCGAACAAGATTGGGCGAAGGATGAGCTTGTCCTCCGCATGTAGGTCATACTAGACTTGTCCATTGCCATCCAGGGTACCTCCGCCATAGACATTCACATCCTCGCCACCCAGCTGGAAGAAAGTGGTTGCATTCTAGAAGCCATGCTTGAAGGCGTTGGCCTGCCGGTAATCGGTGTCATCGGTAAATTTAATTTTGCCCAGAATTTCTGTTTCAATCAGACATGAGTATCAATTAGCTGATGCCTCTTCTGAAAAATTGGATCTCTACCTAGATCAATGTTCTTCAAGAAAGTCATATCCAAAGCGGTACCAACTGTTCTCCTTGTCGGCATCAAACACAACCTTGCCACCATGATTGCACTTTCTCAAAGCCTGCAAAATGTGCTTGGAGTCACCCTTGCCATTGCCATAGCTAGCGACATGGCATGTCCTCCCACAAGGGTGGCTAGGGGATAGAGGCCGGAATGGGTGGTTCGGCTTGCACGCATCGTTTCTTGAGAGGGAGAAACTTTCAGCAGTGGTGCTGAGCGAGAGGAATAAGCTCAATGCCTACGTGGTGCTATGCGAGAGCTTCATCGTGGTACATGAGGACAGAAATCCAACGAGGGCTTGAGGCTGGCTTGGGACAGATTTCTGAGCAAGAAAAAGAGCTGTTCAACCCCTGCACCGGGAGGGCGAGCTTTTATACACTTGATCGACCCCAGATTTCCAGAACAAATCATGAGCTATGATGCATATCCCCCCAACTCCAGACTCTGTGGAGTGAGGGGGGTGGACACCGTACTTTATCCGCATAGTACCCCAGCGGAGCAATTGTGGGGATTGGGGAAGCTCATGATGAAGCTGGGCATGTGTCTCTCTTGTGACTTGAGTAACCCCAGAAAATGGATAAATGCTAGGGAATTAGCTAACCGACTCCTCTTGGCTTGCGAGCCCTATGCTGAAGATGTGGCTAGCCTTGAGATTCTGAGATTCCCTGATTGAAGGAAAAAAGATATGGACAATCCTAGTCGGAGTGAAGCTATTATTATTAAATGTCCGACGCATACAAAGTACTTCCTCCACAACAAAGCTCAACTTCGGTTGTAGAACTCCTCAGATGGTGCTGTTACCATCCAAAGTTCCAACTATGCATATCTAGCCTAAGCCAGCAGGATTCAGTGTTTACATTGAATGAACAGCGTGACTGTGGCGGGCAGGCAGTGTATAATTAGGATAGGAATAAAGACAGGAACAAATGACTCACTTGGAGGCGAGGTTCAACGATGTCCCACCGCATTATATATATGATTTTTCCTTAGTTTGATTCAGATATTCTACCCATGTTATCGTTTCACAACAGAGATAGCTCAGGTAATTTGACTTATAGGGTTGGAATGGAGAGACAGAGAGAAAAGGGGGCAAGGAAAAAAAGTTGGGGGAGAAAAAAAGAAATGCACAAGAGGGGAATTGAACCCCCGATCTTCGCATAACGATCTTTGGTCCCGTGTGGGAGATACAAGTGCGACGCCTTAGCCACTTGGCCACTCGTGCTTTCCTTGATCTGCGAAGGCAACTTGAAAACTTATGTCCTTAACTGTCTTTTTGATAACTACGAACAGACATGGAATTCAATTATTGTCGATTTTTCGAACAATTATAGTTAATAGATTTTGATATGTGGAGCACTGGCAAACAAGACACTTTTCTGGTTTGCAAACTTATTGTCATCCGCAACTAGTCGGTTCGAGATCACCACACTGGGCACCCATATGCAGGTCAACGAGCAGTCATCGAGCAGTCATCGTGCAGTGTCTTCGGGCATCAAAGATCATTGGACAATTAACTTACAATTATCTAGCCAGGGGCACAAGGCACAGCGCTTTCCAACTAACCATTCAACTCGTATGCAAAAAGTGGTATATACAATAGTGCGCGCCGCATTTCTTGATCAGAAGAAGACAAACATCCCCACCGTCTCCAATTCTATCGTCGATCAATTTTCAACTTCCCATGGTGCACCAGCAACAATCTGAAAGAACCCTGAAATTTTCTAAGTAGACTTCTCAACAGCAGCTTCAGTCTTGGCGCTGACGGACTTGGCCGAGCCGACCACCCCCTGCTCCATATCCTTCAGAGCTTCTTTTGTCGATCCTCCATCCAAGCTACGGCGGTACATTAAGATACGGCTGACCTGGACGACACCAACGCATCCAAGGAAGAAGTTGACAGCGGCGAGCCTAGTATGCGCGGTCAGTATGCAGGAAGATCCCATAAGGGAAGAGAGAGAGTTTCAGAGCGGATTGGGGACCAACAAGATGTTACGGGGCTTGATAATAAGGCACCAACGGGTCCAGATAGCACCGGTAGCCATCAGCGCAGCATTCTGAGTGAGGGAGAGCTTCTCCGCGGGACGACTGAAATCGGAGATACCCGCGATGACCAGAGCCCACTATTCGAAATCAGAAACGAGTCAGCCATGTATCCTTGATTCCAGAATTTGTAGCTTTTCATGTCATTTGGCGTCCGAAGCGAGGAGTCTTTGTGGAATGTTGGATGCGATAGGAAAGATAATGTTTGCGGATCTATACCTTCATGACAGGGGCCCTGAGCGATCGAACACCTCATGTTAGCATGCAGCCTAGAAAAGAGAGGCGTATACGCCAATCACTAGGATTCCTCAAAGTAACATACCAGAAGTGAACGGTCTTGAGGCCAACAGGGCTGTTCCACATACGCTTGAAGGCGCTCTGTTGCTCGGATGACGCAGAACCCGCATCCGCGCTCTGGAAACGACGTCCCTGGGCACCAGGCCGACGGAAGGGACCATAGGCATTGCGGAAGCTAGCCCGAGCATTCTGGAAGAAGCGCAATCCAACACGCGAAGAAGACATATTGACGGATATCTTGTGGGGGCGGGTTTGACGACTGGGTTACACCGGCGTTTGGTCAAGGGAATGATGGTGGTTTAATTGAGTGGAGAGGTTTGGTTGAGTGGAGAGGTTCTGTTGAGTGGAGAGGGGGGGAGAGTTCTTCCCAAGCGTTAAATCGATATCCTAGCGTGAGCGCATGCAGCTCCGAAGAAAATAAGACGAGAATTGGATCGAAAGAGAAGCAACGAAGTTTCCTGGACGATATATCAGATAGCTCATTCCCCCGACGTCGGCGGCCTTGTTGGGGATGGCGGCTCGTCTTCCGGCTGAGGTAAGCGGTGACATTACGCTTGACCGTATTGGTCTACAACTCAACCTCCGGCGGAATCAGCATCCAAAGTGCTTGCAACCACCCCTCGTCGGTCTCTGGTGCCTTACATCCCCAATTGATACCCAGCACCCTTCCTTGCCGGTGCGCAGAGTCAGTCCGTGTGCCAATTAATTCTCTTCCCATCGTCATCGAAATCCTCCGCCGCCATGTCCTCCAAATACGCTTTCACCAAAGGCCTGAAGGAGCTCCGCTTCCTTTTCTGCCAGACCTCCGAGCAGAGCGCGGCCACACGGTGAGTCTCGGTCAATTGCTTCGGGTGGTTCTACCGGCTCCATTGCTGATCCGTGCGGGTTTCCTCGTCGTAGGTCGTTCTTGCAGCGCGCATATCCCACCATGAAGAAACACAACCCTCAGACACCCATCCTTATCCGGGAGGCGGCGGGCACCTCGCCTCGAGTATATGCTAGATACGGTACAGCAGATTCCTCCAAGCGGGAACGCGCCTTATTGGGATAGTCACAGCTAACTGGGCTACAATGAACAGGATTCGGAAAGGAGAAGCAGGAGGGATTGTCCGGTATGTCTTTGACCTCAGGCATTCGTTTGAATCGCGCTATAACTGACCTCTTTCTTGAATTTAGGTCTTTCGGACCAGCAGATCGAAGAGAAAATCACTCAGCTTGTCAAGGAGACTTCATAGTGCTATTGCCACGCTCGTATTTCCAATATCATGCACCCGTCTTTTCCCAGCTATCTATCATTGTATCTATAGATGAATTGAAAATTCCTTCAACCACGTTCAGCCTGATGCAATCTTAGTGAGATCTTATTCTTATTTCAAAAAACTGCCTATTTCACTACAGAGAACTACTGTTGCCTACGTCGCCAAATCTGTACTGCGCCCAGCTCATGCTCCCCTCCTTCAGCGTCCAGAGTCTCTTCCCAAGGTCATCTCCCGCAGCGCCAGCTCCGATATGGATGGGGAGCAGATGCTCGAAGCTTGGATGCGCCTGGCGGGCATCCGGCCGCTTCAAGAGGTCAATCATGGCCTGTTCTCGCTCCGCAGGCGGCTTCGTCACGGCATCTTTCATAGCCTCGTCGAAGCTGGTAGTATACGGCAACGGCTTGGGGTTCCCCCAGGTGAACTGCAGATCCCGCAGGTTGTGCACTGCCATGCCCGACACGATGATCAGGATGTTCTCCTCGCGGAGCTTAGCCACCGCTTGCCCGAGCCGGTAGTGCTGCGCGGGGTCTTCGGTGTTGAAAAGCGAAACCTGCACAATCGGGACATTCAACGGGTTGGAGTCGGGCTCGAAAGCTGTGCATGTTTCCTCTCTATCAGCCCCACGAAGCTCATATCCCGTACACAGCGTGACCAAACTAGACTCACCGCACTTGAAGCTCGCCCACACACCGTGGTCGAGGCCCCTCTTGACGCCCTCGGCTTTGACACCGGCGTCCTTCAGCGCATCAAGCACCTTGTTCGCAACCTCCTTACTCCCCACATTCGGATACTTCTCCTTATAGTAGTGGCTCGGAAACCCGTAGAAACTGTCACCCCCAAATCAGCATCAAAATCAAACATACCCCACGAGCACCCTCTCTTTCACACATACTCATAGATCAACTCCGTCTTCTCAGCCGTATTCACCTGGATCGTATCCCGTCCCGCCTGCCAATGCGCAGAGAAAACCACCACAGCGCGCGGCTTCACCTTCCCGGTGATCTCGCGGCCGATCTCGCCCAGCTTGCTGTACGCCGGGTGCTCGCGGTCATACATGATATTCGGCTAGCTGCGCATCAGCACAGTCTTCCTACAGAGTTACAGCCTCCCACTCAACTGAGTATCAGTATCAGTGGACCGCGGGAAAATACTCACACCCCCATGACTCAAAAAGTAAATCGGCGTCTTCATCTTGTTGGCACTACTGCTGCGCCGGAGCTGCTCGCTCGCCGAGGCTGAAGCGGACGCGGACGCGGACGCGAGTTCCCGCCGGATAGACGACGCCGCGCTGGGGCTGGCAGAGCCCGCCTGTGAGCCGAAGAGACGGCGGAGACCGAACAGGTTGGCGGGGGTGGTGCTGGCGCTGGTGACTCTGGCGGCGGGGCCGAGGCACAAGGCGATGAGGACAGCGGCGGCGAGGGAGACGAAAAAGAGGATTACGGGGGTGGACAGTTTCTTCTCGGGTTGCTGGTCGGTGGGGGGTGAGGTGGTGGATATAGACATGTACGTGTGAACGAGGCTTGCTGGTCCTGGCCCTATCCTCGTTCTAGTTTCGCCTCCGGAGTATAGATATATATTTCGGATCGGATGGGCGGGACGTGCGAATGAGCTAGATGGTATACTTACTGCGCTGCACGTGTTTCCAAGCTAGTCCGATGGGTAGGTCTATCTGGTAGGTTGAAAAGAAAAGAAAAAGAAAAAGAAGTTAAGTCCTTCAGATCAAGGCGCATTTTATTCTTCCTCGTCTGTTTGCTCTGCTTTCTATACTCATACGGAGTATGGTCATATCTAAGCAAAACGGGCCCATCGGATCGGATGTGTCAGCAGGGGTGCGGAATCGTCCCGCTCTTTGCTTTTTGTTCTTCAGCCTCAGGCTGAGATGATGTGCATGAAGATAGTCAGGATGCAGTTGGAAAAGCATCCAGTCTGACTCAGATGGAGAGTTGGATACTGTGATAGTGTAACTCGGTTGTGCTATTCATTCATAGGGACACAAACTACAGAGAAGCTAAGCGCAAACTAATAATAAGTAAGGAGGACCGTCGGGACAGGATTATTAAGCTCATAGATAATAGTGTAAAGCTGCAATGTAAGTATGTAACATCCATCAATGGTTTATAACTACCCGTGGAAGACAATGCAAGTCAAGAGTGGCCGTAATGACAAAATTCAAAGTTGCTTGGATCATCACATAGTACAGTAGGATCATTAGTGTCCAATGGCAGAGACTTCCTCCATGTCAAAGAAAAAAAAAACAAAAAGTGCATCAACTGGATGTAACTTCGAAAATCTCATTAGGGGTATAGGCATTAAAAGCAAAAAAGTAAGCCAACTTACTAGGCCGAAGAAAACGGGCGAAACACCGTCCGCCAAAAAAAAGAAGAGGGAGCCTAAGAAAAGAAGAGGGCGAGTTACGACGCCGACTGCTGGGGCCGTGAAAGACAGATTGAAATTACATGACCACACAATCGCCATCATTCTGGTTTTGTCGGTTGACAGCGGATCGGGATAGACGAGTCTTCTGCATGCTTGCGCCTCCTTTCTTAATATCTTCGAGACGCTCACGGGCCTTGGGGAATCCTTGGGCTGTTGACGCAAAGAAGGATTAGTACCAAGAACAAGAAGTAAAAGTGAAAGTGAAAATGGATGGAACCTTACCGGCTGCGCGCCAGTACCATCTTTTGGCATCATCAAGATTGGCGGCGACTCCAATACCGACCTCGGTGAAATACCCCATGGCGTACTCCGCCTTGGCCAAACCGGCGGTGGCGGCTTTCCGCGCCCACAGGTAGGCTTCCGTGTCGCTCTGCTGGAGGATACCTTCCAAGCCTGTGAGATACCATCCACTGAGCGAAAGCTCACTCTGGTGTTCGCCCTGAGCAGCTGCGTGCGTGTACCAGAAGATGCTCTGCTGAGGGTCCACGGGGCATCCCATCAGGCCATACTCATAAGCCGCGCCGAGTCGGAATTGAGAAAACTTGTATCCCAGCTCTGCGGCCTGATGGAACAGCTGGCTGGCATACGCCTCGTCCCGGATGACCACGTCATTCTCGGTAGCGTTCGCATACATGAGCGCAAGCTCATGCAGAGCGTGCGGGTTCTCCGGGTCAGCGCGCTCTGCGGCACGCTTCAGCCATGAGATACCCTCCCGGGGGTTTTTAGCCTGGCCCAGAAGGCCCTTGACAAGAATCATTCCCATCTTGTACATGGCGGGGGTATCGCCCAGAGAAGCAGCGCGCTTATACCATTGTACTGCCTTGAAGGGATCCCGTTTCGTTCCACCGCCTTCCTCTTGACCGATCTCGCAGCATACCGCGACTCGATAAGCAGATTGCGCATGACCTTGCTTTGCGGCGGAATGATACAGAGTGAAAGCTTCCTTGGGGTCCACCTGCAGACCCAACAAGCCCTGGCCGTAACAGTCCGCGAGGTAAAACTGCGCGTCGGCAAATCCAGCGGAGACGAGCTTCTTGACAAGCTTCAAGGCATCCATGATGTATCTCTCCCTAGTTCTGGCCTTCATCTTCGCATCCATCCTGCTTTTATCCACCAGCACTGTCGAGGCCTCGACGAGTTTCTGAGCAAACAAGAGCTGGGTTTTCTGATCCGCTGTTTTGTTCCTCACCAGTTGCTGCAGCCGCTCGAGCTCATCGAGAGTTATAGGCGCAGGCCCGGTTTCTTGCTGAACGATGGGTTGAGCCTGAGGCGTCGAGGATGTCGGTGGAATTGGGTTGTTGTCGTATTGCCGCACAGGTGGAGGTTTGGCTCCTTGGTCAAGGCCTGGCCGGAACGGCGCAGGATGATGGGGCAGTGCGTCGGGGTTCTGTTGAGGGTCGTGGGCCTCCATTTCGTCGATCGGTTGTGGCTGCTCATTTGCATACTCAGGTTGGTTTGCCCGATATGGTCGGGGAGGGCCATTGCTGTAGCCGGAACCATTAGGGCCTCGACTTCCCTGCCGCTGGGGATACTGATTCTGCATGGATTCCCCATAAGGATCTGCTGGTCCGCTGTACGTGCGATCCATACTACCTCGTCCGTGTACCGAAGCAGGCGGCGCGTTGCCAGGCAAATCAAAGTGAAATCCGGCATTTTCAAATTGATTTGCTGCAGTAGCCGCACCCATGTTGGGCTGGGACTGAGTATGGTAGATAGCATGAGCAGGATTCGAATTGAACGCTGCGTATTGGCCAGATGATGAAGAGGCAGGATCCATAGGTGGGTTTGGTTTTGGTTTCGGTTGCTCCAGACCTGGTAGATTCTCGTCAATGGCCTTCGCCCCATCAGGAATCGCATCAAAATTCGGCATATCGGGCTCGTCCGCATGCACCGAATTGTAATAGCTCAGCAGTTCATCTGTGTCGCTGTAATCATTCGCAGTGTTGGGGTCCTGATATGTGGGCTGGCCGGGATAGGAAGGTTTGGCGGCGGGAGGCATTGACGAGGCTGAGGAGACTGGCATTGTTGCACTCCGGTTGATATAAGGCATCGGCGGGGGGTCATTAGGGTCGGTGTATGATCGCTCATATGCATCGGATGGTCGCCTTGCGGAGCGTCCTGCGCTGGCCGACCTCACGGGGCCGTCGGGATAGCCGCCTCTCCCTCGACCGGGGGATGTTGAAGGGGGTGGTCGCGGAACTTCACGTCTGCCATTTGAGGTGTGGGGACGTGGCGGCCCTCTTTCAGGTGGCATTTGCCCGTTGAGGTCCATCGCTGTCATGCCGTGTTCGATACTTTGGAGGCCCGGGCCGCCGCGCCCTTGCGGTGGAAACGCGGGGAATGGGTTATCCCAAGCCATTCTATTCTGATCCGACATGGGAGGACGTCCGGCTGGGGGTGTGTCAGCACGTGCTCAAGAAAGACACCCATATGTGCATCCTGTTGACTTACATGGTCTCATTCGGTCCTCCCTGGGAGGAGGTTGTCTTCTATCTCCATAGCCACGGCGACTATCGGAGCCCGGTGGTGGTCGCCCATTGTGCGCATAACCTCGATCGCGGGGTTGTTCCATTGGAGAGCCGTAGCCTCCACGAGGGGGCCGCGGCTGGCCGCGTGAGGGCCCATGCGACCTAGGAACCGCGCGTTCATCCGGGTAGCCGTAACCAGCGTTGTCGTAGCCTCCGTCGCCATAGGCTCCGTAACCGTAATCATTATTGGATCTCTGATCATAAGACCCGTCCGGCATCTGACCTTGAGCGGGGGGACCCCGCGCTGCCGGACGAGGGCCATAATTCCTCACCGGGGGAGGTCTCTGCGACTGAGGAGGGGGGTATGCCATGATGAGGGAAGGACCTCCTATCGGGAAGTGTATTATAGACCGATCGTACTCGTAATTCACTCAGTTTGAGGTGGCTTGGTGTCCCTCGTAACCCCAACTCGCAACACTTGCTGTCGCGCAACTAAACCAACAGGGTGGCTCCTAAAGGAAGATAAATATTAACCATGAGCCAGTCAGTTATACGCGATCAGAAAGCTGAAGTCTGCGTACCAAAGGGATGCGTCCAGACCAGCGGTCACTCGGAGCCGGGTTGGTATCGCGGGACGAACGATGCGGAGTTTAGAACACACAAGGTTTCCGCAAGGGCATGTCAAGAATGTTGCGACTCGATTAAGGATGCGGTAGGATCCAGCGCACTCTGCATCAGGAAAAGGCACATTCTTGTCAGCGGATAGATTTCTTTTTTCTTTTTAATTTTTTTTTTTTTTTTGGCGATCTGTCGCAGGACAGCAAGAACGCGATTAGACGGCCAATGCGAAGAGTACCAAATCAACTCACCACAAACAACAATGCGGCGCCCTTGGAATGGGAATGAAGGAGGGACAGACAATGAATGCAATTGAAAGAGAGAGGGAATGGTAGAAAAAAGCTACTGGTCGTGGAACCGGGATGTGACTAGGAAGCAAAACCCCCCAGATTCCCAAGGATTATAAAGAGAGGGGAGAGGGAGAATAATTCCAGTGACCTCCAATGCTTCTTAGATACGGAGTAGTAGGAGTACATAAAGGTAAGTACTACCTAGTTTGTGGAGAAAGGATGGGCCAAAATCTCCCTTAGTGAATGGTCAAAGGAGTAGGTAATGATAATAGGGAGAATTACAATAACTACCTAATAAGACATGATAGAGTGGACAGATTGCTCAACAGGCGCCACTAATTTCATTTGATGCAGGAAGAGAAGAGCAGCGTAGTATGCAATCAATAAGAGACCCAAGGGACTCTGTTGAAAAGCAGGAAGGATGAGGAAATAATGTGACTCCATACAATTCCAGCAACCAATGTTCTGTCTCCCATGGATTACTACTCTGGACCAGAGTAGGGTATTCTTGGGTATAGGTTCTTATTATTATTATTACCAAGCAGACTGTGACTATCTAAATAGTCGGGTACGGATTCATTTTTCCTCCTCTGGAGCATGTTAGGCAGAAGTCAAACAAATTTCTGATCAATCTATCTAACTAGTTAGTTGCATGCTGTAGGACGCCATATGGTCAACATACTTACTACTTAAGTACCTCTCACTACTGTTCAAAAATTGACACTACGAAGTTCACTGAAACCCGTTTTATCCCTTGACCCACTATGGAGGGAATTGTGGGATTGGGGCCATTATTGTGCATCCGTAATAATATAGGTAGCCTTGGGATTGAACTCTTGACAGACAAATAAACAATCAGACAGAAGATAATCAAATCGTGTGATACAAGGTCTCAGTCAATCTAACAACAGAGGAAAAGACAAAGATTAAATTTAATCCCATCAAACATCACACTTCAAAGTCATAGGTCAGGAGGCCTCCATTTCCTGCATATCACTGGCAGATTTTTGTTGTACTAGAGATCATCAGGGGTCCCTACGGAGTGGGTAGTTCTCAGTCCTTACATAGATCCGAGCATACATAAGTCATAGCCGATGGATGGATAAAGAAAGAACCCTGCTGAATGAGATGATTCTAACTTTCAACTTATAGAGTAGAGAGTAAATCTCGAGTCTCGAGTCATGGGTGCTTTTTCATGACATCAGTACTCAGCGCCCCATCCTCCGAGAGACTGAGACAGTCTTTTTGAAGGTAGAAGGAATCTCCATCGAATCACACAGGGCATGGACAAATCCATTCTGCCCCTAACAAGTAACAAATTCCAAGGGACATCAGATAAAAGCAGAGCAAGTGGAGAACCTGAAGCGGATAGTAGTAGCCTTAGAGAGCGCAAGCCACACTTACTCACTCAGCACAGCCACCAATCATTGCCTGCTGAGCCACACATCGGTCATCGCGCGAATCGCCGATGAAGATGATGTTCCGCCTCCACCAAAGATACCGATGCTTTTCGAGGCTATCTATCTACACCTCGGAAGCCATAACCGCTCCATCAAATTGAACCACCAGAGTCAACAGCGGGTCTCTTTTCTTCCACAAGCAAGCCTAACTCAGCTATTGGCCTTGCACCTCCCCTTCGAAACCGCCCATCCGTCCATCCACCACCCCACCAATCATCCGAGCAATTACGAAACCTATTCCTGATAGTATCATCCCACCATGTCTCGCGTGGGCACCTGGCTGAAGATGCTCGTGGCGTAAGAACCAAACCCCTGCCCCCACACTATGATCCTTGCCCACGCACACTGACCCTCCCATCTCCCACACAGCGGCACGGTGATCTGCGTCGGCGGCCCGGCATTCGTGCAATCCATCCGACCAACCGACGAGGAGCTCTTCAAGCGGTACAACCCAGATCTCCAGAAACGGAGTCTGGAGGAAGGCGACCGCCGCGCGCGGGAGTTCGACGAATACGTCACACGCTTAAAGCAGTGGTCTAAGTCGGACAAGTCGAGTACGTTTTGTTTGCATCTTTCGGGACTCGACTATATCTTCTTTCGAAAGGGGGGTTGGGCTAACTCGGAGGCTTGGATATAGTTTGGTTTGCGGCGCAGGAACAGCAGGAGCAGAAGCGCGCGGAGCTCGATGCGCAACAGAGCCGGTCGAAGGATGAGGCGAGGATACAGCGCGAGGAGATGCGGAAGGAGCTTCTGGGGGAGAAATGAGGGGGTTTTTTCGTGGCTGACGGTCACGCATTGGGGTTTGGGAAAGTGGACAACGGCTGCGGTTGACTTACTCCGTTGAAAAGTGTGAGAGAAATTGTGGATGGGTCACATGTGGTTCTTCGCTCCTATACTTGTATTTTTATACCCCGTCAACAGTCTGGGGGATCACAGAAAGACTTTATGTATATTATGACACTGACATCTACAATCTCTGGAGTTAGGTGGAGTTGGGGCCTGCGTTTGGGTGTGAGAACAATTCGATGGACTCAAGTCATATTATGTCATTTATTTCGATCAGAGTACGTCGACGGACGCCCTACGAATGTATGCAAATTGGGAAGCTCGTTTCTTAATCAGAGGAAACAGAGGGTTCTGGATTTATATACACCCCTCTATGATTCCGTACAGCTGTCCAACGTGATCCAAGAGATCCACAAGCATGACAAACTAGATAACCATGAAATAAACCGCGCTGATAGCAGCAGCAACCACAAGCCCCGTAAGGATACCCGCCCCAGCTCGATCGGCAGTCGAGATCAGCTTCTCATGTATTCCAACCGAATCTTCGTCCGACACCCCAGTGCCCGCATTGGGATCACCCTGGCTGATACCACCCGACGAAGCCGTCACCCGCTTCTCGACATAATCCACCAAGTGTGCCTGGAAGATATCCAGAGCAGACATCTGTTCGCCCACGCCCGTGCTCCCGTCGTAGCTTTCGTTTTTGTTCCACCGCAAGCCGCACGCATTGTCTGGCCCGCTGCACTGGAGCGCAGCGGCTTCCGCCGATGCGCGCATCTTCGGCATGAGCAGATCATATGTGAAGGGGGCGATTTGTACGGTGGCGGCCATCCAGCGCGAGAGATAGGCTTTGAAGGATCGCTGGTCCACGTTGCACTTGCCCGTGCTTTCACACGCGACTTCGCTCATGATGTTCCCCACAGGGAAGAAGACGTCTAAGCCCTTGATAATCCCTTCCAGACGGGTTTTCCACACGTCGGATCTATTACTCTATGCACATTACTAGTCAGTGATGATGCAGAAAAATTCACGATAGAAAACATACAAAATGGTACATGTTGGCTGCTCCGAGCAAGAAGATGCCGGCGTTGTATGTCCACTGGATGTGGTTGAGGGACGTGCAGTTGTAATTATCGTCTGTCCCGTCAAAGAAGTGATACGCCTCATTTGTCAACCCTATTCTGACGACCCAATCCCACGTCTTCTCCGCCCACTCTGCGTACGTTGCGTTGCCTGTATAGACCGCCAGTCGTGAGGCCAAGTTGAAGAAGCAGCCGTTGGAAATTGTATTCTTGTAGTTGTAGCCGTTGTTGAACGTGAAGATCTGCCATTTGAGGCCGCCACCGCATGTTCTATTGTCCCAGCGGGGAGCTTGCGTGTTGAAGACAGCCTGTGCAAGCGCAAGCCACTGAGGCTGGTCCTCTGGAGGATTGGGAAACCTCACTTCCGCGGCTGTCATCGCCGCTAGTCCCCAGAAAGCCTGGTCGTCATTTCCCAAAGTCCTGGATTGATTCGGTGGCATGAAGTTGAACGAAGGTCCAGTTTGGTGCAGAATGGCTTGTGTGATTATTTCGTTCCATTGAGAATCGCCAGTGTAATACCAGTATTCCACCAGTGATCCAAACATTGCGCCTGCTTCCCACCAATAGTACGGATCTGGAAGGTTACCGGGCACATCGCCAGGTCTATGACCTGTATAGTATTGCACCATTCCCGTTGCGGCTGTTTTTGCTGCTTTTTTAATAGAATCTGGGCCGCTTTATCAATGTGTGTTATAGAAGAGAAGTCAAAAGATCCGAAGAAACCTGCCTTGGCTAGTGAGATCGAGATCAATGGCCGCCTGCGCCATCTGACCCGCCAGTAAGGCGAACACTGCGAGTGCGGTCCGAGAGCACCGCGGGTTATGTTTTAGAAGATGCATTATAATCAAGATGACGATGAAGTTTGAAGCTTGCCAGTAGTGAGTGGGAAAGTAGGTTCAAACAAGGAGATTACAATGTAGGGTCTGTAGGTATATGCATATGTAGAAAAGAAAAGAATGAACCTCCAACTGTCTAGCATTTATTCCGGGGAGATAACGAACGATGTAGCTGAATGTAAGTCCTGAAGTCCTGGGTATACCAGGTTTAGAGAAAGAAACGGATGCAATGCTATATATCAGTGGGATTAAAGTATAAATAGAGCGAGCGACAGGAAGTATGGAGCTGTAGTACGGCGGCAGAGAATGATCAAATCGTCCAGGCTGGCTCCAGACTTATTAAGTTGACCAAGAGCAGGAGAAAGGAGACCCCATATGAATTTGATATGGTGATAGGGGGAAAAGGCCCCAACTTTATTCACATCTTTGTAAAAGCCTGGAAGGATGCTTGCTCCTTACTTTCAAGAAGAAGTTGAGCGCTTGGAATGGGACCGCCAAGTTGGCCGGCATCAAATGAATCGAACATGCTCTATCCTATGGCTTTGGCAAGACTGCAAAGTGCAAGCCCAATCCCAGAAATAACAGCCAAGATGTCTCCATCAACTTGGCTGCATTATTTGCTGGCGGAAAGGCTGCATATCCGGCAGTGGACGGATCTCATTAGCTGTTGGTCTTGTCATTTGTCCATCAATACCGGATGCTGGCAGCGGTGTTGCATGCTGGTCATGTTAGCACCTCGTTGATTGTCCCTCATAGCTGTCAAGATAAAAGAAGAGTGACTCGTGCAAAGCGGAGTGTGTGATGGATCATGAAGGTGGCAGTGAAGGCAGTCAAGTAAATAGATGGCCTTGGCGAGTTGCGGAGAGGTTCATTGTGCTCTTGGCGCTAGCTCCGCCGTCCCTTTGAAAGTCGGCAATTGTTGGCGTGATGATAGAGACGTGATTATTGAGAGACGTACAGTAGGGTCTGAATCTGACACTGTGTGAGACTTCCCAACAGATCGAGCGATCTTCTGATTCGGACGTGGATACAGCGTATGGGATAAATTCAGACGGCTTACCCCTTGAACTAATTGTTGTATCTGGCTGAGAAGCCGTTGCCCAAGCGATAAGCCACTTTTCGACATTCACTGTAAAGCAAAGAAACTGATAGAGGTACTGCGCAACATTGCATTACAAGCCCTGTTGTTACATAAAAATCTTCCCGTTGTTTTTTGAGTAGACCGTGGCTTATTCATTGTTTGAATACATACGATACTTGACCCTCTCGAGGTTAGGTATTATGCATAGAAATCGGGTTCAAAAGACTCTGCCTACTAAAATCCAAAGAATCAGTAAACCTCGACGAGACTCATTCTCCTCTACCATCTCATACGTAGCGTAGCAGTATGCACGACTCTCAAAGAAACTGCAGCAAACCACGTTCTCCTGGGACGCTTGGTTGCGTGACAAAAATAGCTGCCTGGGCATTTCCCGCAGCATCCAAGTCGCTAGATTGTCACGTGCCAGGCCCGACACAACCGTCTCCAGAAGGCGGGCGGCGAACACCTTGTCAGCTTCACTCCACCATCACTCCAGCTCTCGCCCTCCCACGCTGCGCCAGCCAGGCATCTTTATCAAAGGTCACATCGCACATCTGTCGCTAGACTTCATCTCTCCCATCTTGACGACTCGTTCCTGTTTCATTCGCGAAGAAAAGACGCCAGCAGGCCTCTGCACTTTTTCAGCCAGGTAGCCCGTGTTCCACCAGGCTTCACCATTCAAACTACGATTGTAACGAATTCCATTGTCGATAATCATCATGTCTGAGCCTCCTTATGACCCTTATATCCCCGCTCCCTCCAATGGAGCCCCCAGTAACGCCGGCGCGGGCGCTGCGCAGAATGGCGATCCCAGAACACGGGAAATCGACAAAGTAAGTCCAGACCTTCTCTCTTTCATTTCATTGTTGTCACTTTCGATATGCCGTCCAGCGATGCAATATCGCGACAGACTTCGTCGGACATAGGACTTTTTTTAGAACTTTTGTGGAGAGTACATCACTTTTGGGTGGCTGGGCCGTAGATTCTTGTTTCCTACACGAGTTGTCTTTATCCTAGAATCTTTGCTGACCATGATTTCCCTCTGCCACAGAAAATCCAAGAGACGGTCGATACGATGCGATCGAACATCTTCAAGGTTTCCGAGCGTGGCGAACGTCTGGACTCCCTGCAAGACAAGACAGACAACCTGGCTGTATCGGCCCAGGGTTTCCGCCGAGGCGCTAACCGTGTGAGGAAACAAATGTGGTGGAAGGACATGAAGATGCGCGTATGCCTAGTCATCTGTGTCATTCTTTTACTTGTAGTGATTATCGTCCCTGCCGGTATGATTCCCATCCCAACCTCTCGCCGCACAAACAAGGCGACGAATTATGCTAACCAATTTCTCCCAATAGTTGTCACTAGCAAACACTAAACTTACGAACGCAGCGAAAGTCATGTCTGATTTTGGGAATGGATGATATTTTCCAGCTGGTCTATTTGCGTTGAGGTCGTGCAGTTTCGTTCCAGCCACTAATACCTTTGTGCTTTTTCTTTTCTGGGCGTCAACAACTTCTGTTCTTATGAATCAAGCCGCTTGTCTCGATATGCCCTTGACGCTCTGGGATCGTCTGATACTCGAGATGGGGAGGCTATGCCGCATGGTTCGTCGATGGTGAAGATGTAAATGATACTCCGGCACATCCCCGTGTTCCAATACGTTATTGTTTTTTTTTTGTTCTATTTTGCACTCTCTTCTTTACCTTACAGTGAAATGAATTTTATATACCAATGCGTATGAAGTTCTCGGCTCTGGACACCACGAAAGCGATAAATGAGGCAGACTCGGTAGTCTCAGATCCCCATGGTCATAGCCTGCTGCCCAAGAAAACGACTAATGACTTCAGCAGACAGTAGATATGTAGTACTACTAGTAGGTACCCCAGCCGCCTGGGACGAGAAGTGGAGCGTCATATGTCCTAGACTCCTAGTCTTCTCCCTAAAAAGGCCAAGTAGATCCGCTGCAAGATCAGATAACGAAAGAGCAGAAAACGCCATTAGTTAGAGGGAGAGGGGAAAAAAAAGAAAGAAAAAGTCACCTTTTCCAACGTTGCCGAATCAGATATGAGAGACGCATCTCGGCAAGACCCATTTACTAGCTTGAGGAAGCCAGGAGGCGACCATCATTCGTCCAGTGCCAGGGCAAAATGTGTCAACCCCATAACGTAGTGAAGAACACCGCAGGAATAATCAGATAACTGAATCTTTGAGGGATTTGCTGCATGATGAAATTGGATGGGACTAAACGATCATGAGTGATCAATCATAGCAGCCAAATTCCCGATAGTGGTGGATGTGGGCTGGATCTCAGGCGAGAGAACTAGAAATGGACAGTTTTGCAGTCTTGAGAGTTGGGACTGTTCATGAAAAGGGAAAATAAGGATCCTCAGGCCCGAATTTTTTATTTTTTATTTTTAATTTTTAATTTTTTTCCCTCCCTTCTGCCCAGATTCAGCCTAAGGCTCTCAGGCAAACACACTACTCTGTAGTCACTACGGAGTAGAATTGTCTGAGTCACGAATCACGAATCACGATACCCGGCTCCGATGGTCGCAGCCAAGCTCAGGCTCACCTTGGTTGCCGAGCAGGCTTTTTGGTCTGTTCTTCGCCATCTTCCCAAAGTTCGTTCTACGCAATCTATCTATTTTTCTCTTGCCTTTTCCTTTTCCTTTCCTTTCCTTCTCGTTCCTAGAGCCTCTTGATCAGTCACTTCACTCCTACTCAATCTCCGCTCTTGGGTGGTGAGTGATTTATTTGCTCTCTCGAGTCCTCGTGTCACTGAACCAGAGGCTAGAAAACCGCGCAGGTTAGCGGCCGTGAGAGCCTGTGAGTACTTACTTACCCCCTCCATATATCCCACCTCTGGGGGAAGAAATATACCCACTCCGAGGTGTGGCCGATACCACCTCTTTAAGTATCTTGGAGATCAAACCTCTTTGGTTTCTGAGTGTGCTAAATTCCCTTGCGAACCCGCACATTCCCCTCCTCTCGCGCGTACTCGACTGTGTTTCTCTCTCTTCTGTCTACTTCTTATGACTGATCCTTAGTCGAGTACCCGTACAGATTCCCAGTCCGCTCCGAAGACATTGAAAGCTGCCGCATGCTGCTTTGACAAGATGTTCTCCCTTCGCACCGCTGTGCGGAGAGCTTCCAGCAAGCCCCTCCGAGCGCTCTCCGCATCCCACGCCGCTTCTTCTGCGAGACTCTGCTCTCCTCGCCATGCTCTCAAAGCCTCCGCTGTCCCCTTGCTGCAGAGCCGTCCCTACTCCCGCGCATCGGATCCCCAGCTCTCCTCGACCCGGTCGACCGTTGTCCAGCTGTTGAGCAACATTGGCTCGAAGCGTGAGGTGCAGCAGTACCTTTCCCACTTCACATCCGTCTCTTCGCAGCAGTTTGCCGTGATCAAGGTTGGCGGTGCTATCATCACCGAGCACCTCCAGACTCTGTCTTCGGCCCTGGCTTTCCTCAACCATGTCGGACTCTACCCGATCGTCGTTCACGGAGCCGGACCTCAGCTCAACCGCATGCTGGAGGCTGCGGGTGTCGAGCCCCAGTTCGAGGATGGTATCCGGGTGACGGATGGCAAGACTCTGGCGCTGGCTAGAAAATTGTTCCTGGAGGAGAATCTGAAGCTGATTGAGGAGCTGGAGCGCATGGGCGTTCGGGCTCGTCCCATCAACGCTGGCGTTTTCTTCGCCGACTACCTTGACAAGGAGAAGTACAATCTGGTCGGCAAGATCAACGGCGTCAACAAGAAGCCCATTGAGTCTGCCATCGAGGCGGGCTGCCTCCCCATTCTGACTTCCATGGCCGAAACCCCCGATGGACAGGTCCTGAATGTCAACGCCGATGTCGCTGCCGGTGAATTGGCACGCGCTCTGCAGCCATTGAAGATTGTCTACCTTGCTGAGAAGGGTGGATTGTTCAACGGCGATACCGGTGAGAAGATCTCCGTGATCAACCTCGATGAGGAGTACGAACACCTGATGTCGCAGTGGTGGGTGCGTCACGGTACTCGCCTGAAGATCAAGGAGATGAAGGAACTGCTCAGTGACCTTCCCCGCACCTCGAGCGTTGCTATCATCCACCCCGCCGATCTGCAGAAGGAGCTGTTCACCGACTCCGGAGCCGGTACACTCATCCGGCGAGGCAACAAGGTGCACACCAAGACTTCGCTCTCCGAGTTTGAGGATCTCGAGAAGCTGAAGGATGTGCTTGTCCGTGACCGTGAGGGCTTGGATGCCCGCGCCACTGTCGACCGCTATGTTGAGGGGTTGAAGGAGCGTGACTTCAAGGTCTATTACGATGAGCCCATGGAAGCCCTTGCGGTCGTGTTGCCACCCGGACAGGATGCCACTTCTTCCTTCTCCCATCTGGCTACCTTTACCATCACCAAGGCTGGATGGTTGACCAACGTTGCGGACAACGTTTTCGCCGCCATCAAGAAAGATTTCCCTCAGCTGGTTTGGACCGTCAAGGAGGATGACGAGAACCTGACTTGGTTCTTCGACAAGGCCGATGGAAGCCTGAGCCGCGACGGCGAGGTCCTCTTCTGGTACGGCATCGAAAGTGGCGAGGAGGTCAAGCAGCTGGTCCAGGAGTTTAACCAGCACGGCCGCCAGATGTTCGGCGACATCAACCTCGAATCCAGACTGCAGCGTGCTGCTCAAGCCGCCACCAACATTGGCAAGACTGGCTTCGGTGCTAGTGGTGCCTCTGTCGAGCAGAAGCGTGCGTTCTCCTCTACCAGCAACGCCCTGCGCGCTGCTCGCTTCGGACGTCCCACCGTCGCGGCCAACGCCGTGAGAAACTACTCCACCACCAACCCTAATCCTCCCCTGGGCGAGAAGAACAACTCCAACACCCGGCCCTCCAAGGTTGCTCTCATTGGAGCCCGCGGTTATACCGGCCAGGCCCTCATCAACCTGCTTAATGCCCACCCTAACATGGACCTGCGCCATGTTTCTTCTCGCGAGCTGGCTGGCAAGAAGTTGCAAGGATATGACAAGCGCGAGATCATCTACGAGAACTTGAGCCCGGAAGATGTCAAGCGTATGTCTGCCAACGGTGATGTTGACTGCTGGGTCATGGCTTTGCCCAACGGTGTCTGCAAGCCCTTCGTCGACGCTGTCGACCAGGGCTCCGAGACCGGCAACGTTATCGTTGATCTGAGCGCTGATTACCGCTTCGATGACAAGTGGACCTATGGTCTTCCTGAGCTGGTCAACCGCGGCAAGATTGCGCAGGCCACTCGCATCTCCAACCCCGGTTGCTATGCCACCGCTGCCCAGATTGGTATTGCCCCTCTGGTTCCCTACCTCGGTGGACAGCCCACCGTGTTCGGTGTTTCCGGATACTCGGGTGCGGGTACCAAGCCCAGCCCTAAGAACGACGTCCAGAACCTCACAAACAACATCATTCCTTATAGCTTGACTGATCACATCCACGAGAGAGAAATCAGCGCACAGCTGGGAACCAGCATTGCCTTCATTCCCCACGTTGCTGTCTGGTTCCAGGGTATTCACGTATGTACATCTCTAGCGGAACAGCGGTCAACCTCAAGACTTATTAATTACTAACTCTTGTTGTGTAGCATACCATCAGCATCCCCCTGAACAAGGAGATGACCTCCCGTGACATCCGTAACCTCTACCAGGAGCGTTATGCCGGTGAGAAGCTTGTGAAGATTGTCGGCGAGGCACCTCTCGTCAAGGACATCGCCGGCCGCCATGGCATCGAAGTCGGTGGCTTCGCCGTCCACTCTAGCGGCAAGCGCGTGGTTGTCTGCGCTACCATTGACAACCTGCTCAAGGGTGCCGCTACTCAGTGCCTGCGTAAGTCTTCCCCCTTGGCACCACCTCAACAGTGACCGGTTTGCTTACACTTGCATTACAGAGAACATGAACCTTGCGCTCGGCTATGGCGAATACGAAGGCATTCCTCTAGATTAGACTTCCCATGATCGGTAGAAAACCCCCTATATAAGATTTGGTATAGTCGAGGGGAAAGATATGTGAAGATGTCAACCATCAACATGTTTGACAATGTAAGAACCCTCACTTTTGGCGTCGAATTATTACTTTGGGTTTCCTCCTGCACTCTGTTTTCTTTTCCTTTGCATGTCTCATACCCCGCGTGCATCTCCCTCGGTTGCTATGGGTTCGAGATTTTTCCCCTAAGGCTTCCTCTTTGATCTCATACTTCGGTATCCATAGTCAACCTAGTCCTTGGTTCCTTTTCCTCGATTTTCCTTGGTGTTCATCTGATAGATTTCAGCCTTGAGTTCGGGTTTCTTTCGTTCTTCTCCGTGTCGTTCCAGTCGTAGAGTCTCGTGGGAGCAAGAGTGTCTGTCTGGCAATGTGTTGGCGCTGGCGAGTACAAGAAGCAGATTAGAGTTGTGAAAGATGTTGAGTTTTCAACCACTGTCAGTCCTTATATTTCGACTCTTGTGTTCCTGGCTTCCTGCTCCAATGTGCATCCTAGGTATATCATAGAGGACTGCAGAACTCGGGCATCGATCAAGTGACGTGAGCAGGAACAGACGCATCCTGCTTCTGCTCTCTCTTCTACAATCTCAAGTACATCGCTTTGTAGTTTTCTAGTTCCCTATCACTAGGCTCTGCATTTCTTTCAGCTAGCAATATCTTGAACCTCGATAGCATCCATTACTGCCTTTAATACAAAGTTTTAAATCGGATAGCTGACCTAGAACTTGAGCGACTCCTGAACTCTGTGCATGCTGGTGATCTGGTAAGTCTTCGCTCTTCTACGAAGACCTCGACCCATACCATCAGTCTCGTCGCTACAGTGAGATTCCATCAAGCTTTCGACCAGGCTGGCGTCCATTACAAGAATACCGATCTCGAGCAGGATATCGGTAAATTTTCTTCTTCTTGCTGACAGCACGCTGCATAGCAGATCCCGAGCTTGAAGAGACGCCCTCAACACGTAAGAGGGCGCCTCTGGCATCCCGATACGGCACGCGTAGTGTCGAGCGAGCGTCTCACATAGCCAACACCGCAGTTGTAGAGCCTCATAATGTTCTACAGTCACGAAAGTATCTGGTGTTCTCCATCATAACGAGGTTCCCCTGTTATCTTACCTCGTTCAAAATGTTTCTAACTCCTGTTTTCCTTTCTAGTTCTTACATCCCCGGAGCATGGGGTCGCCACAGTATGGTACGCAAGTGGTTCAATCCAGGAGAGGCCCTTCGATCTCATTCTATCCATTAAGCGTCTAACCAACACACCTTTTTCAGGCTCGTTGCGACTTTGGGAGCGAGATCAATCACCAGAAAGCTGAACAAGAAGGCGATACTGGACGTGGACGTGCCGAAGGCTTGTGAGGTTATTATGGATCCTGTGGCACCGATGGCGTTGAGGCTGCAGGGCAATCTGCTGTGAGTGCGACACCCTCGTAGAGTAGGATTTTTGGTCACTGACAAAGGATGTCCAGATACGGCGTTACCAGAGTCTATAATCAGCAGTGCGGCTATGCTCTTACAGACGTCCAGACAATGCATGACAAGATGAGATCCATGTTGCGGTCTATTGCGGGAACCGGCCTGGATCCGACTGCAGGTAAAGCTAGGCATGTCATGCTTCCGGTATATAGGGGGGGGTAGACTCTAGACGGGTTAGTCGATACTAATGCTTCATACTTCGTACTAGATCTGAGCAGCTCATCTTGCCGTATGACCCCTCGTTTCTCCCCGAGAACAATCTCCCGGGCCTGGGTTTGGATCTCTCGAAGCTACGTCTACAGATCGAGGAGAAGATGAGCCAGCAGTCAGGCTTCTCATGGCCACGAACTCCGGACCTCACTCAGACCGTTGACTCGCAGGAATCTAGCTTGCAGCTTGAATTCTCGTCACGGGACCTTGACATAGGAGGTCTGGGTGGGTTTGCATCGGAGACCGATATGGGGAATTCGGTTCTAAGAAATACTTACCTTGATCGAATGGCTGTGGCACTCAATGATGAGGAAGGCATACTTCTTCACCCTGACTTTGAGTTTGATGAAGATGGAAATCTCATCGAGTTTGGGAGCGCTGATGCTGCTACTGAGATTAGGGATCGCAGACCTGCCAGGTACATCCCCGAGACCCCGGTCACTGGTCAGAGAAGAGATGGTGATATAAATGGACTCATATTGGATCCTCGGGTAAGGCTCACTTGTCAAGTATAAGTTTCTTCATTCCATCTAACATCTTTACAGCCCATGCTAGTCGATGAGGATATGGAGGTCATCGCGGCAACAATGGAAAATACATCCGCTCCGAGTGCAGGTCCTGCAGCCCCCCAAAGTCCATCCGCCATACAGATTGCCGAAGAGATGGAAATTCAGTCGGACAACCGTGAGGCGACAATGCGTCAGACTCGGAGAGTCTTTAGGAACATTGCAACAGACCAACAGACCGCTCTGCGTAACACCGAGCTGGCTTATTTCAACAATGAGTACGTGCAGAATATGGCGGCCGCCAGAAATCAGAAGATGAGGAACAAGCTGCTCACCCAAGCAAAGAAGAACGCAGGCTTCTGGGTTATAGGTCAAGGGATTGGTTCTGTCGGTGTTGGTCTGGGTACATCCCACGTTCAGCACCCGTTGCACTTCTTCTCCGGTGAGACTTTGTATGATGCACTCGTGGGTGCGAAGAAGTCAAACAAAAGGAAGGGACCAGATACATTCGAAGACGATAGCGGGGCTGACTCGGAGGCTCGCCGAGTTCGACGAAGAGAGGAGTCTGAGGAACAAGTTGGCCGTGGCGGACTATTTACCGGCAATGAGAACTTCCACGATGTACGCCATAAGCCTGTCTTTCCTGTTTGTGTGGATGGATCTATAGGGTAAACAGCTGACAAAACCCTCGCAGGATATTGAAATGGCCCGTCGTGCTTCATCTGTTCTGCGCGATGATAACTCCTCCCAGATGCCATGGAACATCACCGCATCTGTCCAGAGTTCCCGACTCGGGCTTTCTGCAACAAGCATCTTCCGTGGGCTCGGTAGCATCAGTGCCTTCTCTTCTCGGGGCATCCACGACTCCACAACTTCCATGACCAGACTTGCAGCAGCAAGCAGGACCCGGAACCGCTTGACGAGCGCGAGCCCTCTCGCCGGACGCAGCCTCCACGATGACCTAGAGGGACTTGCAATTCCAGGAACCGAAGAAGATGTAGACGCTCTCGAGGACTTTAACATGGATGACTATATCCAAATTGACCTGGATACCGAACACCCCACAGAACCGACAGAGGACACTGATGGAAAACGGCTTGCATTCCACAATCGGCTGCTGAAATCGAACATAGACCAAGAGAGCTTGAACTTCCTCGAGTTTCTGCATATGCAAATCAAGACCCAGGAGCAGATAGATGCAGTTCCAGGCATCAATCGTGCCAGTGGTGCTGCAACACTTTATCTTGCTGACAATAAAGAAGTAGCGTTCTCGACTCTTCTGCCTCCTGGGAGTACTTCTCGCACTGTCGCTACCCAGGGCCTGATGCACATCTTGACTCTGGCTACAAAGGGCTTTCTAACGGTCTATCAAGCACCTTATGAAGACCAGAGCAGTGAGGTTTATGGCGTCAAGTACGAGTTCGGCGAGATCTATCTGCGCTTTTCTAACATGTAGGGCCTTTTACGACGGGGTTCGAGCGCAGATAGGAAGTGTAAGAGTAGGACTTGAATTTGCTTTTTATTTTTCTTTCCATTTCTAAGTGATACTACGGGCTGAAATATCTTCTGATTTGTGATGCAATGCTTTTTTTATTTTCACCTTATCTGATTTATGGCTCTTCGTTATGTTATTGCTTTCTGTCATTCCTCTTCCCATTGCTTCACTTCTCTGGCTCTTCTTTACTTTTCAGATTTATTCATTCTTGTTCTCTTCCTTCTACTTTATATGTTTCTTTTCTCTCTTTTAATATTTCAAGGCTTGTTTGTTCATGGGCGAGCTTTCTATGCGAAAATGTCCCTTTGAACCTCGATGTACATAAAAAAAAAAGGAAGAAAAAAATGGTGTCGGATAGTTTCCCTTTCTTTTCAACCCGTGGTGATATAGTTCGAGAAAGAGAGGTCGCAGCTCGAGATACCGTGGGGACCTCATATATGTTCCCTTTATGTCCCATTGTTGACAGAATCTGATAGACCTATGGACACCGCAGCATATATGAATATCAAGGGATTGATATTTAAATCCCAATTTTATATTGAAAGCTATGATATGCAATTAATTAAGGGAGGAAAGGGGAGATTATGCTGGTAAATTTTTTTTTAGATATGGTACACTAAATAAAGTTATTAGCGCAACTAACTGGCCGGCTGGCCTAATGGTAAGGCGTTGCTCTCCTAAAGCAAAGATTGCAGGTTCGATCCCTGCGTCGGTCGAAACTTTTTGCTTCGTATCTTCAGGTCCTCCCCCGTCTTCTATGACCTCAAGCATTTTATGATCAGCTCTGGGCTCGATTTTTTTTTTTTTTTTACCTCCGTCTCTTCAGAGATTAATTTCAACTTTCATCGCAGATTACCTTTGACAAGAGCTGGTTAGACGCCCACTAGATATAGTAGTACCGATACTCCTCGTCTTCCAGCTAGGTATATTACTCAAACAGCGTAAAGAATCAAGTGTCATGATTGTTTTTCAGGTAAAAACGACGGTCATGGTTTGGCCCGTACACCTTGTCGTGTATTGGATACATTTGAGATAGCAAGTACCGACAAACCAGTCTCAACTTGATCCCCGGTGGACTTTCAGCTCAATTTCTTTCTATTTCGATATCCAAGTAACCACCTACATCCGAAGACATGATGCAGTGTCGCACCGACTGAACCTGGGCCAAAATTATTTCAGCCCCCGCGGTTGGAATAGTGGCTGTGCTACTGACACAGACAGGCCCCCAGTCCCGATGAGTATGACATTGCTCAGGAGAGGAGAATTGCTAATTTTGGTTTTCTGCATTGTTCCCCCCGAGTATGAATGAATAGATGTGTATATGATTATATATATTCCTGTTTGGCGGGATCGAGATATCTGAGATGGGAATATCCAAAGCCCATATAACAGACGCGTCGTCGTCACTGAATTGCGTGACATCTATGGTACAGGAAATGGGCTAAAGCGCCGATACAGAGTCAGGCAGTAAGGTCGTACATAGGTTGGTATCCTCGTATGAAATATGATTTCGCGGTTTGTACAGAACAGCAGGCAGGCGTGAGATCGGTCTTCTGTTGCTTTGGAGAGATAATGACATCAAACTCTTTGATCTACTTGCCTATTCCTCATTTCAAGGTGATTCTAGACAGCCTGCAATCTCGTTAATCGAAAGAATTCAGAAAATTGGACTTGATCATTGGGCCGCGTGACGGAATTAGACTTTCAGCCTCGAAAGGGAAGTGAAGAAAAATGCCTATGGCCATGCATCCGATATGGGATGCGCTTCCAACACGATCAGCAACAAGACGGAGTAGCTATACTTGAATGTATCTAATTCAAGGAACAAGTCAGTGGTGACGCGAAAGATGAAATGCACCATAGAATAATATTCTCGGTAGATCCTAGCAAATGTGAAATATTTTGTCACCGATCAGACCATCAGAGACAACGTCGATCCATAGTCCGGACAGCTGTTATTGTTGGGGCAGGATCAAAATTACGCTTATGGTAAGGTTTCCGTCCTGACGATGCTCGCGTAAGTTAACCGCCACTGTCTTGTCCTGTCCTCGTCTCGTCTCGTCTCGTGTTCCGCCTGGTCAAACCGAAACTCTTTCCTTTTCTCTCTCGCTCACCCCGAGTCTTGCTTTCCCTCAGCGCCCTCGACTTCATCCCTTGACCATCTGCTGAGGCCCTTTTTATCATCGTGAATCATCTTAGCTGCTGTCGTAATTAACTCACCATCGATTTTTTCCTCCCTTACACCGTGAACATGGGTCGTACTGTCGATCAGGAAGTTCACGCGGCGTTCGTCGAGTTCCGCGCCAAGGAAGACGATAAGGTGCGTGACTTGTATTTCCCGTAATATTTCAACCCGCTGCTCTGATCCATCGTCATCTAACATAACAACACCTGTTTGCTTGCTTTCTTTGCAGTGTCTCTCCGTCCAGTGTATCTATTGTCAGCAGATTCGCGCAAAGAATACCTCGCGACAGAAGCAACATTTGCTCGAGTGTCCCGGCCTTCGCGGTCAGAACCAGACAGCACAATCCGCATCCAACGGCATCGGCGCTGCGAATGGATACCCAGCGACTCCCAATGGTGCTTCTGCCACCGCACCTGGTGCTGGCCCCGGGCCTGGTACAGGCGCACTTCCTACCCCTAATGGACCCATGATGTCGAATGGTGTCAACCCTCATGCGACCTCGATGCAGACTCCGCTGCAGAACATGCAAGGACGCGCTGCATTGCCGACGCCTGGCCCACCTACCGGACCTGCCTCTGCTTCCGGTGCTCAGCAATCAGCCCGCGCAACCCCCAAATCAAAGCCGAAAACTTCCACCTCGAGTCTCCCCGCCCCTCCCCTGGATGACGTCCATGCTGCATTTGTCGAGTTTCGTGCGAAGGAAGAAGACAAGGTGGGAGACGAATTTGTCACTGCATTCGCAAGCCAATCTGTGAGCTAACGGGAAGAACAGTGCTTATCGGTGCAATGCATTTATTGCCAGCAGGTCCGTGCTAAGAACACCAGTAGACAGCGACAACACCTGCTTGAATGCCCGACCTATCTGAGCGTGATGAAAGACTCGATCCCCGCCAATAACCTACTCCACACCTTCCCTGAAGGCGATATCGCTCGTTCTCTGCAGATCCCAGCGCCAACCCTCGAGCTTGACTTCCGTATGAGCATCAAGATGAACCCGAAAGTGTCTGTGGGGCAAAGCATCTGGGGCCAGAGAGACTGGGTTACATTCCTGGCGGGTCAATGGGCCGGCAGATGGGGCAAAGGCATTGTCTTGGTAAATACCTCTCCTTGAACTTCTCACAATTCGGTTGCGTTGTGAAGTCTTGCTAATGAGTGACGCAGCCCGGAGGACAAGATTCTCAAATCGTGACGAAAGAATCGATCACCAATATGCGATCAAGCTATATGCTTCAAACCGCAGATGATCCGCCGGCGTTTATAATTGTGAAGACCCAGGGATGGTTGACTGGTGCGAAAGATGTTTTGGAAAAGGTTAACGACCCAAATATTGCGGACTCAATCAATCCTAATACCTACAAGTACCGCGTCAATCTCTCGATGGAAACCGGCGACGAGCGCTATGCATTCCTAAACACCATCATGTGGATTGCCAGTGGCTGTCGTAGAGGTCATGAAGGTTCGTCCGGACGCTCCTCCCTCGCGATTCTCAAACAACGCTAATGCTTCGTTTCCAGTCATTTTCGATGCTTTCCGCGTCAACTAGTTGTTCCTCCAAATAAATGTGTTCTGTCCGTTATTGAGCGAGTAACTTTTTTCTTTCTTCGTGATGGGAACATCCTGTTTTCCTTCCTCTTTCCTTCTTAATCTTCCAGTCTTTCCACCATGTCCAGGAAGTGGGTTCATGTGTTCGCCTTGGTTCGGATTGGTTCCCTGGAGGACCTTCTTACAACCTGGGTATTCGCATTGCCACACGTTCAGCCACAGACCGCTTGATGCGGTCATTGATGCCTGGCGTATGTTCTTGCGTTTGCTGGATCTCTTTCACATGTACGGTATCCCTTTTTTCTCCTTAATCTGTTGCAGATTGTCGGTTCGCTACATGCCAAATTTTCTTGTGTTGTTTCCCTTTTCTTTTCGCCTTGACCTAAACCGAATGAGGCCATCTTGTATCTTTACCTCTCGAGACTGGAATTTGTGATGCAGGACTTGTGTGAGAGTTCGAATTCAGATTTTCGTTTTGATATCAATGTCATTTCAAAAAATGTGTCTTGGACTATAGCCCAGACCTGCGAATGCGTGTGTTGCAGGGATATCAAGAAAGCGATAATTACTGACTCCAGAAATATATCCCAGCCAAAATACATGCGCTACTCACCTAGTACGCAAGGATGGCTGCATCATCCAGTAAAATATAGTTAGTAAATTACTAGTCAGAGGTTGACAAGTACAAGGATACCAAATTGATCACATTTTTTGTCTGGTAAACCTACACCTAAGGTATGGAAGTAAGGAAGTAAGTAAATTAGGATACCCCCCGTATCCATCTACTTTACAGTAGCAGTAATTCAAGCTTGAGAAGTACTGGACATTTCAAACGCGAATGATATACCCTATTACTTTGTGACTAAATTTGAGCTTAAATCAACCCTTGTCTTGTATTTATATTAGTCAGTATTGACATGAATGGGTTGATTTCATGGTTAGTTTACCATTCTCAGATACCTTACCTAGCGAGGTACCTCCATGATTAGATCATTGACATGGCGCAAATGCTGGACTGTATTTGTGTATAATTGTCTGGCAAGGGAGGTAATCCAATGTCGAGGTTTGGATACAACGGGAGGCACCTTTATTGATTTGTATGCTGTTGCTGAGTATCGAGATGTGGTAGCTCAATAGTGTAAGAGTTCGGAATTTTTTTTTTTGATACGGTTTTAATAGGAATACACAGGTAAAAACTACTGGCTAACAAACACGGTTATTCATGGGGATCTACCCTCGTCTACGCCTAGAAGCCTATTGGGTCTGATAAGTAACAAGTCCCTGATGCATACGCGGAAGAGGGAGTTTAGAACTTACCCTTCTCAGTGTTTCCCTCTCCCATGCTCTTGCTGCTGCTGCTGCCGCTCTGGATGGCTCCGAGGATGCCGTCCATGTACGGCGCCCCGCTCCATTTCTGGTGGGTAAGGACGTCTACGCCGAGTTCCTTTTCACGGGACTGGATCAGGCGCACGTAGGCGAGCATGCCCTCGTCCTTGAAGGCGCGGGACAGCTCCGTCGTGATGGTGGCGTTGCTGTGTAGACCGGCGAGCGAGATGAGTTGTAGCACGAAGCTATGGGTGTTAGGTTAGCTTTGTTCGCTATCTGGTCGTGAATTGATATGTTGCGGGGTTGGGAATGAAAAAAATAAAACTCACCCGTGCTTCGCGAGATCCCAGACAAATGATTTGAGCGAAGCCTCATCGAAGCCCTGGCCCATCCAGTTGAACGATGGGCTCAGGTTGTAGACAAGCTTCTTGCCTGGAAAGACGGCGCGCACTTCGTCTGCCAGCTTTCCGGCCTTCTCGACGTTGGGATCTCCCGTTTCAACCCACAGGAGATCCGCGTAGGGTGCGAATTCCTTCGCGCGCTTTGTGGCAGCTGGGAAGCCGGCACGGTAGTGATAGAAGCCTTCTCTGGTTCTGGGACTGTCGCATGACCAGACAACGGGTTTCTTTGTGTAGTCATTCGCCAGGACCCTGCGGCGCGAGATGGAAAGGTCGGGGTTCTCTTGAACCTTCTTCTTGTATGCGTCCCGAGCGGACTGAGGCGCGCCTTCAGCGGCGAGGTGGGCATCCACAGCTGGTTCATGGTTTAGCGGGCGTATCCAAAAAGACCATCAATGGGAGATCGATAGATACCTTCATCTAAAGTGACCAGCTTGTGCTTCTTGACCCATTCCAGCTCAAACGCATCGATTTCCGCAGGCGCGGCACCCTCTCGCTCCATTGCTTGCAGGGTTTCTGCGAGAGGCTCGACCTCCTCGGCCACTCCCAGGATGAACTCGTGATCGCGGACATCAATGGCACTGCTGATCAAGTTTCCGCTCTCCGAGTCTGTGCGCGCAATGACCAGGTTCTCGGCACCCATCATGTCCCATTGGAAACGAGCAGCAACGAGTCTGTTGATATGCTCTCCCATGGGTACGAGAACCTTGCCTGCTAGGTGGCCGCATTTCTTGCCTCCGTGGAGCTGATCCTCAAAGTGAACGGCCGCGGCACCGTTCTCGGCGAAGAGCTTGGCTAGCTTGAGGACTGCAGACAGACCGCCATGGCTGTAAAGGAAAAGTAAGTTAGTCCATCAGAGCTTCCATGTAGTCCGATAAGGCGACGTACCCAGTATCACCATCTGCAACGATTGGTCTCATGTAATCAACATATGGGGTGGATTTCCGTTGCTCTGGTGTCATCTTTCGTCTGGTATCCCATTGTTTGCGATCGTGCATTTGCTGGGCCTTGAACAATCGCTGAACCTGGTTCGGAACTGTATTGTAAGGATAATCTCCAAAGTCCGGGGAAACCTCATTTGTCGTGGTCAGGAGCGACGAGCACGCCCAGCCAGAGATGTACAAAACCTCCTGGTTGGGAGCCTGCTGTGTCATCTGTACAGGGTCAATGGCACCCACTACGACGCTATCAGTGTCTTGTTCTGGGTCCAGGTTCAACATCCGCACATACTTGTATGAACCGGCTTTCCCTCTGCTGCTCTTTCGCTTAGCAGATTGAAGAGCTTGCGAGCCATCAGGGAGCTCGGATACGTTTGCTGTAATGTGCCACGCTTGGTGACCACGTCCGCGGCCGAGTAGGGTCTCTTGATCCCCTCATACCGAGGAGACTTCCACCAAGCCTCTACATCTCTGATCTGTTGCTCATACAGAGCATCCTCTGCAGCTCCGGCCTTTTCAGCGGACGACAGCAGTTGAAACGAGTCTGATGGCAGGGCCGTTGAGAGGGGGGGCTCGACGGTCGGAAGCGGAGATGATGACATCCGCGGATAACCGCATGCGAATGAGCGCAGGGCGAGACGAGAAGGACTGCCAGCAGTCGATGAAGGGGTAGGAAGACGTCGAGGAATTCGACGAGAAGCAGTTCGAAACATTGTTTTTCTTCCCTATCGAACTGAAGTTTCACATGAGAAAGTGAAGGAGGATGAAGGAAGAGTTGGCCTTGGTTGTTTTGAACGGGAAGGAGAGCTCGGGATGGATCCTTGGGCATTGGACTTGGGAGTTGGGGCGAGCTTACCTTAAGCCTGTTTGGGGGGGCGGATACGCAAATCCCCGCCACTGGGCCGATCGCCCAACCTCGGCCTGTCTGGGGGGCGCGTTTGGGGACAGCCCACTGCAGTGACCGCCCCCCGTTGCAACCCCGGGGGCGGATACTTTGCGGGCCGATGTCGCCTGTTTGGCTTTCTCTTCCGCAGTCTAATATCAGAGGGTGTGAAAACGTGGAATGGAAAGGACACGGATATGTCATACTGTCATACAAGCAATTCCGAGCTTCGGAGTAACTCATCGGATTTGAATATTGGTAATCCCTGATTTTGATTACTACAAGGTAAGAAGAAATTATCCCAGACGCCCATCTAAAGATCTGAAGTTTGACAGGAAGCGTCCATTCTGTGTATGCGTCTGCACCAGACAGGATTGATTCTGGATTTTTCCACACTGAAGTCTGCGACCCAACTCCTTACTTGGTATTTCCCCGGTTTGCCTTTGGGCTTCTCTGAGACGTCAAAAGTGCTGGCATTGCAAGGGAAAGTCAGGAAGTTCCTGAACTGCTGCCAGTTCAGAGTCCACATGTCTTGAAAGCTCTTGTCTCGGATAACCTTGCAGTATATGCCATGTCCCTTGACTTGGTCGTTCAATTTGCACGTCTAGTGTATTTGATCAGAGTGATTTTGAACAGATCCCCTTGATAGGGAGTTCACAGAACCCACCTCGCAGCAGTAAGATACGATGTCACATCTTTGACAAAGCAACCTCAAGTCGGTTGCTTGGTCGCAATTGTGACAGTGTGTGTGCTTGGCAAATCCTTTGGGCCATCCCGGGACCAGATCATTGAGGCCGCACCAGGTTTGCAGGGGCATTCGGAAGAGCTATGCTTTCTCAGCAGATGGTTATGCGATGAGGATGAGCATTGGGTTCTCTTACTTTGATCGAGTAATAGTCACTCTGGATGACCTCGATGAGTCCTCTTCGAATGCGCTTGCGAGGGTACATAATAGCAACAGTGTCACCGAGCTTCGGATGTGCTTTCGCGAAAGAGGCTCCGAGATCTTGCGTCTCAAATACAACCCAGAAAGGAGGCTTTTGAGTTAGATCAACGGCCATCAACTGGAGCGGCAAGCCATCTTCCACTTTTGCGATCTCCGCAATGAGGCACCAATGTTTGCGCGGCTCGACCACCTGCTCACTGACAAGCTTATAGTGTTCTGGGTCAAAGACTTCGGCATCTGGTAAGTCAAGGACTCTGGGGAAAGCCCTTTTATCCCTCAGGTTTGCGTATTTGGTCATCTTTGTAGCCAGAGGGGTCCATGGACAGAGGTATCCATGGAGTGAGCTATTCGAGGGATTTATTCAGTTGACTGAAAGCTGTTCCATGTTCTATTCACTGGCTCTTACAACTGGGAGTGAATGGAGAGCCCAATGTGTTGTTTGCCATGGGGTCTTAATAAAGGTAACAGCCCGCAGCAACTTCCTCGATTGAAGACTACTAAGCATCAACTTGATCTTTCTTACTCACAACAATGATTTCGATATTACAATTTAGAAGAATAATAGTATATAACTGAGGACTAGAGGAAGGAGTATCATCACGGGGAAAGGACAGTCGCGAGTCAAAAGTACGCTTTGTCGACAACTGGTGGACCGGATGGTCGAATAGGAAGAAAGGGATTCTTACCTCATGCACCACTCGAGTAGGAAGACGATCATCTCCAACTGTCTATCCTCCTTGTCATACCTTGATCTTCATTCTCCCTCCGAGTGGCGTTCTCCATGATACTAGCTTCCACTTGTTTATTGGGTCCTTTTCATCCAAGACTTTTGTCCAGGAGATGGGTTTGCTGGGCTGGTCCAATATTAATCAGTTGATGGACTCGTCTCCAACTTGGCCACCTGGACTCGCCTCGATACGAATAGTAGTCCAAACCTGACCAGCGAATCTGCGTCGTCCAACTTGCTCCATCTGTCCCCGCAATATGCACGTTTAGTGCCGTTCTTATCATCTGGATGTGTTTCTCCTCACCGTTGGGTTTGGACCTCCTTCTAGACTCCGCTTTATCTATCGATCCTCCAGTTGACAGCTGCTGTCGTTTGTTTCCGTCGACGAGAGATACGGCTGACTCCTCTTATCTATAGCTTCCGTGGATACTCGAAACCATACTTGATATGCTGTGACCGTCTCCTCATTTCCGACTTTGCCTTTATCATCTCTCCTTTACCAAGGAGACCTCCGACATCTCATCACCGTGCTTGTCCATGATTATCTATAACGTGTCCGGATCCATGTTGACAACACATCCTTGGGCATGGAAAGCATTAAGATCCCGCCCCCTTCGGCAATCATAGACCATCCTTCTCCCGTGTCTTCCTCTATCAGTCCCCGTCAACCAACTTCTTCTACCAGGAAAACCACGCCACCAGAGAGACCTACCACAAAATTAACTGCCAACAGGCCCAAGCAGTCCAAGAGTCGTAATGGTACTGTGTTTCTCAGTCGTTTGTTCAGAAAGCTCGCTCATTCATGCCCATACGAGCGTGGAGTGCACTCAAACTAGGACCTGCGCAGAGCGCTGACATTTCCTTGACTTACTGGATGATACGCTAGGCTGCATCACCTGCAAGACGAAGCGGTTGAAATGTGACGAGTCAAAGCCCACTTGTCTCCAATGCAAAAAGCGCAATGTGGAGTGTGGAGGGTACCAGAAGAATTTCAAATGGCGCCCATTCGAAGAGACCAACGTGATTGGCAGGTGTTCGAATACTAAACCTAGGAAAAGTAAGTGCAAAGATATCGGCCTATCATATTTTTTTTATTCCCCTTTTGAAGAGTTAGTACTGATGTTCTTCAGCTGAATATCATTCGTCAGGAATAGCCTCTCGAAGGCAAAGCTGCGATACTTCTACTACGCAAGCAGACAAGGGTCAGCCATTGCCGTCAACGAGGGCTCAAATATCTGCACCAGCGGCATCTTCTGCTGATTTGAATGACTCTGCGTCAGCTCACCTGCTGCAGCTAGATGAACTGTTTATGAGCAATCCAAGCAGGCTTTCAGATTTCCAAGATGACCTGCCGCCCTGGAACAGAGATCCATCAGATGCAAGCCTCGACGGAAAATACTCTACACCTGAGCTTACCGATATTTCGCCAATAGAACCGTTCTCATGGCTCTCTGATCTTGTACCTTCTCCTGCAGAGATACAATCGCCTTCAAAGCGGATATTGCCCAAATCTACCTCACATGATCTAAATCTGGGATCTGATGAAATAAGTTTTGCCGCCCTTCTCGAACAAGATCACGAGGATATAGAGGACATAGTCCGCCAATCAGAAGAAACTGACGAGGATCGGGGTTCCATATCCTCTGGAGCCATGGCCGGGATGTCTAGACTCTCCAGGGGTCCAAGTCTAAGTTCTGCAAGCCCAGAAATGTTGGTGCTCCATTTTGACCAGTTCACCTGTGGAATCCTGTCGGTCAAGGATGGATCTCAAGAGAATCCGTGGAGAACTTTGATATGGCCGCTGGCCAAGGAAACGCCAGCCTTGTACCACGCCATCTTCGCCCTGGCAGCGTTTCATTCTAGCAAGACAAACACCGCACTCAGAGTTCATGGAGTGGACCATATGCGACAGAGTATCACCTGCATGGTGCAAGATATACAGAGTATGCGAACAGACGCTGCATTAGCTACAAGCCTTGCGCTGGCTTTTGCAGATACCTGGGACCAACATACTCGCACTTGTATCCAGCATTTACGCGGAGCTAAAGCTCTAGTCGCGCAAGTGGTGGCCGTTGCAGCCCAACGTCCAGAAGATATAGACAGAACTCGATTCCTGTACCACACATGGCTCTATATGGACGTCATAGCACGCCTGACCTCGCGAGAGGATGAAGGAGACCCATTAATGGATGTCTCTATCTTCCAACAGCCCAAAGATGCAGTGCATGAAATTGATCCTTTGATGGGCTGCGCCACAACTCTTTTCCCGCTCATTGACCGAGTTGCTAGGTTGATTCAGCGCGTTCGGAAGACGGAGTCAAATTCAATCTCCCTAGTTTCCCAGGCCATTGATCTTAAACGTTTGGTAGAGCAATGGGAACCACCGGATTGGTTCGAGCCCCCTGAGTACCCGACGTCCGAGGTACAGCATAGTATCCAAATGGCACATGCTTACCGCTGGGCGACGTTGTTGTATCTACACCAGGCAGTCCCAGAGATGCCGTCCGAGCCAGCCTCCGCGCTGGCTAAACGGACTCTGATGTTGCTGGCCACGGTCCCACCCAGCTCTCGAACAACTATTATCCAGATGTTTCCGCTTTTAGCTGCGGGCTGCGAAGCTGAACCGGGAGAGGACCGTGAATGGGTGTTGAATCGATGGGCCGCCATCCAGTCTCGTCTCATGCTGGGATCGATTGACCGATGCATCGAAGTAGTCAAGGAGGTTTGGACTCGTCGCGACTCTTTTGAGAATCTTACAAAAACCCGTTTAGCACGAGGGTCAGCCGGCATTAGCTCTTGCAGAAGAGGATCATTTGCAGTTGAGGCAGATGAACCGATGAATTACCAAGCCTTGTCAAATCGAGCAGTATCCTCCAGGCTATTGTCTGGGGGCCCTCGCAGAGGTTCCGGGGTGTCACCCTTGGAGAACATCGAGTTCGAGCAGACGGTCAGAGGGAGATTACATTGGGTCAATGTCATGCAAAAATGGGGTTGGGAGGGTAAGTTTTGTGCCTGACAGCTGAAATTCCTTCTTTCTTCCATACTTTTTATGCTTCTTGCGTTTACGTGAACGCATACTGATTTAAGTTTGCAGTATTTCTGGGATAGAAACCGTCCAATCTAACACGATTTGTGCTTCTTCTTGTCTGCCCCACTGCTGCTGGCTCGGATCCGCATTTTGTGGTCTCTTAACTCCTGGCGCGCTGGCTGGATTGCTCTTGATTTGATCCGCCCTTCGTCTTCCGTCTGAGGCGCATCAACATTGGCATGAGCAAGGTATGATTGGAGAGAAGCCAAATATGATTCGAGGTCACTCGTGATAGTAACGGTGGTCATTTTGGACGACTGTCTTTCTGATGGATTTATTTGAGTAGCTGGATGTTAGTGTTTGGAGCGATATGCACCTGGGATTATGTCTTCAATGGCTTCTGTTACAAGCTATCGCTTTGCCTGATTAGCATGGTGTTTGGATTTGTCGCAAGGAAGGGTTTGAAGCATAGTGCGCGGATAGCAATACGGACATGGCTCTGATAGTAATACCGCGTAGGGTTTGATCAGTTGAAATGGCGAATTTTGAGTATACAGAGTATACGTTCGATTTGATGCTTAGGAGGCGAGGGCGAGTCGTCTTTGAGTAGCTGCGTTGGGTGTGGCGCATGGGCTATACCAGCACAGGGCTTTCAGCAGGTCTCGCCTTGGAAACTGAGGGGTTTTTGCAGGGGCACAAGCGCGATGGAGACCTGCATTGGTGCTTGATGATGTTCTGGGTGGTTTGCTGAAAAATCCGTCTGTTGACTGAATGCTGTGGTGTCGAGATTGGTGACAAGCGATAAGGAAGGGGGAGAGATAGTGGGGGACCGGGGGGGGCCTTTGTCCTACTAAGTATTCCCCCAAACCGATGGAGTCATTTCATTGAAAATGGTGTTTTGAGGCGGCTCAGACCAAGAGAGAAGGGATTTGCATGCTGCATCCAGGCTGAGCAAGTCAATCCCTAGCTAGAGCTGCTGGTTCTTGATACCTCCCTTGGGCGCTTGGCGGGGTAGGCTGAGGGGCACCAGAGCGCAGACTAGCGTAAATCGTAATAGAAGATGCCTACTCCATACTCCATAGTAGTAGGAGCTGTTCTGTTAGAACTTAGATTGCAACGCGAGTGGAACGATTAACCTATCCAGGAAAAAATGCCCAGTACCTATCAGTAATCACTTTCCATCCGAACCCTCCCCTCATGGATTTGGAGATGGAGATGGAGATGGACCTATGATTCAGCATTCACTCTGATTACTATTATCGTCCCTTATCCGAGCGATGAAGCACAATCTCCAGATAGTTAGATAACCCGCTGCAGGAATCGTATCCGACAGAGAGCACTCCCAGTCTGGCAACACAATCCACGTACTATCTTCTTGTCGTAGAGAGATGTAGACAATGCCGAATCTGACCCTGAACATCCCAAGATGTATATAATCAATGCCCCCAAGCTCTTTGTAGAACCATTCTCATTGATTATAGACTCAGTTCATATACGACTTCACCAAGATGGCCACCCCCTTCAGCTACCACGCCAAAGCCCAATCCACCTTCAAGCCTCCCCTGATCGCAAACAACAACGCGTTCCTGGGTGATGTATACTCAAGGTAGCAACCTCCGCCTCCCCCCCCCTCCCCCCCGGGGCCATCTCCTACAATCCCACGTACTTCATGGGCACCCAGGAAGAAAAAGAAAAAAAAGAACAAAAGCTGATAAACCCACCAGCGAAAAAGAAAATCCCGACAAGCCCATCTCGGCGGGCTTCTACCGGCTGGAAAAGGGTACCCCGCTGGTGTACGAGTACACCTACGACGAGATGAAGATCATCCTGGAGGGCCAGTTTGAGATTTCCGACGAGACGGGGCAGAAGGTGACGGCGTCGCCTGGGGATGTGTTTTATTTTCCCAAGGGGGCGAAGATTACCTTTACGACGGAGTCGTATGGGTTGGCTTTCTATGTAGGTTTTTTTTTTTTTTTTTTTTTTTTTTTTTTTTTTACGTTGCGAGGGTGTGGTTGTGTTTGGATGGTTGCTGATTGACTATAACTCTATATAGACTGGGCAGAGGAAACAGGGCGCGGCTTAGGTTAGATCAGGAATTCATTGTTGTTTGGGAGTATCATTCATGAAGAAGAAAGAAATCTACTGAATGTGATATAAAAGTCGAGGATTGGACAATGGAACTTCTTCTGGTGTTGATATTGATAAGTTCACTGTTCAGTACCCCGTAAGATACTTCGTACCGTGGTAATACTCGGGAGTGAGAATTTCGGTACCAGGGAATTGCCAGTCTCAAAAGGGTAATTTGCTTACGGGGCGATGGACCTGATCCGGATTGTTTACTGTGCAAAAACCTGCTCCCATGCTTTGTTTACTTGGAAGTGCTTCATCGCTGAGTCGGTGGTACGAAGGAATTATGATTTTGGCTGCTTTAGACTCTAGTAGTATCCCTGGTGATCATATAGAATGTCCAACAAAGAATGGGAATTGTCTTACTCTGGCAAGGTCATTGTTGGGATAAACAAAGAAGATGAAACCCTCCAAACTCCGATCAGATCTCATCCAGATCCTTTTGTGATTGACGATCCAACCCGCTCTGTCCAACAGGAGAATACTTTAGAGCCCAGGTGGAGGATGACATGCAGGATGCACTTCATCCCACTAGAGAAGAACAGATCCTGGCACACGGCTGTATCTTGTCTGAGCACTTGAAGAGTTAAGACTGAGACTTGCACCCGAGGATGGAGACGCTATGGTCCCTCCTGCTCCATTTCACAGCCATCGCACTCCAATCACACGCGCCGGCGACTCCGATAAACTCAACGCCCCTGGAATCAAGGCAGAAGCTCAAAATGTAAATCGGTGCTCGTCGTCATCGGGGGGGATCTTGAGGGATCGCAGCCTTATGCCTTGGACAAGGGAGTTACCGGGGCAACTCCACTATCTAGGTCGTCGCACAGACCGCAGAGGGGGGGAGGGATCGAAATGACTCCAGTGGCCCTGAAGCTTCTCGTTGGTTGAACCCGAGACAGATCCAAGTGGATGAGATGAGTGGCTGGCTGTTCATCATCCCGGACTTGACTAGATACTAGCAATGATTAGTGGATAGTAATAGAGATTCAGCTGAAGGTGTACCGGAGTATCGAGAAGATAGACTCAAAGTCTCTCTCTGCATCTGGCCTGCAATGCGGTGGATAATCGAATAATGGACTGGATATAGCCATGGAGTAAAAGTAAGGATGCATGTCTGATCTATAATTCCACAACGTTCTCTGCAGCAAACGCAAATCACGTTTTTCTGCCTCGTGCTGCTTGTTTCATCCTGCTCTTGTTTTCTCCTCCATTCTTCTTTCTCTCTCTATTTCTTTCTTCCCTCTCTTCTCCTTCCCTCACTAGCGAAACACAGCCATTATCGCCGTTTCCTTCAACTGACTGAAACTAGTACCAGTAGATACCTGCTAGTTCCCTTTCCTTGAGCATCCCCCCTGGGAGTGGCTGATCTCTTTTTTCTTGACTTCATTCCATCGTCGCCTCTCCCTACCTGTCTCCTTCATATCGCTTTTCGCAGCTTCTTCCTTGTCTCTAACTTACTTTTCTTTTCTTTTTCCTTCTCTCCTGGGCCCCCCACCGACCGACGCGTCCGGCAGGTTTCACTCCACTACGTCGGCGGAGGAGTCTCTCCTTGACCCTGATCAACCCTCGACCACATCGTCGAGGTCAAACCACCTTGGTCATCCCGCTCCGGGTGAATTTTCCGAGATCATTTTTTGCTTCTTTTTAATTCGTCCATCCGACTCGCTTCCTTCGCTCAACCATGATGACTCTCGATGGCCCGCGCGACTCGCCAGAGCGTCATGGTCTCCGTCTTCCACACCCCCCTCCGCTGTTGCATACCCGCTCGGGCAACGAACCCTTTGATCGCCCCTCCACACCCGCAGAAAATGGCTTCACCAGTCCTGCCCAAACCCCGCAGGGCAGCCCGAGCAAGAACAGATTGCCCCCCGGCGCCAATGACCTGCCCAACGTCTTCGAGAAAGCAATGAAGCTCACCCCCTCCTCCCCGACCAAGAATACCTACAACCACTACAACCACCCCATGTTTGCTCAACCAAAGCCATCGCTGGAGGATTTCAGCGAGAGTGTTATCCGTCAGCCTCCTGGAAGCCCCACGCGGAAGGCCAATAAAGAGAATACACCCCCGAGTCCGTTGAAGTTGACCAAGGATCTGGGACCCAACCCCACTGCGGCGGCGATCTCTCGTCATGAACCATACCAGCAGAGAGATTTGGATACTCTGTCACGACGCCAAGTGCAGATGCGCGGGTTGACCCCAGAGGAGATGGAAAAGTTGCAGAACCCAAGAGTCAAACGCTTAGTCAACGTGACTCAACTATGTACGTGGATTATGTTTAGGTGTTCTCTTGGACGAGATGGAGCAGTTCCTCGAAGGCTCCAATAGTGCTAACACCGGGGATGTGTCTAGATTTCCTCGACCATTACTTTGACCTTCTGAGTTACGTTCACAACCGCCAGACTCGCTATTCCCAGTTCCGAGCGGCATACCCCGATCCTCCCGCAACCCCGATTGACGATTACGAGCCGGCTCTCCTCAAATATCTGGGTCGCGAACGCGCTCATCTCCGCAAGCGTCGTACCCGTCTCCGCCAACACGACTTCCAGATCTTGACTCAAGTCGGCCAGGGTGGTTATGGACAGGTGTACCTGGCGCAAAAGAAGGATACCCGGGAAGTGTGTGCATTGAAGGTCATGAGCAAGAAACTCTTGTTCAAACTCGATGAGATCCGCCATATTTTGACGGAGCGGGACATCCTGACTGCAGCCAAGAGCGAATGGCTCGTCAAGCTGCTCTACGCGTTCCAGGATGATGATCAGATCTATCTTGCTATGGAGTACGTGCCGGGTGGAGACTTCCGCACCTTACTCAACAATACCGGCGTTCTGCATAACCGTCATGCTCGCTTCTACATTGCAGAGATGTTCAGCTGCATTGACGCTCTCCATGCGCTCGGCTACATCCATCGCGATCTCAAACCAGAAAACTTTCTGATCGACTCCACCGGCCATGTGAAATTGACGGACTTTGGCTTGGCCGCCGGAATGCTGAATCCGGGAAAGATCGAGTCTATGCGGGTGAAGTTAGAGGAAGTGGGCAACACTCCAGTGCCTTTCGGTCGCCCGATGGAGCAGAGAACCGCTGCCGAGCGCCGTCAGGGATACCGTTCGCTCCGGGAGCGGCAGGTCAACTATGCCAAGTCGATCGTCGGATCGCCGGATTACATGGCCCCTGAAGTGCTGAAGGGTGAAGAATACGACTTTACCGTTGACTACTGGAGCTTGGGATGCATGCTTTTTGAAGCATTGGCGGGGTATCCTCCCTTTGCAGGCGCTACGGTGGACGAGACTTGGCAGAATCTGAAGAACTGGCAGAAGGTCCTCCGGAAGCCTGTGTACGAGGACCCCAACTACTTCTTGTCGCGACGGACCTGGGGCCTCATCACCAAGCTAGTGGCATCCAAGGAGAACCGAGCCAAGAGCATTCAGGAGATCCATGCGCATGACTACTTCAGCGAGGTTGACTTTACTCGCCTGCGGGAGCAAAAGGCGCCGTTTGTGCCCGAGCTGGACTCCGAGACCGACGCTGGATACTTTGACGATTTCACCAACGAAGCGGATATGGCCAAGTACAAGGAGGTCCATGATAAACAGCGAGCGTTGGAGGAGATGGCGGAAAGAGACGAGAAGATGGGCAAGGGCTTGTTCGTCGGGTTCACATTCCGGTATGTTTGCGTCCAAAGATTTTGATTCCGATAAAGTTTTGTGTTTTCTAACGTGCCCCGACAGTCACCGAAAACCTGCAGTGGACGGAGCAGGCCGGGGCTCGCCGCGCAAGGCGATTGCAACCGATGGATCGTTTGGAACGATGTTCTAGCCCCTTGCACCTTTTCTTTTCTTCTTTCGGACGTAAGCTGGCAACGAGCTGGATCTCGAATCGGCCATGACCACACTGATTTTGCAGCTTTATGAGCGGACGCGTCTCCTGATGATTTTCTGTATGCATTGAGTTCCACAACGGTCACCCCGATAAGGCTGGGATACATGGGCTGGAGTTGTGAGTGTATTGATTATTGCTTGTATGATACATAGAGAGAGCCCGAGAGGCGTCTTGAGTAGGAGTCCGGTTGAAATCAGAGTACACTTCGGTTGTTCTTGCTCGTGTATGTTAAAGCGGTATATTGTTTAATCGACATCCAACTGGTGCACCATCTTGAGGATCTCCGACTCGTTATCCCCGATCACTGCCTTGCCATGTGTCCAGTCCACAGTCTGCCCTTGTCAGTAAACCATACGCACAACCGTCCGAAGGCCGACGGCCCAGGCCCAGGCCCAGAACAGAAGAATAAGAAGAAGAGGAGAAACATACCACCGGCTTCACAAACCGCGCCTGATCCTTCTTGAACAACTCCAACGCATCCTGCGCATCCTTCGCCCCCGTCACAATCTGCGACGCCTTCACCCCGCCGCCCACATAGTCCAGGATATTCCGCAGCTGGTCCGCCGTCGGCGCCGCGGTCGTCACCTCCAGCGAGAACTCGCCGCGCTGCCGCTTCGCGTGCTCCAGGTAGTCGCTGGCCTGGTCCTCGGTCGCGGTCTCGGAGGCGATCGACGCGGCTTGCTTGAGGATCGTGTGTGCGCGCTGCGAGGAGGCTAGGCTCGGGCTGTGGAAGAGGGTGATTGGGTCGATGGATTTGGGCTGGCAGGGAAGGCCGGGGAAGGTTGTCTTGTTAGTTGATGTTGAAACTTGAGGGCTTGATTTGGGGGTGGTTGTGGAGGAGATTGGGGCTTGAAGGGGATGGGTACTTACGAAGCGGAAGACCATTTTGGCGGGTTTTTGTTTGGGAGGTGTTGGTGGTTAGTTTGGGTGGTTTGAGGTAAATTGATGAGCTTTGTTGGAGTCGCTGAGGTTGTTAGGAGTGAGAACGGGTTAGGTCGAAGGGGGAGTAGCTGAGTATTACGTCATTATATCGTGGTTTGGCTTGGCTACTTATTATTCACGGCGCGGCGGGCGGAATATCTACACATTTCAGGGGATTTTGCAATGGTTCGTTGTTTTAAGGGTATAGGTATTGTTGGATTCATATTTACAGTCGATATATATTCATAAAGGCGTTGATGAAAAAAAAAAAAAAATAGGGCATCACCATCCAAAGGTTTCCACATGTAGGTATATCCCCTGCGCTCCTGTGCCTTTGTGCACTGCCCGTTCGTCGCTGAGGTAGACCACGCTCCGGCGTACGTCATCCGAGAGTCCCTCTGGTCCGCAGACGACGACGGCGCTCTCGCCTTCGGCCTTCTCGAGGACCTTGCGGATGATGGTGCGGGGCTGGGGTCGCCCGGAGAGAAGGTTGAGGGGTTGCGATTGTGATGATGATTCGGGCTTGGGTTTTTCGTCTGCCGCAGCGCTAGGCGTTGCTGCTGCTGGCTCTGAAGGTCGCGCTGCCGCGCTGTGTCCCGAGCAGGTACATTTATGCTCGGTGATTTCATCCTCGTCTTCCACTGCCGCGGTGCAGCAGCAGCCGCCGCCAGGTAGGCAGCCGGTGGCCTGTTCGCTTGAACTTGTCCCCGAGATTGAGCGGATAGAGACGTTGTCCTTTTCCCAAGATTTGTCGTTTCGAGTCTCGATGATCTTGGGGGATTCGGTGGGTTGGGATTGCGGTGGGAGACAGGCCGTCTTCTGGGGGAGCTGCTCCAGCTTCTCATCGCAAGTAATATAGATGCTCACGTCGATTTCTCTGATCAAATCCGGCTGGACTCGCTGGCACTCTTTGACGTCCGATAAGACTGACTGGATTTGTGTTTCGAACCAGCTGAGCTGGGCACGAGACTTGACCACCCATACAAATCGGATGCGCTTGGTTGCGACAAGGCGGCTGCGTGTTGCTTTCCCGGAGGCTCCGCTGCTTTGTAGACATTCTGTCTTCCATCCGGCAACGATGTCTCGAAGCAAGGGAATGACGAAAGTCGCTCCCATACCACCCGCGAGTAGAACGACGCTGTCAAATTGCGTGAGGGGTCGGATGGTCCCATATGGACCGTCGATGAAGACCGTACGCGGCCGTTGCGCAGATGAAGTTTCTCCGGAGCCAAGGATGTGGTGGTGCTTGGACGCATACCGAAAGAATCGTCGTGTACCACCCTTCTCGGCTCGTACCAGAAATTCCATCTTGTTGTCCTCGGGAATCGAAGCAATGGTGAACGGGTGGCTCTGCAAGGGCACCACTGAATGACAAGTGAGGAATACGTGCTGCCCAGCCTTCCACCCTACACCAGGGTTCTCGATGGTGACCCGAGTCACGTTTCCCGGTAATGGCGTAAAAGTGGCGCGATTGGCCCAGAGAGAATGCTGCTTCGGCTTCGAGGGATGGAAAATTGAAAGGTTGGCGTACGTTGCCCACGCATACCGAGCCACTCGATCAAAAACTAGGAATCCTATCGGCATCCACACCCAGACCTTAACTTCGTCCGGTGCATGAAGCCAGACAGCAGCGATGAATCCAACAAAGGTGACTAGATGCTGTAAAACAAATAGCTCGTAGCTCAGTCGTCTGACTGGCGCCGCAGATGAAATGACAATGAATGTCAGGATGCACCATGCAGCAAAGCCTCTTTGCGTAAGCACATCATTCTGCAGCTGATAGGTGATGTAGTCGTATCGACCCCAGCTTCGGAACCAGAAGCCCATGTGGATCGTCGCTGTCAACCACAGAGTCCGAGAGATCCAGCGATGGAACCAATTCAGACGTTCGTAGCTCATACCTACGAACATGCCGATAAGGTTTTGTCTTCCCGCCAGCAGAAAGATCAAGGGTAATTGAGCGATGGTGACAAAGCCGGTCCGATAACCGACGTTTTCCCATTTCCATTGGTCCATTGTATCTAATTTGTAGAAGCAGAACACGAGGACCACCACGAGGTTGGCCAGAATGATGGCCACAGGGCCCAGGGGAGCAAAGTGAAAAGATCGACCGCGAATGGTCACTGGAGGTAGAGTCGCATAGCTGGCTTCGCGGACTATGGCAGTTACTGTGGCATAGGATCTGAATAGTAGCGATTTTGGTTTTGACGGGGTAAGGGTCGAGTCGCGCAACCTTGATAGAGTGAGTGAGTTGGCTTCGTAAAGGGGCACCTCCGTCTATAATTGGGAAATTCACCTTTGATATGCTAAGAAGCGGTTGAGCAGGTTCACAACTGTTCCAGCAGCAATGGCGCTCCCAACAACGGCCCAGTACATTCGCTGGACATAGAACAGGTCGGGTTCCCCATCGCCCATGGACATATGGGAGTGGTCCATGCCACTCATATCCATGCCATCCATGTCCATGATGAAGAAGCTGTTGGTAGGTCTGGGGTCTAGTTTAATGTAGGGGCTGGTTGCGACAGTCGTGATCAATTTGTGCTGTATAGCACAGGATTTCTTGATTCGCACTGAATGTGAGGGGATTCAATTCTCATGGCTGGCTTCACTGCGACGCTTGCCTATGGTTTAATCTGATGTGATAGTGTGTATTTGCTGTGACTGTCTGGCTGTTGGGACAGTCTCGAACTTTCCAACAATGCGAGACTCGATCAGGCGTGCTCAGAAGGCACTCCCTTGCCAGCACGATGGACTGATAGATAGATAGGGTGAAGGTGAGTAGATAAGACGAGACTACGGATACTGTCTGATGCAAAAGAAAACCTGATATCTTGTATTTTTAATTCACATCCGAAATACTCATGCGTGTACTCTGTACGTACACTAATAATTAATCTGCTCATTCTGTGACCCGCTCAATCTGCCTAGGTTCTGGATGCGACACCAACCTCGGTGCTGATTGGCCCCACCCGCTGGAAATGTGCTCAACCCGCCCACCCACACCAGCGAGAGAAACATGCTCAGACATCCCGCCCTCCTTACAGTTTCTGGATGTGCGGAATTGAAAATGTGCTCAAGACTAGCGTGTTTGGCCAACGGTCTTGGCCTGTCTGGAAATTCAATTCTTGGATCCATTATTCCAGCGACGATGGTTTGCTTTAAAGTTGGCGTCGTCTCCGTCATCGTGTCAAGGCCATTGCCACACAACACAACTATACGGTCTCTCCCGTTGTCACTATCTTCAACCTCCCGCCGCGATAGATAACGTCCATTCCCGCAATATCCTCAAGGTTGGAGGAGCACCGATCAAATTCGCAAGCACCATCGTCTAAGCATCAACGGACACGAACATGGATCACTCCAGTCACTCAGGCATGTCGTCCTCTTCGACCATGACCATGCCTATGGTCTTCACCAACGCTCACGACACCCCGCTATACTCCTCGGCATGGACACCAGCTTCCAATGGTGCTTACGCGGGCACTTGCATCTTCCTCATCATCCTCGCCATTATCAATCGCTGTCTGGTCGCGTTCAAGGCCTACCTGGAGCACTACTGGTTGGCTGCTTACCTCAATCGCCGCTATGTTGCCATTGCCGGGAAGACATCTGAAGCAGGCCGGATAGACGCGGATCCGGACGCAAAAATGGCTTCTCTGGTGACTGCGCAGGGCGTGGAAGAGTCGGTCAAGGTGGTGCGTCGCGTTTCACGAGGGACTGTCCCCTGGAGGTTCAGTGTCGATGTCCCGCGCGCAGCCATCTTTCTGTGTATCACAGGCGTGTCATATCTACTGTATGTTGCTGACCACCCTCTCACAAATTCGTCACCAAGGGCAATTTACTGACGTGTGCTTGCAGCATGTTAGCGGTGATGACCTTTAACATTGGATATTTCTGCTCCGTCCTGGCTGGTGCTTTCCTGGGAGAGCTTGCCGTTGGACGGTTTATCCAATGGAACGAGCACGACCACTGAAATGACATTTGATGCTATTTGATTTTCGGGTTTGGGATTAGCAACGGCGTTCTGGGGATTACAACAGCATTCATGGCGTCGTCAGCGTTGGGTTTTCGACTGAGATTTCGATATGACTTCAACGTTGGCTATCATTTATATTACATACTTCTACTTCTCAAGAGGATCGACGACCGACGGGATTTAATAATCATACTTTTCGGCAGTTATCCCATTATATATGACCATTTGCACAATCATCAGGAGGAGCTTGTCTTCTCATCGAGTAGCAAGCTCTCTATCTACCCCATAGCATTATATCCAGTCCCCAATGTGTTGATATGAAGAAATACATCCTTAGGTAAAGATTGAATCCCAATTGCTATCTACCTAGGTCATATCGCGTGATACTTCCCTCCTTGGCAATGTATGGCGAATGGCGATGGTTCCCCTCTTACTCCGTATGTCCTGATTATCTCCGGATCCAAATGCTTCGAGCTTGACGGCTTTCGGCAGGTGCAACCTGTAAGGCTGTAGCTAAGTTGACGATTAGTTATTGGACAATCCACCAGTACCGACTACCAAGTACCAAGGAATTGTGCAGTTTACGGACGCTAGTCCTTATATGGTTAAATAATCTGCTCATTTTTGCTCAGAATTGAGAGGGAAATCAGAGACATGATTCGTCAGAGCTTTTCTGAGGGGAAGCTAAGTCTGAGATACAATGCGCCAAGCCAGCTCATTGATTCATGGTCAATCCCCTGCTCCCTGGATAATGTCATGATAGAACTGAAAAAAAAAGCATCATCCACCACAATTCATGATGCAGGGAGTGGAAATCAAGCCTAGATCTCCAGAATCGGTCTCATGTGGACTTGGACCCCTGGCTACAGGTAACTGCGGGTATTCTGTATAACCATCTACATTGATTGAATGTTAGGTTGTGTAACCGGGGATATAAAGAGTGGACATCCCGCGCTGCGACGCTGGGAGACGAAAATACATCATTGCTTTAATTGTAGCAGGCCTTCCACTCTCTCTTCTTTTCCTGTCTGTCCTCTTCCTCTCCCCCATAACTATCGCCATCATGAAGTTCTCTCCTGTCTACCTCCTCTCTCTGGCACCACTTGCCGCCGCCCATTTCAAGCTCGAATACCCCGCAAGCCGTGGCAGAAATGAGGACACAATGGCCAACTACCCATGTGGTGGCATGGCTCAATCCTCGAATCGGACTCAGATTCCCCTCTCCGGCTCCTTCCCTGTGGCTGTGACCTTGGGCCACGCCCAGACCGCCTTGGAGGTTCTGCTGGCTCTGGGAAGCAACCCGGGCGACAACTTCAACATCACCCTCCACCAGACCTTCCGCGTTGAAGGTCTGGGTGCCTTCTGTCTCCCCGACATCGTCTTTGACGAGTCTGTGCTGGGCGTCAACATCACCGATGGCATGAACGCGACTCTGCAGGTGCAGAGCAACGGTGACCCCACCGGTGGTCTCTACGCTGTATGTGATGTCGCTTTTCTAGACTCTGAAATGTAGAATGCTGACAATATATAGTGCGCGGATATCCAATTCTCCTCGTCCGCAAAGGTTGATGAGGCCTCGTGCAAGAACAACACCGGCATCAACGCTGTCGCGTTCGCCGGCGATGCCGCCAAGCGCAATGCCAATGAATCCACCTCTGACGGCCAAGCACAGGGCAGCTCCGGCTCCAACTCTGACTCCCACTCCCACTCCGGCTCTAACTCTGCTACACAGACCCAGGGCACTGCTGCCTCTTCGACTGGCGGTGCTGTGGCCCTTCAGACTGCTGCTTGGGGAGTCTTCGGCGCTGCCGTTGTCGGCGGTCTTGCCGTTCTGTAGATGCCTCACTTGCACATACCCATGATGGTGATGGAATGACGGATGTGTGTCGCTTCGAACTTGCCCCTCAAGGCTGAAATGATCGATGGAATGAATGTATGATACCACTGTACTGTATATATGAGTTTACAAGCAAAGAAACAGCGAATTCTTTTTTTTTTTTTTGCAATTATACTGCCGTGTAAGAGCGTGGCTATTCTTTGATTTTTATGCCCGTAGGATAATGCATAAATCACGTGCCCATGTGTGCCTATTATCCTGTACCCCTGTAGGCTCCAATGATAGTTCTAACCACTAGAGGCGGCTTTCCTTGATCAAGTTCTGTATCTGGAAGGCTTTCTTGTTATACATTTAATCTAACAAAGGAAACCACCTGAAGTTCATATCCTGTGGTGTGGCTCGGGTTTATCAAGAATATGGACCAGCTCGAGCGGTTACGTGCAGTTGGTGAGTGAGAACCCATACCCTGGCTTCCCCTGTTACACGGGAGGCTCACGCCTCTCAGGTCGATTGGAGCAATACTCCACGGCGCGGCATCATATCAAATTCTATTTGAACGTCTCTGTGGTAGCGACATACACACTGCCTGATACTTTCAACCCCCCCGTCAAGGATTATGTATACAAGGCGTGTGAGGTACTCATTGGCCAGCATCCGATCCTATCTGCTGTTCCTGTAGGCGAGGACACCAAGGAGCCCTACTTTGCACGTCTCCCGCAGATCGACCTCGAGAAGTCGATTTCGTTCCAAGATCGTGCTCATGTTGTGCCTGAGGGCGATGAGTCAGATGCAGAGCTGGAGGCGCTTGTAAATGTTCAGCATAATGAAACATTTGCGCCGCTACTGCCGTTTTGGAGACTGTGTGTTTTGAATGATACTATACACGGACGTCGGTTTACAGCTGCTTTTGTCTATCACCATGCCATCGGCGATGGAACATCAGGCAAGGCGTTCCATAAAGCGTTCCTCCAGGCTTTGCATGATACTGGCCCATCCCTCTCTTCCGGTGAGGTTAAGCAGCTTGTCACACCGCCCCAGGTACCACTGCTGCCTAGTGCAGAGGAAGCTCTCCCGCCTGCCGTATCTATTCCTTTTCTGGTGACCACGCTATTCAAGGAAAATATTTGGTCCTGGACAGATCCGGGACTCTGGACCGGCTCGGAGGTGATTGTACCGCTCGAGACTCAGATGCGCCACATCGTCTTCTCGGAATTTACCACATCCTCCTTGAAAGACTGTTGTCGTCAAAAAAACACGACCATCACTGCAGCCCTACAAACGTCAATTGCGCGTGCGCTTTTCGCACACATCCCGGACAGTTTCACGAGCGTCCAGTGCTCCGGTGCTATGTCCATCCGCAGATGGCTTGATCAGGACATCATCACAGATGATTCGATGGGCGTATGGGTCCAAGATTACGACGAAACATACTACCGTGACAAGGTTGCAGGAGCCTCTTTCCCATGGGACGAGGCGCAGCGGTCTCGCCAGACGATCGAGAAAGTCCTAAGTTTGAAGGGCAAGAACGCCGGCCCTAACCTACTCCAATATGTAAGTGACATCCACCAGCTGTTCCTGTCGAAGGTTGGAAAGCCGAGGAAGAGCACATTTGAGGTTTCCAATGTCGGAGTTCTGGCGTCGAAGTCTGGGCAGGACGCCACAAAACCGCAGATTGGAAGAATGGTCTTCTCTCAGAGTGCCAGTGTTACGGGGAACGCGATCGAGGTGTCGGCAATCACGGGTACTGATGGCTGCCTCGTTCTATCTTTCTCTTGGCAGACACATGTCGTGGATGTGAATCTGATGTCGGCTGTTATGGAGTCAGTCAGGACAGAGTTGATCTGTATTTGCTCTGAGTAGATCAAGAGATCATTGAATTGGTTTCGATCTCATGCTGTACCCTATTGATACGTGCTTCATGGTGTTATATCTGATAGAATAATGTATATAAGAAACGTCCGATTCGAAAGTTCCATCTGAACCAGCCAATATGAGCTAGAGAAGTCAGTACCAATGAAGTCTGCCACTTCCAGCAAAGGAGACCAGTGTCTCAAATCCAACCTCGTCAGAAGGCGGTAAGTCCGATAAATAGCCTCGGTGGCAGAATCGCGGGGGATAAGTCGGTGATTGATGCAATTTCCAGCATTTTTTGACGATTTGTCTCTCATTCCTATCTCCAGTCCACGCATTGATTTCTGTTATCATACCCGATCATAGTCAATATGGCACCCCGCGCACCGTACATTGTGCCGGCGCTCAAGAAGCACACGGCGACTGTCATCATGGCTCATGGACTGGGTGACAGGTGGGCCCCTACTAGAGTACACGATGATGAAACTCCTCGCTGACCTTTCATGTCGATGCTTTTAGTGGTGCCGGATGGTATGGTAATCTATTGGGCGAATTAAAATAAAGCAGACTCGCTAATTTGTGTCTTCTACAAAGGATGTCACTGGCTCAGAACTGGCGTCGTCGCGGCATGTTTGACGAGGTCGCTTTCATCTTTCCCAATGCGCCTATGATCCCCATTACAGTGGTACGTCGCAGATTGATGTGTACAATGCGTTAAGACGCGTGTAGCTGTGTTAACGTCCCAATTGGGTGGTTAGAACTTTGGAATGTCCATGCCTGGATGGTATGATTTGACGAAGCTTGGCCGTGATGTGAGAGAACCCCGATATCCTGCTAATATTGGAAGAGAAGAGTCACCATCGCTAACCCCCTGTTTAAATGGCAGCTCGATTTCGAAGAAGCTATCCGGCACCAGGACGAACCTGGCATCCTCCGATCCCGCGATTACTTCAACACCCTCATCAAGGAGCAGGTCGACAAGGGCATCAGCCCTTCGCGGATTGTCCTCGGTGGCTTTTCCCAGGGCGGCGCCATGTCGATCTTCTCTGGTGTCACTTCCAAGGAGAAGCTTGGTGGTGTATTCGGCCTATCTTGCTACCTGGTCCTCAGTGACAAGATCAAGAACTATATCCCGGAGGACTGGCCAAACAAGAAGACCCCTTTCTTCCTCGCTCATGGCTTGGAGGACGAGGTTGTGCCGTATCAATTCAGTAGCCTGTCCATGAAGGCTTTGAATGACTTGGGTTTGGAAGACGTCAGCTTCAAATCTTACCCGTGAGTAATTCGCGTATGGAGGGATTTTATTATCTATTCGCCGCTCATGATTCCTATAGTGACCTTGGCCACTCCGCCGACCCGACAGAGATTGAAGATCTGGAACGCTTCCTTCAGAAGACTATCCCCCCGGAGGGCGACGGCCAGGCCTCAGCTGGGTTATGACTTAGCGACCATGGATCCAGTCAAACTCAGGGCCTAGAAGGAACGTATCTGAGATACAGTCTTGTGATTGGCGCCCTGATGCTACTGATCGCCTATGTGGTGACGAAACTCGGCACAAAAGGCACTGGTGCGCCAGCCGCTTCTGAGAAGCGGCGCTGAATACCAACCTCGTTTCATTAGCGAAATATACAGCAAAGGATAGATCTTATACTACAATCCGTTTTAAATAGATTCAAGGATCAAGGATTGTCGTCCCTGTGATTTTCATAATCAGGTCTATATATCAGATACCCCAAACTTGCTATGTGTATGGCAAACCCCATTACTAGCCCTTCATGGCCCGCTCAATCGACTGTTCGATAGCGGCCGTCATAGCAGAAGTATTCTTCTGGTCAAAGGGAATGTGATGCTTCGAGCCATGATCGTAGAAGACCGCCGTGGACGGGTCACACAGCCCGTACAAGTGCATACTGCTCGAATAATACGGATCCTGCTTACCCACAATATGCGTTGTGGGAATCGAAACCGGGTACTGGCCCTCCTCGGCAACAAGCTCCTTGTTTCCAGAGCTTTCAAACGGTTTCGCAGCGCAGATAAACACAGCAACCTTGAATAGAGGCGTGGAGTTGGTCTTGGCATGGTGGGCCAGGAGAGCGCAGGTAAGCGCAGCGCCCTGTGAGAAGCCCATCACGCCGTCAAAAGGGCCTTGCTTCTCCATTATATTCAGCGTATACTCGAATGCTCGAGCGAGATCCTCGCCTGGATAGACATCGCGGGGGTAGTGGCTGTAGAACGGCCCGTCTAGGATCCCCTCGATTTCTACGAGTGGGTTAGAAAGAGTGGTCTCGGGAAATAAAAAAAAAGAGAGGAGAGGGGCTATGTCTGTATACCAGGTTCAGGCTTTGAGTTGACTCGTCCATCAACGAAGACGAACTTGTGGCCTTTGCTTTCCAGCTCTTGGATGATTCCGCCTGTTGATGCCTGTTAGTGCTTGCATGGTTGATAGTCAAGGCGGCCGCAAGTGTTCAAGCTGAGGATGCTGGGCGTTTACCAGACTGGATTTCAAATATCTGTTTTTTTTCTGGTAGTCAGCCAAGGAGTTTCACATCACATCTATGGCAATCTAGACATCTCTCCTGACATACTTCTGCGCTTGTCCCCGCGCCGTGCAGACAAAGGAACCGCATCTTTTCTGTCGAGTTGCTGAGGATTCTTGTTGATTCTCGGTTGGTCTACCCCGGCCTGAAGAAACTGAGAAGCTAGTGATGGCGCAATCTAGTGGTCAATTAGATGAGAGAGGATGAGTTCTCAGCAAAACTGGGTGGTAAGCCTTGCTGCAGGAAGTGGGATGAGTGGCTCCCACTATTATTACTTGGTGCATGCATGATGATCATTGCCATCCTGACCAACGCAAAACCTCAAGATTGATGACTTTTCAATTAATATGCACTCAGGATTGTTCACTGGTAAGTATCTGTCTTGATATCAACACATACGATTGTTATCACCGTCTAATTTGGGGATACAGTGACTTCATTCCGTACTAAATAGTGTTTGTTTGAAGTTCCAATTTTGTGGGCCTGAGGACGGAGGTGATAAGCCTCGGTCGCCGATCTAGCAACACAGACTGTCCACAGATCTGGAGCATGATAGCTCCTAAGCTCAGTAATCATGAACGGACGCTATCAATTTTTTTGGAGAGACAACGGTTGAGATCTGGCATCCATCTCTTGCGAGGGTTTCTCGCTTTGTTGGATATTGTCCCCTGCAAGTTGCAACATGCCTCTAAACGACCTACCCGTTATAAGCAAATTTGCATCCCATGCGATCCTTCACCCATTGGACTTCTTTTCAAGCGTCGGTCCAACATTGAATGAATTGAGCTTTGGACTTCTGGGTGCCTCATTTGATCCAAAGCGCGATATCGTCGATCTCTCCGGAAAAGTCGTCTTTGTCACTGGAGGTAAACATAGGACCCTTGTTGAGCCGGGATCTCTGATTTCTTCAGGTCTTCATGTATGACGATTCCCTCATTGCTAACTCATTATTCGCAACTATTCAGGGAACATCGGCCTTGGAAGAGAGACGATCCTCCAGCTCGCACATCATCATCCGTCGCGCATCTATCTGGGGGCGCGCAATGCGACAAAAGCCCACGAAGCCATCATTTCCATCCAGGAGCAGCTTCCGTTCCCCGTGGATATCAGACATATTCCTCTCGATCTAGCGTCGTTTGCATCTATCCGGGCCGCCGTTGACACGTTCACGACACACTGTGATCGCCTTGATGTATTGATACTCAATGCCGGGACTATGGGCAATCCACCAGCAACTACACAAGAGGGATTTGAGATCCAATTCGGAACAAACCATGTCGGCCACTTCTTGCTCACGAAACTTCTGCTCCCCGTACTTCAGAAGACGGCCGCCGCTGCTCCCGACACCGACGTAAGGGTCGTGACGGTGAGCTCCCTGGCAAACTCCGCTGCTCCGTCCTACGAGGTGATGACATCCACGGATGCGCTTCTGGCTGCCAGTACCTGGGCGCGCTATGCCGCGTCCAAGGCTGCTAATATCCTCTTTGCTTCTGAACTTGCTCGTCGGTATCCAGAGATTCTGTCTGTTGCTATTCACCCAGGTGCGGTAACGAGTAATTTGTATGAGCATGCGAAAGCCTCCGATCCGGTGACAAAATACGGGCTTGCAGCTTTGTTTGCTTTCTTTCGGACAGTGCGCTCAGGCGCATTGAATCAGCTCTGGGCCGCTGGAGTTAGAAGAGAGTTTCTGACAAACGGTGCATACTATATTCCGATCGGGATTCACGCTACGAACAACAAGTTTGCCAATGATGCCGACATGGCAAACCGATTCTGGGAATGGACTGAGAGCCAGATTGCCCAGAAATCTGCTTCATAGTTGTTCTTTCTCATCATAAGTTGCCTTCGCTGATACCACATATATACATATCTATAGACTCTGCGTCTTTTGTCCTTTGCTCAACGTATTCTTTGTGACCTCGCAATGTTTTCTACTCTTTTCTAGCATTTTGGCATAGTGGTTCAGATTGTCCTATTCCACTGGTCACCACTTGGAGTTGTACAACGAGCATGGGTTCCTCTTCGTGGATATATGCTTTCCCGCCTCGCATTGGACCACGATACCACGCGGGGAAGCGGGGAAATGTCCCTGAATCAATCATCCCGCCTCTGACAAGAAGTGCCCAGGGTCGTTTTTGACCTCAAAGGTCATATATATCAAGCCTTGGATACTGGCTATTGAACATGGGCCTTCGAATCATCGTGACCGGGGGGTCTGGCAAAGCCGGTCAGCATGTCATCGCGGAGCTTCTCAAAGCCGGACATACAATCTTGAACTTGGATCTGAACCCCCTGCAAAATGATGAAGTGTGCACACTCAAGACCGACCTGACAGTCTCCGGCCAGGTCTTCAGTGCCATGTCCGGCCAATTCGCTTTGAGCGAACCATTCCCTCCGGGGCTCCCGCCAACCCCGGATGCAGTTATTCATCTTGCAGGCTACTCGCGCAACATGATCGCTCCTGATGATGAGACGTTCCGTACGAACACTGTATCTACTTATAATGTGATTGAGGCCGCCTGCAAGTTGGGTATCAAGAAAATCATCATCGCGAGCAGTGTCACAGTGTACGGGGTGTCCTTCGCACTTGGTGACACAGACTACCCATCATTCCCTGTCGATGAAGAGGTAGATACAAACCCAACTGATACCTACGCAATTGCCAAGGTCTGCGGTGAAAGAGTTGCAAGGGGCTTCGCACGTCGATTTGGTATAGACATATATGCCTTCCGGATCGGGCGGGTTATTGCACCCGAAGAATATGAGCAGGAACTCTTCCATAGCTATGTCTATGAGCCAGAGAAATGGAAGGTCCACGGCTGGTCCTATACCGATGTCCGTGATTTGGGTCGGATGTGCGACTTGGCCCTCCAAAAGTCAGGACTTGGGTTTCAGGTCTTCAACGCGACGAACGATACTATCACTGGCATGACCCCGACAGAGGAATTCCTGAGACGACAATGCCCAGATGTTCCCTTCACGAGACAAATGGGGGAGTTTGAAGCTCCATTGACCAATGCCAGGATGAAGTCGGTTTTGGGATTCGAGGAACAGCACCTATGGCGCAAATATTTCCCATTCAAGGAACAAGAGTCAAACTAGACTGTGAACCAAATGATATCTGGTAGATACAGACATATCTTTCTCTAGCTGGGAGAAATATACTTATTCAAGTGCCGTGGAAATGATTGTAATCGATCTAAGTAGATTTGAGATTACCCGATGCGGAAAGTCATACCACATAGGTCCGAGGAGGTGAGCGTCACAAGTATTGCACAGCGCGGAATAGCAAAACCACGCCAGCATGGTCCAACACTTCTGTTGAGTCATTAAGGTGTTTCTTCAAATCTATCGAGACGACAGACACCCTTCCTCGCTGCAATCAAGCTAAAGAACTAGCCTGACAAACATCGTCTGCTGCTTACCTCCCCAGCCTCAAGATCGTTTAGGGTTTAGCCGAGCTGCCTCAGTCAACTACCAAGAAGCACACCCACAACCCAACAATACGCATCCCAAGAGATGATTTTAACCATATTATCGTAGCAAGAACATTCAGATCAGAGAGACAAGTAGCAGTAGTCAAGTAAATACGTCAGTAAAGCTTGTAGAGCATTCATCCAGAGGCTGTCCGAAACAACGAATTAGCGAGCTGGGCTCCCCACACAAACCACTTTCGTGCTTGGGGAGCCGAGATGCGCATCATCAGCAACTTCAACCTTCCACCACCATCCAACACCACCACAGTTCACGGTAAGTCCAATCCCAACCCATCACCTCTTCCTCCTCACCTCTCTCGCTCCTCGACAAAATCCCCTCGACGGCATTCTCAAAGTCTCCCCTGACCCGGTACCTTTTTTTCCCTTCCCACCTGCGCACCAATTCCCTCCCCCGCCACGAAGAGAATTGCACTTGCAGCCGCACAATTTTGTTCCTACCGAGATTCGGATTATTGACGTCTTACAATTTTCATTCCCCGCCAGGTTTTAGGTTCTCGACGAACGCAAATACATCACCGTCAAAATGGATCAAGCAAAGTTGGCTAGGATGCAGGCGAGCGTGCGGATTGGTACGTTATATTCTCTTTTTTTTGTGGTGGTTTTTGGGGAGTCGAACTGGAATTCTGCGGATGGCACGAAGGCGCCGAATTTGGGCTGTCGAGATTGCACAATTTGGTTTCTGTGACGTCGCGACCGGATTCTGGGCTCAAAGAAGGAAGTTTTATGAGTGATTGATTGCTAACAGCTTGCTTTTCCTTTGACTTCTAGGGTACGTATTTGTTACTCTCGTTTCTTCCTAATTAATTCCCCGAACCCAACACCATGACGAATCGATCATGATTCCATCGTCCCTGCATTATGAGCCATTCTCAACTTTTGAAGACAAGAGCGCGACTAATCCCATCAACAGAGGCAAGGGTACTCCCCGCCGCAAGGTCAAGAAGGTCCACAAGTCCTCCGGTGCCGACGACAAGAAGCTCCAGACCACCCTGAAGAAGATGAACGTCCAGCCCATCCAGGCCATCGAGGAGGTCAACATGTTCAAGGAGGACGGAAACGTCATCCACTTCGCTGCTCCCAAGGGTGAGTAAACCCACCTCTTTCTCTCTCCCACCAAGCACAAAACGCCAGAAATATAAGCTGACGCATTGGAAACCCCTTCAAAATCACAGTCCACGCCTCCGTCCCCTCCAACACCTTCGCCCTCTACGGTAACGGCGAGGAGAAGGAACTCACCGAGCTCGTCCCCGGCATCCTGAACCAGCTGGGCCCCGACAGCCTCGCCTCCCTGCGCAAGCTCGCCGAGAGCTACCAGAACATGCAGAAGAGCCAGGCCGGTGCTGAGGGCAAGAAGGATGAGGACGAGGATGATATCCCTGATCTGGTCGAGGGCGAGAACTTCGAGAGCAATGTCGAGTAAACACATTTTCTGAATTCCCTTAAAGAAAAAATGGAAGAGAACGGAGAGAGAAAGACATGATTGCATGCCGTGCCATAATTTGATACACAAACTCGAACCCTTTGGAAGGCTGGGGCCCATGGTGGCCCTTTTTTTCACCATTCTTGTTTTAATGCCCCATTCACTCTTCTTTTGTGCAGTTCCTGTACAGTTCCCTGTTTCTGTGCCTGTGATGATCCAAAGTCAATCAGGGCTTGGCAGATGTGCGGTTCAGTGTCTGAAACGCGAAGTTCGGGTATTGGGACAGCGGCAGTACAGGCCGTCGATCAACTTGTCGAACACATGCGACATGAAATCGAACGGGATCTAGGAACATGGCACGCATTTTTGAAGACCAAGCGCCTCGGTTTACTATATACAGTGTCGCACGGTCTACCGTAGACATGTAGTATGATATGCACCTGGGAATTGTAGCTTAATAGACCCTGTGGTCAGATAATATGATTATCTATTCACCTATAACAACCCAGTAAATCCCATGCAATGTTTTGAATCAATAACCGTGCTAACTCCGGCAACTACCAATGCATCATGGAAGAATTTAGAAAGGAAAGCGAAAAAAATACATGTAAGGTCAAGGTCATAGAGGAAGAGGTGAAGAGGAGAGAACGGGAGCGCAGCCAATCTTGGCAGCAACAATATCGGCCTGGTCGGGATATTTGTCAACGGACGGAATATGACAAATCCTTTTTGGTTTTCACTCGGGTCGTCAACTGAGACGCGCAGCCCCGGATTTAGTCCCAAAATGACCAACACTTCCGATATAGACGTCGGGCGTACGCACAACAGAATGGGTGACGAAGTAAAAGATGTGTATGAAGGTGTCTCACGACTCCTCCTTCAGTCCACAGATATCGGTTCCAAGAACGACATCCACCATGTACCAGAATTTCCAGTACGTGTTGGATTTGTCGTAATCAAAGGTTCCATCTTCACGCAACTGGGGCCCATCACCTACTATATCGCCAGTGAACCAGCTGAGGATGGGAATCGACCGTAAAACGCGCTCAGTCACTGTGGGCTGGGGAGGGAGCGCCTCGGTGATCGGGCGGAGTTTCGTTCGACGAACTGTCGGGATGTGTGTCATGAAATCGGATTCGGGTTTGGGTTCTGGAGGGACATTTCGTTGTTGAAGGGAGGGTGCTTGCTCAACGCCCGTGGCGGTGGCTGAGCTTGCAGTGTTAGTAGATATTAACGATTCCTCCTCTTCGTTGACATCAGGTACGCTCGACAGATTGTTCATGGCGAACGATCGCGGCAAGGTGGCTGGACGGTCTCTGTCTTGCGATTGGAGGAATGTGGTGGAATGTGAAGTGGTCAAGGTTCGCGGAGCCTTCGACTTCAGCTGGAGGGCAGCTGACGAGTCCATGGCAATCGGGACATCCTCCGCAGGTCCTGAGCCGTGATACAGCTCGCAAAAGACGAGATACCCATCAATCTCCTGTGGCGAGTAGAAGCACGCGCGGTCCGCAGCGATAGTCGAGTCGAACGTCACTTTGATCCAGTGGAATCCGCCCGCATACCGTTTCGATTTGCGATTCGCCTCCACAGACAAGTTGGCGCGGATAACAATGTCGCCACCACTGAGAAGCTGCGCAAAGCTACTCGCCGAGTCAGGGTCGCTGCGGGGGTAGTCCTCGCAGATCAGGCCCTGGGAGATCTTCTCATACTTGTCGATGACCTTCCACTCGCAGTCCTTGCTCCTATAGCCGTAGAGTATGCACTCAGTCGCGACCTTCTCTGTCTGTTTCCGCGGGTTGTCGAGACTCGACGAGGATGAGGACTTGGGTAGGGTATTCCGACTCTTCTCCTCCTCTTGTTGCTGGGCGAACAACCGCCCGAACTCTGCTACGTTGGGGTTTTCGCGCTTGGCTGGTGTTCCGGTGCGTGTACGCGATCGGGCCTGTTCGTAGCGGGCATTTCGTCTCTTGCCAAATGGGCCCGATTCTTCGGGTGGTCGTCGTGGGTTGCGGGATTCGCTGTCAGATGGCAAATCCATGTTAGTTGGCTAGGCCAGGTCGTCCAAGTGCGATGACTTTATCGAAACACTTCAAGGACCATTCAAGAGCTAGAACTCACTCTTTGTATACATAGCCCCACGGCAAGAGATTCCCCTTGTCGTCCCGGGCGCGCTCCTCTGGGGGCACAAAATGGTATTCCATGGCAAAGGGCGGAGGCGCAAGGCTCTGATTAAGAAAAAGGAAGTTTGATCTCTTTATCTGACAAGCTCAAGAGATATGAAGAGTATAATCCAGTAAATATATTCAGGCGAGACCTTTGGATCGACTGTTGCAGGTTGTCAGGAGCAACACTGGACGATTTTTCGATGAAATAATGGGAGCTTCAAATATTTGGTTCTTACAATAAACAGTGCGTTAGCCCGGATACAGTCACGTGACATCCCATGAATGTGGAAGGGACTAATCTGCCTATGTCAAGCTTTGTATAGAAAGATATTTACATTCGACTCAATCTATACTGGAGGTATAAAATTGGATATATAAATTGTTGTTAGTCCTGCCTTCAGAAGGTGATCTGGCCAGCATCGCCTTGTAAGCCGCACACATCAGCAAAGTCTCCTACCTCTTGCCTTCGCCGCTGAACATATTCCACAAAACCCTGCATAGGACAAGAGAATCCTGGTCCCTGTTGGCAGTACGGTAGAGGTACAGGCTTGTCATTGACGATGGTACGAAGATAAACCCCCTCGCCCGGACTCTTATCGTTCGCGGACGATGAGCATACCATGCGTTCAAAGACGATTCTACCACCCATAGACATTACCGATGAAGTACGCCACACACGGTCTTCCGCCGCATGTGTAGTAGGCAGATGAGGGTCATATTTCGAATCTTGCAATATTTGCAGTGCGGTTAGGAAAGGAGCGATATCGCCGTCGTGGACGCAGCAGTTGACGCCTTCGTCTCCCAGAAAATCCAGGAGATCCTGGTATCTTGCGGTATTAACGGCAGCGAAGACGAGGAGGTTAAGTGTTGTGCCACCCAGCTTTTGACATATGGTAAGCATATAATCCAAGGAGCAGAAAGCACCCTTATGCACTTGGCTTACAATGAGATATCAGTACATCAAAGTCGACTTAATGCCGGAATTAAGGATCCTTTCTGTCCACCTCATCAATTGCGCGGCTCCTATCGAATCTTGAAGTATTCTGAGAAACAAGGTCGAAAAGACTTCAAAGGTTTGGCACCTCGGAACAAAAAGAAGCGAAAAGCGACTACACACACCCCGAAGTCCACCGATAATGGCCATAAAAGTGCTCCCCCTCAGACTAGTGAGAGAGCAAATCCAGGCCGAATGGAAGTTCCTGCTTTTAGAGATGCGACCTGCAATCCAGCTCTGACAATTGGGAGAATCCTGTCAACGCAGCAAAGGCACCAACAACGAACGACGCGCTTCTAAACGATTCAAACCCAGGGGAGTGCCAGGAGGCAACCCAAACGGCGCTCGCTTCGCCCTTGGTAAGCCGTGTTATTTGGCAACAAGACCCTGCCGGCACAACGAGAGTCATGACAAGTATCCTTCTGGATTGCCTAAAGCTGAACTTCGTCATTGGGAAACATGGTCGCGAGACTAAGCAGATGTTCAAGACAACGAAGACAAAACAGGTTCGAGAATGGATAGACCATATCTCTAAGCTTGACTATGCGCGAGCAGTCTCCCTGCTGAAGAAAGAGAATGCTTTTCTTGCAGGCCAGGAAATCCTCAAAAAATATCATGACACAGCCATCTGGTCAATTATCACGAAGGGGGCTGAGCTACTTGACTCGACAACGTTGCCTACCGCAAGAGGCCCCCTTGATGAGTTTAGCATGGCTGAAAAAGTCGCAACGAGAAAATTTATGGAAGAAGTCGGGTACGGAACTAGCCCACAAAATCAGCGATTATGGTGTAATCTCTGGAAGAACCTGTTCCAAATGCGCAAGGCTGGCGTTCACAGAATACTCTTTTATCGAACAAAAGAGTTTGATGAATATTGTAAGGGGTACCCCAGACCCAGTGAGATCTCTCTTTTGGACATGGTTTTGTCATGGGAAAACACCTACGGCCCTCAGATCGAACTGCTTGAACACAGGGCAGCACAGTGGAGTCAAGGCGACTTCACGGGTCAGGTATACCTAGAAGACCCGAATGTGACTCAAAGGCTGGAAGTACAGCACATGTTATGGAACAATGCTGCTAATGACTGGCTATCCTCTGACGAGGAATCTGCTGCTCGGCTGGCTGGGCTCAATCGAGATATACCCAGCCAGTTGTGGAGCCCTTTCGATATCAACACCATATCGGAAAATTCGGCAAATAAATCTAGTTTTATCTCCCTTGTGCCTGCAGATGATAAGCGGCTCATGGTCTGTCCCATCATTCCGGTACGAAAGGGGGACTTTCTGGGGGTCTTCGCCGGGACGATCCGCTTCTCAGACAGTTTTGATCTTGTACATGGTATCCGAGGGCCAGCTGAGAAGCTTTGGCTTGACTACTCGAAGGTCACTGGACCATTGAACCAGATGCGAGCCTTGCAGTCTGGCAGCGATGCAAACGTGCAGCTACAGTGGGAACTGATCAACGAGGAAGATGAAACACAGTCCAGGCTATCTTGGAGGGTATCTGTCAGAGCTCTTCGAGTCATCGTGCCGTTCCAGGAGATAGTTAGGGAGCAATAGCTTCTCCACAAACCAGCCATGTACGCGAGAAGAGGCTTCCTCGAGTCTTTGTTCGATAAGAAACGGTTGCACGTGGTGCGCCACGGCTGATCCAACAGAGACTCCTCCGCTCAGCAGTCGAATCTCGAACCCGTGAAGCAACTAATACCCAGTGGGAACAAGAGTGGCAGACAAACCCCTGCGGGCGCGCAGTGTACGAGCTGACGCCGACACCGTCAGGGGCCTGAAGCACTGAGGAGTCCTCAGGCACCACACTCGCACTGCCATGTGAGTGGTCATGTGATGCAACTCGAGGTCATTTGGGTGGCGAGCAAGGAGAGGATTCGGAACCAGGCCGAAAATGGTGGAAAACCGATGGTCGTGGAAGTGTGCAAGTGAGTGTTGGATGCTCACCTCCTTGGTGAGGGAAGTCAGGAAGGCCGTCATACTTCACACCTGTGACTGGCGTGAATGGGATTCCATGCCAGTCTATAGATAAATTGAATGTGTAGGTGGAACCCAACGTGGAGCGCGCTTCGCAAGGTGATCAGCCAGTGCACTTTTTGGCTGTGAGCTTTTTGATGACGTAAAGAACTCGGATCTGTGGCATCACTTTTGCGCGCTCCCTTTTTTTAAAGCTCTGAACAGGCCACGCTTCGCCTTTTAGTGTTTTGGCCCTGGTTGACCATGTTTATGGGCTCATGGCCTCTGTTAGGAGTAGGAAGTAGACGTCGGAGAGGCATGAAGAGATATGTGGACGTTTAGTTATTACCCTGGCCTAGAATGTGGGCCACACTGGATCGATTTAGAACTCCAGATCACTAAAGACAACCCGCATCATGGCACCCTCCAGCGGCAAGGGATCGAGAATCTTCTCAATATACGCTGGCCAGTCGTCAATCCACTGTAATAGGGGGAAGATATGAGCATATTCCCAGTATGAAGGATACCATCCTGCTGTTTCCCAGTCCACAAGAGCAGCTACTTCATATTCTTCTTTATTTGTGGCAGAATTGACGATCTTTTTGACGAGGATATTCTCTCTATAAAGATCTCCGTGGGTAAAAGTAGGCGGATGATTCAGAAGTACTAATGGGAGGTGGCGAGCAAGATAGTCAGAGAGAAAACTATGACTATTTGATTCGCTCCACATAGCTTTCGAGCGAAGTGCGATGGCTTTTCCGAATTCTTCTTCTGTCTGAAAAGAGCCGGTAATGGTAGGGTCTTTTTCACAAGAAAAGAAATACCTATGGGGAATGGGTCCTCGGTTGACACTGCCGTAAAATCCTGGTGATGGCAGCGCTCTCATCTGATTGAAGATGCATTGTAATTCTCTAACAATTGAATTTTTATTTACCTCAGTGAGTAATGCCCACACCGTCCCTAGAGAAACACCGGGGACATATTCCATGATAATATATAGGGTGTCCTGATCGCGGTACATGGCGTAGAGTCGTGGTGCTGCAATATTAAGCTGTTCAACAAAAAGGAGAGCATACCCCTCATTTTCAGTCACGAGGGGGCCATATTTCACAACATATTTGTCTCTAATCACGACCAGGCGCCCACCGTAGTCTGATCTCTTGGGGAGGGTTCGTGTTGCTCGTTCAACTTCATGAGGATGGGGAAGAGGCCCTGGTAATTGACGAGCATCACGATAATAAGGAAAGGGGAACGCCATAGTTGAAGGGAGACGCCTCACTGAAGAGTTGAGGATGTGGACCAGAGTCCAAGGTGTCTTATGTTGTATGCTGGCAGATGCAGGCAGGAGATATCTACCCAAATTCACCGCCTTTAGTGGATTTGCCGTGAGGGAGGAACACCCGAGTCGCCGCACCAATCACAAACTGTGAACCAACACCCTGCTTATTTTGAAGGAAAAGTAAAAGTACATTGAAATTGATGGGGTAACTGATGGGGCTGGAATGGTAAATATGGTAGTACTAGTGCTTCTACAGTCAAATGTCCTCCATCTTGAATAAACTATTTACGTTGGGTTGGGCGTCTAGATAGTGAACAACTGCTTAATACAACAAGCATCCGACTTCTCACGGTATATTTGATGGTGGGGCAGAGAGGTCCCAGTATGAATGTAACATGCCCTCCCTGGCTACTCAACGTACTACTACTTACTAGGAGGTACAGTGCTTTTTTTATAGGTAAATTCTGGAAGTTCTCAGGACTTAATCTGTCTGAACAAGTGCCATACAATAACAGACTATTCCTTCATGATTTACTAACACCCAAAACAAAATACAGTGCAATGAAGGGGGAGGACAGAGCGAGAGAAAGCCCTGGTAGGCAGCCAAAACCAAAAGGAAAACCGGAAAAGAAAGTTGAACACCATACAGAATAGGCCTCGTGCAGTTATTGGTTTTACCAAAATGGGGATATATACTGTACACTGTCACGCAGACATCCTCAAACAAACGAAACATCAGCCCACAGAATAGTCCTATTCTTAGATAATAAGCCCGTTTGCCTTGAGAGCAGGTAGGGCTCGCTCCAAAGTCTCTGGGATGACTTCCACGACAGCTTTTCCATCCTTTTCCCAATTCTGGCCGAAGAAGCCTGAGGCAAAGTATTTTGCTGTATCAATGACACGCTCAGAATCACTGGCCCAGATTCGTGTCCGTTGACCAGGCTGCAGCAGGTGCATATATCGTGTTAGAAAACGAACACCCGTCATGAAAGCCTCCAAGGTGCCTGCATAGGGACCGGTTCTGGTGAGTTGGTCAAAGTCTTTCGACGGTTGATCGGTAAAATAGGTCCAGTTGTTCAAGAACGATAGCGAGCCGTTCATGACGACATTTGCGTTTTGGATCCGATCAAGCAGCGCGATATGGCCTGTAGCCATCGGTAGTCAGATTACGCACTTGCTTAGATAGACGTTGATCAGAGGAATGGTCTTAGTAGTTGTCAGTGACATACGAGCTCAGGAATTTTTAGTGGGATATCTCTCTGCATGACGTGACATCTAGAGCATGGGTTAACAGCTTGAACAAATGGTATAGATGGGGTGGGATATACCATATGAACTTGGTCAATAGAGCATCCCTCAGGGGGATCAAGTCCCTGCAGCTCGGGATGTCCGTCAATTTTCTCAATCCATGGTCTGTATCCACCTAAGTGATAGAGAAGATCCCATTCTTTTTGTGCAAATGCGTTCTTGGAATTTTGCGAGCTTGAAGGATGGAACCATGTATTCCAGCTTGGGTAATAAGGCGATTGCGAGGTACATGAGTGATCAGTGGAGCAGACAGTAAATTCTGAACCGCAGCTATAAAACAGGGCACCAATTATTGCAGCTAGGAGCGATAGAGTTATTGCCCAAAAAGAATCGGCCTGAGACATGGTTGTGAGTTGTGAGGAATCTTTGGCAAGATTGCCAGACCACGGGATTGTTGGGTAGAGAATCAACAAACAGGAAAGAAGAAGTCCACTGGACGATTCCCTGCCAAGACATATTATAGAGAAGGGGGTTAGGTTCATTTCTCGAAATGCATTGAAGCTATTTGATTAAGATATAGATATGTTTACCATAGTAGATACGCCTGGAAAGATCTCCCATATCTCAATGTCTTCATGTGAAATAGTTTTGTGTGCTGTGGATGAGCATGTTGCCTGGATAGATCCAGCCACACCGGAGAGCTGAGGGAAGTCAAACCGTGTGCTTCATAATCTCGTCAAGTCTAAGCTGCTAAGATCTATGTGGAATCTATGTAGTATACCGGAATCGAGGACTTTTATCACCCAACTCTTCGATTTCCTCCTCCGTCATGCCTGCAACTTTGTCGTCCTTGAGGCCGTTAGCTCTGCGAATGTTCTCCTGATGGTAATAAAGCCACATGAGACCATACACAATGCCTGCGAAACCAACCATCGAGAGAGTCACGGCATTGCCGCGCACGTACCGTGGCGCCTCCGTAGTCTTATATAGGAAAGGCGACATCACGCCGCTGATGTTACCGAAAGTAAGTTGCATACCTGTAGCCAACGTTCTCTTTCCGTACCGTGGCAGTGTCGTCGGGAGCCACGCGAGGGGTAAGCCGACAGAAACGTACAGACCGAGAGCAATAAGCAATGCTCCGAAGTAATGCACACCGGACGAGGAGTCGGAAATAAGAATTCCATAACCGACCATGGAGATGACGCTGAAAATGCAGATGAACAACGCACGGCGCTGGAGCCGATCACTGAGCCATGCAACAGCAAGATACGCCAGGGCCCCCAGGGCATAACAGGGAATGGTGAGAGCTTGAACCTCAGGTGTTGACCATGACCCCATTCCCTTGATGATAGTTGGAAGAAAAGTGCTGTAACCGTAGAGCATAGTATCAACGCCAAACTGGCCTAGGCTGAAAGCATAAATCCTCCAATCCAAGAAACCTTCCTTGACATCCGCCCAGTGGAATTTCTGAGCAGACGCGGTCTGGCCAACATAACGGCTCCGGCGGCGTACAATGAGAGCCCTTTCCTCTTCGTTGAGGTAGTAGGCTGTGTCAGGGTCATCGGCAAGGAAGAACCAAGTAAACACTCCAAGGACGACAGTCGGGATACCCTCAATGATCATGATCCATCTCCAGCCTTTGAGCCCACTAACACCATCCATGAAACCGATACCGTAGGCTAGGAGGCCGCCAAAGGCACCAGCAATTGCTGCGCTACTGAACAGGTAGCCGGTCCGTAGCGCGAGTTCCCGTTTGCCGTAGAACAGCGTGAGATAGGTCATAAGACCTGGGAAGAGGCCGGCTTCCACCACACCTACAACAATTAGCTATGTTCTTTTGATTGGATATTGCAGATGGTTTTACTCACCGAGTAGAAGACGGCAAGCAAGCAGCCCGCCATAGTTCTGGGTGATGCCGGTGAGGGTGGCGATGATGCCCCATATCACGGCGATGGAGGCGATATAGCGCGATGGCCGAAGCTTCTTGATGACCAGATTTGATGGCACTTCAAACAGCTGTCATTTGGGCCGTTAGCCATGCTACAGCAGCCATGCAGAGCGGCGAAGGAAGCATACACAGTAAGTCACGAAGAGAATCGACACCGCAACCTGGTATTGATTCCCAACCAGGCCCAAGTCCTCTTCCATCCCGTACAGGCGGGCATTGCCAATGTTCACTGGAGACTCTCGTGTTAGTAACCCTGAGTCAGAAGATACATTTCCGAGAGCAAAGTTACCTCTATCAAGGAAGCTGAACAGATAAAGAAGGACAACAAACGGCAGTATGTACAAGTCGATCTTCCGGAGCAAAGCCCTCTCTGCCTTCTCATCTAGGGTGGAATCCTCCGAGACATCCTCGCTAATGCCAGTAGGGAGGGACTCCATGTCTTTTCTTGGCTGACGCTCAGAATCCATGTCGTTGAACCCTTATGGAGCCGCCAATTATTCAGATATATCTCTAACGCAAGGATGTTTCGAGTAAGATCTATTGACCCCGCGGTAGGAACAGTCGGCACTTTATAGAACCGTCAGGCTGTCAATAAGGCCCAAGTCCTTAGGAAGAGACGAAACGCATTATAACAAGTGTGCCCCAATGCACTAAGTAGGAGACTCGAGGTTTTAACAGAATTAAGCAAGGATCGAGGATATGCAAGTGAAGAAAAAGAAACTTGAGGATGTGTGACACCCTGGGGGTGGCATGGCACAGATGCCAAGAATCCAGACAAACTGCTTATCGATCAGAGATTTTGACTTCTGGTTAGTGGCAGCGTCCCAGTGGTACAACAAACATCAGCCATTATATTATGGTTGCTGGTTCGCATCCTAAGTAGTTTCCAGATATCTGGTGTGGCAATTGCTTGACATTTCGACGATATTGTCATAGATCAGATCGTTGGGAGTAGAGGGCTCGCGAATTTGCCTCTCATAAGTACCTGAAAGATCAAAGAGGCGATCTTGGATGTTCGGACGTCTAGTGTGATGACTGATGGCTCAAAATTTGGATGCCCACGATCAGACGTGCATCTCTCCGCGCATCACAGTGCTATTGCCAATGGTTATGTAGCTGCACGGTGATGCTACCGTTCTCTATTCGATTTCGCTGGCTCATTTCGGCCGCCAATTAATATTAGAAAATATGATCCGCGTTGAAGATATCGATGTTGGTGCCTGAGGCAGCCATCCGCATACTTGGATACTTGCTTACTCCGTATACGAACAAGACCGAGGCATGATTCGGCTCACGTGGATTTTAATTAACTGCTTACTTCGCGTCACGCCCAATACTCCAGGTGATACACTGAGCTTCTACAGATAATCACTTGCCTTCCATACTCAGACTACGTTATCCACTCACTTTTCCAATTCAATTTCGCTCAAGATGCCGGAGAATTACGGCGACTTCCAAACGGAGATCTATGGCCGCGGCGCTTTGATGGGAATCATACCCAATGTGACCACGGACCCACGCCAGCTTGAGGAACAGGCACGCAAGGCATTGGGGTCGCGATCCTTCAACTATGTTGCTGGTGGAGCCGGTGAGAAAGCCACTATGGATGCCAATCGGCTGGCATTCCGTCAGTGGAAGCTGTAAGCTCATCTACTCATCTCTTCAAAAGAGGCCAAGTTTGATGGCCATCCGGGTCATGGATCAAGACGGACTGATGTTTGTTATTCAATGATTCCTTGTAGAATTCCACGGATGATGAAACCGGTTCGTTCCCTACGGTAACTATTACTGACGCATCTGGTGGTAGCTGACTATAGCCCTTTGCTGCGCAATTCAGATGGATAAGCAGGACCTTTCTGTAAATCTCTTTGGTCAAGAGTATCCAACCCCGATTCTCATGGCCCCTGTGGGCGTTCAGAGTCTCTTCCATGATGACAAAGAGACGGGTGTAGCTGAAATATGTGCGGAAGTCGGAGTACCCTACATCCTTAGCACTGCCAGTAGCAGCACGATCGAAGAAGTGGCCGAGGCAAACGGGGATGGGAAGAGATGGTACCAGCTCTATTGGCCCCAAAGCGACGATGTCACCCTATCCTTATTGAAACGGGCCAAAGAAAACGGGTTTTCGGTCTTGGTCGTCACATTAGACACTTGGTCACTTGGGTGGCGACCAGCCGACCTGGATAATGCCTACGTCCCTTTCATCAAAGGCGTCGGCAACCAGATTGGATTCAGCGATCCAGTTTTTCGCGCCAAGTTTGAGAAGGAATCAGGTTCGAAAGTTGAGGAGGATATTGTCGGCGCATCCCGGGCATGGATCGGAGATGTTTTCTCGGGCAGTCCTCATACCTGGGATAAGATTGCTTTTTTGCGCGAAAATTGGGATGGCCCGATCGTTCTCAAGGGCATTCAGCATGTGGAAGATGCAAAGCTTGCACTAAAGGCTGGATGTGACGGGATCATTGTCTCCAACCATGGAGGTGAGTCTAACGCTCCTAGCAGGGGTGTTGTTTACCCGAATTGGGCCTGGTCTATCCCGTCTGACACTGCACAGGTCGCCAAGTCGACGGCGCCATCGGCTCGTTGGACGTCCTCCCGGAAATAGTGGAGGCAGTGGGTGATAAGATGACCGTCTTGTTTGACTCGGGAATCCGTACAGGCGTCGACATTATCAAGGCTCTCTGCTTGGGCGCCAAGGCAGTGCTTGTAAGCCGTCCTGTCATCTATGGCCTAGCCGTGGATGGCAAGCAAGGTGCAAAGCAGATCCTGAGAGGCCTTCTTGCAGATCTCTGGCAAAGTATGGGACTGGCCGGTATCTGCACGATATCTGAATATAATCGGGATGTGGTTCGAAAGGTTCAGTATCCCGGAGATTTGAAGGCTATGATGTGATGGCCTTTCATTGGGATGTGGTTCGTGAATAGGAGACATTTGTGCATATCATCACACAGAATTGTGTAGATATATCTCCAAAGATCCTCTTCATCTCTAAACCTCCTACCCATTACTGGGCTTTTACTATATTTGATAAACTGCAGAAACAAAACTTTGCAATGTTCAATAGACCCGGAAACTCTGTCAACGCTGCGGAGGAAGTGGGTTATGCAAGTGCTAGATACATGTATCTAATATGGTTGAGATGAGCCTCATCCCTGTTCTGCCTCTCCTTGTAAATCTTCCGAAATTTGACTTGCAGAATATATCCCCCGACAATGAAGCCTGGCGGGTTCTATATTACTCTATCAAGCAGGCAATTATCTTGATGGTTTTGCTGAGTGCCAGGAGTGGTTTACCATGAGTGATCAAGCTCCGTCACTTGTTGGGGGAAAAAGACGGAATCACATGTCAACCAGCGTGTCTCAACAAGAATGAATCAACCAACAAACGCTCCGTACTTTGTTCGACGGATCTACAACATTGAGTATTTTGCCATCCAGGAACAGGCCATTGCAGGCTCTGACGCAACATTTTGTATCAATTATGATTTAGGCGGGGTGATATCTTTCTGTCCCACTTGATTAAGGCCCTGTCCTGCATTGCGCGACTGACGTCTATCCAAACCTGCCTTTGCAACAGATGTATACAGATCAAACCCGAGAGAGTCAACTCTATGATCGGGGATGTCGCGCCTTCTTAGATTTGGATCCGTCTTCGGCAAGCGGGCTGAGCCTGAAGATGACATTGAGCAGAAATTGAGCCATGTTGGCACCGCAAGTCATGTACCAGCCACCTCAGGAGCAACCCTCCTACCGCGGCCGGTGGCTTCTGCTCTATCCCTCTTGACTCAATCTACTTCACTGTCTTTGAAAGTCGGAAGCTTCTTTGGCGGCATTGCGCTCGATGGAGCGCGAGTCACGACGCTGACAGGATTGGAACTCAGCAGAGCAGTTGTCGAGGGAATCCTGATACGAGCTGGGCGCGATGTCTCACTTCGAAGTAGCGGAGATCGTGGGAGATCAGAGGCGGAGTCCCTGCTTGAACGAAGTGTAGGTTTCGGTCTTTGCTCTTGTTCCCTGTGCTATTATTCAACTCATGCTAATTGCACTTCTAGTTGGCCGCGTTACATACGACAATTACCTCAGCTTCGTTCTTCGCAGCTGCCACGTTTCATTTTTCATCTTCGACGCTTTCTTCTGCCGCTCATTTGTCTCAAGCTCTCCTCTCTACTTTGGATGCAATTCTTGGCTCGACAGAGTCCTCGAGGGCAATAGCAGCGATTATCACACTCATTCGTAGGGAGTTCAGAAGCCCCAATGCTGAGATTGGCGCTGAAAATGTGGATGTTGTTGATCTTCTCATTGGAACTGTCGGGTTTGCGATGCTCCAGAGATGGGGCCGAAAAAGCACTGAGAGGCATATGCGCATCAACGGTGATGAAGAAACGGTCTGGGATGTTGTCATCTTAGACAATGGCACACGGGCCGACGTCATTGGCACGCACCAGATTGAGTCTCCAAGAGGTTCCCCAGATGAACGGGGGCCTGCGACTAGACGATCCTCTTTTCTTTTACCCAGCAACGATGAGGAAACTTTCGATGCTGTGCAGCGGCCATCAAGTGGAGCTGGAACGTCTGAAGGGCCGTTTATGTTGCTTCCCGCGGGCGATGAAAACCAGGTTCCAGATGAGGACATTCGCCTACACATCATGCGGCAACTCCCAAGAGGCTGCTGCGCCTCGATCAGAACGGATGTGGCTACCGCACGGACTATCACGGTAGATATATTCGATGATGAGAGTTTGGAAATAAAAGCTCCCCCTGGGATGATGATGGTCGAAGAGAGGTTCCGCAATGATCAGTTAGTTGAAAATCGGGGTACATCCACCATACAACAAATACCGAAACACACAGTTGTTTTCAGGACCGCTTTCAACAAATCGCAAAGCGCCAGCGTGAGGTCGGCCCGTCCAGATACTACCTCCAACTCGCAAGGAATGCGATCTGCAGAAGGGAGCGCGAGATTGTCCAAGCTCTCGCTTGACTTACAGGACATCCAGGCGCAGGCTGATGACAGAGGTGGCCGCAAGACTACTTCACCACCCCAAATCAACACTGATATTCATTTATCCCACAATGGCTTCTCGATCAGCCAAGCAAGAAACCACGGTGAGAGGGACGTCTCTCATACACTTCTCCCAGTACAATCGGGGCCTTCTCAAAGATCTTCAGTAGGGACAGCAAAAGAGGACAAGCCCGGCGGTGCAAAGCGATCTCGTGAAGACTCAAATCGCGCTTCTACGAATGAGACCGAGTCGGGCTCTAAGGGCGCGTTTGGGAAAGGCTCACTGACACGACTGGCGCAAAGGGTCAAGCCAACCATCGGCGAGCGAAGTGAGATTGGCAAGAGAACAGCTGAGCGGTCATCCCTGGATAAGTCAAGTATTGAACAGAATGCCAAAGACACAACGCAAAGAAACAAGGAGCACAAAGGACTCTTCGCTGACAGGAGATCTGGCCTTCAGCGCTCATCTACGAACACCAGCTCGGATGTGTGGCCAAACAAGAATGCAGTGTTTTCTGCCAGAGGAGCCTCGTCACCTGTGGCAAACAGGGGATTGCCGCGATCATCTTTGCAAGAGTCGCGGACAAGAGCTTCTCCATCTCAACCCCGTCGGATGAACGCACAAGACAGTCAAGGAAAGAATCCGCGAGTTGATTATTTTACAGTACACGAGTCGAGCCAGGAGTCTTTCGTCACTCAGTCGGACTCGTATTCACCTCAATCTGTTGAGACGCGCCCAACTTCACCTGCTGCTATAAGAACACATGCCCGCAGTAGCAGTTCTTTATCAGTGACACGATCTGAGACCGATTTAGCCGTTTCCATTGGCGGCGACGGCCGTCCAGACTCATCGACATGGTATCACAGAACAAGATCGCTTACACCTAGTCTGTATTCTCTTGCAACAGCTGGCTCGGAAACATCATTGATTCTAGCCCATCGTACACGGAAGAGCGCATACGACGACATAGAGACCATCAGATCGCTGAACAGGGACGGAATCATTCCAGGCATATTTCCCGAACAGCATTTTGTGCAGAACATCAGACGTTTCTGTCGGTTTTCGTCGGCTTCATATGGGTCGAATGCTCTGAAGGTGATGGGTGTCGCACGGTCAACGACGGGTCTTTCTGCCGCCGAATCTGATAGTCAAGAGCATAGTGATTTTTCAGATAATACTGGCCTACCAGCTTCGACGATCCTCTTGTCGTCTTTCGTTGACCCCTCAGGAGGCACAAATGCTGCCGGAGAAATTGATAGCGGTTTCCCATTGGTTCATTATGTGTGCCTCGACCATGAAACGAAGGCTGTCGTTCTCACCCTCCGAGGTACCTGGGGTTTTGAAGACGTCTTGACAGATATGACGTGCGATTACGACGACCTCGAGTGGCAGGGCAGAAGCTGGAAGGTCCACAAAGGCATGCATGCCTCAGCAAGACGACTCTTGATGGGCGGCGGCGGGCGAGTCATGATCACCATCAGAGCCGCTTTGGAAGAGTTTCCAGAATATGGAGTGATATTATGCGGTCATTCCCTGGGAGGAGGAGTCGCCGCGCTACTGGCCACTATGATATCAGAGCCCAACAGCGAAACATTCGGAACTTCATTCGTGACTGCTGCCCCGCGCTCTGTTACTCGGCAAGTTATTCGAGATGCAAGCAACAGTGAACCGGCCGATGGGGTCCATCTGCCGTTCTATCTGCCTCATGGACGTCCCATCCATGTATATGCATATGGCCCTCCATCGGCCATGTCCCCCTTCCTCCGCCGCGCAACGCGGGGCTTGATAACGACAATCGTCAATGGCCAAGATGTGGTGCCATATCTTTCCCTGGGAATCTTGCACGATATGCACACCGTGTCTGTAGCGTTCAAGAGCGACGCTGCAGGGGCCAAATCGCATGTGCGATACCGTGTCTGGGAGGGGTTACGACAAAGCATCGTCAACAAATTCTATGTTAATGAAACGCCCATGCTTTTGCATGCTGGAGAGGGTGTCGGCGAGGATGCTTGGGCGTGGAAAACCCTCAAATCGCTCCGAGAGGAGATGTGCGCTCCCAAGCTACTGCCTCCTGGTGAGGTCTTCGTGGTGGAAACAATGCGTGTTCTGCAACGTAACGCGTTCACCTCTGATTTTGGGAGCGACGGCTACCCAAGACTAGGTCGGCCTGCGACAAGAGTGCAACTGAAATTCATCAGAAACGTTGACTCCCTTTTCGGAGAACTTAGGTTTGGCTCGGGTATGTTCAGCGATCACAATCCAGCAAGATACGAAGCCAGTTTGGCCGCCCTTGCGCAAGGTATCCTGGATGATTGATGTGCTACAACCCGTAGACAATTTGGATAAAGACAAAACAAAGACAACACTTGCTGGATTCGTGTTGTCTTACGGTCTGTCACAATTTCTTAGAGTAATGGCTATGGCGGCACTGGATAATATATATAGACTGTTTTCAACCTCATACCCTTGGATAATTGTTCTTAGCTCCCATAGCTCAATCGAATTCTTTTGGTTCGCGTTCTGCTTAATAGCTTCCGGGCGTCAAGTGTGGACAAAAGGGTTGTCATCTCACTTATCCCCTTGCATAGGTGCAGAGCACTCAATCTGTAGTCTCACAGCAGTAGCAAATTTTTTTCCGCGGCCCTTAACATCAACTTCAAACCGGTTGGAGAACCACGAGTTCCATCCGCGCTTTTAGTGGGGTGGCGTTCGAAGAAACGAGTGGAGCAATATTTTGCGCTCTGGCCGGCAGGTATTTGCGATATGCAGGCTCCGCTGAGGTTTCTTCAGTGATTTGCGGCATATGCTGGTTGACTCGGACTTGGTGGACAGCCATTGATATGGGAGGTTCTGAGGCCGGGGCAGGCTCCTCAAACGACTGGGTCCAAAGAGAAAGCCAACTCTTTCTGGTCACAGCGTATGCACTTCACCGTCCGTTATGAGGTAGATCCTTCTTGCTCCCATCAAGGCCCTTTTGCGTCCTTTCCTGGATTCTCCTTTCGAGGTCGTCAATCTGTCTTTCGACTAACTCCTTCTTAGACATCAGGTTCTGCCGCGTGGCCTGTAGAGACGTGATTCGCTCGTCGATGCTAGCTTCTCGACTCTTCTGAATCTATTTCCTCAAAGAACATGGATTAGTTTGGCTGGAATCTACTTTTCCAAAAGGACTGCGTCAGCTATACCTTGACAACTTCTTGCTCGGTTTTCATCCCAGCGCCGTAAAGAGTTCCTGCAATTGTAATCGAGGTCACGGCAGCAGCTAGGACGATCTTCGGCACATTCTTGGGAGCACGCATGGTGCAAGATATATTCTCGAGGGACTTGCTTCAGTCAAGTAATAATATTTTATTTGATTTCGGAGCTGCGGATACTTCTCTCCATACTGATCCGCAGCGAACAAAACATCTATGGAACTGCCACTTCCTACCGCCTGACTAACCGGGAACTAGATTGATCTGCCCCATCAGGAGTCGCGTCGCGACACCCGCGCAGGAACCCGCCCAAAAGATCTGTATCGGAGAGTCGCAAAAACAAGACTTTTTCTCCCGAGTTTGCTGGCGGGATTAGACGCTCAAGCCTCCCCGGTATCATGCCGTCTGCGAGTACGGTTCCGCGCCGTCGGCGACGTTCAGAAGAGGAAGACGAGGATGAGGAAACATCGACAGCCTCGTCGAGAGACCCCACGCCCGTGTCACCGGTCTCGAACAATAGCAAGCGACCCCGGTTAAGCAACGCCTTTGAAGAAAGGAATGGCCGTACAAACGATGCGTCTAGCAGTGATGAAGACGAAGAGGAAGATACCCCCGAACATACACAAACGCACCTCGAACTTGGAATGTCCTCCAACTCGCAAACAAGGCCGTCAGCTAGTGGTCAACAGGAGGAGGAGGAGGAAGGATACAAACCTGGAGCTATTGTGCGCATCAAAGTCATTGATTTTGTGACCTATACATCTGCGGAGTTCTTTCCTGGGCCGAAACTCAACATGGTGATCGGTCCAAATGGGACAGGGAAAAGTACTCTAGTCTGTGCGATATGCCTGGGCTTGGGATGGGGACCTCAGGTACAATTCAAAGTCCTCTTCTTTTGTTAGTGCATTGCTCATGTTCTCTGTCTTGTTATATAGCATCTAGGGCGCGCGAAAGATCCGGGCGAATTTGTCAAACACGGTTGCAGAGAAGCCACCATCGAGATCGAACTTGCGAAAGGGCCACAACTCCGCAGGAACCCGATTGTATGCCGGACAATCAAACGTGAAGGCAACAAAAGCTCATTTACTATCAATGGGAAGCAGGCTTCCCGATCTCAAGTTCTGAAACTTGCTCAATCCTTCGCCATCCAGATTGACAATCTGTGTCAGTTCTTGCCGCAGGACAAAGTGAGCGAGTTTGCTGCTTTGACTCCTATAGAATTGCTGAATTCAACGCAAAGGGCGGCAGCCGGTCCAGAGATGATTGAATGGCATGATAGCCTAAAAAAGCTCAGGGCTGAGCAGAAGAAGTTACAGATGGATAATCAAAGCGATAAAGATTTGCTATCGAACCTCGAGAATAGACAAGAGATGCAACGCGGCGATGTTGAAAGAATGCGACAGCGGGCTCAGATCAAACGGAAGATTGAAATGTTAGAAGCTGTCCGCCCCATCACCCGATACACAGATGGTCTTGCGGCTTACAAGGAGAAGCAAAAAGAAAGACAGCGGCTCGAGCGAGAGTACGAGGATCTCAAGGCTGAATTAGAGCCTGCATTAAGAGCGGTTAATGCGAAGCAGGACTATTGCTCTCGGCTTAATGAAGTGGTCAAGCACAAAGAGCGCTCCATCGAGCAAGCTGATCGAGCTGCCGTCGAAATTGTGAAGAAGATTGAACAGTTCGATGACGCCATGAAGGATCTCAACGGTCAAATTGAGGCTGAAAAGAAGACGGGTCAGAATTACAGGCAAGAAGCGACCAAAATTCAGCAGGCAATCAATAGGCTTAATCGCGAGCTGAATGAGGAACCAGCCGAGTTTGATATCAACTCGTACAACGAGAAAATAGTGAGTCAGTTGCCAAAAATTATCTTTAATATAGACTGACTCTCTATGGTAGAGAGAAAAGCGGCTGGCGATCCGAGAGCTTGAAAGCCAGGCAGCCGAGATCCAATCGAAACGACGTCCCCTTGTTCAAGCACTTAAAACGAAGACTGGGCAGCTTGACCAAGCGGAGCGCCAGCTACGTGGTCTTGCCTCCCAATCTGGGCAGCAGGAGGCAAAACTCCAAAAACTTTCCCAACATTCATACCAGGCTTATAAATGGTTGCAAGATAACCAGGACAAGTTTGAGAAGGAGGTTTTCGGCCCCCCAGTCGTCACATGTTTGGTCAAAGACCCCAAGTACGCCGACGCGATTGAATCATTGTTACAGCGTACAGATTTTATCGCTTTCACGACTCAAAGTCGGAATGACTTTCGAACTTTGCAAAAGGCTTTGAACATTGATATGAAACTTCACGACATCAGTATCAGGACTTCCACAATTCCCTTGGACAACTTTCGGCCTCCTGTCTCAGATGGAGAACTTATGGACTTGGGCTTCAATGGATGGGCCAAGGATTACCTCAGTGGACCAGAGCCCGTGCTTGCTGTCCTATGCAGCGAAAACCGACTGCATCAAACACCCGTCAAGCTGCAAGATATTTCGGACGAGACATTTAACAGGATGGAAAGCAGCCCAATCAGCTCGTGGGTAGCTGGAAGGCAGTCATATCAAATCGTCCGTCGTCGAGAGTATGGGCCCAGCGCAATTTCTACTCGTGTGAGACAAGTTCGACCGGCGCAAGTTTGGACATCTCAGCCGGTAGATGTCCTGGGACAACAAGAGCTAGAGCAGAATATTTCGTCGCTGAAGGATGAGGTAAAGCAGTTAAATGATACAATAGACTCTGAACGGAACAGGCTCGCAAGGATGGGCCAGGAAAAGAAGGACTATGATCATGAAAGGGTAAGTCAACGGGCTTCCTGTATCTCTGTCTTTGACTAACATTTTATGTGCAGACTCTGCTTGAAAAAGAGAAAGCGGACAGGCAGACAGCCTTGGTTAACTACAGGGCTATTCCAGAAAGGATTCGTGAGTTTGATATACCATTCAACCTGTTAGTACCATGATCAACTCTGACATGAAGAATAGGGCAGCAAGAAGCCAAGAAAAAAGATATCGAGAGACTCTTTGGAGAGATTAGGACAAGAGTCTTTGAGATCCGTGGCCGACAAGACTTAATCTCTATTCGCAAGGCTGAGACTAACCTGGAATATGCGGTGCGTCGAGCATGATAATCTTTTTCTGCTCTTTTCGAGACTAATCAGTACCGGGCAGGATGCGGTTGAAACCCTACGCAAATTACAGGAAGAGTATATTCAGCTGAGGGTACGGTACATCGAGGGTCTTTCAGACTTTGAAACGATGCAAGGGCGCAATCAGCATCACAAGGAAAGGCTCAACGAGAAACTATCCGAAGTCAAAGCAGCAAAGCAAGACTCTAAAGCTCGGTCCCAAGTTCTGAAGAAGTTTGCCGAAGAAGCAAATAAAGTTGTGCAACTTTCCAATGAGCAGCCGGATCTGTTTGCATTGATCCCCAGCCTGGCGCAGCACAACATGGAGCAGCTTGAGGCAGATATCGATTCCGAAAAGGCCCACCTGGAACTTGTGCAAGGCGGCAACGCCAATGTGATCAAGGAGTATGAGGACCGTGAAAAACAGATTGAAAAACTTCGAAGTAAAGTCTCCGATTTTGAAAATAAACTTTCCGACTATGACCATGCCATCAACGAAATCCGAGGGAAGTGGGAACCGAAACTTGAGGAACTCGTGAAGAGCATCAGTGATGCGTTCTCCGATTCCTTTGCTCGTATTGGATGTGCTGGTCAGGTTGGTTTGGACAAGGCAGAGGACGAAGATGGCGCTAGCAATTTCGATCAATGGTCGGTCCAGATCCAGGTGAAATTCCGAGAGAATGAGAATCTATCCCTGCTCGATTCTCATCGCCAGTCCGGCGGAGAAAGAGCTGTGAGCACGATTTTCTACTTGATGGCACTGCAGTCCTTGTCAGCGTCACCATTCCGCGTTGTCGACGAGATCAACCAAGGTATGGATCCAAGAAACGAGCGGATGGTTCACGGTCGCCTCGTGGATATTGCCTGCGCTCCGGCCCAGAATGGAGGCGGCGGTCAGTACTTCCTGATCACACCGAAGCTTCTCAGCGGACTCGTCTATAAGCCGGGTATGAGGGTCCTCTGCATCTACAGTGGTGAACACATGCCCCAGGATTACAATCTGCTTGATTTTGGCGAAGCGATCAAGCGGAAGAGAGACGTCGAAGCCAAGACAAAAGGTAAGGGAAGAGCAATTGGGAGCGCAGTTCCTAGGAGCAACGGAGATGTTGATGTCTATGCCTGATGAAGTGTTGTATGGTTTGAATTATCTGTGATACCTCTTCAATTTTTAGTTTCCATCTTTATTGGATGCATCTGGCGTTTGGGTGGCATTTTGATATCTTTCAGTCACGACTTTCAGGGCAGGGCAGAGCAGGATGTGCATGGGTCTGGAGGTGTGTGATACTTGGGATAATGTAAATATCATGGGAGATATCAGGGACATATACAGTGGAACCAATTATACATAGCAGGAAAGCATGGTCAGAAAGATTCCATCTTCTCTTTGTTTTATTTATCAATACTATATCCATAAGTCCTTCAGACTAATTCATTTTGGGTATCATAATCTTGCACCAGCTGGTAGATAGATAGATACAGCGGCGAGCTTGACCAGATAGATATACAAAAAAAAATAGTTTGTTTCTTTCTTTCTTGAGGTCATGTCACATCATAAATCTCACAAAGGAAAAAAGGACACAAGGAAATAATACATGAAAAACATTCCAAAATGATCCAGAAAAACAAAAAAAAAAGGAGGGACTCCCATCACCAAATGCCCTCCTATGGTATATGCTTTCCCATCCAACTGTATCCAGCGACGCCTGGCCTTTATCGTCATGAAAATGGTTTGTTCAGAAAATATACACAGGAAGAAGAGAAAAAGCCGGGTCCTGGCCTAGGACCACCTATCCACAAAGCAAGTGTAACAAAACACGCACAAGGGGGGGGGTATCATCAAAAGAAGATCCAGAGCAAAACTTGTCGCTGGTTGTGGTGGGGGGGGGGGGGAGAAGGGGATGGGTTTCGAAGTGTTTGAGTGGATTGGTATCTTATGTTTTTTTTTTCTTTTCCTTTTTTTTTAGTTTCATATATGCCTGATCCGAGGATCAGGTTGAGTTGAGGGGGTGTTGTAAAATTGAGGAATGATTTCGCAGCCTGGTCGATTATGACACCATAGCAGTGGCGACTGGGCGGCCTGTATGGCATCCACGCTCATGGCGCTTCATATTGCTTCGCACGCTGAAGGCCTTGCCGCAGCCGGCGTGTGTGCAGCGAAAGGGCTTCTCGCCCGTGTGGCTGTGGGAGTGGATGCGCAGACTGGAAGGGCGCGAGAACGCTTTGTGGCAGGTGCGGCAGATGTAGCGATCATGGTTCTGCTGGTAGGCGGTTGAGCTGGATGGGGGGAAATAGTGGTGGTGTTGCCAGGCGGGGGTGATGGGGGTGATAAGCTGCTGGTGAGCGGCCGATGCTGAGGGGACGCTGCCTGGGTTCTGGAAGGGAGCTGAAGGGGCCTTTCTTTGATAGTAGGCTGCGCTGGACGGTGTGGAAGGCTCGACAGGTGACGAGTAAGATGCCACGCTAGGCGCTGGCGACGCATACGGCGCTCCGGGCGCATGCTGCACCGATCCTTGGCTGGAGATGGAGGAGCGATCTGTCGGGCTGGGAAGGCCGATGTGAGGCTGAGGATATGTTTCGGTCTTGATCACCGTGCTGGCGCTCGTTGCGGAAACAGACGAGGCTGAAGGCGAATGGCCGTTGCTGCGAAAACCCGAGCCAGGACGCAATGGCGGCGTAGGTGGCAAGGCATGTGGGGTGATCGTGTCATACGGTTGCGACTGAGGACGGGCATCAAGATCCCTATGCGCCGAGAGGCTAGTTCTTTGGCGTTCTGGCGCATTGTGTTAGCCATGTGAATTGAAGATGTTGCTGGAGTCGGAAAACCATACTCGCTGCATGTGCGGCTGCGCTGTCTGCACCCTCCAGTAGAGTCGAGATTGAGGGCAGCGAACATCTGGGCCGGTCGTCGACGGGTGGGGAGAGTGGTGGCTGCGGGGTGCGAGAATACGATGTCGCGGTCGTCGGTACGGAGGTGAAGTAAGAGCTCATCGACGATCCGGAGAGACGCTTGTAAGGGTTCGCTTGAAAGGCGGGAGGACTCTGAGCTGACCTCGACTTGAAAGTCGAGGCAGCCTCGGAGGTGGGATGCGAGATGAGGTTTGCGAGATCCATGATGAGCGTGCGCTAAGAGGTTTGAGATGGTCGGCAGAGGGGATGAGGTCCTCAACAAGGGTGTGCACAATAGAGAGCTTGAGAGTGAAGAAGGAGAGAGTGGGAAGAGATGGCGGCTACAGTGGAACCATATATGAAGATCGAGCAGACGGTGAACTACTTGAAGCCCGGGGCCAATCCAGGTTGATTCTTCTGAAGTGGAGAATGGTCTGGGAACAGGGGGAAGGAATTGGAGACTTTGGAGTCTATACTTTCTAGACGAGGGGGAGAGATTTGCTGGATAAGGTGGGGGAGCGAAGTATATAATTATAATACAATAATAATAGTAGCTTGGAAGCCGATGCTCCGGACTAGATAGGCTGTAGGCTCAAGGCTGTAGACCGTAACCCAGGACAAGGGCAAGTGGAGGTTAAAACCGATATGGTCGAAGCCGAGAAAGATGAACCTGTTCCTTAATAATAAGGATCGTTATTATGGAGATGATGATAAGGGCCGGTATTAATTTCTTTTTTATATAATTATTATTATTATTATGATTATCATATTTTTGATTATGATTATTTATTATTTTCTCTGTAGTTCGCTTAGGAATGGAAACAGAAATATTTCAAAAATAAAAATACACATAAAAGAAAAAAAAAGAAAAAAGAAAAAAAGGTTGATCTACGGAGTACTTCGATCATCTGGTAACTTCATGGTGGGTACTAAATAATCCTGTTACAGGCTAACAAGCCAGAGAGGGACAATGGGTAAATACCACCATAGGTCAGACAAAAAAAAAAAACGAATTTTCCCGAGGTTTTTCTTTTTCCATGATTTGCCTCGACAAGGGGGCTGATACCTCCGTCCCAAAGCTTAATTAATGACGACCAGTAGTCCGGTACGGAGTACAGCCATCCAGTTGGTGATTTTTCTCCATTAGGTGCTGTACACATACAGGCATTCATGCGTATATACGTGGTTCCGTACCGTGGCGTAAAAGCTCTTGTATAGCCAATACACTAGTGTACCGATGATGTGCGATTAGGTAGTTGGTAATTGGGATCTAACTGGTATTCTTTTTTTTAGGTGGGTAGAGACTCGAGGAGGAGCGCTAAAAAAACGTGTGCCTCCCGTTCCAAAGACCACCATACCCCGGCCGAGTTGGGGAAGTCCCATTGGCCTGTTTCATGAAACCATTTCAACTCCAACAGGCTTTTTTTTTATTAAACTTTGCATCAAAAGAGTCACTGCACAAGCGCACACACACTCAGAGTGCAATGCGGCGGGTTGTGGTGTGTTGTACCCCTATCGCCTAACTATCAACTAGGAGGTCAGAGAGCTTACCAAAGTCTGTAACAGATGCATGGCCAATATAATCCGGATTTTTCCTATACTCTACCCGTTGCATTCCCGCTTATTGATGCCCTGATGATCCTGCACCCTCGGGGGCTCGGCTACAAATTACAATAGGTCTGGCGCTAGTGCAGATACACGGAAGTATCTCCAGCCTCAATCGAGGAGGTTGCAAACCTGTAACTGTAAGCCATTGGAAATCACCGATCATCATTTCAATTCTGCTCGCTAAACCAACCATGGAAGCCAAGGCAAATCCCACGGTGTGGATAGTTAGTGAGTCGGTACTCCATAGTACCTGACTGTACACGGCCCAAATACAACATACGTATTATCGTCGTGAGGGAAGGCTTCGCTAAACGATCTCCTGCCAGTGGACCCAGGCGTCATCATTGTTTTAACCTGTCACAAGTCACAACCACCCCAATGCCCCATAAACGGCTGATCGTTGCCGCACGATCACGCGTTGCTGAGAACCTGATCTCAGGCTGTGAGTGCCAATCATAAATTCTAAAATACGACATCAAATAATGATCCTCTGCAGATCCTTTTGTCTGGACATTTCTAGCCCTCGGCGGTACGTTCCTGGGACTGCTGGGAAGCCTGGGAGCTTGAAGATAGGAGCTTCCTTGGGAGTAGTCTTCGGAATCTCCGTAGAGGTTGCTGTTTTGAATCATAGTCGGATCACCAGTTTGGTAATCCTTCATTTTGCGAGGAATCCAGATGAGGAGGTTTGTCGCGTATGCTTCCAGGGAGTATACATTTTTTCTTGGCGAGATAAACCATACCATAGTTCAAATCTTGAGCCCTCAGGAATCAGGACAACAAAAGGCCACGCAAACATGTAGAGAAAAGCAAAAGAAAATGAAAAAAACTGAAAAAAATGAAAAAAAGGCAAAAAAAATATAGAAAGAAGGCAATTAAAAAAAAAAAGAAAAAAAAAAATGAAAGAAAGAGTCAAAGAATAATGATGGAGATGTCTCTTCTGTGAAGGGAAATATCTCCGTTCTATATGCCACTACCATCATGGATTAACATGGATGATCCCATGCGACCCATCATCAACCAAGCCCTTGGAGGCGGATGACGGAGTCGCGGACTCGCGGACTCGCGGCACGATGCATTGTGGAAGGGAGGCTCCCCTCGGGTGGATCTATTTAGGCCCAAAAGGGCCTAGTTGACGACACCGAGAAAGGAATCTCTGAACGATTCCCATTCTTTCGCTTGGGGGCCAAAGCCCCAAAGTGTCCATACTAACTTGACGAAGCCGGAGATTAATATGGGGCTGACAGCCAACGGAAATCCAATAACTTTAAGCAAAATTTAAACGAGCGTCAATCATCATCCCAGGCTAGACTGGAACGAGGCAAGTGCCAGATGAGCGGTGGATCAAAAGAGGAATCTCGACACCAACCATGCCCCATGGAAAGAGAAATTCGTAATGCGTAATTCGTATTCTTGGGTCCCCTTTGCTTTCTTTTTCCGAAGGCTGGATTTCTTTATCACAGGCCAAGGTGGGGGGGAAGCGATTTAGTTCTGGTCTCCTTGTAAAAAAGAAAGAACATGGCTAGAAATAGAGCACGCTGCTGAGCTCTGCATCAATGATCAACTGAGGGGTTTATTGCCAGTTGTTGATCGCCCATGCAGGGGAACCAGCATCCATAGGTCATATGCGTTCAGTCTGTAGAAGTGATCACAAAGCGACATGGCAATACCTATCTCTATCTATGTCGGTATGTCTTTCCTCTTACACAGTCAGTTACAAGTGCCTTAGTTACTTCAGGTAAGGTACGATGGATCCAGTATCCTACCAGTATGGAACACTGACTCGCTTGGATCTGTGTTCACTGTCCAGGCAACTGAATGATAATTACCAAGTCCCATACCGTAGGTAAATATCTCCCTGGTCAATAATAGACTCGGAGTACGGAGCCCTCCGGATTGTGTTATCGTTGTTCGAAACTCTTGAACTAGCACAAAGAGGCCCAGATCACTGACTGATTCGAAAACGCCCCAGAGTTCAAAGTTCAAAAGGCTCAAAGCTCATCCGGTCGGCGTCTTGGCTCTACCGGTGCCATGTGCACGAGATGCCTCGGCCGGGGAGAACAAGCCAATTACCCAGAAGGGCGACGGAAACGACCTGGGCCTGCTTAGCTGAAGATCATCAGGCCGTCGATTTGTTCTGGAACACGAGAACCGAGAAGATCGTTCTAAGGTTACGAGTGTGTGCATCGTTTTTCCAGCGCTGCGCATAGCCGCAGACAGTCTTGATGTATATGCTACTCCGTATATGCTGTTTTTTCTTTGGGCTGATCCTTGGGTCGACAAACTTACGGCGTCCTCCAGGCTGCCATGTAGTTCCTCTAGCAGACGTGATGATGCTCTTCCCCGTCTACCACACTGCATTGGGCCACTGCTTCGAAAAAGACATCATGTGCGAAGATCCGCTGCACCTTTTGACGCAGCTCGGTCGAATCTGGTAATGTTCCCGTCGCTTGGGCCACTGTGCAGCGACTATCATCCTACGTCGCCGACCAAATATAACCAACACCATGGATAAATAGTTCAGCAAGGAAAATGCGGACTGGTAGCATCTGTGTTTCCTGCTGGATCCGAGAATCATCCGTTGGCAACCGATAGTTAGCAGCAATCGCCCGATCGTTAATATCGATCATTGCAATTGTTATTGAGTATCGCAGCTTACTAGTCTCCAGCCCGGTTCCTCCTAGACTCAAACTTTATTGAGGTGTACTGGACAATGCGGTTAAATTGTCTCGTGGCATGATGGCATCAATAATGCTATCAATTCCTAGTGGAAAGCTTTACAATTACTCCACTCGGCCAATTATGCAAGTACACATTTTTCTCTTCAGGGATAATTACCCAGGAACTCCTTCCTGGTTGTCTTGAATAAAGCTGCCGATGTCTTACCATCATCTCATCGGCTTTGACCGGATTTGTTCTCAGTAATAATCAGTACTCAGTAGCCATCTTCCACGCGATGCTATCCCATTATTGAATCGCCATCCCCATCTATGTACTCAGTCTCGGATGATACACGCTGATGAACCTCGACAATCTGGCTCTCTGCCCGTGGTTACCGCATGATCCATGGATTCGGAAATTACACCTTCTGGCGAGCTGGCGAGACTATTACGAAACAACCCACTTCTCCTAGTTACACTCACATATAGTACATGTCTTACACAAGTTACAAGGGATCCATGCCAGCACCAGAAGGATGGAAGTCATCCATATTCCAGAACAACATGGAGTCAGAATCTTGGAATCAGGAAATCTCCAGACCATGATCGTAACCATGCAATTTTATTACGTATTTTCGATCTGAACTTCGAAACGAAGTCTTGTCCTGAGCGTTGATCTCCCATTGTCTCTTTCTCCCCCCTTTAGGGCTTCGTCTCTTTCGATCCGAGGAAAGTTCAAAGTACTCTTCCACTGCATTCCATTGGCTGCATCCGCAGTGCTCCCAGCTCCACGTCTCTACCCAGATCAAGACCCATCTTGATCCCGAGTCGCATGGACTATGGATGCTGGAGCTATGAACCTCGCTTAGATCGTGATCCAAGTCCAAGTTCTCGTGGTTATCCGGACTCTGGCCCCCAAAAGTCGCAGAAAGAGGAGTCGGTCAAGGAGGAAGTGGGAACAGATGGGGATCTTCTGCAGACTTCACCGTATGTTTACCACGGAGTAGACACCTAGTTATCTAGAATCTCCTTGTATCTGGTGCATATTGCTTTTAGTCTAGCTAGCTTGTTGCAACTTAAAAAGGCCTACAAGAGAGTAAGAGGGAGGTTCGATAACGATGGAAACTTGGCCAGTATTGGCTTAGGACGAACGTCACGATCATTAAGCCAGGTACGAGTACGAAATCAATAATTCGGCTATCTGCAGGACGTTCCCGCCTCTCACATTCCAACTGACAGGATCAGAGACACTACAGGTCAAAATTAGAACTGCTTGCAATTGCTTAGAAGCGGTTCCTGAAGATCCCTCTCATCGGCTCCCTGCTTACCCGATCCCAAAAATTGGGTGCTGGCAGTGGCAGGCCGCAGGATGCACAAAGTAAGGGGGTTTGTAATTTTGTACGGGGGATAGATCTGGAAGAGCGCAAGTTCAGGGTGGAAAAGGGGTCGGGTATTCACTAGATACTCCGTAGTCCGTACTCCGTACGTAAAAAAGGAGAGATTGACAAGAATCAAGATATGATGCGCGAAGATCATCCAACGCCTTTCCAACGTCCGACAGATAGACTCGGATGAACTGCCGAAACACGCTTAGTGGCGGGCTTTGGACTCGTGAGTTTTTTCCACCCCTGTGGAAGTGCTCCTTACAATGAACGTACTAACTACTACTACAGGGTACGTAGTATTGACTATCAAAACTGTTTTTTTTATGACTTGACGTATGTATGTACATATGTCAATGTCAATATTATTAAAAGCATGCGATAAGGTTCAAGCACAGCGGAAGTGTCTTAGAACTATTGGCTAATGATCTCTGTGATTATTTCTATTTATTGCTTTTTAAAGGCCTTGGAGGACTACATAGTATTGTCCAAGAGTGATCAGATCAATTGCATAAACTCATGATGGCACCTCTACGTTTACCTATGCTATGCAAGCGTAAAGACAAACACTTAATGATAGAGGTGAATGCACAGATCAATCCAAACACAATAGTAATCTGAACTGCATCTCAAGACCTCCAATTTGAAACGACATGTGAAGCGTGAGCATCATGACGGCTTATGACCGCAAGAGGATGGGGAATCACTATCAGTATCAGCTCCTTGACATCTAAATATTAACAAATAACCTCCACAGTCCAGTTCAGCCACACGCGTGATAGATCCTTGCATAAGCCGTAAGCTGTCTTGGACCAGCCACGGCCCACGCGAGACGGGGATACGGGAAGGGGTCGATCTTTGCGCAAGTGAAAAGCCATCATGCGAATCTTCGCTTCAGCTGGCCCCTTTCAAAGGCCATGCAGAAATCTCGCTTCCTTTTGCTTAGAAGTGACTAGCACCGTTGCACAAAGGTGATACAGCACATGGATTCAGGTGTGTGTGGTAAGCTTCAAGGATCATGCTTGCTTCTTCTGGATGCCTTGTCAATGTTGACAGCAACGCTGCAACGCAACATCTTACTATTGCCTGTCTCCACTGACAGACTCGCTGTACAGAGTAGTTCTGGATAATATCATACTGTGTAGACAGTAGTACTCCGTAGACAGACGTACTAACATGCAGGATGACGTCGTCACATCAATATCAACAAGGCGGAGTTAGTCCATTGCAGTGTCGTCTACTCCGTTTGAAGTTACATTATCTATGGGTTTCAACTTCGATGATATCGGAATTAATCAAGAACAACCGGTCGCAAACGGCGTGGAGTGACTACATCATAGGCGCCTTGATTCCAGGTACAATTTTATGGGACCATCTCTTTCAGACCGCCACGTTGACTCTGCGTCTTCAGACTTCAGCGACGGTCGCAGATCGTATCCAAGGTTCGCGAGGATCATCGACTTTTGCATGGAGGTACAGCAGCAGGCAACCAGGCAGCGGGATCCGATTTCTGAGTTATCACATACGAAGGCGATCTCTTAGGTACAAGTGTCAGGTTACAGGGAGTCAGGAACATATCGACATTGATCTCAATCTTGATACTCAGGCCGTGTCAGATAGCCGCCTCTTGCTGTACGACGTGCCAGCCCGCCAGGATTCGCCAGATCGCCAGGGAAGATCAAAATGTCACCAAATATAGCTGATTGGGCCAGGGCCAGCATGCCATGCACTCATGCAGACCCGGACCTCGGTTTCCGTCCCCCTCTAATTTTAAGTACCTCCTCTCAGACACACGAATCCGCCAAGATACTTAATAATACGTACGTTTGGTAATTTTGGTATCCGTACTCAGCTGGTCACAAGCACAACTTTCCATCTTGTACAACCCCCTTTTAGCCTCCAAGTTTTTAGGCGAGAACTGCTGGAGCGGGCGTCAAGGGTAACTAGACTCCTTCAGGCTTACAGGTGGCTGTGGAGCATGGTGGCCGCCCTTGGGTCTGGACCCTGGTCATTTCACGTGGCAGACATCGGCTGCGCTTGCAGGTGTCGCTCGGGCCTTCCCGACTTTGGCACCAAAGCCGATGCAAGGCTTATCATGGCGCATCCTCCTGACAATCCTGGTCAATCCTGTTATTTTCTACTGTGTAATACCATTACCAATACAGGCTATGTAGCATGAGCAGAAAGCAATCACTCACCATATGATCATCCATGCTGTCCAAAAGGAGAAGTACTAAGAACGCATGTGGAACATCGATCGCAGATTGGTCTTGGTGAGAACACAGAATGAGATTATTTGATCTCGGTAGCTTTGTTGTGGAAAGACTCAGACATGGCAGCAAGACTGAGGTGTCAAACAGGAGGCTGGATTGACCTTCATTTTTCATACCAAGTTTCCATACGGAGCAGAAATAACGTGTATCACACTTGCAACGCCGGTATAAGTTTGTTTTTATTCTTCCGGCCGATCATTTATACATGGAAAATCTACCGGCATAGACCACTAGGTAGTACCAAGTACCAGCTGAGTCTGATCTACCCTCCTGCTGGTCACTTGATGGCTCATTGCTTCTTCTACGAACTCGGACGCGAGCAGAATAGCCGCAAGGGTTGATAGGATCATATTCCAGAGACGGCCAAACAACACCAACAACAACCCCGAATGTGGTGTGTCTGACTTAATTTATGTCTCATCGTCATCCTCTCGGCGGCAATTAAAATTAGCACCTGGAAGACAACTAGTCAACCACCAAGGGGGAAGAGGCCCAAGGCACAAATTGGTAACAAATAAGGTTAACTCGCGAGTCATATAACCCACATAGCATAGTCCGGCCTCATGGCCAACCAGCATTGGAAGACCAAGAGTTCCGGAAAAAAAAAAGAAAAAGAAAAAGAAAAAAGAAAAAAAAAAAAAAACAAAGGATCCCTGGCAGCTGGAAGAAGGTGATTAACCACGGAGCAAAGTACTATTTGCGGCTACGCTTGCATACACCGCGGACGACGATATATTAAATCCTACGCTCATCCTTGTAAGCGATCATCCAATAAAGCTACGAAGGCGCGCGAATATGGCCCATCAAATCATTAATCGTCATCTGTCTCTGCTCTCTTCTCACTTGGTGCATAAGACATGGAAATTTTGGAATAGATCCACTTTTTCTGGACCCCGTGGCGGCTGGGTGCGAATCGAGCTCGATCCGGTTTTCTCCCGGATGGCATCGGCCGGGCGTGAGGATCAGGTACACGGTACAGAGTACAGAACTATCTACTCTGTACGGAGTACGGGCTACGGAGTACTTCCTATCTTCTGGGATTGGGAATCTCACTCTGGGACTGGACTGGAGACCCGGAGACCTTTCGATTCGATTGATAATCATCATGTAAGTACTTCGTAGGTAACCCTCCCCGCTCTGGGCCTGCACTTCTCCAAATCGTTGTCAGACTAAGGGCAGATCGTGAATCACCGGACCCGGGGTGCACTGGGCCCCTGGGGCTGGGACTGGGAGACTGGGAGACTGGGAGTGGGAGCTTACTCCGTAGAGCTGGGTGATGGGTCCCTTGATCCCCCTAGTGCAAGAGATACTGAGATGATTGGGTGCTGTGTCTTATCTCTGACTTTCTAGCCACCCTACGGGCATGGCACTACGGAGTACGCAAGTCATGATGAAATATGGTCTAGATGAAACCGTTACTCTCCTCTTGAGTCAAGGAATCAGGATTATGCTCTTGTCGCCTCTTTGTGTCGTTGCTCGCGGACGATCAACAGACGAATGGGAAAAGTACTATTCTGTACCTACTTGCGAAGAAGCCGGCAGTACACGTCAGGTCAGGGATTCCTCCAACGATAATTGAACCAGGATATTTTTCCTTTTTCGTTTTTGTTCTGTCGGAGCTGAATTTCTGTCCTGGAAAAGCCATGGGAGTGTGTTTGCAGGGGGAAGGATTTGATTGCTGACTGCTGGATCCTGAATCCTTCCAATCAGCCATACTCTGTGAAGTGTGAGATTATTCGAGAAGTTCGTCAACCTGTCGGCTATCTAGACTTTTCCTTGCACTTTCTACGACACAGTAAGCAAGCTCCTGCTGATCAGTGAGCAGGCTCGGGAACAGTTCCTGGTCATAGCTCCCTGGGCTTTTCCATCTTACCGTTCTAAGGTATAATACCATGTGGTAACGCCTCTCAGATCACTTGCCTTTTGCGAACTAGCTGTAAGTTAGGGCACGGATGTTACCATCTTTGGGACGGAGATGGCTCCATCTCCGTATTATTGCATAGATTACATAGATTACAGAAGCCATACATACTTGGTTTATCCTTGGGACTGCGCTAAACTACTGCCTTTGGGTAGAAATTGGTCCTACCCTACCCACTTACTCTGTACATTTTGCTGCTTTCCTGGAATATCCTCCACTTATCTCGCCGTGTTCAGTAATATCCTGCATGATCGTTCGAAGTTTAATATGACCTGAAAGGAATCACCATTCATCCTACTCTGTTTTTAGTGTCTTTCCTTTTTTTGTTTTTTTTTCCTATCGTCTGAGCACAACAATCAGACCCCGATCGTATCGACTTCCCAAACAGGTCTAGTGTGCATCCTGCAAGGCCAGCAGATCTCCAGCGTGGCATTTTGGAGCTAGTCCGGAAGAGGCCTAGTGATGTTCTGTGGAACGCCGAGAAACTTCTCCGGAAGCAAGTTTTGTACTGGTAAAAAACGCGTATTATTGGGTAATGGGTATTGAAATAGCTGGCTGTTGGCGAGGGATCGACAGTCGGTACTTGCATTCGAGTCTTGTGCCTGCGGAATCATCGTAGATAGTGTCTAAATTTCAAAATATCTACTGGTCAAGTGCAAGCTAAGAAAGTGGGAGATTGGAATGTTTCAGTTAGCCCCAAGTCAATTCCATGTGGAACTGAGCTCTCTTCTTCATCCAACTTCCCACTTCAATTGATCGTCTTATCTCCGTCCGGTTTGGGCTGGGTTTAGTTATTAGTCGTTTGTGACATCACCCTGGGAGGTCGCCATCGTCTTTCTCGACTACTCGACGACTGTGCCCTATGGCTATATGGCTATATGGCTATATCACAGGTATATCATGCAGATTCCCAAGCAGGAAATGCACGCTGCCTATCTTGCGCTTTTATCAGCGTCTATCATTTCATCATCCTCCGTAGAACAGATGCTAGCAAAAACACCCTTCCTATGACGTTGCTTTCTCCAATAATCTATTCTATGCATGTATGCATATATCTCCATGCATGCAGAGCCACAAGGGCCACCTCCAAACCCTCCACACATCACATGCTAGCATACTTGCAACATGAGAGATCAAATTCAAGTATGTCCATCTAGAGTATATATCCTTGCAGGAGCAGCCGGAGATTAACAGCCCTGCGGGCCCAACAACCGGCCCCTCAGATCAACCCGGGTTTGTTTCCTCTTCACTGATTCCGCGTGCACCATTCCGTTCTGGATGATGAATCCCGGGCCTGAGTCTATCTAGGCTCCTAGTTCTTCCATTGTCTCTAGTATGTGCAAGACAGATGGGCATAGGCTATGAGATAGATAGTTAGATGAGGAGAAGGGGATCAAATCATGACTCTTGCAGTTGCATGAAGGCTGGCGCGGGGGAAATTGCGGGATGTGACGGGAGCGCATGAAGACTGTTTCAGGTGGTCGGTTAACACTTAACGCTGAGAGGTGCTAACTGCCACAGCCCAAATGCGTATTTATTAATTTGGTTTTTTTTTTTGCTGGGATTGTGCCTGTGGAGGTTTATGCCCTGGAGGGCTAACTACTCCGTGAGTACTCCGTACAGGGACTACGAATGGATCCTGTTTAGTCTATCGCGTGCTCCATTGCTTGGTTGCGGTGAGTTTGTTTGGCAGGAATTGACCCTTGTTCGGCGGAGGAATTCGCTGGAAGGATCTCAAGTCAGATAACGACGAACTGATAGACAGGGTACTATCGCGGCCTTACTCGGTGATCGAGCTATGAAGCTATATATAGCGTTTGGTCTTTTGCGTACTCCGTACTTGCAAGCAAGATGAGCGCCCCTTTCCATAATTCGAGCATGGAAGAAGCTTCGTAGTAGTCTGTGCGGAGTACGGATATATCGGGGATATCAGGGAGAGAAAATTAAACCAATTTTCCAACGCTGGTATGGAAATCATTGATTGCTTCGACAGGCTCACCAGCACAAGCATGGCGGTTACGGCCGGATACTGCATGACCTGTTCCTGTCTTCTGTCTGCTGTCCACATGTCAAAAAGACTCGCAGGCTGGTGCTACATAGAAACTATTTCAATCCCAACGACCAGCTGCAGCAAAGTCCGTGCCTTGGAGCAAATGAATATGATACACCGACAATGGGGGGGGTGCGAGGAGTGTCGGCTGCAAATTCCTACAGAGCAGGAGTTTGTAACTTGTGACTCATAGGGCGATGCACAGGGCGGGTGTGCGTCTGCATGACATGGCATGCAGGAAGGGGATTTGCAATCGACGAGTCCATTCATGAGGATGATGGCGCTGCGATTCGGCCTCAGTTGCGCCCACTCCGCTCGTGCTGCTCCTCGCTTATCGACTCCCAGAGTGCCAGATGCTGAGGGATCTACAGAGTACAGGTGGGTTCAGGGAAAGTCGACTGTCTGGGGCACTTGTATGGAGACTATGGACTATGGAGGGCTATCTATGTGGTACACGGGTGAGAGATATGTCGATTGTGTACGGAGTACGGAGTAGCTACACCGAATATGTGCAATCATCCTCTTACCACTTCTCGTAGCATACTCCGTACATAGACTTCCGTGCTTCAATCAGGGTCAGCAACCCCCTGCAAAATGAAAGGGAAAGCAATCTCGACTCCAAAGCCATCGCCGGTTCTAATCAGTAAAATCCACCAGTACGGAGCGCTCTTCCCACTATCCACCCGCATACCACACACATCACCTGCTCACGAACAACGTCACGGTGCCATACCACCGGTGTTTTCTGGGTTGAGCTGGTAGGCCTCTTACCTCATCCTCCGTAGTCTCTAGCCAGCGCTAACTAGATAGTACTTTAGTCACTAGCTGACTGCTTGCTCGACAGTCAAAGCACACAGATCATACCCGCCTCCATCTGCAAAGCCAAGTGAGCTGTGTGGCTGTGAGCCTGTGAGTCTGTGAGGGGGAAAGGGCCTGTGGCCCAACAGCCGCCACCTGCTGGCAATCCTCAAACGATACTGATTGTTGAGATGCTGACTGATGATTGATAATTGGAAATATCCGATTGACCCCTGTCAATAATACTCCTGTCTCCCTCGTGGGTGGCTCAGGATTTGCCTGGCGGCCCCGTGGCAGATCGGAGAATGATCAGCCTTGGCTGGAGCTAGACGCCAAAGGAGAATGGACTGTAGAAGGCTACATGGAAGGGTTAGTCTACAATGATCATAGTCATACTACTTGATATTATGGGCGTCAACGGTTGGCTTGTAGATAGTGAATTAGTAATTCGTTGTTGACATCCAACTTGAGGACACCGTAAGTGCCCAGTCCGTGGGCTCTGGTAGTCACCACACACAGACACACACCCGGGAAAGAAGTCAATGCTCCAACTCATTGCATCAATCAAGCTGGAGGGTTAGTAGAGACGGTCTTTCAAAAAAATAGTCAACACAGGGAATGATGCGAATGCATGCTGCACTTGTAAAATATCACACCAATCAACCCACCCTCCCCGCACGCCCGATCAAGGCGACCGGCGTGTCGATCAGGCCTGAAGCACTCGGTGTGAGAGTTCAAAATTTAAGAGGGTGTAAGCCGGAGAAGAGCACGATCGAATCAGAACAGCGATGTAGTTAGCAAAATGGCAGTTTTGACTTCCGGCAGGCGAAGTTGCGGTGGCCAGTTAGACGAGCGACCAGCCGAGCCAACAAATCTCGCCGCAAATCGCTCGCATCCATCCCTCCTGATTGGCATGCAAGACAGGAGAACAAAAAACCCCGAACGGCCTCTTAAAAAAAGGCACGGCTTTAGGCCCATGCAGACTTCATTTCGTTGTCGATCCGCCACGGATATGTCCGAACGACCTGGCGACCAGACGACCAGACGATCAGGGAGTATCCCTGAGAGTTAGAGAGAGAGTAGGAGACGTCCAATGAAACCAGGTCGATCATCATGCTGGCTTCTCATTGATGCATTTGCTCTGTACACGAGAGGTAATAGAGATGTATGTCTGGCCTATTTTGGTCTTACTTGCCTGCCGGTCCTTCACCGAACCGCTGGCGGGTACCTCTGTTCGCTGCCTGATATGGGCGGGTTAGCTGGCCTTGAAGTTGGATCATTCCCTGTATTAACCATCAAGACACACAAAGCTAGCCATACGACCCAGGAAGACAATCACGATTTCGAAAAAGCGTCATGAGTCGTGACATCCCAACATCATGATCGGAGCCGTTATCCACCATGGTCCCACTCGGTAGGTTTCCGTGTCTCGCTCATCGCCGGAAACCTGAAAACCAGTAGGAGACAAAGGAATCAAGATGGGGTGATCATTCGAGGTCTGTTCGCCCACGATGTTCAGAAGCTGGTCAGAAGCTGGAACATAGAATGATACGCAATGTACTCTGTATCATGGATGCGGATGGGCACCAGCGCTCATGCATGGTCTCGATTCTTGTCACACCCTCCTTCAGCACTCGCCTTATCGTTCTCGAGCACATGTTTTTGTCCCGCAAGGGAAATATGAGGCACTGCCGTTTGGTAAGTGTTCCGTTCTCATATGGTCTTCTTACGGATATTCACGCGCATGGAGCACAGCCTGCACAGGTAGTAGCCGCACAGACGACCTAGGTGTCCGTCCCCGTCTCACCTTTGCGGCTCGGGTCGCCTCCCAAAGGAAAATAGAGTTGTGTTTGAATGGTACGACGTACGGTTCCCTAGTTCCATCATTGTAACGGTGGTATGGAAGCCACTTCTCGTCGGCCGTTACTGGTCATATCTCGGATGCTGTCTGTGTGTCTTCCTGCTTGGAAAGACAGTATCCTTTGGCAAGCGGATGGGGTTGTCAGGGCCGTCTTAGAATTGGATGTTGGATGAGTGATTGGAAGCTAAGCCCGTGGCCAACACCGTCTCGTGATGCTCGAGTCAGGTAAACTGACTTCAGCGCTTGGAATTCTGGACTGTTGGCTTTCCCTCCCCTTTTTTCCAAAAGGCCGCGAGGGAACCCCGAGCCTGGACGGTCTTCGTATACTCATACGTTGCCGAACGCTGCCAAAGCCAGAGATATGGCTGATCAAGTCCCGTGGCAGCTTCCCCTGTGAAGGCCTGGCTGATGCTGTAGTGTGATCGTGGCAAGTCATCTCAGTCTCTACTCAATTCTTCGTGGTATTGTACCCCTTCGCTGTGTTGTCAAAAATCGATAGAACATCAACAGGAGTATAAATAGCATTGATGCTGAAGGAAGTTGGCCACAGATGACACGTAAATATTCAAGATCTATCAACCTCTGTATATGTATGTATATGGCTTATATGTATATATATTCTTCGTAGAATGGTCGTTTATTCATCATGTTTCAAATGCAATTCATAAACATACCGGAGTTTTTTACGCTTCCAGATTCAGTTTTTCTAGAAGGCTGTCCAGTTTCTCCATCAGAATCTCGTAGTTGATCGCGTCTTTGGCAAATTCATCACGGACGATTTCACCATCTAGTGTGCGGATGACGACCGGATCCGTCTCACGGAATCGTTGATGCGCAGCATCTTCTTCCCTGACAGCGACCCCGGTTGGCCCCTGAAAGTTGATGGCATCGAACTTGTCAGTGATATCTTTCAGGTCCTCTTCAATAGCCTCACTATCAGCAGGTTGTGGTTCTTGTTCCTCATCCATCATCTCTTCCAAGCCGGCATCCTCGAATCGCAACCTGAAACGCTCGCCTAAATAAAAACGGATGTCGTCCAGTAGTTCAATGGAGTCCGTTTCTTGTCTTGCTTTGATGCGAGCTGCCGACTCTTGAATGAGTTCTGCGAATTCGGGTGAATCGATGTGTGCTTCTAGTCTGTATGCAAGATAGCGTGCAGCGAATTCCTCCAGCCGCTGAACTCGAGTTAACCACGCAGCTCGAATAATAGAATAAATATCGATCTCGTCTTCTTCCTTGGTGCCCCGAGTCCTTGCAGCTTCTGCCTGTGACATGTCGCCACTGCCGAGGGTGCTGATCACCACTGCGGCCTTCGCTTTCAATTTCTCGATAAACAACATGTCCGCGGCAAAAAGAACATCGACTGCGATATCGAGCGGGAAATCAGCGCGTTCGGTATACAAGAATGTCAACACGATCTCTAAAACATCGGGTGAGCAGTCCACAGGAACGACGTTCAGGTGTTCCTTCAAGTGCGCCTCTCGAAAGGCAGACGAGAACATGGCCTGGAAGAACTCGGATCGAAGTAGCATCGCTCGATGGCAAGGGAAGAGAACTGATTTCCCTGTTTGCTGCTTTCGAAGGTCATGGGGCGGGCTCTCGCCAGTCTCTTCTTCTTCAGGAAGCTCATCCGCTTGGAGTAAGACATCTGCGAAGATATCATTGTGACGATCCCATTTGACGTCTTTTGCTTTGGTTGGTTCAACTTCTATTTTATTACCAAGAACATTTTCTCGGAACCATCCTTCAAGTTGATCACGGCCTCTTGAGAGCTCTATAGTTCTCCGCTGCCTGGCTAATCGCCTGTCTCCGCTGTCAATGATACTATCCAGAAGGCTCTGAATCTCCAGATGGCTGGCGATCTTATCAATGCCCACAAAGACCTCAGATTCGGTGAAGCCTGTTCCCGGTCCGCTTCTGAGATCGCGAGGCGCTTCTCCAAGATAGAGATATTTGATCGCTGTACCGAACGCTTGCGGCGGGATCGCACTCGGTAATGCCCATTCTGTAGTTGCGATATCGGCCTTCAATTTCTTCTGAAAGTATGGAGATCGCGCAGCGAGTATAAACTTGTGCAGATAAAGAGATTCGTCACCCGCGAGCACAACAATGTCAGACGTCCCGGGCTGGTCGCGAGTGAGGAGCGACGCTATATGGGCGGCGAGAGGCTGGAGGGGATCGGTAGATTTGGAATACTCATACTCAAGAAGTAGATTCCGTATGCGGTCATTCAAAGCGTTGTATAGACATCTTTGAAGAATATCGACGATTAGTCATGCTATGATGCAACTGGAGACACCATCCCTTTTGACGGAGCATACTCGGGACTGTAAGGAGTCATACCTTTCGCCTTGAAAGGTGTCTCGTTCACACAAAGCACCAGACTCCAACAGAAGTCGAGCAACTTCATAGTGTCCACATAAACTAGCCTAATGCGCATCTGGTTAATGATTCTCAAGCTACTAGTGCTTGTATAGGGATAAATATCGGATTCCAGGTTCATCCCAAGGGGAGAATTACTTACCAGGATCAAGGGAGTATAGTCATAGGGGTCTCGAGCGTTAACATTGACTCCTTCAGTGATCTTCTCTTGACATATTTTCAAATCCCCCTTGCGACAGGCTTCACAGAGTTCCCGAAATGGCTCACTGAGGTCCAAAGGGTTATCATCCTTGATTGTCCCTTCCTGGATCAGTTTCTTCTCATTGTGTAAAGAAATTTCTAGCTGATCTTTGCGTAAAATAGTCCTCTCAGCCATTATGCAGCCGTATTATATTGCCTTGCCGTATTAAAATAACCAAAGGTTCGAAGCTGCAATGTGGAATTGGGAATCCATTCACAATAATGGCATCAGCTTATCGATAAAGGCTAATCACGTGGAGCTTAATTTTGCCACAAAATGACAGAAGGGAAGATCTTATATGGATGAGTTCATTAAAGTTCTACAACCATGAAATGTCCTTGCGTTCCCAGTTTGACAATAATATGTGATGGCATAAAAATATTTAAAGTGCAATAAGGGAATTCTCAAAGTCTATAGCTTTAAAGATATAACCAGGAATACATAGAAAGTAGCTCGTTCAAGGAGAAAAAAGGAGGGTCTATCCCATGCATACAATGATGTAAGCCTGACTCTACCGCCTGAGGCTCACCGCCTGCCAGACGAAGAATAACTCCATAGTTTGCTTCGTTGCTTAGCAACAGGTCTGCATCCAAACATCTAAAACCCCCATTGCATACTTACTTCTCCATATCCTTACTTTTCTGCATCATCACTTCTGTCAAACTAGCATCTGTCATCTTACTAACTCAGCAGGGTCATTTCATACAAAAATAACTGATTCATGCATTGATTCATCATATCACTTTCGATTCCTTCTGTCTTCTGATCTTCCCGACTCTCGATCCTTCCTTAGTGGTTCAAACCACTTGAATGCCACCATGGCAATTGCATTGGCTGAGGCAGACAAGTATGAGGTGCTGGAGAAAATTGGTATTGCTCTTCCTGGTTACGTCTACTCATTGGTTTTTGAACTTGTGGTACTGACAATGCCTCTACAGGGTGCGGCTCGTTCGGTGTGATTCGTAAAGTCAGACGGAAGACTGATGGCTTCGTAAGAATCCCAAACATGTTTGCGAGATGTCAGAGAGACTAACAAGTATTCTATAGATACTATGTCGCAAAGAGATCAACTACATCAAGATGTCCCAAAAAGAGCGCGAACAGCTTACCGCTGAATTCAACATCCTGAGCTCCCTCCGACACCCGAACATCGTCGCCTACTATCATCGCGAGCATCTCAAGGCCAGCCAAGATTTGTATCTGTACATGGAATATTGCGGCGGAGGCGACTTGAGCATGGTGATCAAGAACTTGAAAAAGACAAACAAGTACGCGGAAGAGGAATTTGTTTGGCGAATTCTATCGCAGCTGGTGACGGCACTCTACCGGTGCCATTACGGAGCGGATCCGGTAGATGTGGGATCAAACATACTCGGACCGGCCCCAAAAGCTTCTGGTCTCAAAGGAAAGCAGGCCCAGATGACCATTCTGCATCGTGACTTGAAACCTGAGAACATCTTCCTTGGAAGCGACAATACAGTCAAACTCGGCGACTTTGGCCTATCCAAGCTTATGCACTCGCACGACTTTGCATCGACCTATGTCGGCACTCCCTTCTACATGTCACCAGAGATCTGCGCGGCGGAAAAATATACTCTGCGATCTGATATTTGGGCTGTCGGTTGTATCATGTATGAGCTGTGCCAGAGAGAGCCCCCCTTCAACGCTAAGACGCATATTCAACTGGTTCAAAAAATCCGGGAAGGGAAGTTTGGCCCATTGCCAGACTTCTACTCCCCCGAGTTGAAGAATGTCATTGCCAGTTGCTTGCGTGTGAATCCTGACCACCGTCCTGACACGGCTGCTCTGATAAATCTGCCGGTCATCCGCTTGATGCGCAAGGAGAAAGAAGTAATCGACGTCGGTAAGACCCTTCGGAGGCGTGAAGAAGCTGCAGTGCAGAAGGTCAAAGAGATGGAGCACGCTTTTGCGAAACTGGAGAAGGAAAAAATGCAAATGAAGTCCGAAATCGAAAACACGGTGCGCCGCGAGTGGGAAGTCAAGGCAAGACTGGAGATTGATCGGCAGGTACAAAACGAGTTGGACCGACTTCGCAAACGATTTGAATTTGAGGTTCAAGAGAGGGTCAATATTGAAGTCGAAAAGCAAAAGCGAAATAATAATCTGAGGGAAGAAGCTAGTTTCCGAACAAGCAGTTCTCAGTCCTCGATCAACACTGGAGATGACACCGACATTCCCTCAAGTACCGATATCAGCCAATTGTCTATTGAGTCACCTACAGCCAACACGAATAAGCCGCCGAAGAAGGAAGCTCGAACGCCGTTTACTCGGTCGAAGACGGTGGTTGAGTCGCCGGTTGATGTGCAGATGGCCGAGCCGTCACCAATCTCAATTGCATCCCTCTCATTATCCCCACGGCGTACTTCAGCTGTGAGTAAGAATATATTCGCTGAGGGCGATAAACAAAGAGCAAAGTGGGAGCCCACATTGGCGTACTCGGATGATGAAGACGACACTCCTGATCTTCCGTCGCCTACCCGCCCAAAGGTCAAGCCTGACCCATTCAAGGCACCGGTTCGTCCTCTGCTCCGTCAAAATACCACGGCCTTCATGCAGAAATTAAGTTCCCAACCGCCTCTTTTCCCTTCCAATTCTTCGAGATTGCCCCAAATGTCAGGTGGCGCGTCCGAAGGCCGTGAGCCAAAGTCCAGATCACCTCATCGACGTTTGTCCAAAATACCATCGTCAGCAAATCTTGCTGCTGATGCCGGGTCCCCAACTCGGAAAAGTGCTGTGAAACAACTCCCCTCGAAGGCGAACGGTGGGGGTGAGGAGATGTTCAAAGCCGTCATGCAGCGCAATATGGGCGGCCGTACATTGGTGGAACTCGCTCAAGCAAGAGCTGGTGGACGGCCCATGGACGAGGTCAAGCGATGCGCAAGTGATTCCCGAGCGGGATGCTCTACCAATCTCAGATCTTCAGATCGTGAACCACCAGCCATCTGGGATCCAGAGAGGGATGAGATGCCTAGTCCATTCCTGGCCCGAGGCAGGAAAATCATCCGAAACTTTCGTTAGAGCATGATACATGCTCGACCTTACTGCAACTAATTCAAGTGTCCGGCACTATCGAATCAATCACTAGAAGATATGCGACAATCTCTTCTACAATCCGAGAGCAGCAGACTGGGTCGTCTTGGTGGCATCTCGCCCTTTGGTCATGCACCCCGTCTGCTCTTTTTTCTTTTCAACGAATCCTAATATTAAGTCATTTTTTGGAGTTCGGCCCGGTGTCGAAGAAGCGAGACCGTCCATGCGATGCATGAGGCATTGATGCATTACCTGGCGCACCCCTTGTTGAGCATCGCTTTCACTACAACACAACTACCCTTTTTCCTTTGTCTCTAATGCCGTGATGCCCTTTTCTAATCTTCTCATGTTGGGTGCTCATCTGATCTTGCTCTGGGACACTGTACTCCTATTTCCTTGTTGCTCTCCCTTTTTTTGCAAAGACAACAAAACTCACAATTTTGACCGATAGATATTCGTTCCCGCGAGTGGCAACTTTCTATTTCAGAGTTACCAAGACTCGCTTACTCTCGTTTCTTGTACAGCTTCTTCCCTTCTCACTCTCAGTTCAGTGTCCTTGTTTCAGATGGCGTTAGTTCGGTGGCTTCTTGGAAAACCGGCGTATTCAGGAGTGGGATGTTTGTGTGTACATACAATTTTTATGGTTCCTTTCTTGAGAGATTCTCAGTACCTAGAATCTATGAGATCTATTCTCAAGTTCTTCTTAGCGACTTATCAACCCCCAATCACAATCTGCTGAGTCGAAAATTTGATGCCTGCGTTTTGAATTCATCTCATTCATCTAGGGCAATATTGTGGCCATGTGCACCAGTTTCGTCGCGGTTGCTGGAGTAAAATAAATTCACGCCTCCTCGTCTTCGACCTCCTCAATTTGTACAGTCCTCAATTCGCGATTGAATCGCTCCTCCTCATCTAACAAACTTTGATCAATTTCCATTGCCCCGGCGGCGGAGTCACTTGAATCAAATTCGCGCTTCTCAGTAGGGCCGGCATTGTAACCGGCCTTCTCAAGCCTATCCATCTCTTCCGGCTCCAGTAGCTTGCCTCGGCCCCTGATGGACTCCTGCTTGACTCTGACGGCCGCCGGAACAAACTTGCTGATAGCTTCTTGCCGCAAGTCTCTAATTTCCGGCTTCGCCTCGTAGACGGTCTTGGCTTCCACAACAGGTGGTCTCGAAGGGAGAGGATGCGGCCCTCGTGTTCCATCACGCTCCATTTCTGTACCTGGGCCTCTTCTCCGCTGGAATTGTCTAGGGATGGGCGGGGGTGTATCCCGCGGCATCGGTATCCGGCGCACCTCCTCGTCAGTCTCACTACTATCACTCTCTCGCTCCAACTGCCTGTAGTCGTCTCGTCTCCTCTTGCCTAATACTCCGTCCCCGTGTTCTCTGTGACCGCCATGCGGGCCGCGGCTGGACTCCGAACGTCCGAAAGTAGGTGCCTTATCACCGAGCGCCTCCCTTGCCTTCTGCACAGCGCGCAGATCACGCTCGAGAGCTTCCAGAAGTTGTTGATCGCGTGGCCGTAGCTTTTGTCCTGATTCCTCCACTGCTTTGATCTCGTCGATCTGTCTCTGGATGCGCTCTGGATTGCGCCGCGCGAGCTTCTCGTTGCGACGCGCGAGCGCCTCCGCCTTTGCCTTTTTGAGGTTCTTTTGCTTCTCCAGTTTCCGCTGCGCCGCCGCAGGGTTCACTGAGCGTTCTTTGTCTTTTGGCATGCTGTTCTTATTCCGTTACTTGCTCCCGGCTCTCGTGGTTGTGGAATGCGAAGGGCAGGCGTGCGCCTCGTGTTCGTGAATCTTGGACCGCCTTTACTGTAGACGAAGAAAAATCCCAGTCAGTCTTTGGCAAAAACACTCATGATTGGAGTAGATGGGCAGCGCAATGTGGTTGGGTAGGACAACATCCGGACGTAAAGTTTTGCAGCAGGCTAGACCAGCGATTTGGAGATCAAATGGAGCTCACAGGCTGCTAGGAAAGCGAGCCGCATCAATACCAGGAGCTGGATTTCGTTTTTTTCCGGGTCGGACCTACCAAGCGCTAATTCCCCAGCCCAATAGTAACTCGAAGTATCAAATATAGGGCTTGAGCCTCACGGATTGGGCAGCGGTTCGAGTAAGTCTGGACGTGGGGGAAGACGATCACGACAGGGCAATGGAGCAATGGTAATGGCGACTAAGCCGAGAATATGACGCGCCAGATGCGCTAACTCAAGATCCTTCTTCGAACTCTTTGGATTGATCTCCACAAATAATTATCGAATGGTAAGTTCCACGCACAGCAATAGGAATGGTGGAAGTTGAGAGATGGGAAGAGGGAGGTTGAAGTGAGAACGAAGTGCGGCGCGGAAAAGAACCACAAAGTGACGTCTGGGAGAGGAGGGAGGATGTCGGTAGACAGGACTTCGGGTTCTAAGTGCTTCTGGTAGACTGTTTTCTATCCCATCATCAGTTGATCTGAATTGCCAGTGCAGTGACATTTGGATCATGAAGGTTAGATTGCGCGGAGGTTATTATTGTAGGTGTAAAATAATATATATACCGACGATACCATCCCTTCAAGTTCATCCTACAGAATCCCGTCCTTCAGAGGATTCCACCAGCAGCAACAAATCCCTTTTTCATATCTACTTTTCTTATAGCGCATGGACATTCATTCCCCAGACATAAGAGAATCAATCCGTTCCTGAGGTTGCTTGCCTACCCCGGATATATACTCCATCCCCATCTGTCTCCTAGCATTTCCCCTCCCGAGGCATCCTTGAACCCATCCCAGGTCACTCAGGCTCAGTCTGTGCAAGGCTGCTCAGCTCCTTCATCAATCTCCTCAGAATCAGATCAGATCGAGACTTCTCCCCTCGCCAGTGTAACATCGACGGGCTCATAAGGAAGCCTGCCGCGGTTGCTTCTCCTTCTCCGGTCACAGTTCTGCCGCCGACTAATTATCTGCTTCCCCAAACGGGCCTGATCCTGGCCGCCGTTGATCGCTCTCTCCGTCCTTCGTTCTCCCCTCCCTCCTCGGTGCTCAATGACGCCCTGACATTCCGAGTTTCTTGCATTTAGGAGGATATTTCAAATTCTTGAGTTGAACTTATTTATTATTCTCGTTTAGCCGTCTGGTGATATCCGCGACTTTGACTGCGCGCCTCGCGCTTATTCCTCTCTCTTCTTCCTGCTCTTCTGCATCCGTCCTCGTTGGCCCCTTCACGCCGGATCTAGTTTCCTTCGCTTGCCTGCGGTCACCATCATGATACTGAGTCCACTCTGTCTCCACGTTTCAAGATCGATCGGCGCTTCATAGACCTCTGTCGCGGTTAGAGCATGTCTCTGCCGGGACCAAATGTCCGTATCAGCCTCGATTCCCGACACCTCGCTTGGCCTCACCTCCTCCGAGATCCAAATCCTCCGACAACAACAACAGATTGCGCTCCAGAATGGCCATGCCGGCAATGGCGTTTCCAGGGGCAGAGGAACCGGACGAACCAGCAACTCGAGTTCGCGAGCCGCCAGTGCGGCCAGCAGTCACGGTCGATTGCTTCTGGATCCGATGAGTCTTCGTGCACTCTCACATCAGCTAGATGGGCTGCAGGCACAGATTCGAAACCGTATTGATTATGTACGTATGCTGTGTCCTCGTCTATTTTATTCGCCTGCCACCTGTTACCATGTTCACGATCCCCCAACTTCCATATCAAACCTGCAGAAAGCCCCGATTACTTTATCTATATCACCATCGCAACACATTTTGGTTATCAGAACCTGTGTACTGATATCTTCTAGCTGGAAGAACAAATGCAGCTTTCGATTCAGAACAGCTATGACCGTGCAGGAAACGTCATCTGTAACGCCGATGCTGAGATTGCCCGGACCCGTTCGATTCTCGCCTCGATTGACGACTTGGAGAATGAACTCGCCAAAATTGGACACATTAGAGAAATCGTGAAAGCCTATCGCGGCAGGATCGAAAGTCTCGATCAACGACTTGACCAAGCTGCCCGGAGGAGACATTGACCACCCTATATACTATCGCTTACCCTCTCACCCGCACATTCGCATGATTTTGAGCGTCTACAAACTCTCACACTATTGAATCACGAACTTTACGAAATTGACGAAAGAAACTTCTATCGCCCTGGAGGCTTTCGCATGCCCATTTGCCGTATCATGAATCATCTCCTTGATTGTTCCGTCAATGATCCCATATCACTTATCTGCCGAAAAGAAGATGATGAAGAAGAAGAAAAGGGGGAAAAGATCATTTAGACACCAATACCACGAGGTGATATTGCAAAATTGGGCGAAAGCGAACCCAGAGAATGGACAAAATGGAACGGACGATGGGAAACGAAGATACGCTGTATACCACCAACCTGTCCTGACGGACTCTTGTCTCATGACGATTGTCTCTTTTGCTGCAGCTCTCGACCTGCACTTTTCACTTGCAATTTTACCAAGCCCCTTGCTTTAACGCTTTCTTCAACCACACACAGCATGTTTATCCTTTGTTCAAGCGTCTCGGGTGCCTTGCATGGATGTTTTGAAAGACTCGGGTTTGTGCCTCACGGCTATATTTGGCATTTGGACATTTGGCGTCGGATTCATTGGGAACCGATGGGTCAAGCATAGTCGAAAGCGCCGAGGTTCTCGATATATACCTCGAGGACTATTCTTTGTTATCTTATTTGGTCTTCATCATGTTGGATAAGAGTCTTAGGAACCTATTATTTAATGAGAACTACGACCCATTTATTCCCACCATGAAAATAACTGTTTTAGTTCACATTCCATCGACTCTGCAACTACAATATTCCTATATTTCTCCCATCAAGTGATACTCGCATCATATAGCCATTTCCACGTTGCTCGTCTTCGTGTCCGCTGCGTCTTGCGGCACCGTTAAGTTCAGATACAACGAATGACGATGGTCAATTGAGCCTGCTCTTTTGACCTGTTCTCCTGGAAATCCTTCTGATATGGGCATGCCATATTCGTGCCGTAAGATTAAACCCCGCCAGAATGGTCTTCAATGATACATTGATGTCTGGCAGTGCTGGAATTGAGAAGATCTTAAACGGATTTCATGCCTTTGCAAATGGGCTTCCTAAACTTTGCCGCCAAAGACCATTGTAAGAATCTCCAGTCCGCGTCCGTGGTGGGAGGCACGCAGCCTATTTGAGGCCTTGATCGCATCTGCATTTTTCTGCAGTGCGCTGAACTCGGTGATAGCGTATATGCCATAGTGTTAGAGACATTCCGAGATTGCATACGACACTTCTTTGTCGAGCACGATACCAAAATGAATGATTATCGATCAATAGGTGGTATAGAAAGTAGCGAAGCTGGTTCCAAACTATGCAGCGGAGTAGAGGGATGCTCAGCATGGAGCCAAACGGCGGATATCTCACCGCTATTTCTGCTTATGAACGAGCATACTTAGAGACACAGCAGAAGGTATCAGCTCCAAGTAACCTCGATTGTCAGGACCGATGTATCATCGAGGCAGTGTCTTGTTATCTGCTTTCCCCTCTTGTGATTTTTCCTTCCGGCGTTCCGCAAGCTTCTTGCTCCGCCTCTCTGTTTGAGGAAAACGCTTTTCAGTTCCACATGTACTGCAACGGATGACCAGTACATCTGCCCAAGGCTTTCTGCGACCACGACTTTCATTCCGAATCTCCTGCGTACAGTTGACGGTATCAATCAGAAGTGTCTCGCAGCGCTTGCAGAATGAGCGTTTCACTTGGACTGGAAGCCGAAGCTGGGATTTCAAGGATACCCCCCGCAGATGTGATACATAAACTCGGGAAAGTTGCGCAAGGCGACCCGTGCCCTTCGGCGGATGTGTAGTAAATGATGACTCTTGTTGTGTTGTAGCGCTGGGCTCTACCATGCCTGGTGCATCATCCGTCGAACTTATCGCTAGATCGTTTTTTCCTTCAATGGCTTGCTGATCACCTGCTTGGCTGGATGTCGCCGCCGATTGTAGTAGGTTTGCAGCATTGTGAAGGAACGCCAATCGGGCTCGCAGGTGGCTATTGACTCCACCTAAAGAACCCTTCTTATCCTTCCCTTTTGCCATTTTCACTGTGCTGGCAAATGGCACCGAATATACTTCTGATAGACGATGGTGGAAAATAGTTGATAGATCTTCATTGTTCACCCAAAGACGAGCCGCTAAGAAGCTCCAGAGCAGCTGGGGCTAATCATTAGACTAGCCGTAAACGGCTACTGTCCAGCGGATGGTGACTAAGGTGCCTTGGCACGTGATTTTAGGCTTCCTGAACTCTTCGTCTCATCCCTCGCGACTTGCGATCTTCTCTTGTTCTTCTCCATCGCCTTCCTCCACTCTAGTACATCGTCTCCCGGTCAATCTATTTTTGATCATCAACCAAAGGAGCGTCTACTCTTGATTTATATTGAAACTCTCACTTTCTCCACTGTCTTCCCCATCCACGCTTCCATAACAGGTTCCAAGGCTCGACTGCCCTGGGAGAAACGCGCTGCGACAGACACCTCTCTTCATCGGTACCACTTTTTACTCGACACACTACATCAACATGTCTCACGAGGAGGACCTCATTGACTACTCCGACGAGGAGCTTCAGACCACTGACGCAGCAGCCACCACCGCTGCCCCCGCTGCGAATGGGGCCCAGGATAAGAAGGGCGACTTGACAGTCTCTGGCGGCCGTCCCGATAAGAAGGGAAGTTATGTCGGTATCCACTCGACCGGTTTCCGCGACTTTCTGCTCAAGGGAGAACTTCTACGTGCCATCACCGATTGCGGTTTCGAACATCCATCGGAGGGTTAGTTAAATCACATTCTTCCCACAAGTCTTCCTCCATTGCTCCATGTTCCAACGTCCGTCCATCTCCGCGAGGGCATACAATGTCGCTTCTGGCCACCTATTACGTTCGAGCCTGCAGGCGGCGTCATATGATTTCTATGCGAGATTCCGAGCCAATATCGCTGGATTGAAGATGAGTCGTGATGCGGTTTTGGTCGCCTTTCACTGCGAGTTCATGCTTGCAGAATACTCTCAGTGTATTGCCGCTCGTTGCACTCTGAGGTTCAGATACAGTGTTCTGTTCTGGGGATACGGGGCTTGCCGCCTTTGATTGGGCTGTAGGCGTCTTCTGTGCCGAGTACAGAACGCCCATGATAAAGATACGATTGCACCGCCGGCTTGTGCTTCGATTTTCAGCCCTTGTCCATATGAACGAAAAGTTCCATATACACAGTAGGCCTTCATGCCGGATGACTCGGGAAATGGACGGACATTGCGACGCGGATTGCTTTTTCTCGTTTTCAAGCTCTCATGGGTCGAACACAAATCTAACATGCCGTTCTCGCCTTTTTTTACAGTCCAGCAAGTTTGTATCCCCACCGCCATTCTGAACGTTGATGTTCTCTGTCAGGCCAAGTCTGGTCTTGGAAAGACTGCTGTTTTCGTCCTGACCACTCTTCATCAACTCGAGCCCGTACCTGGAGAATGCTCGGTCCTCGTCATGTGCCACACTCGCGAGTTGGCTTACCAGATTAAGAACGAATACGCCAGATTCAGCAAATATCTGCCTGACGTCAAGACCGCTGTTTTCTACGGTGGTACCCCGATCCAGAAGGATGTCGAAGTCTTGTCGAACAAAGAGTCATACCCCAACATCGTCGTCGGCACGCCCGGTCGTCTCAACGCGTTGGTTCGTGACAAGAAGCTCTCTCTCCGCAACGTCAAGGCATTCGTGCTGGATGAGTGTGATAAGATGCTTGATCAGATTGGTTAGTCATTTGAATATTACCTAGGGCCAGAATGCATTGCTAACGGCTTGGTCCAGACATGCGCCGTGATGTCCAGGAGATTTTCCGCGCCACCCCCGCTGATAAGCAGGTTATGATGTTCAGCGCCACTTTGTCGCAGGAGATCCGTCCTATTTGCAAGAAGTTCATGAGGAATCCTCTGGAAGTCTACGTCGATGACGACACCAAGCTTACGCTTCACGGCCTGCAACAATACTACATCAAGCTCAGCGAATCGGAGAAGAACCGCAAACTGAATGAGCTCTTGGATAGTCTTGAGTTCAACCAGGTCATCATCTTCGTCAAGAGCACACTCCGTGCGAATGAGCTGGACAAGCTGTTGCGCGAGTGCAATTTCCCTAGCATTGCGGTGCACTCTGGTGTCAGCCAAGAGGAGCGGTGAGTCATTCTGTATTACGAAGAAATTGCCCAGAAATTGCAACTAATGTCTCGTCTATTCAGTATCAAACGGTACAAAGAGTTCAAGGAATTCAACAAGCGTATTTGCGTTGCCACTGACGTTTTCGGCCGTGGTATTGATATCGAGCGTATCAACCTTGCTATCAACTACGATTTGCCGGCGGATGCCGATTCGTATCTGCACCGTGTTGGTCGTGCTGGTCGTTTTGGTACCAAGGGTCTTTCCATCTCCTTTGTCAGCAACGAGGATGATGAGAAGGTTCTTAAGGAGATTGAGAAGCGATTCGAAGTTGCCCTTCCGTACGTATTTCCTGTTAGATGGTTGCTCGGGGAGAGGTGAATGCTAACGGCCGACTAGTGAATACCCTGAAGGCGGTGTTGACTCCAGCACTTACATGGCATGATTGGTAGATGTGTCATTTGGCAGCTAACATGTTTTGTACGTGGGCAAATTCTGTTACTTCTATTGCAGCTTTTATTTCTGTTTCTCTTTGGCGTGACGGTTCGGTTGTGATTATGTGCGCCGTCGGTCGTCTCTTCTTATGGCACTAGTGGAAAACTGGGGCAGGATCTGAGACAATGATGCGGCAAGAAAAATGTATTCGGTCATAGGCTCAATTTGCAGATTCTTGAGAAGAGGCTCCCATTGGTGCCCCCTGCAGTGTATTCAAATCTAAAATAAGCTTGTTTAATTCACGTCGATCGCTGTCATTTGTCTTTGACGACTGAGTCGACTGCAGTTCTGCAGTTCTGCACACCGATAGACCAGTTTCCTATGGTTCAATCAACGGCTGATTTCCATCTTCCCATTACCTGGATATAAAACCAGAATGGAAGAGTCCTCAACTCCGTTAGTAACACACTAGGCGACAAGTATCTACGGACTACAGACTACGGCCCCCAATATCCGAGCGATATTCGTTGTTCATGCACAAAAAAGGGGGCAACCCTCCCTCCGTCCTTCTAGTTGGATCTAATGTCCGACAGATCCCAGAGAATCGAGAGTACGGCGGTACGTCGGTACCTTTTGTCATCCAAACACAAGCTCGGGAGAAATGAACGAGAAAAAAAAAAGCGAGAAGCAAAACAGGCTCAACGAGCCTCCAAATCAGCGTCTGTGATGAACAAGGCCTTGGCAGACGGAGAAGAAAAGTGGATGATAGGACCCCGAGAGCCAACAACAACCCGAAAAAAACAGGGCATAAGAACGAGCTAAGATAGTAGGTAGTGCAAGTGAGAACTCAGAAGTTGCGGAATGACTGATGTGTAGATACTAGATACTGTGGATGGGGGGGGGTTTTTCTCTCGTTCCTGGCTTTCAGTTTTTGGAGCGCATGGTCTCATAACTCATAGACTACGGAGTATCAAGAGTCATAGTCATAGGTGCTACCTAGGACACTAGGTTGTGTATACTATCTAGACTAGAAACCTGGTATGGTTTTGATGGGGATTTTGAAGGTCTGGGGTCGACCCCGTCCAATTCTACCAAGTTCCAAGTACCACCTCGGACTAGTTAGATAGGCACCTAGGTATTCTGGGTTGGTTGTTGGCTGGGCTTCTTTACCTAGTTGTGCTGTGAGTCTGCGACTCGGTGTTACTTGATGGTACCTTTTTTTTTTTTTTTGCTTAGGTAGGTAGGTAGGTAGGTAGGTAGGTAGTGTTAGATAGTTGTCAGTTGAGCTGGCTGGACGGAAGCTGCCGGATATCTGGTGCCACGTTTATAGATGTTTTTTTTTATATCGTTCTGTGGGAGCCATTCCTGGTTTTTGTTTGTTTGCTGCTGTACATAGGTACATAGGTACCAGTAGTACGAGAGTGCATTGTAATGGGATGGTTGTGGTTGGTACCTCGGGCATTGTACCTCGTACGTACATAGTAGAAACGCATCTCGATGTCCTTGGACTACACCGTGCAGAGCTTGATTGCTCAAGCCAAGCCAACACACAGAAAAACAGTTTTCTTTCAAACTCCCAATGCCTGGCACATCTGTACCGACTACGGAGTACATCACACATACAGTAATATGCTGTCAAACCTAGAAAACGGGCGCTCGGAGGTTTTTTTTTTTTTTTTTAGGTTTTTTTTTTTCCCTTTCCTTGCCTGCTTGGACTCCATCATGCCATTTCCTCAACCCAGGTTCAAGGTCTGGAGCACTGTAGTACTGTAGAACTATCCACTCTCCAGATCTCAACAAATTGGCAGCACCGCATGGCGTTGAGTGAAAGAGCAAGTGCACTGCAGTGCAGACTAGACTAGCCAACAGCAGAATTTATTGCTTAGATAGTCTCTCGATGGACCGTTCGTACTTCACGGTACGGGACTACAACATGGAGTGAGGAGTATCGAGTATGCTACCGCTGTTACAGCTTGCCAGCAACGAGCAAGATCTTCAGTCAGTCAAAAATCCAACTCACATCTCGCGCCTTGAGGGGTGGATAATCTGATAATACTACGGAGACTCGGAGTAAATACTAACTCATGAAATGCTCCAGATCAAGCCATGATGACGTTGGAGACACGGACTATCAACACCGTTAGTGCACTGGGCAGCGCCAGTGCGCCACTACCGGTTGGCAGCGAGCTTGCAAACCTTCATGTTTTGATTTGAAAGGGAAAGAAAGTTTCTACTTCCAGGCGATGGCTTCGGTTATGACAGCTTGACAAGTTACTGGGGGTGAGGGCTAGTATGTACGTAGTACCTACTGGACTCTGTACAAGGTAGTAGTGGTTTATAGTGTTGTCTATCGCTTTCTGGGGCTGTATGGAATATAGAATATGGCTGGCCGATGAGGGTCTTCAGCCGGGGACGGCCGATGGGTATAACCTATGGTACAGAATTGCGAATATATGGGACTTGGACGGCTACGCTACGAGTAATAGGTGATAGAAGCTCAATGATGGATGAGCGGGACAGGAGGGAGGTACCGGAGGTACTCCAGGTGAAAAAGAGAAGTTGATTGTTGGGACTCGGAAAACCAACAAAGGTATTGAGTTGAGGGCCATGAGGTTACGGGTCCTCTGTTTGATGCATCCGGAATGGGGACTCGGGAATGACAGACTGGCAGAGTCCGGTCCACTGTCCACCGTTCCGCTAGGTTGATGCAGATAGGCACTCGAGGCTTTCCCGATGTTGCTAATAATGTGTAGGAAGCTAGAAAGAAGTACCTTAGATGGTTCCGGGAGTCCACGAGACGGGCGATGCTTGCGGAGGAAAAAAAAAAAAAAAAGGCACAAAAGGGGATGGACGATGATCAACCTTAAAACTCTCACTGGAACATCGTTGACATCAGTGAATCCATGTCGCCGTAATCATGAGATGTTTATATGCGGATTCTTGAATGCCATTGGTGTTGAGTGGCAGATCAGACGGGTTATACTTCTGATCGGCAGAATTGGCTTGGTTGGTTGATGGCTGGTTGAAATGCCGATATAATGCAGCATGCACAGGCATCTATAATCGTACACGACGTACAGTAATCTATTTGTGGACAGACAGATTATGATCCATGGGCATTGCATTGGGCTGTCTGATCGACTGTGTAATTAGATTCTGATCCATATGTCATCTCTATCTAAGATATTATTGATATTGTTGATATCTTGGTTATGCAGAGCACAATTCAAATGACATTATTGATAACTGGACTATCGAACTGCAAAAATCTGCATTCTGGAACCATAACTTGGAGGGTTTTTTTTTTTTTTTGTTTTTTTTCTCTCCCTTTTTCTTGCATATTCGACTTCAGTCATTCTGCTGCCATTGGGGATGATGGATTATTATTTTTTTTCCCACAAAGCAAAGTACCTGATAATGGACCCACCAACAGTACCATAGATAGTAACAGCAGCTAATATTTAGGACGGTACTAAGTAGTACAAAGTAAGTAGCTCCAGTCACCAGATTGGAACCTGTGATTCGTTCTGGAAGATTAGCGAAATTTTGTCTCCAAGCTACTAAGGTACGGAGTAGCTTGGCTACGGCCCAACAGTCTACACAGTATGTGAGAGTGAGACAGTAAGACTTACTACGTACAGAGTAGACACCAAACTTCACAAGACTAATCCACGATCAGTCCCACTCCCCAAGCAAAAATGTTGGAGGATCAGCTTCAAGGTCTGGACTCTGCACCTGTCTACACTTTACAGTAATGATGGTAAGAAGAAGCTGAGGATCCGCCCCCAGTTGTTTCACGACACAAGCATCTACCAGGTTTTGTCTCAACTTGCAGGAGTCGATCAGAGAGCCAAAAAGTTCAAACATAGTCTGTATCAAGTCTGTGGGTTCCTCATTATTTGGCAAGATCCTAGTACAGGATTGAAGGCGGTAGCTTAGTCTACTCGAGTCAGATTTATGCCAAGCGATCGGTGATTTCCGCTAAAAATTTGTGAATGTTTGCGACTCGATGGCGGATGCAGGTCAAAAGAGAATCTTCAATTATCAGTACGGAGGAGTCACTGTCATCGAATGCAATCGCTAACAGGGGACAGGCTCCAGGCTCCAAATCCTGACAAATCTGGGTGGTCATCTCTGCGGACATAAGGAAAGAAAGAAAAGAAAAGGAAAGGAAAAACTCAAAAAAAAAACCCTCCCATCGAGTCACAAAGCAGCAAGTCAAGCGTCGCACAACTAGACAGATGCCAATTGTACTTCGTACATACATACTCTGGACGCACATCGCCACATTCGTGGTCATGATGTCCCCCTAAAGTAGTCCCTACGTACACCCTGCAGCCGTAAACAGCAACATACATACTTTACTACTGGGAGTAAGTATCTGACCTGCATTCAATATGTTTCCCCTAAGGCTGCAAACAGCAAAGCCTACCCGAGTTAGGGATGTCGATCCTTACGCCGGATCGAGCTGTGGCATGCTGGGCGACAGGTAAACAATTGAACATTGAACAACCTCCGCCTCCCCCTTGCAAGGAGAATGAGCTTTTCCTACAGCCCTTTCTCTCCACCCTCCCCTTATTTAGTGTAGATACTAGATAGACTGTACTCCGGAGTAGACGCTCATTCCTCCGAAAATGCGACAACTGACAAGTAAACCCGAAAACAACTCTATGCACTTCGAGAGCTGTCGCGCTGTTGATCCGATTAGACACGCAGTGGCTTGCCCACTTTTTGAAGCAAGGAAAGAAATATGGAGGAAGGCATGTTCATCTGCTCTGGGTGTCGCTGCTGGTAGGTTTTTTGTTTTCTCTCTTCTCTTTTCTTTTTTTTTTCCCCTTCCCTTGAAGAAACAGCAGGGGAGTAACCAAACATCTCCCTTGGGAGGACCTTTGTTATCTGGGTATTAGTCAGCAGTTCGGGAGCTCATAGGTTGCCTAGGGTGGAATCACACTGGCTACCTAGCGACGAGTTGGAAGATATTTTGATCCAGGTCCATGGGGAATTGGCCATTTATACCCACCCGCAGAGGCAGATTGATCGATGGATGAGACGATAGATCGTTTTGGTCGAGGAGATATTTTCCTCGAAATAAATGGATCGCTGGACTATCGACTATCTATCTATCTATCCATCTATCCATCTATCTAGTATCGACTCTTTTTAGATAGATAAAAGGTAATGTACCTTGAATCTGGGACCAAGATACACTCACTAGTCACAACAGTCTACACACGGATGTAATAGTATGGATGAATAGTAATTGCTCACGCACCAGGAACACTAACCAGGAGGCTAACCACTAATCCATAGTTAGTTTCATCCATGTTATTCTAGCCTAACATCGACCATGGACCAAGTGGGTTCGAGTGGGTTTCTGGTGACGGGAAGATTTGCATCAGTGGCCGATTGGGCTGGGTTAGGTGCTTTTTTAGTGATTGTGGCTCAGCTAATTTCCTGGGAACATTAATCGTGATGATGTGTTGGTTTTGGATTGAGAATTTGAGATCCTTAGAGGGTAGGGACAATTTGATGAAGTTGGATAGGATGGAAAGAAAAGCAGACGACGGCGATGTACCTCGATAAATTTTAGTCGAGATAGTACCTACTAGTAGCTGGCTAAGGTGACAAGTTCCAGGAGTACATAAACAACCAAATATCGAGTTTATCTCCAATTCCAGCGCTGATTAGTGTACTCCATCGAGTCTGATGGAACCAAAACTGGGAAACCCAGACAGCTAACATCACAATTCCAAGTTTTCAAAGAAATTAGGAGTGTCGACGGAGGTACTAGCTTTGTAGTAGTACTAAGGTACCGTTGGGATAGGTTCCTGGTCAATAATAATAATAATAATATCATCATCATCAATTAACGCCTTTTCCACTGCCTCAGAGATGCTTGCTTGTCTCCTCCTATACTATAAGACAAACCTCATTCTCTCCACGCGACGCCAAACCACCAGACGAGAATCATATATTGATATCATGTTGCTATTACTGGCAGGAATATTAACTATCTATCGTTCATTAGGGAGTCCTGATCTGTCGAGTGTAAGATAGGTACCTAGAGAGGGGGTAAGATAACACAGAAAATACACCCAAACAATTTTACTGAATACCTCAGGTACCTAAGGTACCTATCCAACAGCTTGCATAGGTTAGTAGATAGACAGATACAGACTTCTCTCGTTGCTAGCAGGGGGGGGAAACGCTTTTGTATAATCTAGGTCGCTTTCGGGATCGCTTTAACTCAGCCTCGTCTTCTTCTCATCGCTGACAACAGGAATTCTTCTTATCGGCCGTCTCTGTCTGTGTCTCCCTGCCTCATCTCCCGTTTCCGGATTCGAGCCCTGGCGGGGGGTCCACGGCCGTTGAATCAACGCATCGTTTACAGTAAGAATTATTATGGGAAAAATAAAAATAAAATGGGTTAGGGAGAAAAAAAAAAAGAAAGATTGACTTTACTAGTAATAATGAACTGCTGTCGAAAAGAGTGTGATTGAACTTGTCTTCCTGCCTAATCAAATAGGACCTTAGTATCTGGACTTGCTTCCTATCTCACAGCACAGTCAGTCAACAACTACTTACTACGTTGCTTGCTGTGTATCTCTCCCCTCGTTCTTTTCTTCTTTCTTCTCCATCTTTGACCTCCCATTTCTTCATCCCCATCCTTCCGTCGTTCACTTACTTCTAACCTACTTTACCTTACGACTCACCTACCTACCTGCCTACCCAGCTTCCACAGCTTCTTCCTCCCTCCCCCCCGCCCTCCTCCTTCTTCCTCCTCTCTCTCCCTCTCTTCCTCATCTTCTGTTCTATCTTTTGGTGTTTCATTTCCCCTGTTCTCCTTCTTTAAATCATAGAAGCTTCGTCTGTCCGTGAAAATTCCCCCTACATTCATTACCTCCTTTATCATCGAAGCTTCTCTCGCTATCCAATCACCCGATTGATTCCGCACCCTGGCTTCGGTCGTGAGATTTTCTCTCCCGTGGTAGGCAGCGTCAATCGCGCCTTCGGGATCTCGTTCAGAAGTCCCTCCAATTCCAGCCCAACGATCCATCAGATCCGATTTCCTCTCTTCTTGTATCATCCGACTTCTGGTTGACGGCAACGCTTCCTTCCAAATTTGACGGGGAAAGGATAAAGAGAAGAAGAACCAAAAAAAAAAAAAAAAACAGAATTATGGCTCCTCCGCCGCGCTTGCGCATTTTATCAGGTTCGTACAGTCTCAGCTACGGGTTGAATCCTTCGAACAGTTGCATCATTTTCGACTATGAGTTTCTCTCACAATTTCTCTCGGAAATCAACCTGTCCGGGATTTTTGAAGCAATCTCCGCGACATCCGCAGCAGTCCACAATGAGCAAAAAGCTAACTCGAGCTTGTTTAGTCGGCAGCAATGCTATCTCGGCGTTCCTTTCGTGGCGGCTCCAGGCAACGACTTCCTGCGATGTAACATTGGTTTGGAAATCTGGCTTTGAGTCGGTATCTCAATACGGAGTTTCTTTCAAGTATGCTCTCTCGTCCCAGCCGGTTTCTCTATCCGTTTCGGCTCGGTTTCTGACACGAGATGATGATTTAGATCGAAACAGTTCGGCAATGAACGCTTCAAACCCCGCCATGGTACGTCTGCTCTTCCTTGCTCTTCGGCCTTGCTTTCAATTTTACTAATCTGCTCGTCTTTGTGCTACAGTTGTCCGCGCTCCCGAAGAAGCAGCCTCCCGAGAGAACGCCTACGACTATGTCCTTTTGTGCGTTAAGGCACTACCGGATGTTTACGACCTTGCAGCCGTCATAGAATCTGTCGTCACCCCCCAGCATACGTGCATTCTCGTGAATACAACCAATACGCTTGGCGTGGAGTCTCAGCTGGAGCAGCGGTTCCCTACTAATGTTGTCCTTTCCCTCGTTTCAGGCGTGGAGATTTCGCAGACTGGGGCCAGCGAGTTTGAACATTTGAACTCCTCAGATATCTGGGTTGGTGCAACAAACAAGAATTCTAACATCCCGTCGTCTATCCAAAATGACATGGCGGCTGCTCTAGCGATGACATTGAGCTCAGGACAGGTCAATTGCAAGGTATCTAACAACATCAGGCAGGAACAGTTTGAACGCATGATAGGGTGAGTTGTTGTGCTAGAATCTTGGTCAACTCGCGCTTTTCACTGACTCCTCTCTTCCTTTAGACCGATCGCGTTTCAGCCGGCGAGTGTTATGTTTGAGACTTCAAACCATGCCCAGCTCTTAGAGAAAATTGGGGTTCGACAACTGGTGACGGGACTCATCGAGGAGCTCATTGATCTCGCAAAATCACAGGGATGCTCATTCCCAAGCGATTTTGCTCAGAAAACGATCGAGAAAATGACCGCCAACGAATCAGCCAGCACAATGTACCAGGATTTCCAGTCACGGCGTCCTATGGAGATCGAAACGTATCTCGGGTCCCCGATCAAGCTGGCCACCGAGTCAGGCGTGCGAGTCCCACGCATTGAAACCCTTTATGCTGCACTCCACCACATCAACACGCAAAACCTCAACAACAAAACCCGCACCAACGAGTCGTCCCCTCCTCCCGTATTAGCCCAACCGCCACCAAGAATGTCCTCTGCGCCTCCTCCCAGAAATGGTCCTATGCGTCCCCACCCGGGTGGGAGAACAAGCTCCGGCATGATGATGCCGCCTGGACGCCGCGGACCTCCTATGCCTATGCCGGGAATGTCAAGGCCACCCAGCGCACAACCTATCCCTCAGTCAGCCAGATTGCCCCCTCGCGAGCCATCCCTCGAGGGACTGGAGGAGTTCAGCCATCTTGTCGTATATGATGACGTTGCGGAAGGAGGAGTGCCCCACCAGAATGGCAGCAATGGCGTTCACGATATGCTACCGGGGCCTCCCCCTGCGGGTGCAGAGCTGGCCATCAGAGAGCGGGAACTAGCGCTCCGCCAGCGGGAGCTGCAGCTTCGGGAGCAAGAGATGGGCATGCGCCGTGGTCCCCCCCGAAGGGCACCTCCTCCCAGAGCACCAGCGTTTGATGAGGACGACGAAGATGACTACTTCGATCCAATGGATACCAGTTTGGTTCCCCAGATCAACCCGGATAATGTGGACATGATGAGCATTACCTCGCGGAGGACAAGAAAGGCTCCCAGTGCCAGCCAGTTCCGCAAGAATCCCGAGATCAACCTTAACGGCAGACCGCAATCCTCCTTCAGCCGATACCTACCGGGAAGGAAGCGCGCCAGCGATCGAATCATGCAAGAGATTCCCGGTCTGCATGACTCGCTTATGGACAACCCCATGATGGCGTACTCGTCTAATCGGTACGGAGCTGTCGACCGCAATCAGATGCAGGCTGGGTCCCGTGCGAACTCCATGACAGCCAGCAGAATGGGCGATTACCCGCCGCACCCCTACCCGCAGAGCAGGAGAAACAGCCAGTCTCCTGCAACTCCGTACGGTAACTCTGGCCCGCGGATGGGTCGGCCTCCAACTGCTCAAGATCAGAGTCATGGCCCGCCTGGTCCTCACGGCGGTCATCCGTCCCCTCCGGGAAACATGCGAGCGCCTGTCCCGAGATATCCTCCCGGACAAGGCAATGCGGTAGGTCCGCAGCAAGTTGAGCAACATTATGGGGTGAGCAACCCGCATCCCGCCAAGGGCACTCCCAAGCATAGAAGTCTGACTGGAAGTGCGAGCGCCAGCGCGGAGAGTGGTGATAGCGGGGCCAGTGCGAACCTTGACTCTGAGGCTTCTGCCCATAGCAGCCAGATCAGCCTCGGTGGTCAACAGGCCGTGATGCCCGTCCGTTGAGCGAGGAGTCTTATCATTTTGTATCCATGATTCTCCCTCGATCGGTTGTTGAGCTTTCCTTCGCATTTTCTTTCTTCTTTTCTCCTTTCAACATTGCATGGCTTTCGGTTCGTGTTTTGTCACCTACAGCTGGGGTCGGTGTCTTCCCTAGTTGGAGATACCCCATATCGATATTTCCAGATGCTCATCAACGACCGAGGGGTTTTACACTCTTATAATACTCTTTTGCTCGCTGCTTTACATATACACAAGGGACATAGGGGAAAAATCTTTTCTCGTTTCACCATGCTTTTTATCTCGGGGTCTTGGAGTGGTGGGGCGTGTGTCTGCGTTTTGTGTGCTTTGATCTCCTGACCTCTTTTCCTACCGCACTTTGATAATGACAACGAGTCCTGAACTCGACCTTGCCATCGCGTTTCGACTTGTCGCAGTTATACCATTCCAAATAACAAGTTCCAATCACTCGGCCACGCATTCCATTTTCTTCTTTTGCATGACAGTCACTGTTGTACACTACCCGAACCGGCGCATCATTCCTTGCGAGAACCTCTGCACGTCCTTTCGATCATCTTACCATCCTTTCTCTTTTCTTTACTCTTCTCTTCTTTTTCTTTGTTCTTCCCTGCATTCCCTTCTTTTGTTTTATTTAGATTTTCCTTTCATCTGTACTGTGTTTTTTTTATGGACTCTGCCAAGGTCCAGCAGCTCTTGTCGTTTGCACATTCGCGGTCTGGGTTCTGGCGCAGAGAGGGAAAAGAGCAGGGTCTGATTCATCCGGTTGATTAATCGACTTAATTTGGCCGAGTCCGCATCTTCGCACGATCACGAGGGAAGGTAGGTCGTCCCCTTTGTGAGGACTCTCGTCATTCGGCTTCACCTGTGCCATTGACCAATGCATGAGAGCTTAGGGGCACATGATTGATAGAAGTTTATCCTGCCATGTCGCGATGAGTGTTTCGAATAATTCACATGTTTGCATAAATCAACGGAGATTGTGAATCACAGCTGCATTTTCACACCCATTAGTAGCCTTGAATCGTCTGCGTCATGACCAAAGAGCACGTAGCAAATGTAGCAGTGATCCAGGATTGCCGATGCGGAGTTATCCCTGCTGTTCGTCACGTGACATATCTGTTAAACACTGACATAAACAAAACAAAGAAGCTGCTTTCCCTCTCCACTTCGCTCCAACAAACCATTAACAACTCAATTGGGCCAGGGCGAGTAGGCCAACCTCGCAGCAAACAGCACACTGAAAACTCAATAGCTTCCCTTTGACATAGCCAGCACCACCTCAACCCTACGGGGGAAAAAAAGAAAAAGAAAAAGAAAAGACAAAAAGAAGAGAAAAAACCACAATGCCTCAACCACACTATCAACAACACCACCCCTCCCAATCCTACCCCCGACACTCCATCCTCCCCACCTCGGCCACGTCCTCCACATCCACAGGAGGCAGCGCCAGCATGTCCGCGGCCAAGACACGGCAGTACGCGCACCTGCACGCGCAGCTGGAACAGCTGAATGCGCAGCTGGCGGACACGCAGAACCTGCTACGCATGACGGCGGTGCAGGCGGAGGATATGCGGTTTCTGGGCGGGTATGTCGGGGCGCTGTTTATGGGGTCGGCGAAGGTATTGGGTGAGGAGGGGGTTAAGGGGGGGATGGCCGGTGGTACCGGTGGTGGTGGTGATAAAAATAAGGGGAGGGAGGGTGTGGTGAAGGTTGAGGATGAAATGGAGATGAGAGGGGAGGGGGAGTGAAGTGGGTGAGGGAGCCTTAGGGAGGTGAGTTTTGTTTGTTTTTTTTTCCCCCTCTCTCTTTTTATTGGGGTTTGGTTGCTAACGCGTTGTCTAGCTAGGTTTATCTCGTTTGTGTCTGGGATTTCTATGGGGTGTGGATTTTGGATTCGTCCGGTTCAGTCCTCCTCGCCCTCTACAACGAAACCGCCGAGGATGATGGCTGGCTCGTCGATATTGTGGTGCTCGTAACTGTGGATAGGTTAGAGATGGGTTTTGTGCGCTGGGGCTGGGGCTGGAGGTCCAGGACGAAGGCTTACCTGAGTGTGCCTACACCTCCGGCTTCAAGGATCAATGCCGTTTCCGAGAGAGGCTTCCCGATCCAGCGCATGGCGAACGCGCGCAGAATATGGCCGTGTGCGACGATGAGGACGTCCGACTTGTGACCTGCTGAGCTACCGAAGCCCTTGCTATGGTACTTTTCTCTGATGTCGGCGATCAAGCCGTCGAGGCGCCGGATGACATCTTCGGGGGTTCTGGATGGAACAGCATGTGTGAGTGGATGTTGGGCTTCGAGGTTGCTGAGAGTTATGGGCTTCGCGAGATATGAAGGGAAGACTCACTCTCCACCAGGACAGCCCTCAGTCCAAATATCCCAAGGCCCCTGGCCGTTTTTTTCGCGCAACTCCCTGATCTGTTTGCTCGTCAAGCCTTCATACTCTCCATAGTCCCACTCCCGGATCGCGTCGGTGATCTCCACGTGGGCTTCCGTCCGGATGGGTTCCTCGTTCTCGGGCTTCCTGCGCTCGTTCCAGGGGAGTCTTTCTCTGCAGCCAATCTGTAAAAGCTCGAGAGTGCGTTGTGCGCGATGGCGAGGGGATACGTAGCTGGTTTGGTCAATGTTAGCCTTGGTTGCAACTTTTCCGTCGTTGTGTCTTCCGTCTTGTCTTTCGCCGATTTGGGTGATTTCTCTAAATAGGACATTCGGGAGAGGAAGAAATAAAATAAATAAAAATAGGACTTACATATGGACCAGGTTCTTGGGAACAATCAATCGATCGTTACCAAGCAGCGCTTTCCCCGTGGCCTTGATCCGCTTCTCGCCGTTGGCCGTCAGCGGCAGGTCAGTGACACCGGTGTGTCGTCCATTGAGGGACCATTCAGTCTCGCCGTGGCGGATGATGAAGCAGCGAGGCGTCATCGTCCTGTACGAATATAGCGGTATCCTTCAGCTGGGTATGTGGGGGAAATTGCGTCTGCGGGATTGTCGGCCGGTGGTCACTGTAATGTGAAGGACTAGAAATTAAGAATGTCGTGGGTGAGGGGTGAGTCTTATTATTGTAGAGCAGAGCCTTTTGCGTCATTTGCTCTCTGATAGTAGCTTATCGGGCTTGGCTATGCCGCTTGTGTTTATGTCTTGGGTTCTCGGTGTACTTTAACTTAGTGGGTAGTTTGTTATTATTTGGGAATTACTTAGGCAAGATTATATAAGATGCTGTGTACAGGAGTATGTGACACGGTGCAGTGATTAGAATTGGCTATTACTGAACAGCTGATCGCACTTGTACTTGATGGGATGGGGGCTATGTTGACTCGGCTGGTGACTGTCTGCTTTTCTCCCTGGGATCTTGTCGCAGCTAGACTGTGGTGTCTACTTCTCATCCTCGATTCGGTGTGTGACTTGGAAGGGGTTTTACTGGCTTTATTTATAATCTGTATAAGTGCCATCTTTGCCGCGGGGAATCTGGGGGGCGACTTCGGTCCCTGTTGGATATGGACTGTCTCTTAGATAGATCGTGGATGACCCCTCCGCCCCTTAGCGGAAATATATTGTTGTAGGTAGTTGAGGGACTCATCCTTACATAAACATTGGTAACCACGATATTGGTCTAACGATGCAGGCCGCGATGCACAACGGAGTGGGGCATGGGACATGCATATGCATGACTTCTACGGAGTACTGATGGACATTTATGACTTATGAGTCGATTGGTGGACCTGCTTGCAGGATGATTATAAAAGTTGAAAGTGAGTGCCCAATATACAATCAAATATCCAGGACATCAAACAAGAAATCCTCGATGGTCTAACGGTCATGATTTCCGCTTGTCACTCGAATGAGAACGAGCGCGGGAGACCAGGGTTCGACTCCCTGTCGGGGAGATTTCCTTTTTTCATATTTTTTTCTTTCTTTTTTCTGTCCAATATTTATTTTTGGCGGATCCACCACCTATATATATACCCCGTGCTTCCAATAATCGGCCCATATGTGACATATCATGCAATTGAAGAAAACATGTATACTGCACCCGTTCCATCATTCTGCTACGCTGCCCCCATCATGTAATTCGGGAACGGACCTGTCAACTGTCGAAGGAGACATGTCAATTGTCAACACAGCGAGGCACATACTATGGAGCATCCTATCACATGACCCGCTCCATCATAAGCGAGATCCAATATTAGTGGGCCATTGATATCAGTGACGAATATTGTTGCACGTCTATAACATACGGAGTAAAACCTCTCTACACACTCGAAAGGTAGCGGAAGACCGACAGACATCGTTTCAGTCTTGCTGTCAGCTGCCCCTGACCGTCAGGTTGCATATTCCCTGCCGCCCAGTGTGCTCTCGCATCTGGCACTCGACTGAGTCAAGACAGAGGGGCTGGCCTTCTCACCCTCCCAAGGAGACCAATATGCCTAGAAATGTTAGGAAAAACCCCCGAGATGTGTCAAAGCTCTCGGGGAAACCACTGGTTGAAACCATAGAACCCTCACATATTTTGAACCCCACCCAGGACGGATGGGTTACCTCAACAGATCTGAAAGAAGGAGAGCTTTCCTTTACCCCCGAGGTCATCGAGGACATGACGCTGTTTCTCTTGGAAAATCCCAACCTGAACTCGAGCCATTTATTTCGTGCAGATATTCTCTACGACAGTCGGGGTATCTTGAGTACCCCACATGCGAAGGAGATATCATTCGCAGAATCCGGCAATATTGACACGAACGATTGCCCTAAGCCCGGTGATTCTGCGGAGCCCCTTCCAGCGAGAGACGTGCCCGGGTTCGAGCTAACAAGGACCATTGTGAGGAGATTGATTCCTAGAAACAAGAACCTGGATCGGCCCCTGGAACAGACCTGTCATTTCTACGAGGGAGAGGAGTTTCTTCCCGCATCTGCTCGCACGCAAGATGCGCATGGTAACCAAGATGAAACCGAGGCCACGGTATCACGCAAACGCTTCTTGGTCGTGTACGTGCCGCACGTCTCGTCCAAGGAGGACATGCCCTGGTATCATCCCCTGCTGCGCTCACTGGCCTTCCTGTACGACTTCACCTACAACAACAATGTAGAATCAGCCGAAGCAAAGCATGGCTCGGGAACGATGTCCGTACATTTCCTGCCGTACGAAGGAGAGCCGATTCAGAATCGGCTGGAGCGTACCTTGCTCGCTCTTCTGAGCACTCAAATCCGGCTCGCTCGTCAAACACGCCTCACGGAGAAGCCTGAAGGAGGCAACTACAATCCGAACAAGGATAACGTGATTCCAAGGCATCTGGTTCAAGACACGTATGCGCGCCTGAAACTGAAGTACGCAGCTGATCTATGTAAGAACTGGGTCGAAGAGACGGAACCGAACAAGCACGTTTTCGAGGACCTCTCGATTACGGCCTTCCTCATTGAGCTATGGAGGAGTATGTATGGAGCTGTACCCGCTGATGAGAGGGGTTCAGCCCCCGGCGAAAAGGAAGACCATGACCCGAAATTCCCGGGGTTTGTGGATGTTGCTTGTGGAAACGGGCTGCTTGTCTATGTCCTGCTCTCAGAGGGATACCATGGGTGGGGGTTTGACGCCCGTCGCCGAAAGACCTGGAATACCTTTCCACCCTCGATTCAAGAGCGGCTCAAAGAGGAAATTTACATCCCGAAGCCATTTGCAGACGTATCCACAGAGTTGGATCTGGACATTGGTATCAAGACCCATACCGGGATGTTCTCGGAGAATACCTTTATCATCTCAAATCATGCCGATGAACTGACAGTTTGGACGCCGCTGATGGCTGCGCTCTCAAACCCGGCATCTCCACTTCCGTTCATCTCAATCCCCTGCTGCTCCCATTCGCTCTCTGGCGCCAGACATCGCTATCCTCCTCCCCGGCCTAAGAGAAAGGAGGAAGTCGATCGTCCAGACGCTGAGGTGGAACAAAATCCGCAACCGGCTACCGGAGACCTAAAGGCGCTTCGAGCCGCCAAACAACAGGAGCAGACCGACGCGGGGATGTTGAATTCCATGTATGGCTCCCTGACTGCCAAGACGATGGGCATTGCCGAAGAGGTTGGATACGACGTGGAAAAGACCTTGTTACGGATTCCTAGTACAAGGAACATGGGTGTGATTGGCGGCCGTAGACGGATAACACAGGAGTGGGGATCTAGAGTCAATACTGCACAGATCTCGCCTACGGCTGATGGTGGAGCTCATGATGCCAATGTCGACGGGGTTACTGAAAAGGCCACGGCGGTCGTTCAGCGCGAATGTGCCCGCGAAGGAGGAGTCGGGCTTGCAGCGAAAATTTGGATAGAACGTGCTAAGGGTCTCCACAAGGGACAGGGGAAGGGCAACCAACCAACTCATTGAAGTGACTATTTGCAATTCCGATAATATGTGAGGCACTGAAGCAGCAGCAGAGGGCACCAGGATTTTTGCGCATATAAAACCCAAATTCAAGTCTCAAGATCTTGTCCAGTTACAAGCTTCTTGGCTTCGGAGGTTGAGCGAGCACTGGGCCTTGATCACACCACTCGGCTTTGCCATTGTCTCACCGAAGGGTCTGTTCGGTTCAAGGTCGGACGCAAGTAGAGGCCGGCATGATGGATTGCATTATCATGGCCACCTTGTGCTGGACCACCCTCCCAGCTCGCTCCCGGGGCCCTGGGACTCTGAGTACTTTCTTCCCATACGAGCCCCACGGGGTCCAGCAGAAGCGGGGAGGCCGACTCAGTATTGCCGAAGTTTCTCCATGTTTGATGATGATCATTGCTTTGATGTCCAAAAAGGCATTGAGATACTATGACTTCATGCACGGCATGATCCGAAATGCGCTGCACTCTCTCCACACCTTGCTTCTCCGGCTTGAGGATATTTCCCCCGCGGGATAGCCATGGGGAAATGGTCTCCTGGGTTGACTGCAGGGAGCAGGCAAGGGATATAAAACCCTTGGATGTCAGGAACTATAGACTTAGAGTAATCATTGTTCGGGCGCACTCCCTCTGGTAGTTCTATTCCTGGCACATTCCTTCGTTATAGCTGTCTCGTCGCTGCTGCTCCCTGCAGCCCTCTTCGGCCTCAAGGCCGCTGCTTTGAACAATGGCCTAGCCCAAACACCACAGATGGGATGGCTGAGTCGGTCCAAACCAAACCAAGTCTAAGTTGAATGCATAGAAGCTTACATCTTCTCCCCCGTGCGTAGAACACTTGGGACTCCTTCGCCTGTGACGTGAATGAGACCGTCATCCTCGATGCCGCCGAGAAAATCGTCTCTCTGGGTTTCAAGAAATCTCGGATGTGGTCCTGGGCGACTGCTGGTCCGCCGGCCGTAACACGTCTGGCTACCTGATCGTCAATTCGGCCAAATTTCCCAATGGCATTGCCGAGCTCGCCGACAGGATCCACGACATAGGGTTGAAGATTGGTATCTACTCTAGTGCCGGGTCCTTGACTTGCTCTGGCTATGCCGGGTCCCTGGGGCTACGAGGAGAAGGATGCCACGCTCTGGGCAAGCTGGGGGGTGAGTCAGCCCTGTTTTTGTCTGTGACAGACGATATGGTCGCGGGCGGGGAGACTGCCTCGCAGTCCAACCTGACCGCGTTGTGCGGGGCGCGCGAGATGTTTGCGAAGCCGTCGTCGTCGTCGTCGTCGTCGTCGTCGAAGGAGCTGATGGGGTCGAAGGTTGGGACGGTGCAGCTTAGTGGGACGGTGCGGGCGCATGTGAAGCCCCATGGTGTGGCGATGTTGCGGCTGCGGGCCCGTGAGCAGAGGGATGAGTTATAGTTGGAGCATGGTTATGAAGTGCGTGTGCGTGTGATATTATAGAATACATTGGGAGGCTACCTAGTGTTGGTTCTTCTATCTAGTCTATTAACATAATACTAAATCATGAGTTGTGAGTGGAAATCTCGAGATATCGTAGATACAAGGTTTATAAGTGAGCCGGGAGTGGAGCTATACACAGCCATCTCGCGTGGCGAGAGAGAAGCCGACTCTTTCCGTCTGCCGTGCACATTTAGTGTAGAAAACAAGAGCCGAACGCCCGCCAAAAAAGAAACCACTGCCGAGAATGAACGGGACTCGCGAAAGAGCACTTTTAATCTGCTCATGTAGCAAAGGGGAACGACTAGCCTCGGTGACCAAGACGTAGTCCGGTTGAGGATGGACAGATTCAGATATTATGAGACGTTCAAAGAGCACTGCCGGTGGGATCTGTCTCGCGCGTAGGAGAATGACCTGAACCCTTCGCAGAGCCGCTGGACGCGCTAGCCGATGCCGACGCTTTAGCTTGCGCACTTGCTGCTCGCAGCGCCGAGGCCCTCTGGGCCGCCGCATCAGCAGCGAGGGACTTGGCCGCGGCCGCGGCGGCGCTGTCGCGAATGCGCTTCATTCTTTCCGTCCGACCTTCGCCGGGGAGACTGCCCCAGACCGGCTCAATAGAGTCTGCCCGCCAATTCGCCCGATGGCTGGAGAGGATGCCATTTCTGGCCGTGATAGGATTGATGGGGGTGCCGCCTGCACCGGCTTCGCCCCACATGCGGACGCGCTGGAGTTTGCGTAGCTTTGCTAGTCCGTAGACGCAGACGACGGCGGTGATGGCGAAACAGGTCACCGAGACAGCGCCGAATCCAGCATCGGATTCTTCGATGAAATTCTTCAAGTTCATGCCGTATAGAGCGGAGAAGAGGGTACCTGTCGCGAGCCCGAGGGTTCCGATACTGAACTTGAGGTCGAGTAACATGAGAGAGTTACGGTTCGCGTCGAGGATGGCTTTTACACTGTAAAAGGTTAGAATTCTGCGTTTTCAGGCTGAGCGAGAACATAGGGGGGGAACATTGGGCCTTACACTTCCTCAGTGTTACGAATGCTGGTCACCAGGTTCCCGCTGGCTTGGACAATCTCGTCGCAGACTTTGTGGTAGGATTCCAAGAGCATCTCAACCTCCTGATGGTCGTCCTCCTCCCGTTCAACACCATTCGCGCGCTCAGTCAAATACATTGCAGTCAGGTCATCGTCTGCCTCCAGAAGATCGTCGATGGCGTCTCGCACCAACCGAGCTTTCTGCTCAAAGGTACCCAGTTTCTTGGAATAGATAAGGAGATGGCGCAGCTTATCCCGATCGATGTCCTCTTCCAGAGCGCGGAGAACGCGTACCACCGGCTCCCTCACGCCATTGAATTCCTCCTCCAGACCAGCAGTAACGCTAATCAGCACTGCTTCCAAAGCACGGAACTCATAAGGCAATGCGCCAGCACCCTGCGTCTGTTTCTGCCGTAGTTTTCCTTCCAGATCATACACAAATAATGACTGCATGTACGAATCGGTAGAGCCATAGGCATCGAACACGAGGACCCGGTCATGCTTGATAAGCACACGCAGGTGCAGGAGGTTAATGAGGATCGCGCTCGGCCGGACAAGGATATGCGGCAGCGTCGAAGAATCAATCTTGCGAAGATCGCGCGGAAGAAGCCCGTACTGCAACCTGGATTTTAGCTCCTTTCCAACCCCAATCTCGAGCCTAGTGGAGACACCAACCTTTGCGATCAGCTCGCTTTTCTTGAACTCCCCGTTCACGAGGGTCACGTTTCCGTTGTTGTCAAACTCCGTGCAGCGCAGTCGCGGTTCATTTGTGGCTTTCGCGGCCAGTCCTCGGCCGATGTTGAATCCTCCTTCCGTGCCATCGTCAATCAGCGCGGGCCCGCCGCTGCGGTTGAGCTTGCTATCCGTAGCCGGTTTGCTACGTCTCAGCTCAAAAAGCCTGCGTAGGAGAGGGCGGCTTTTGGTAGTAACAGATCGCGAGTGAAGGGTATTTGCGAAGGGAACGATCGAAGGCGAGCGGATGCTTTGAGGCTGATCGAACGAAAGACGAGATCGCGACGTGCTGTGACTTCTCGCCGACACACACGGGATCGTGAAAATACTAGCTTGAACAGTCGCGCGGCATGGTCCCGTTTCAGAATATATTTTGTTCGGAGAGGCGCTTGGGGCAGCATTGCAGGGGGCTTGTCTCGATGTGTGTAGCCTCCTTCGAACAGAGTGAGTGCATGCTGATAAGCTCGGTGCGCAGAACTCGGACTGAGACCGCAGGAATCGAAGAAGGGACGCTGAAGGGGCCGACGGTTTCAAATGCGATGGTGATGGCATCTCTGGCGGCCTTAAAAAGCCGTCGACCAGAGTGATGAGCCGTCTCTTCACTTGGTTGTTTTGCGTCTGATAAGCGATGGGTTCATCAGTTATCTTTTTTCTGACCTGGGTTGAGTTGTTCCCGCAGGGGGATAAGGATCTCGGGTTAATAATGTTCCGTATACTTCTCACCACCGAGTGATTTATCTCCACCAATCTCTCAGCAGGTTATGTCCATTGGGAATGGGCTTAGGATAACAGTGCTCCGGAGTTCAGGGGTTCATTCTGTGGCCTACTTGTGAAGGGTTGGTATGTAGACGAAGCGATTGATGAGCATTCGATACTGCCACTGTCAAATACTTGCTGCCTGTGAGAATGTACAAAGGGTGAATGATCTGGCAAGGACTTGAGAAGATAGTCTCCTAGAAGCAGGTCTGAAGCTACACATCGCTCTCCAGTATCCACCCTCTAGCTCAAAGACCTTTATGTGGGGGGACGATTGGAACCATATCTTCTTAAAACAAGAAACAGATATGCCATGGAATGCGAGGTATCAACGAAACAAAAAGTCTATCCAGACATGCCGCCTAGAAAAACACAGTAAACAGGATGATCAAGGACAAATAGGGATAATAGAAGCACTGCCAGGTGATCACCAATCATCGTCATCGTCCTTTTCGTCGTCTTTATCACAGGTTAGAAACATCGCCAAGCGAGGTATAAGGGGCAAGTGGTTGGTAAAACTTACCGCTGCCGCTAACTTTCTGTTTTCTCTTCGCAAGAGCATCTTGCAAAGCGCCTGCCAGACCTCCTTGAGCAGCAGCACCACCGCCGCCTGGTGTCGGTGCAGACGATTCAGCGGCGGATCCCGGGACGAGAGCGGCGCTTCGATCTTTCTTGTCTGAATCCTTGACTTTCCGTAAACCTCCACCTCCCTTGCCTCCAGACGCTCTGATAGCAGCCAAGAGATCGCCCCGATCCCCAGCTGGCTGAGGCAAATGTGGAGCCGCACCGCCTGGGGGTGGAGGGGGTGGGGGAGGAGGGGCAAAGCCACCAGGAGCTGGCGGAGGAGGTGGAGGAGGTGGTGGACCTCCGCTTGATGGGGGTGGCGGGGGCCGCGGAGGAGGGACGTGTGACACAGGAGGTGGAGGTGGAGGCGGCGGCGGTGGAATGCTCGCCGAAGGTGGTGGGGGAGGAGGAGGAGGTGGAGGGGGAGGCACAGCACTGGCCGCTGGCGGAGGAGGGATTGGCCGTGAAGCAGCAGGCACTGGCGGAGGCGGAGGGGGGGATGAGATGGGATTTCGAGCTGGCGGTGGAGGCGGAGGACCTGCTGCTGAAGTCGGGGCATGGGGAACTTTGGGTGGAAGTTGCGGCGGAGTAGCAGGGCTTCGCGGAGGAGGCGGAGGAGGCCCTGGAGGGGCCGGGCTACGACTAGGTGGTGCGGGGGGAGCAGATACCTTGCGTTCCCCATGGAAAGGCGGAGGAACACCGAACCGAAATCCGCCGCCATCCTCCATCGGGTTCTTGGGAGGCCGAGGGGGCGGAGGTGGACCGGGAGTCGCGCCAGACATGGCTCTCTGCCGGCCAGGGAGGGGAGGGCTAACGACATGGGCGAGTTTACCAGCATCTGCAAGAGGAGGAGGTGCACGGAATCTGGGTCTTGGCGGTGATGGTTCACGAGCTGGTGCAGGGGTTGGTTCCTCTTCCGCTTCAGGGCGGACTTTTCGAGATGGCGGAGGTGGCGGAGGCGCGCCCCTTCGACTGCCTGCACTGTTCCCGGTATTCTGTGGACTGATCGCAGTCATTTTCAGTGCGGGAGGGCCGGAGGGAGGCGGGGGAGGAGGCGGGGCCTTGCCTCGCTTCTGCTCTTCAGAAGGCGTAGAGTCGGCCTCGTTCCCTTGTCTCTGTTCAATATACGCCTTGATGAAATCGGAATTCTCCGCAATCTGATCTTCTGTAATTCCCATCTGGAGCAGTTCGTCCAGGAGCCCCTTCCATGATGGATCACTTGTATCAAAGGGCAACTCTTTGCGGGAAGCACTGGGGGGCCGAGACGCCGGAGCTAACTGCGTAGGAGGCGCGTAGGGTGCTGCAGCAGGTGCCGCCGGTGGTGGTGGTGGTGCGCTCGATCCCGACGCTGACCGATGGCCTAGTAAACTACCGAACAGCGATCGTCCCACGCCTGATTTTCCACTGACAACAGGCGCAGGGCCTTGGCCTCTGGTTGATGCGAACGGTGTCTGACGGGTTTCCTTGCTTGCATGCTTCTCCCGCTCGTGGACCTTCTTGATGAAAGTTTTGGCCTCCTTTTCGTCGGCGAAAGAGAAACCCGCCGGGCAGTCTTCGAGTTCGAATGTGTGGAAGAACGTGCGATCCTGGTTGTATGAAAAATTGTCGTAGATCTCTTGGTCCCAAATCACACCTCTTCCGGCGGGCTACACTCGAACATGGTCGCAAAGATCAGCAATTGTATTTTTGCGTGGTACTACGCGGTAGAAGTTGCAAGATGACCACTCACCGAGACATCCACTAGCTTCAGCCAAAACGTCCGCCCGACCAGGTCGTTCGCGAGCACTGCGGCACCCTGCAATCCTGTGTATGTCCATCGATGGGGATCCGGGTACGCGACATATAGCCGCGCAACCCCTACAGCAAGAATTTTGTTGGAAGGTTTTGGAACATTCCGCTTCACAGTTTCCTTGTCGGCGTCACTAAGGATAGATGGCATGATGGATCACGAGGGAATCGGAGACGAGGTGATAGCGGGGAAAATTGAATGGCACGGGAGACACGGATGACTAGTATTCAAGTTGTCTGTCGCGAACACATTGCACGAGATATAGTATGGTCACCCCAGAGGGAAGCAAATTGCGTTTGCGTCTAGAGCACCGGTGGCTTGTCGTAGGACGAGAAGGGGTGCGAATATGTCCAATTCTCCAGCTCGGAAGAGACTGTACAATCCAAATGCAAGGGAAAGAGGCTGGAAAGATCAGAGCTTTGTATAATCAGAGTAAAAAAAAGAAGAGCGACAGGAGTTGTCGAGTAGGAAGTGATGGAAGGTTGGGAGCATGAATAGTTGCAGGTAGCAACTTAGGTGGTGAAGTTCGGTCAGTTTGGTGGTTACCTACACACTACTAGGTCGTAGGTGGGGAACTACCTATCTACTGGTAGTCTGGTACATAGCACGGGGAGAACCACTCCTAACACTACTAAGCCACACTCAATGATGATGATGGTGAATTATCTACTCGCCTCTCTCATTATATCAATCAATATCAATTGATTTCCTACGTGCTTACATGGTTTCAATACACTTGGTAGAGGACTATGAATATGGCGAATACTTCATCTGAAGAATCCCTCACTGGAGAAAGGGAAATGTCTGCTTAAGAGAACGGTACTTAACTACTCCATACTCCAACGGTAGGATATAGATACATCACCTGAGATTCTCAATATCCAAAAAGATCACCCATTTGTAAAGAATATCGGATACTCTCAGATCAAATACTCGATCTTCGCACCCATTATCCTTCTAGATACAGGCAAAGTGGTCTCGTGGACTGGTTGAAGTATACCAGCAACGACGTCATCCCGCCTGGCTAAGAAAAGGCTCGAGTATAAATGACTGCTGTTGGCTTCTCTTACTCTCTCTTGGATCTCTAAAGGCCCATCAGGAAAATAAATACACCTCTATCTGTTACCTATCTGCGAATTCAAAAGTCATTACACACCTCATCTAGTTCATCATGCCCGTCATCCCGTCAGACACTTCCAACTTCCCCTCGGTGCAGGGCAGCAATAGCACCCAGAGCAACGAGTCCTTCAAGGGAGAGCATGAGCAGAAGAAGGCTACTGCCTCTGATCTTCTTTCAAAGGGACCTCAGATTCCCGATAGTAAGCAACAAATACACATAGAACCGCAGGCGATGTATCATCTCGTTGACGATAGCATAGACATGCCTCCCAAAGCCTCGAGGGAAGAGATTGAGCAGCGCATGAAGGAGTTGAACAAGTAGAACCACTGATCTTTGTGTATGCTATGCATCATATTGTATGATCCTTTATGAGACGGCCTTGATTCCACTTTTGCTTCCGTTGCATTACGAGTGTTGTCCTATTGATGCATTACGTTCTCAAACATTCGAAGTAATTTCTTCCAGTATCCTCTAACCTCTATAGGAGATTAGATATAGAGTTAACATGTCCCTTGGATTTTTGTATCTGCATCTTCATATTATTAGAAAGGGTACGCAATACGATGCGCCAACACCCTTGCTAGGCCACTAGAAGCAGGAAAGAATTCTACACAGTATATAGGCGCCAAACTTAAGTGAGGTACTGACCTAGTGAAGACTCGAGAACTCTGTGGGGTACTAGATAGTTTCCTTGACATCGATTTCGAAAAAAATAATAATAATAGTACTACCTGCTCTTCCTGCTCTTAACTTACATTTTACACCTCTCACATTGAGCGATGCTTGTATAAAGAAGTCACGTTACTCCCAAACGAAATCAACATGTGCTAGCCAAAAATGGTAAGAGCAGCTATCGTCCTTATCACATAAATTACATCATAGTCACCTGACTGCGCGTCCTCCTCTACTGCTCGATTACTTCAAGATACAGCATTTGTCGCGTCAAAAGGCTCCTCATGCCTCCTGAACGCGCCAATGTCCCGGTGAAGCTGTCCTTGCCTCTGGTAAGTAATCCACAGAGCAAAAATGGCAGCTATACTCGGATGCTGACGACCCTATAAATAGCAATACCAGCAGGACATCTTCACCGAACTGCGCACCGAAGATGAGCTTGTTATCCTTGCCCGGGGCTTGGGCCTGTTACGTCTGGTGACAAATTTACTACACTTTTATGATGCCGCAGGCAACAATCTTGTCCTAGTCGTTGGGGCTGATGCTCGCGAGAATGAATGGATCGGTGAAGGTACGTAGAGCATGCAATTCTCATTGTCAGGAGTCGCAATGCTCACTTCTCAGGCAGCCCTGGCAGAGCATTATGCCATTAGCAAAACATTCATGGCTAGGGGCCTCAAGGTGATCAACACCGAGAGAGCTACAGTGTCCATGCGGTACGTACTTCTGCCTAGCAGGCTGATCTGATACCAACAACAGTCTAGGGAGAAGATCTATGCAGAAGGTGGTATCCTGAGTGTAACATCCAGAATACTCGTCGTGGATCTATTGTCAAGTAGGACAGGGCTCTTTATTGGTACTTGGATCTTCTACTAATTCAGCTTCAGAACTTCTCGATCCGGAAAAGATTACGGGCATGGTTGTGCTACACGCAGAGAAGTACAGTCCATTACCGTTTGACACACGCGATTGGATACTAAAGGGCTTTAGGATCATAGCAACTTCACTTGAAGCCTTCATCATTCGCGTGTACCGACAGAACAATAAGCTCGGTTTTCTCAAGGCCTTTTCCGATTCCCCAGAGCCGTTCACAACTGGATTCGCTCCGCTAGCGAATTCCCTGCGTAACCTTTTCCTTAGGAAAACGTCGTTATGGCCACGCTTCCATGTCACTGTTGCGGAGTCCCTAGAAGGAAACAGGAAGGCTGAAGTGATTGAGCTTGAGGTGCCGATGACTGACAAAATGCGCGAAATCCAGAATGCCGTGCTCGAATGTGTGGAAATTAGTATTGCAGAGTTGAAAAAAGCAAATACCGGAATTGACATGGCCGACTGGACATTGGATAGCGCATTGCATAGGAGCTTTGACATTGCGATCAGGCGTCAGCTTGATCCCATGTGGCATCTCGTTGGTTTCAGGACGAGACAGATTGTCAGCGACCTTTCTGATCTTCGAGCCATCCTTCAGTACGTCGTAACTCTCCAATCTCCTCCTGTGTGGTTTAGTTCTTGCTCTGTATGTGTTCTGATCTCTCTAGCGCTTTACTTACGTACGATGCGGTTTCCTTCGTGAAATACCTGGATACCATCGTAACGGCACATTCCCCTCCCCCTGGCTCGACAAGACATAATCACTCTCCTTGGCTTTTCCTCGACGCGGCTCATGGGCTATTTCAAACTGCTAAGTCAAGGGTATATGAAGGAAAGATTACCAGCGATGCGACTCGTACTGCATCGGGCTCTCTCCCTTCGACTCTCCGACCCGTCTTAGAGGAACAGCCAAAATGGGCAGTCCTCGCCGAGATTCTGGAAGAGATCGAACAAGATTCTTATCTGAATCCCATGCATGCGGATGATTCTAATAGTACTGTCTTGATTATGTGTACTGATCAAAGAACTTGTCGGCAGCTCAGAGAGTACCTTGGCACAATGCATGCCAGGATTGACAAGAATGAGGAAGACAATACGGAACATAATGATGGCTTTCAAGACAACAGACCTTCCGCGCAAGTCATGCTACGGAGAAGATTGCGTGAATACCTTGATTGGAAAACATCGTTGTCAAACGTGAACAAAAATCTTTCTTCCAAATCAGACGCAGACACACAGGCCATAAAAGGTCAAGAGTCTCCAAGAACCACGGGCCAACGAGCTCCTCCGAACAAAAGACGTCGAGTAAGAGGTGGAGGGGCTGCATCTTCAGCCCCAGCGCGTGTGCCAAATGCAAGCGTCCAGACTGACACCGAATTACCGGGTGAGGTGACCAGCTTACTAAATGAACTACAACCTACCGATGTTGAAGAAATACAGAAAGAGGAGATCATCATTGATGACTTGGAGGATATGGATAACTTCTTCGAGTTGTATGATATGGACGATCTGGTCATAGTACATCCCTACGACGGGGACATGGATGAACAGATATTGGACGAAGTACGGCCACGGTACATCATCATGTACGAACCTGAGCCTGCATTCATTCGACGGGTAGAGGTTTACCGTAGCTCTCATGTGGGAAGGAATGTGCGAGTATACTTCATCTACTACGGGGGCTCTGTGGAAGAACAGCGTTATTTGAGTGCAGTACGACGGGAGAAAGATTCCTTTACGAAGCTCATCAAAGAGAAAGGGGTGAGCCAATCTCTCATTACTTTTTCCCATTTATGATGTAAAACTGACATTGCAACGCCAGAGCATGGCTGTCACTCTCACTCATGATAAGAGCCAAGAGGATCCTCAGGAGCTATTCCTTCGAACCGTTAACACACGCATTGCCGGAGGAGGCCGTTTGGCCGCAACCGCATCACCTCCTCGAGTAGTCGTGGACGTTCGAGAATTCAGAAGCGCTCTCCCGTCCCTTCTACATGGCAATAACATGGTCATTGTTCCGTGCCAGTTGACAGTTGGCGACTATATTCTGACCCCGGACATCTGCGTCGAGCGGAAATCAGTCCGCGATCTCATTGCCTCCCTGAAAAATGGCCGCCTCTACAACCAAGCTGAGACGATGCTCCAGCATTACAAGAATCCACTCCTGCTGATCGAATTCGATCAGAACAAATCGTTCACCTTCGATGCCTTTGCATCCTCATCAATGCCAGGCACATCCTTTCTCACTGACTATGGGTTCTCCTCCTCTGGAACAGGGACAACCACGCTGTCAGCGAGCAGCTCCCTCATGAATCCATCCACTCCCAAATCCGCCCAGCATCTCCTCGTCCTCCTCACCCTTACTTTCCCCCGACTGAAGATCGTCTGGTCTTCTTCCCCATATCAAACCGCAGAGATTTTCGCTGAGTTGAAGAAGAATAACCCAGAGCCGGATCCAATTCGCGCCGTCCAGATCGGCCTGGACATGGATATCGCCGCGTCGTCACATCCAGGCGACGTCATGGCAGCCGCGGGTATCGAACATCGTACATTCAATGCCCTGCCTCAGGACATGCTGCGCGCAGTCCCCGGGGTCACGCCCAAGGTCCTCGAGCGCCTGATCCTTGAAACAGGGAACATCAATGAGATTGCAAATATGGACGTTGAACAGCTTGATCCTCTGGTCGGGAGGGAGGCCGCGCGGAAGATTGTCGGTTTCTTCCGTAAAAGTGTGTTTGAAACCGGCTGAGTCTACCAACCTACAGTGGGCCTGTATACAACTAGTAGAAGCACAAGTTCTAAAGAGATGATCATGGTTTATGTTTTGAAAGACAGGAAGGAACCATTTTAGAAGATTTTTTATTTTCATAACCCTCTCATGAATCTATCGTAAATTCCAACAGGAAGAAAGAAACGAAGCAAGAAGGTAACAGACAAAAGAATTGCTCAACACGAAACATGCAGCTTGCAGCCAGTTTCATCATATGCATCACAACTATTTCTCTGCAGAACCATCTGAAATCACGGGTCCACGAAGAAAAAACCGACATATGGCTCAGTCCAGTCAGTTCTGCATCATGCGCGAATTTAAGAGGCTCGTCCATCAGCCCTGACGATGGAAGCAGCACCGGGTGGCGAATGAAGTGAATTCAAACGCGAAGCGGGGAGCACCGCAACTCCAATCCTCCATGCCGTCGCCTTTTGCGGGAAACAGGCGGCAGACACATACGAATAGAAGGGCCCGGTCGCCGAGTTGACGTCCCAAAAGCGGCAGGAAGGCCACTCCGTCACAGGAAGAATAATCGTCGAAGATCCCGGGGTCCGGGGGGGAGAACAAAGTTGAGCGGTAGAAGGCGGCCCCGATGGGCTCCTCGCAGAGCTGAATGGAAAAAAAGGGGGTTGGGGGGATTTAGAGGTCGTCGACATCGATCTCCTTCTCGTCTTCGCTCTCACGGTCTTCGTCGAACTCGACGTTGTCCTCGAAACCTTCGTGGCCGTAGGTGTCGGTCTCGTTAATCTTGGCGTGCTCGGGCAACTCGCCGTAGGCCTTGAGACTTCTGGCCTCGTCGGCGGTGTACTTCATGATCACGTCGCCCTTTTCGTCCTGATAGTCACGCAGCGAGAGGAGGATGATGTCGCCCTGGTTGATCCAGACCTTCTTCCTCAGCTTGCCGCGAATGTGCGCCAGTCGCTTCTCGCCGTCGAAGCACATGGCCTCCAGACGGCCGTTGCCGAGCATCTTCACGACCTGCGCATACTCCTGGCCTTCTTCCTTGAAGACGAGCTCACGCTTCTCGTTGTCGTTCTCGTTCTTTCCACGACGCCTGTTCTTACCACCCTGTTGAGTAGGTTAGCATCTTTTTTCTGCAATAAAGGTACACCGCGCCGGAACCCCCGCTTTCCAAATTTTTCTCAATCACTTCGGGTCCTACGTGTGTCGCGTTTTCTCTCGCGAGCGCAGCTGAACGGGCTGAATAACAGGACCAGAAATATCGTGAAAACTTTGGCAGGCGGGGAGTCTCTTTCAACACAAGGAGGGAAGAAGAAATCTTACCTTTCCCTTATTCTTAGGCATAGTGACGACTCGCTATCCGCGCTGGTTTTTCTCTTGATACAGGCAAGTAATCTAGTGAAAATAGCGTCCTCAAGGACCAGATGAGGTGAAAGTGGGGGAGTTGTCGAGTTGGCGGAGAGAAGCACAGAGAGCAAAATCGGTGCTGGTTAAATACATAGTGGGGAGTCAGACAGTGGCGTGGCGGCCTGAATGCTGCCTAAGGCTCGCCACAATGACTGGTCAATGGGAGCTCGAGTATTTACACCGCCTTTCTGTACATGTTTCTTTTCTGCGGCAGAAAAGAGCTTCAGATTAGAATCGCCCATGGAACCACAGGTGCCATGTCCCAGGATCGTCGAGGACTGCCTTCTCATTGTTTCCATGAGGGTCTGATATTGAGCAGCAGTGTCCCTCGATTTCGCTTCTAACCAACTTATGCCTGTGCTTTGAGAGCGTGCAATTCGTTCAAAGTGTATCGCTCAAACCCGAGATGTACTAGCAGCTCCTTCCCTGGTGACCAAAGAAGAACTACAGCTAAATACTCGCATCTCCCTATCGTGGTCACATAGCCTTTTGCAAATATGAAACTCCTCAAAACTACCAACTACTTCGTCATGCGGTATGTCCCGCAAACAAAGATCCCCCCAGTTGCCGCCCGATACCTGGGCTCCAACACGAACCCCATCCGAGTCAAGGTCCAAGACATGTACACCCACCGGAATCCCGAGACACTATGGTGGAGGGTATCTCTGCAGCCGCTGCAATCCTTCAAGCGGGTCGTTCGCTCATGGGGGGCACGACGGGCGCGATTGGCATTTCGGCAGGCTCTGGCAGCACGAGGGTTCGATCCCGAAGGAAGACGGCTTGTGTCGCAAGCACAAGGATCCGAGACGGAACAGCAGTCGCTTCAGGGCCTCAAAGGCTCTCTTGAGTTTATTGTCCGGCCGCAGAGCGTGAAGGACGAGTACGCTGCTGTTCGAAAGGAGATGGACTATCTTCTGCATACATTGTTGACACATTTGAGGGCCGGTGAAAGACAAGCGAAATCGAGGACTAGAAAGGAAGGGAAGGATGCTACTACAAAGATACCCATGAATACTCGTACATAATAACAAGCGAATTGATATCAGTCTCACTATTTGCGTTTTCGACAGCTAAATTATGAAGGCTTCTACATGTGGGTGTTAAGCGCCCTCGCATACAACCAAGAGCTTGACATGGCGTCTATGGCGTAAAAAAGGGAGAGAAGAGAAATTTGGACCATTTATCAAGTATCAACTATTAAGAGCGCAGAGCCAATGCTCCGTCACTACCAAGGAGGGTTTAAACTATTTTTTTTCTGTTATGGCCATGAAATTAACTATAAGAAGCCAGTCTGGATTCGCGACGACCGTGCCTCCTTGGCGTGTTGACCAAGTTGATTAACTGGGGCCGATCATCTCAATAGTCAAGTCAACAACGAACGTACATCCACCACGAGTCCACGACATTGTTTCCGCTCATTATCCATCGCAAACTGAACAAAAAGCGGATGCGTCATTTCTGATATCACCTGAACGCCTTCATCCCTTGTCAAGATGCTGGTCTCCTTGACAGTAGGCAAGGTAGACGCAGGAGTCGCTGTGCTCTTGACCCAGGACAACCGACTCGTAAGCTCGCCCCTCTCACAGCGCATCAATTGCGAAACTAGAAATCGCTGCACGTTGGCGAAGTTCAGACGACCTGTGGTGTTGCAGGCTCATGAGTTTTGAGAGAATATGCTATTTGAAAGTGTCCTCAAGTGGCTAGCTAATTCAGGCCAATACAGATCGAATTTCCCTCCGTCCTCCTCCCAAACAACATCGCATCCGGCAGCATCGTCGACATTACAGTATCGCGCAACCATACCGCTGAAGCCGCAAGCACAGCGGCTTTTCAGGCTCTCCAGAAGCGTATCCTGAACACGTACGGCGTCAAGAACCCTGCCCCGCCCATCCTCCGTCTCCGAAATGCCACGCAAACCTCGCTGGTCCTAGAATGGGATCCCATCGATCTTGCCACGGCATCACTCAAATCCCTCTCTCTTTACCGGAATGGCTCCAAGGCCGGGTCTATACCCAGACCGCTGGAGACGCGCAGCACCAAGATCAGCGGCCTCGCCATCGACATGGAGTACACGTTTCATCTCGTCTTGCGCACAACCGCCGGCACATACCAATCGGAGAAGCTGACATGTCGCACCCACAAGATGACGGATCTATCTGGAATCACAGTGACGCCTGGTGTGCTCCCACCGCAGCAGAAGGACGCCCTGGCGGCGGCGTTGGATCGCATCGGCGGCAAGCTCATCGACACCGTCCGTATCGACACTACCCACTTTGTGTGCACGGAGGGGAAAGGCCCCCTGTGGGAGAAGGCTGTCGAGATGAACATCCCAGTGGTGGTTCCTGAGTGGGTGGATGCCTGCGAGGCTGAGGGCACCCTCGTGAGTGTCCGCGGATACTACCTGAACGCAGACCCCAAGGCCAGACAGCTCGGGCCCATCCACGCCTCGTCGCATCAGCACACGCGATCCTCCGTCTCAATGGCTACCAATGCCCCGCCGAAGTCGCACCCGCAGTCCCACTCCCAGCCGCAGTCGCAGTCCCCCTCTCAATCGCAGTCGCAGTCCCAGTCGCAGTCGAGACTCAGTCTCCACCCCCAACCGGTGCATGAGAGGAATCTGAGCGTCGGCGAGCCGCCCGTAACCCCTTTCCCCGGCGCGAGCATGAGTGGCCAACCGCGCGCGGATGAGGAGGAAGTCTCATCAGATGAGGAGACTCCGCCTCCGCCGCCTCCGAAGGATGAGGGTATTGCGGAAGCTGAGCCAACGGTCAACGGCAAATCTGCGTCGCCAGGTCCGGCAGAGGAAGGCAATACGAGCGAAGATGACAAGGCAGAGGAAGAATCTGAAAGCGAACAGGAGAACTCGGACAAGGAGCAAGAACACGAAGAAGCGCCAAGTAACGATAATGACGCCAAGACCAAGGGGAAGGAGGGCGAAGGAGATTTCAGTGAAGTCACCCTGTGATGAACCGTGCGAGCAGAATATGTTCTCAGCAATCACTCAGAGTTTCTTTCTCGTCTATGAATCGACCGGTGTTTGCGTTTGCGTCTCTATATACCATTGTATCGATTGCACTCGAGCCTTGATCCCGACGCTTGTTTGTTCCGTATATTTCTCCCTTTCGTCACGTCCTCCTTCGAATGTTCACCCATTTATATCAAGCATCTTATAGTTAGTTGTACAGTAGATAGCCTGATCTTAATGCCGTATGATTTACTTCTTACTCCTATCCTACTCTAGCATCAAATATGGAAATAGAGAACGACTTGGCCATATTCGTAAATGTCATTTATATCATACACAGCATCTACGTCCTGAACCACATGCAAAAGAGGCCAACGTCCCTTTCCCGAGTCGCCCAAGACCTCAAAAATAAATCGTCTATGCCCATTTTGGCCTTCGATGCACGCTCTGGCAGATGCAGAATAGATGGATTCTCAAAGGTTTATCGAGCTTTGGAAACAGTTACTGGCAGCTCTATACGTTCCGGACGACGTCGTCGATGGCCTGGGCGACGTAGGCGACGTTCTTTTGGCTTACTGGATAATAACAGAGAGGTTAGTTTGGACGATTTAGGGAGACCTTTTATTTTCGCAGCGAAATCAGGAGGGTTGCTTACAGCCGCTGATAGAAGCTCTGCCGGACTTGAGCAGGTAGATGTGGTACTTGTCCTTGAGAGCGTAGACCTGGGCGGGGGTGAGGCCGGTGTAGGAGAACATTCCGTTCTGATGACGGGGGCGATGTTAGATTAGCATGATCCCTCGGGGGGTTTGGTGGATAGGAAGAATACCTGTTCGACAATGTGTCTCCAAGATCCGGGAGTCTGCAGCCGCAGAAGCTCGTTGTAGAGCGCCGTTCTCATCGCCCGGATGCGCGAGCTCATCACCTTCAGATCCTCGTGCCACTGCGCCGTGAGCTCCTCGCTCGTGAGGACCTTCTTGACGAGATTGCAGCCGCCTGTCGGGCCCATGGAGTACTCGCCGCGGATCAGGTGGCAGAGGTTATTGACGACGGTGTCGCGCAGGCTGTCGCCGCCCTGGGGGAGCACGTAGTGGAACGCGCCGACACGCTGCCCGTAGAGGCCGAAGTTCTTCGAGAAGCTCTGCGCCACGCACATCTCCATGGCGGGCTTCTCGTTGAGGACGTAGCGCACGGCCCAGGCGTCCTCCTCGAGCGAGCCAGATGCGAAACCCTGGTACGCGGAGTCGAAGAAAGGGAAGAGCTTCTTGCGCTCGCAGAGCTCGACGATCGCCTTCCACTGCTCCTTGGTCGGGTCAAGGCCGGTGGGGTTGTGCGCGCACGCGTGCAGGAGGACGACGTCGCCTTGCTGCGCACCCGCCTCCAGAGTGGCCATCATGCCGTCGAAGTCGAAGGAGCGGGTCGCCGGGTTGTAGTAGGGGTAGGTCTGGCGCGGGACGCCTGCCAGCTCCCAGATGGTCATGTGGTTGGCCCAGGATGGGTTGGAGAGCCAGATGGTCTTGGGTTTGGCGTGCCTGGCCAGGAAGATCGCGCCCAGGTGGTTTGCGCCGGTGCCTGCTACGGTCTGGACGGAGCCGATGCGAGCCTTGTGCTTCTCGGAGGCGTTCTGGCCGTCGAAACCGAACATCACGTCCCGAGCCAGCTCGAGGAAGGCGACGTCACCTTCAATCGCCGTGTACTCGTGTCTGAAGAGGCTGTCTTCAGCCATCAGTTGCTGCTCGGCCTCGCGCACGGCGGGGAGGGGCCATGGCTTGCCATCGTCGGTGCGGTACACGCCAACTCCCAGGCTGACCTTTTGTGGGAAAGTATCTTGGAAATATGCGCGGTTCAAGGCGAAGATCTCATCCGAAGGGACGGGGGTTATTGTGCTGAGAACAGTCATTGTGATGTGAGTGGCAGTCGATTGCAGTTCAATGGCGAAGAAGAAATTCAAGCGCTGCAGTCGATATCGGCGCGTTGATAGTATGATAAAGTGGTGTATACGAAGTTCAAGTTGTCCAAATATGTCAGAGACAGACTTTGGGGATCATCAATTGAATAGCAATAGGCATAATAAACGAGCGAAACCTCGAGTCATCGACAGTATCCGCTCAGTGGATCTGTCCGCATAAATGTCGACTACTCGATTCGGCCCCGATATCGCCGTCCGCTGCCATTTTGGCTGAGAGTTAGTCATGTGCCCCGGTTTCCGCGGCTTTTGCCTTCAATCCTTTTTTTTCTGCTTGCAATTCGCCTCTGGCACTTGGAGTTTTGGGTTCCTTGGAAGCCTTAGCCGACGGAAAATTCCGCTTTATTCGTGCTGGTGGACCCATATCGTTCTTGCTGAGTGAATGTGTAGAGACTAGAGGACTAGAGAGCTAGGATCTTTATAGGGCTGACAAGGATTATCTGTGATAAATGATAATATTAGCAGAGGGTGTCAATCCAATGAGACGTGCAATATTATAGAGCACGTAGCTATCCTCCATGTTTAAAGAATAGTGAAGAGTGACCTACCTCATAGGGACATAGCGGAATGGACATCTCTAGAGAATGTTGAGATAGCCACAATTAACCAGTGGGATGAATACATTCACAAGCTGGCCAACGCACACAATCAATCTTGCTGACACCAGGTGCATATAAAGCAGAAGGAATCATGGATCTCCATAACTGTAAACAGATAGTTGGTGATTGATAATCCGGCTGACTGAAGTGAGGGGTCAGAATGAGAGAATTGGTGATGGTCTAAATAATATATATCTAGTATCAAGTAGCTTACTCAGTCTTACGCGCCAGCATGGATGGACCACGCCTGACTATTTATGTTTATTTATTATTACGAAGATAACCAAAGCTACACTCTCTACTCACAATGACAGTTTCAGAAGCAGCTGGAGAGAAGAATTTACATGACCTGCAACCCAGGTTCATTACCCAGCCTTATCACAATTCCATCCCTCTCGAACTACTGCCTCGGTTCGACCCCGTCTACGTGGAACACTACAATAAATATAATGTCGGGCGATTGCATACTCACGAGGTGCCGATCGAGGACTATCGAAGAAACCCTGCGAAATATGTGATTTCCTACGGGCGGGCAAGAGGTCCGGATATCTTTCGCATCACCGAGCAGAAATGTCCCGTAAAGGGAGGGGAGATCACAGTGCGGATATTCGAACCCGCTCCGATTCTGGATGAACAAGGCAACCCCCAGAAAAGGGCAGCGTATATCAACTTCCATGGCGGCGGCTGGGTGTTTGGTGATCTATCCGGCGACCATGATTTCTGCAAACGCATTGTAGATGGCCTGGAAGGACATCTAGTGGCCTTTGATGTTGATTACCGGCTGGCACCCGAGCACAAGTATCCGGTTGCCGTAGAGGATGCCTGGGCGGCATTCAACTGGGTTAGTAGACTCCCCTCCGATTGAAGACGGGAACAGCAGGAGAAAGCCATATATCTGACTGACTGCGTATAGATCCGAACAGAAAAAGCACAAGAATTCCATATCGACCCAGATCGCATGGCAGTCGGCGGTGTCTCTGCAGGAGGCCACCTGTCAGCCGTGCTTGCTCATCTCTGCCGCGATGCCAATATTCCATTACGCTTGCAACTATTGACCGTACCAGCGTGTGACTTACACAGTATGTTCACACCCGACGGACGGTTCGACCGCGAGAACTGCCCGTATGACTCGTATCGAGAGATGGAGTTCACGACAGCGCTCCCAGTAGCACGGATGGAATACTTTCACCGGCAGTTCCTTGGAAATCCTCGACCTGGTAGATCCGACGAGGTGAGTAGGCGTTTGGACTCGGAGACCTTTTGTCAAGGGATACTGATTTCACGACTAGGACTGGAAGATCTCGCCTATGCTGGCCCCCAATTTCGAGAATTTAGCACCGGCGTTGGTTTTCACGGCAGAAATGGATCCCCTCAGAGACGAAGGTGAAGTCTATGCTGCAAAACTGGAAGCAGCTGGCGTTCGCGTGGATATGACGCGTATGGCTGGAGCACCTCATATTTTCCCCATGTTGGATGGGATTCTGGAGTCGGGGCGGCTATATAACGGGAAGGTAATCGCCACGTTGAGAAAGGAGCTTGCGGCCTAGAAAGTATGGGGTACATACAATGCATCCAAGGAGCTCATACTTTCACATACTCCATAGAATCAACAATGACGCTAATGTTTTCCCCGGACTGCGATGGGCCAGGATCATGGTTTATCCGATGAGAACCGTGACCATACCAGACCAGAAATACGAGGTAGCCACATAGTGCATGGCGGTATATGGTGTTCGAGAAATACCGGCCCGGGTGTTTTCGGCAGAGCAGATCGGAAACGCGCTGGGAATAGTTGAGCGTAGAAATAACTAGGTAATGGAAATTGCTGGAGAGAAACAAGAGAGAGGAAAAAAAGACTCGCGGCCGGACGGAAACTTGACTGCTGTTCTGATTTAACTGCTTCATTCTGCTCTTCTCCATATCCTTTTTTTGCTTTCTTCACTTTCGATCTTTCTTCTTTCCTATCCTCTTGGCCTCTGCGGCTCACTAATTGAACCCTCCCAATCTCCTCTCTCCCTTTTTTTTTTGCCCTTAGCAAAGAGAAGGATAGCTTCGGCGTTGGCCAAGATGCTGACTTCCACCAACTCGTCCCGGGCCGCCGTGCGCTCGATGGCCTCATTGACACATGCAGTGTCTCGCACGACCTCCAATACCCCCGCAGTTGCCCGCTATGCTCTGGCTTTCGCTGCCCGCTCCCCCGCTTCGCTCAGTAGCCGATCTCTTCATCAGTTCCCCCGCCTCCAGTCCCTCAACTCCATCTCCAACAAGAGAGCTTTCAGCACAACCGTCAGAATGGTGAGTCTGGCTTGGATACGATGGCACTGAAACTGGCTCGTTTCTGTTTCGAGCTGTGTTCAGCGCACAAAGCTTTGCGACCGGTTGCAGTGGTTGCAGTGAGGAAGAAGAGTTTGGTGCTAATGATTGCGCGTTGTAGTCTACCGCTACTAGAACCGAATCCGATGCTTTTGGCGAAATCCAGGTGAGTGATAACCGCAAGGCCTTTGAATCTGGCTATGATCCAGCTGCTCATGAATCATTCTTTAAGGTCCCTGCGGACAAGTACTGGGGTGCGCAGACCCAGCGGTAAGAGCCCACGAACAGAAGCGCAGGTGAAAAAGTGCATACCAAGGTGCTGACGGAGTGAGGACAGCTCCCTGGGCAACTTCGATATCAACCAGCCCCAGGACCGCATGCCTGAGCCCGTTGTCAAGGCTTTTGGTATCCTGAAGGGCGCTGCTGCCATCGTCAACATGCGCTACGGTCTTGGTAAGTCTAGTCTTGCGCGCGAAGCACTGGCCGGGTGAAAAAAAATTCTCATACGGTGAATTAGACCCCAAGGTCGGCGAGGCCATCAAGCAGGCCGCTGCTGAGGTTGTCGAGGGCAAGCTCCTGGATCACTTCCCTCTGGTTGTCTGGCAGACCGGTTCCGGCACCCAGTCCAACATGAACTCCAACGAGGTCATCTCCAACCGTGCCATCGAGATCCTGGGTGGTACCATGGGCACCAAGAAGCCCGTCCACCCCAATGACCACGTCAACATGTCCGCCTCGTCCAACGACTCCTTCCCTACTGCCATGCACATTGCCGCCGTCCTCGAGCTCGAGAATACCCTGCTGCCTTCCCTGCGCAACCTCCGCAATGCCCTTCAGAAGAAGGTCGAGAAGTTCGACAAGATCATCAAGATCGGTCGTACCCACTTGCAGGATGCCACTCCTCTCACTCTCGGCCAGGAGTTCTCCGGCTATGTTGCCCAGCTTGACCGTAACATCGAGCGTGTTGAGGCCAGCATCCCCCACCTCCGCTACCTCGCTCAGGGTGGTACTGCTGTCGGTACCGGCCTGAACACCTTCAAGGGATTCGCTGAGGCCATCGCCGAGGAGGTCACCAAGATGACCGGCACCGAGTTCAAGACTGCCCCCAACAAGTTCGAGGTTCTCGCTGCCCACGACTCCATTGTTGAGGCCTCTGGCTCCCTGAACACTCTGGCTTGCTCGCTCTTCAAGATTGCCCAGGATATCCGCTACCTGGGATCCGGACCCCGCTGCGGTCTCGGCGAGCTGGTTCTCCCTGAGAACGAGCCCGGTTCCTCGATCATGCCTGGCAAGGTCAACCCTACCCAGTGTGAGGCCCTCACCATGGTCTGCTCGCAGGTCATGGGCAACCACGTTGCCGCTACCGTCGGTGGCATGAACGGCCAGTTTGAACTCAACGTCTTCAAGCCTTTGATGATTCGCAACCTGCTGCACAGCGTGCGCATCCTCGCCGATGGCATGAACAGCTTCGAGAAGCACCTGGTCGAGGGCCTCGAGGCCAACGAGCCCAGAATCAACGCTCTTCTCCACGAGAGGTACGTTTCTATCATCCCGTTTTCTAACCACTCCCTAAAATTTGGCTAACTCCTTTCTCCAGTCTGATGCTCGTTACCTGCCTGAACCCCGTCATCGGTTACGACATGGCCTCCAAGGTCGCCAAGAATGCTCACAAGAAGGGCCTCACCCTCAAGCAGAGCGCCATGGAGCTTAAGGCTCTGAGCGAGGAGGACTTTGACAAGCACGTCCGCCCTGAGCTGATGCTGGCCCCCAAGGAGAAGAAATAGAGGATGAACCACGAATATGTGGATGACTGAGGTATGAATTTAAAAAGGGTTTGCTTAGCTATGATAGAGCGCTGTAGCAGGTGTTATACCCTTATCTTTGTATACTGAGAATTCAATTGTACTATTCCTTCCATTTGCCATTGTCCTTGGTAGAGCTTGACCGTTAAGGATGGTTAGTGCCGGTGCTGTTATGTACTACGCTGGTATTCCCCTTATTTCACCTTACGACATGAAGGAAGCCCAAGATCTGCAATGTTCGATGACTTGTCAAAAAAAAAAAGAAAAAAAAAGAAAGAAAGAAAATAGTGTCACGGATGTTGTTATTTTTGCTGCAGATTAACATGGGTGATCTCTCGTCCATCGAGGAATTGCCATTATTGGCGGTATTTTTAGTATCAGATTTGTCTCAGCTCAAGTCCAAGCCTCGACCTTAACCATGGGACTGCCCAAGATTATTTATCTTCCCCTAAACTGAACAACTTGAAGAGACTGCCAGGAGCACTCAACAAGAATTATTTTTTTGGTTCTCATGTAGCAGTACCCAATTCTTCTTCCCAATTCTAACATACACTCCTCGTTTCATCTTGATACCTGTCGACTTGACCTCAGAAGCCCGATTCTCCCCTGGTTGCTATACTCGGTCCAACTTTCCCTCACCGATATCCGACAGCCCACCAAACAAACAACCCTCACCACCAACGACATCCTACTTGCTTCTCATCCCTCCTCACACTTGTCTCAATCACACTCCCACCACACCCACACAAACCACCATGACCAATTCCACCGCAACCACAACCACCACGGTCCCAGTGACCAAGTCCGTCGCGGACATCACCCCCGCCAACACCCCCGATAACGACAATGACACCCCCCTCTTCTCTCCCTCTTTGATCTCACCGGATGTCGTCGCCGCCCTCCCAGCAGACTACACGGTGCGCCCTCTGCGCCGCTCCGACTACAGCCGCGGCTACCTCGACGTCCTGCGCGTCCTGACCACCGTCGGCGACATCTCCGAGGACATGTGGAACCAGCGCTACGACTGGATCCGCGCCCGCGGCGACGAGTACTACCTGCTCGTCGTGTGTGACGGGACCGACCGCATCGTCGGCACGGGCAGCTTGATTGTGGAGCGCAAGTTCATTCATACGCTAGGCATGGTGGGGCATATCGAGGATATTGCGGTCGAGAAGGGCCAGCAGGGCAAGAAGTTGGGGTTGAGGATCATCCAGGCGTTGGATTATGTGGCGGAGCGCGTGGGGTGTTACAAGGTTCGTTTCTTTTTCTCGTTTTTTTTTCTTCCCCCTTTGATGCGAATGGGCGCTGATTGAGAATAGACCATTCTGGACTGCTCCGAGGCCAACGAGGGGTTCTATATCAAGTGCGGGTTTAAGCGTGCTGGGCTGGAGATGGCGCATTACTACTGAGGGGGCTCTGGTCTGGTTACCGGTGTCATTATCGGCGTTTGAGTTTTTACTCTTGTTTTCCGTTTCGGCCTGCCCGCTTTATGATAGATGGATTTCTGGGCTTGGGTTGTGCGCATACGGGGGATAGAGGATCGGTGTTTGAGCGTGGGGTCGTTGAATGGGCGTTTACGAAAGCCCTTGGAGACATAATAATTGCTACACATCGACTGGGATAAAGGCATAGGCATAGGCATAGTGCACTCTCGAAGCTCTTGCAACATTGACAGAATGGGAGTCGCTCGTGGAACTTCACTTGATACACACATGATAGACATTTTACTTGACGAAACATTAATCCTACAGATACTACAGATACTACAAGACGGGATTGTCCACCGAATCAAGGCATACAGCATGAAGTATAAATTTACGTGACCCAGAGCAGTACAACAAGCATAGTCATGAACGTGAAAAAAGAACGAGTCCGACGCAGCGAAAAAAGGTAGATTGATCGAGAGAAAAACCGTGCGGCGGGAACAAGTTTTTGACTCGCAGGTAACCGGACTCTCCTTCTTTTCAGAAAACACAGAAGTGGTAGAGAGCCCACTGCAGCAGCCAGAAAGTTTCAAAAGACCCATCATCTGGTATTGGGCATCTGAAGGGGGCAGATGCTTGATAAAGAAAACATGTTTGCAGAAGAAGAAAAGTTCTTTTTTTTTCATTTCCCAAACAATGATTTAAAACCCCCATGTGATGATCGTGCAAGCCCATAATCTAGTCATGAACCCCAATTTTTCCTTCCATCAGAGTCAAGTCGTCGTCTGGTGGTTGTCCCGTATAAGTACCATACTGAGGATGTTCAGCATGGCCCCCCGACTAGATGATGATGGTGTTGGTATGTTCGATGATCGTCGTCGGATTTCCCCTTCTCATCACCTAATTTCCTCCGCCGGAAAAGTCGCGGTTGATTTAGTTACCGGGGTTGGGGTTCATCTGTAGACGGGAGATGTTAGTGCCTGTGCTTCTTCTGATGTTTCCTTCGCAGGATTTGCAGCCAAATAGAAACCGGATTGTCCAGGACAGTCGTAGGACTCTATCTGACTGGAAATCCCCCAGCGGATTTCAACGTACCTTCCGCTTGCCACCGGTCATGGTGACATTGACGAAACGACGGGTGTACTTGAGGCGCTTCAGAGCACGGCCCTTGGGCTCCTTCTTCTTCTCTTGCTTCTCGACCTGCACAAGTGGAAACAAAACCCATCAGCAAACTATCCCATCGAAGACCTCCTTGGTAGTTCATCGCCCCATTTCGTATCATCCCTGTCATATTTCCTCTCCGTCGCACTTCTCCAGTTCTGTTGGGAGAAAAAAAAAGTCGGTCTCAAAAACCCTCCTCTTCCAAGTGGCGACGATGAACACCTCTCCCATAGCGACACAAAAGGTCCGGAGATCAAAAATTCAGCAACGAGGATAAACCCACCTTAGGAGTCGCAGACTTGACCTTACCCGCACGGGCGAGAGAGCCGTGAACCTTACCCATGACTGCTGGTGATGTGTAGCTTGTCGGATCGAGATGGTAAGTTGACTGAGGTTGACTCTTTCACGGCTTCACTGGACGGGGTGGGATTCGATCGACTCTTGTGGGCAAAGCGCGCTAGGCCCGTAAGCGAGATGGCAAATGATGGGGATTAGTCACGCCGTGGCTGGTGCCTGAGGCAGAAGGCACTGAATATAGCTCTCCAGTGTTACAAGGTTTACGCGCTGGAGGACTTTTCCTTTGACAGATTTTGATGCTATGGTTTTCGAGCAGTATAATCTTAACTAAATTATCTACATCCTTCTCATTCCTTTCTCTACGATCTTGAGCCGACGGTTGCTTGGAGGACCGGCAACCTCGATATCATTACTGAAAGGGTATGGTATAGGTTTGAGCCCTACTGCTATTTATAGTCTAGTGCTACAGGTGGCCGTTAGATTACTGTATTGCATACGCCGCCTTATCGCTATCAGCATCAAGCCATCAACTGCTTCATTGTAAGAAGGTGCATACTCTCAAGAGTCCAGTCTTTACTCCTAAGACTTCACAACCATCAGGTCAAGATACTTCATCTTGCAATGCCTTGTAAAGCTTTGAGGATTCAAAGCAGCTTCTGATCGAAAGTTGCAATAACACCTTATTCACCCGCTATAGACTTGCAGATCCAATCCTCTCTCTTTTCCGTTCATAATATGGATGTCAGTGGCACAACTATCAGGGGTACAAACTGTAGTACATTCTTTGCAACAGGTTTTCGTGACAGCAATGGTTCCAAAGGATGCCCGAAGATATTCTTTCCAGACTGATCATGTGTCTCTCATCTCATCTGCATGGGAGCCATCGTCTATGTACCGTTGGGTCTATTGAGTATATGCTCAGAGCAATAGGTGAAATACTGGAGCGACCTATGCGTACCTACGTGAAAAGATCTTAGTTCATGGGATAACGGGTGGACTTGGGTTGATGGACAGTGGAGGTTCATCCCAGAGTATACAAGCATAAGGAGTGCTTGTCCGAGTTTGGAGTGCTACAGTGCGGAGGTAGTCTGTTGGAAGTTGCGAGGTGGAGAGAAGACTGAAGGCGGCCATATGCTTTCCGGGGTTAAGGTGTAATTGGCAGAGAGCGCGAGAAGTCCAAGAGGGTATGAAGATAAACGCATTGCGGAGAAGTCGATTAAGATCACTTGGAAGATCCTTGGAGCCATATAGAGTATCTACAAACCCAGGCGCGGTGTTTTGGAAAGAAAAGTAAAAGAAGACCTTCATTATCACATCCATTTTTCCATTTCCTGGTAGATACCATGGTGCGCAAATGACAGAAGCCTATCTGAACACCATGCGGGTTGTCTCATCCGCAAGAGTCCATCGCTCGCGTACGCCGATTTGTTGTTGTTTAGAATTTGCGAGGGAAACAAAATTCCAGCTCCGGAAACCTCCCAAAGTCCAACCACAAGAGTCCTCCGCTCGTACTCCCCAGCCCAAGCCTTACTGCCTTCGATCCGTTTAACGAGACTTGGCAGCGACCTTGGGAGCAGAGCCCTTAGCACCCTGCTTGCTCTGGATGCGCTGAGCGGTGCCCTTGGCGGCGCCGGCGGCGGTCTTGGCCTTCTCAGCCTTCTTGCGGCTCTCGGAAGCGGCCTTCTTCTCCTTGGCCTCCTTGATGGCCTGCTGGCGGGCGGCGGCACGGGCCTCAGGGCGCATGCTGCGGCGCTCCTTGATCACATCGAGGGAAGCACCAACGATAGCACGCTGGGACTTGACGGCACGGCGAGTGCGCTTCTTGGCAACCTCCTGTTCAAAGAGAAAAATCTCCCGTCAGCATTTCATCCTTCCAGAATTCACTCGCACAGAACTCGTGATTGTTCCAGCTCTTTTCCCGTCATCGAATTTTCGGCCGGTATTTCCTCCCGTGAGACATTTCCAGTTCACCTAGTCCATGAATCCCATCCGTATCGAACGAATCACGAGCTCTTCACAACGAAAAATCATAAAAAGGAAATCGGTGGCACTGACTTCAGAGATACCCTTCTTGTGCTGGCGACGGTAGAGAACAGTCCAGGCTATCCGGCGAGGGTTCTTGCGCTGGAGGAAAAGGGACTCGGACTTTCCATTCTGGAAGCGGAAGATCTTGCTGTCGCCACGGACGTACAGCTTACCCTATAATTTATAAATCCGACACTATGTTAACCCAGGTCCAGAGAAGTAGCAATGTGGGGGAATTTCATGAATCGAAATGGCGCTCGCAGGGCTGGCGGATATTTGCTGAATTATGGGTTTCTGGAAGGGACAAAACGCACCTTTCCAGGGTAGATCTTCTGACCGCTGAAAGAATCGTCGTAGGTACGCATCTTGAGTGTTGGAGATGCGCAGCCGGTCGGGACGAGGTATTGTCGATTGGCGTTGGGTGGTAAAGTCGATTCGGTCGCTGCGGCGAGCTGTTCGTGAGACTGACACAATTGTGGTGCGGTGCGGAGCCTCGCTAAAGTGCGACACGTGACCTCGGCTGCCCTTGGGTGTCCGCCTTTAACGTCAAGTCTCCTATACCTCGACTGCTATATTCAGGTTGTCATTATCATTCAAGATGAATGCAACAAATTTCCATAAATGCTGCCAATTCGATAATTCTGTAAACTAATACAATACTCTCATTTTTGCCCGTGAATTTTCTCGCTTTTTTTGCCAACAAATTCGAGGTTCATATGCCTGCCAAGTAGGTACCAACATGGAAGGACACTGTCAATGACCAGATGAATCTAGATATGACTTCCAACTGTGTCATGCACTCGGTGTTTACTGGCCCTATGAAAGATAGCCTCAGTAGTCGTGCCAGTCGCAGGCAGCCCAGGGGTCTTTCTTGCACTCCTATCCGAAGGACGGACTGTTAGCATCCTTCAAGCGGATATGATGGGCAGCGAAACATCACCCATTGCTCGCACTTACCTTGCACTGGACATCCTGACAGAGTTCGACTGGACAAATACCCCAGCACGCAGAGCACACATAACGGCCGCAGCCTCCATGGGTGGTGCACAGAGAGAACTTGTTCTGTCCCATGATTGTATTGCCCCGAGCTAAGATCATCTGTAGAATCTCCTTTGCGTGCCGGAAGAGCTCCGTGTCTGGCTTTGCTTCAACGATGGCGCAGCGAGCTGCGCTGTAGATACAGCATGTTTTGCCACAGACTGGGCAGTCACCGCGGCACATGCTGCATCTCATGCTCTTAGCATCCCACCTCTTGGAGATCTGCGCTTTCTTTTCGTGTTCCTTGTTGTCTTCAGACGGCATCTGAATCTCGTTCGCTACGATCTGGCGGATTTCCTTGAGCTGGGAACACGGTCAATTCCACGGAAACCTTCTAGGGGACAAGGAAGTAATACTTACTTTCTGTTCAAGGGCATTCTTGCGATCGAGCTCATTCGCATCTAAGCTGATTAGTTAAATGCACGGTTCGACTTCGATTTCTCAGTGGTTACCAGACTCGACAAGATCCTCTTCTCCGCTTTCTAGTTCCTGCGAGGTATCATTGGATTCGTTCGAGACATCTTGCTCATCAGACTTGTTTTTGGAGTCCAAATCGAGGAAAACATAATCTATAATCGTGCCTTCGGTCAGTATCAAACATGTTGAACACTGTGGAGAGGCAGACATACCACCGGGAGATCTGATGCATTTCACGACATTCCCCTGAGCGGAAGCAAGAGCGGGAGGCTCTTCTGGTTGTTTGGCATCAGGGAAACTTTCCTTCTTTTCCAAAGTGACACCACCAGTAGGCGACTCTGGGGTAGTTCTTCTAGCCATTCTTGCGCCATACTCAATGATCGAGTTAGAACGAGCAGAGCGAGTCACTTCCCCAACGCTGGCTGGAGAAGACGGCGTCTGGGAGCTTTGGCCATCCAGACCGTCTTCAGAGTGGTTGGCGGACATTTTATTATTCAGTTCTCTTCCGAAGATCCCCTTGTGGGATCTTTTTCCTGAATCCTGTCAACGGGTTATCACATGTCCTCTAAGAAGATTCTAAGTAGTGAGAAGCTCGGGATGCAAATATCGAAGAATGAAGTGTGCTTTGAACTCGCCTTCTGCGTCCTCAGTCTTTGGGATCTCAAGTCATTGAAGGCCACTAAAACACGGAACTACGAAAAGAGGAAGTTTCTCCCAGGGAAATGAAAGCGTTCTTACCTTGTGCTTGATGTGTTTTGGGCTCCTGAGATTTCTAGGGGACCTTTTAGCAAAAGGAAAAAGAACAAGAGTGGATCCCTTAAACACACTGAAGGTAAATGCTCAGGGAGTGAGTGACACGCCTCCTGTGAGAACTGTTGCCAGGAGACGATAAGTCTGAAAGAAGTGTTTGTGGGATTCTTGAGCCAGGAGTAGATCCTTGCTCAAGAGTCTTAGGATTCTCGGCGTGATGGTGTGAATTCATGGCCATGTGCTGGATTCAGATGTCGATGAAACGCTGCTGGTGGTGAACAAATTATGGCACGAGATCAATATGTTCTCAGGCCAGCTCCTATGCACTTTGCGACTCCAGGTAGGAAAGAGTGCTCACTGTGTACTGCAGAATATAGAAGATACAAAGTAGCACGGAGCTGCGCATTTGTCAACATGCTCCTATTGAACATCATGATCATAGCCGCCTAAGGAGTAGTGTAGAGAATAGTATATCCAGTGGTTGGCAAGGAACATTCACCAATTTTTTAAGGGCATATCCCTTCACTGTGCGCGTGCGAGTTGGTCTTATCCTTGCTGAAAGAATTATATCCATAGATGTAGAATCAGGAAATTCAACTTATTGAGCCATTTGGAGTACGTTCATGGGCCGAGGCATTTGAGGATCAACTCTCACGCTACAATAGCCTTAAAACTGCCGCTTCCAGAGCTCTTATATCGAGGGTAAGCCAGAAGATTATCATGCTTACATGGAACCATGTGTGCCAAAGAAGAGAGTTGCTACAGAGGATACGTCAGTAGATATATTACGCGCTGGCGAGGATTATTTGCCTAAGTGATCATCTATTGGAGGCTGATGGTCCTATAAGAAAGGGTTTGAGCGATACAAGGTAGTAGACTATAGGCGGTGCCTATATAAGACTCCAGGGGTAATCTCGAGCTGCTCTCCAGCACTAAACAAGCCATTCACAAGGTATTTGCCGTGCTTGGGCAATTTTGCTTCAGCGAAGACACATTTTGCTCGGCACAGGGTGAAAATGTAGTATTTCTTCGTGGTCACATAACAGTGGTCTTCCTCAGGTATTCGTCAGAGTAAGATGAATTGTAGTTGTCCAGAGTCTAAGTCATTGCATGGGTTCTTGTCCACTCCTTCGCAGTCTGTATCGCTGCTTGCTCATCCTCCTTCCAGCGCTGAGCGACATCGTTTGCGAGCGGATCATCCGGGTTGGGAGCTCCAAGCAAGGCCTGGATTGATAGGAGAATCGTGCGAATTTGTAAAGCAGGGGACCAGTTGTCTGATGCAGCATTAGAAACGGGACGTTCCTACATCACCGAGTGACTTATGGCTAACTTACTCTTGAGAACATCTAAGCAAATACGTCCAAGGCGATCAATGTTAGGGTGATAGATCTTGGTCAAGAAACGGATCTTCGGCGGGGTCATTGGATAATCCTCTGGTAGAAACAGCTCGAGACGGAAGATTCCACCTGCTCATGGGATTAGATCTCCACTCCATTCCCATAATGTTTCCTCGAGCTCGTACCTTCGTATGGGGATTGAGCTGGTCCGTGAATCGATACATCGAAATATCGCAGATTGTCTTCGTGAGGAACAGCGTTGATACCAGGGACCCTTGGAGGAGAACATGTCAGTCTCCCACACCCCAGTCACAGTACTATCATCAACCACAACTTACGGCTCTGCCATAAGACGCTCCGTCTCCTTCACAATCCGCTTTGGCAACGCCATGATGAACCACCAAAGGGGAAAAGCTTATCGCGACCCGTGTTTCCGCAGTTGTTGATATCGATGGTGGGGGTATATGACGTTGATTTCTCGATGTTTCTGATTAGAGATGGGAACAGGAACACAGAGAAAGCCCAGAAAAAGGACTGAGTGCAAGCGATGAGGGGATCAAATCAGGAAAGAATCAATTAGACCCCGTCGGAATAGCCTCCTGTACGGAATAGAAGAAATTAGAAACCGACGTAACCGTCAGAGGGGCATTTGGAGGTCCGGGGGTTGACCGCCTTCCATATTGAAAACCGACTGATCTGCCCCGGCTGCCCATAAAGACATGTAACGCAGAAACCGCTCGAACAGGCTTAACGTGGATCTCCACAGCAGAGTTGCGGAGATAAGGGCAGGTACTGGGACTCTGGGAGTTGTCACTGTCCAGGACTCCAGAGCCACAGTTCGCGTACATATATCTAGTCAGTCCGGAGTTTTTTGAGCGTCGGTCTTTATCAATTTATCACTTCTCTTCATCGAAGGTGCGTCAAGTACTCTTACATGAAAAACAAATATGTGCTCATCCGAATTGGGGTCATTATAGCAGCTCTCGAGGAAATTGAGAACACCAACCAGTTCATGCGGATATCTTGCATTTGGTCATGCATCGGGAATAACGAAATGCGCGCAATTAGACGTTTCAAGGATCGATTTGTCGCATAATTGATGGCTAAGTGCCAACTTCTTCCGAGATGAAAATACCGCGCATCTTCCCATCAGTCAATGTCTCCTTGTGCAATACCCCGGAGCTCACGTCTTAAGTTCAATTCAAGCGTGGAGGAGAGTGCGGATACGGAAGCAAATATTGGGGCCATGGAGCCTAGACCTTTGGCTTCGGCCTTTGAGAGTCCTACCTTTGGGGAAGACAGCTCATTCCACGTGGAGCAACCAGTCGGTTCTGCGTCGATATCGCCATGCGGTCGAGATGTTGTACTAGCTTCAAAGGAGGGTCTGCATATCATTGACTTAGATTCCCCATATTCGCCTCCGCGTTATCTTCCTCATCATACACCATGGGAAGTTGCCGATGTCCAGTGGTCTCCGTTTGCCGCTCGCGATTATTGGATCGTTAGCACATCAAACCAGAAGGCACTCGTATGGAATCTGGCAATGCAGAGCTGGGAAAACCCCATAGAACATGTCTTGCATGCTCACACTCGAGCTATCACCGACATTAATTTCTCCGCTCACCACCCTGACACTTTGGCAACATGTGCTGTCGATAGTTTCGTTCACTGCTGGGATCTACGCACTCCATCGAGACCTGTCATCTCGTTCTCGGACTGGTTCGCCGGCGCTACGCAAGTCAAATGGAACCGGCAGGACCCTAATGTAATAGCCAGTTCGCATGATAGATTTCTTCGAATATGGGACAAGAGGATGGGTGCCTACCCGATCAAATCTATCGAGGCCCACAACACAAAGATTTATGGTGTGGATTGGAACAGAGTTCGACCAGGTGCGCTGGTGACCTGCTCACTGGATAAAACAATTAAATTCTGGGACTACATGGTAGAAGGTGAAGCCCCAGAGAAGGTCATAACAACCCCCTTCCCTGTGTGGCGGGCACGAAATACACCCTTTGGCTGGGGTGTCTTGGCTATGCCCCAGAGAGGTAACAGTGATCTTCACCTCTATAGCCGCAGATCAGGTGAAGGGATCAATTTGACAGAGAATCTTCCGTTGGTGCACAGTTTTCCGGGACATAAAGGTCAAGTAAAGGAATTCCTTTGGAGAGCACGTGGAGGTGTGGCCGATGGAATTGATCACAGGGAATTTCAACTCGTGTCATGGGGCACTGACAGGGAGCTTCGTCTACACAGAGTTGATCCGGATATTCTTCAACGAATTGGCTACGAAAAAGGGAGGTCATTTATCTCAACATTGAACGTCACTCGGCAGGGATCAGTCTACAGGAGCTTCCGTGATATTGCTAGCCATGATGAATACAGCGAGACCAATTCTGTTCTGTCACCTACTCCTAAGCACGGTGGTGGCACGGGGCCCAACACGATCTCTGTTCCTTACGCTCACACGTGGACTCAGGGAGGCAATGCAGACTCTCGAGTTGGCATGCAAGGGAGGTCAAACTTCCGAGCTGATACTAATCCTATCTCGTGGATGCGTGGTGTGAAAATCTCGGGATGGGATATCGAGACATTGGGTGACGAGATAACACACGTGGGAGAGAAATTCACCAAGGTGGCATTTGAGTCGGTGGATGTTCGGCAACGGAAAGCAACGATATCCTTACATGGGCCATGGGGTGCAGATGGGGCATCCCTGTTCCTCAAAGTGGACATCAAATTTCCAGTCGACTATCCCAAAGCTTCAATGCCCACATTTAGCGTGCAGAAGACAGCCGCTGTCACTGGCCAGCTTGCCGATAAAATTATTAGCGAACTACGAACAATCGCGGAGACGTATCTATCCCATAAGAGAGGCTGTCTCGAAGGCGTTGTTCGCTATCTCTTAGGAGAAAGCAGCTTAGAAGAAAGCATAGCTTACATATTAGGTGAAACGGCCGAAACAGTCAAATCTCCCATCAATGGTGAACTTGGAGGCGATGAGTCAAGCGACGAAGATGAAGTGGGAATGTCCCAGAGTCAAGAATTGGGCATGAGTTCTGAGCTCTTACGCCCAGTCAATGCCAATGTGATGGTTCCTGTACCCAAAGCATGTGGCGCTCTTTGGGCCACCGACGGCCGCTTAGTGTGCTTTTTTCCTCACAAGAAAGACAAATCAGCATCCCTGATAGAGAATCTAGGACTCAGAGAGATGACAAGGCTCTCAAGAGCGGATAAAGTCTTTGAAGGATTTGGTCGCATTCAGACAAGCTCTCCCGGCCCGAAAAACAGTGGCACACTTACGAGTACTGACGATGGCGGCTCGGAATATTCTGACGACTCGGACGCTGAGACATCTAGCTCTTCAGGATCATCTGACATGCTGTCGGGCTTGCAAACACGATTCCCGACTCCTCCAACATGGCGCAGCGCGGGCAGTCTGGGAATCTACCGGCCAAGATCTACGGATAACTCACAACGATCAACCGCGGGAGGAACAACGGCTAAGTCCGAATCAATGCAAAATATCATATCGATACATGATTTCAGTGATCTGCTACCGGCAAAGCGCGAACTAGCCAGAAGATACCGAATCTGTGGTAAGGTCACTGATGTATGCGCTCACAATGCTTCTGCGGCTCTCGATCTTGGCTATCACGAATTGGCGCAAATCTGGGGGCTGGTCAAGCTAGTCTTGCACAATCAAAACGACCCACTGTCCTCACCCATGGCAGGTGGGATTGATAGCCCGTCCGATGTCCGGAGGAGGGATAGTGCGGTTGACTTGAGCTTTGACGTTAACTCAGAGCAGAGCCGCAAGGTAATGAACAACAGCGCCACCCAATGGGGAGATCATCCATTTGGCGGACAGTGGATGATTCCTTCTCTTCTCGATCACTTCGAACGAATTGGCGATGTGCAAATGATCGCCATGCTCTCCTGCGTTCTCCAGGAGCCGAACGCTGGAGGACTCTCGAAAGAGGCAACCAATATTACTGAGGCAGTCTCGAAACGGACAGAACAGCAATTATTTTCAGCGGGCTTTTACCCTCCACAGACGACCACGCAGAACAAGTCGCAGGCTGTAACGCCACTTGCTTCTACACCAAAGGAGGGTCATCCGACTCCAATCACCCACAGCTCTGGGCGATCCTCTTCTGAGATCTGGCGTGCCGATGCAACTCCGCCATATTCAACAGGCACAACCCCTCCATTAGCTTCTCGAGGCGGCCCTTTTACCGCAGACAGGAAGACCTTGAGCCAGCATATCTCTATAGCTGCCTCCCCTGATCAACAATCGCAGCCACGAAGCGGTTCAGGATTCGGTTCTGTGCTCGCGTCTTCCTTCTCACGTTCTTTTACCTTTGGGCCTTCATCTGCCTCACCGCCTACGGTAGCTTTGAATAAGAAGAAGCAAAGTCCAAATGGCAGTCTAAATGCGAACGTTGCAACAGGGGCTTGGGTTGTAAATGCCTTTGCTGGGAAGCCTATGACGGCTGTTCCCGGTTATCTCAATACATCAACTGCGCTTACGTCACAAACCCATTCCGATTCAGATAGTGAAAGGCTCGTTCAGCATCCGAAAGCACCAAAACTCAAGGTTGTGCTAAAGAATCAAGGTGATTTTGATTGGGAAAAAGGTATTCGCAAAAGTACTCCGATTCCAACTCTTGATCCGAACAAGGAAGAATTATATAAAGCCTATCGCGTTGCATATGCACATTTGCTTTCCATTTGGGGCCTTCCAGTTCAGCGCAGCGAGGTTCTCAAGATTGGAAGAAGCGAAAGTCGTTTCAAAGATGTAGTTTCACGTGCAAGAAGTCACAGTCAGGAAACATCCTTTTCGCTTCCGAGTCTGAGCCGCAGAGACTCACAGGTGATAGATGCTGATGCGGATGACCAGGGACTGGGAATTCAACGGCACTGCTATAGGTGCGGCCAAGCCTTGCAGACGTCTATCTTCATGCCTTCGGTGACCGAGGCCAGTGTGAAGAACCAGTCGAAAGAGGGCTCCTCAGCCATCGTTTGCCAGAACTGTAAGCCTAAACGACCACTTCCTCTCAAGCTTCCCTGCGTCATATGCGGCGAAGTGGTGGAAGGAATGCTCATCCCCTGCCTGAAATGTGGCCACGTGAGCTGCTTCGAGTGCCACCGCGACTGGTTCTCAATCACTGCATCAGAAGTACAGGGTGATCAAGAAGGTGCCAAATCAGATACTGCTAATGGCGAGCAAGATTTTCAAACTTGTCCCAGCGGTTGCGGTTGCAATTGCTCAGAGCATATACCCTCAGATATACCCACGCCACTGCATCCGTCGACTCCGCCGCTTGACGGTGACATCTCACCTACCAATACCCGAAGCAAACGGCCTGACATACCAGCACGACATAGCGACCAGGTATCTAACGTGGGCCAGCACGAAGACGATCTCCTGGGGCAATGGCAAGAATCACCATTTGCATCTCTGGCTCGTGGACTTGGGGGAGGCCTCAGCCGGGGTCTTCGCGTGAAAGACGAAAGGCGGAAATCTCGACCGGCGAGCACTACTTTTATACCAAAGAAGTCTTCCATGAACCAGGTTGAGAGTGGAGATTAGATGATGTGAGCTGTCCAAGCCCTGAGTCTGGTGATTTGTGTCTTGCACGTCACTGTTTATATACCCCTGAGTTTACCTGATCTGTTTTCTTTTTGCATGGGCGTCTCACAGCATTAACGAGTATCCTTTTTCTTGAACACCTGTGGACTCTGTTTGTCAAAGTTATATACCTATCAGGGGACAGTTTCCCTGTGCTTCATTAACACTGTTTAATTGGATGTATCTGGATTGCATTTTCATCTCATGAACTCCGTTCAATCATCAACTGGGGTAGCATAGTATTCCCGTCACACTGCAAGCATGATTTCATCCAAGCACCTAAGACTAGATCACACGCAATCATTCATTCCCTCCTCTTAGTGCATCACCACAGCAACATGGTCATCCATGTACTGACTGATACTGCCCAAGAAGCAAGCAGCGAGGATCGACACCCCACCAAACCCAATACTAGCGTAGTACACCCACTTGTAGCTTTCCGCGTACGCAAGCTGCCCAGCCGTCACAACCGCCTGATACGCCGTCTCATTGTTCCCGATGCCGGGGATATGCCGCAGAGCCGGCAAGAGCGACGCGCCGGTCAACTCGATCGCCTCCGCGATGTACGTGGCATTGGTGATGTTGAGTTTCGTGACCATGACGCCGCCGATGAAGTGCTTTGCGTTGGAGACGAACTTGGAGATGAAGATGTTGTAGTAGATCGTGTAGCCGATACTGCCGCCGATGACGCGGATGGAGAGCGTGAGGGCTGAGATTGTGGCGATGAGGTCCTGGGTTGAGGTAGGCTGGTTAGTGGTGTGTTTTTCTGTGAGAGGGGGAGATGGGGTGGAGGGTATAGCATACGTCCGGGCAGATGATCGTCGTGATGATGGAGGCAGGCACGACAATGCCTCCGATCCCGAGACCAGCGAGGACGAGCACGCCCCAGAGCTGATAGAGGTTGTCTATCCTGGCGATGGACATGGCGCCGCAGCCTGTGGGGATGGTGGATTGTGTTAGCCAGGGAGGGAGTCTATGGGAGAACTAGGATGGGCAAGAAGACGGACCTGCTGTCATGAGGATACTGCTGATAATCAGTAATTCCTTATTGTGGCCGCGGAGGACGCTCAGAAGCCACAGGACGATGCAGGCACCGCCCATGATGGCGAAGCCGACGGGCAAGCTGCGAACGCCGACTGCGACGGGGTCGTGGCCGAACTGGTTGAATGACTGCGTCGGCCAGAACATGATGACGGAGAAGAAGTTCGCGCCCGAGATGAATGTGATGACCAAGGTCAGACCTAGGGTCCGGGGTTCTTGCTTCAGGCGAGTCGGGAAGATGGGGTACTTGGCAGCGTAGATTTCCCAAAAAGCGAAGGCGACTAGGAGCACGAATCCAAGGATAAGGGGAGCGAGAACATGGGCGGATGTCCAGGGGTACTGAAGGGAGGATTGTCAAATGCTGATCACTGTTGGGTCGGGAGGCTGTTGGTAATGAAACATACCTGGTACCCTCCCCATTGCATGCCTGCCAGGAATAAAATCAAACCGGTGATGCTCAGGAACCCTCCGACAAAGTCAATGCGCTTCAGCATCTCCGAGCTGCTCAGTCCCTGCGAGTTGACTCTTGGAGGAGGGAAGTAGAAGAATACTGTGGCCAACAGCCCGAAGCCACCCCAGGCACCACAGAACGCTCCGACATAGCGCCAGCCGCTATGCGCTGCGATGAGCTGAGCCCATAGAACGGAGGGGCAGAAGGGCAGGATAGTGAAAATCAAGATGGCAACGTATTTGCCGCGTTGGCGAGTAGGCGCCATCTCTGAGGTTGCAGCCAAAGCCGTCAGCTCGTTAACACCAGCGCCAGCACCGGCGATGGCCATTCCAGCTATACCCATTCGTTAGTAGCTTTCAATGAGATGTATTTGTGTAAGGATGGAGAAAATCGGCCTCATACCAATGAATATGTTCATCGTTTGAGCCGTGCTACTGACAATCATGCCGAGACACACAAGGGAGGCACCGATGATAGCAACATAACGGCGACCGATCAAATCAGACAAGGAGCCAACGAAGGGGCATACACCAGCTAGGCCTAGTAGGTTTGCAAGAACCTATACAATGTCCATCACGAGTCAGCGCTGACTTGACACTAGAAGGTCATGTTTGACATACAAACCAGATCCATCTATCTGCACCACCGATATCTGCATAAATGTAGGGCGGAATACCTCCTGAAGCAACCATTAGGTTCTGGATTCAGTCGAGACTGGTCTCCAGTAGAAGCTCACCAAACAAATAGACAGGAATTTGGCTTCCAGTCCATAGAAAGGCCATGGCCGTGAAGCCCATGAAACGACGAAAGGTCAACTACATGGAAAAAAGTGATAGTTAGAATCCGATTCGCAAGCTCGCAACATCTTTATGGAACACTTACAGGAATATCTTGACCCTCGCCAGTCTCGGATCCACCATATTCCAGTCCCACAATCTTCTCATCGCTGTTTTTCTGGCTTTCCTGTTTCTCGATGGCCATCTGTCCATGAGATTTCTTATCCACCTGAGACCGGCTTGAATGGTCGGTAGTCTCCATGGTGGCTCAGAGTAACACAAAGAAAGTCGAAACGAGGGGTGAGACAAGAGAAGAGAGATCCCTGGGCCAGAATGCTGTAATGCGAAATGATCTGGTAGTCTTAAAGAGGGAAAAGCAAAGCGATCCGTCGATCACCATGAAAGACCGCGCATCTTATATGTTTCCCTGTTCCTTAGAAGACAATAGGAAAGGCGACCCACGCCAGAAACCTAGCACACAGTAGACTTCGCGATAGGAATGCTTGTTAGAGTCGTGAGTGGAGACGGGAAGTCACATCGAGTGAAGAGTGAATAGTGAATTTATGAATTGACCCCAAGCGGAGAGTAGATGCAGCCAAGCAAATCTGGTTAAATCAGTTTTCCTTCCAAAGGATCTCGAAATTTCCAAAAGGCTCTGGCGGGGATACTTCCCATTCGAGTCGCAACCGAGGTATGTTCTGGGATTCTGGTGCGACTACTATTTCGATGATTTCCGATGAGGGAGTGATTGGACTCATCTGGGCCGACAAGATTGCGGGGGCAAGCGAAAGAATGAGGGGGAAAACATGGGATAGTACTAGTATGAGTAGTATGGAAATCAAGATAGTCAAGAGAGTACTATAGCCATGGTTATGGAGACTGGGGATGCTTGATCCCAGTCTCCAGCCAACGCCACGAGAGGATAGAGTTCATAGTCATACCGCTAATTAGAGGAACAGAAGAAGAGGAGTTCGCAGCAGCCCAAGCACTGGATAGTTATGAGGGGAAGAAGTCGACCACCTACTTGGTTGCTCACGGGGGTGGATCAGAGCCTACTACGAGTATGGACTATGGAGTAGTTGTGACTTTAGGCAGGATAAGAGAGAGTCTAGTTAGACTAGTTAGACTGATGAGCGATACCCCGGAATTTCCCCGGGTTTTTCTATGGGTCAAAGTAGTCCCATCCATCTACATACACAGAGCTATATACATGCTTCATACTTTAGCCAACATCCTGCTAGAAGGTAGACCGGTAGCTAGTTTACAGACAATACAGGGCATTCTCTCTAATAACTAATAATGTCATAGAATGCCCCCTCCCCTTGGTGGTAGGACGCAATGCGCTCCCTTTGCCGAGACAATTTCCGTCATCTGATGTGGTTTGAACACACCGATCAACAGCATCAGGAGACGTTTCGATGGCCTTCAGCCATAGAGCTTGCTTAGGCTCAAAATCGTTCCCCAACCGTCCGTAACTTGAATCCTTTAGGAACAACGAAAAGCGCCGAGGCTTGAGCACATATCCTGCCAACCGGATCGCGGACCTCCCCCGTCACATAGGCCTTGCGATCAGAGCTCTTTTCTGGGTCTACCGTAGCGTGACAGGTGTAAAAATTCCCCGAGTATACCGGAGCACGATAATTAATCTCGAGGTTGGCTGTCACCCCAGTGCGCTCTGGGAGATGGCGTATCGCAGCACGCCCCAGATTTTCGTCGAGAACTGCCGCTATAGCGCCACCGTGGACGACTGTTGGCCATCCCTCAAGGCCTGACCCTAGATATACCACGCTAACCACAGTCTTCTCCTTCTCGTTCCAGAATACTTTCTGTAAGACAGCGATCTGATTAGCCTAATACCCTTGACTTCCGAGGTTGATCTGACGTTGTTTTCGGCACTTCGAGAGCTCGGTAAATACGCAAGCTCGGTAAGAATCCCCAATCTGCCGGCCAAGACAAATCTCATCCCGACGACACACGCTGATTGCATCGGTTCCCTTCAAACACCGATCACACGGATATTCAGAAAGAAAGCAAAGGGGAAAAACCAAAAAAAAAGGAACGAACCTGCAGCGCCAACCCTCGACTTCCACGAAGCGGACCAGATGTAAACCTGCGCGCCAGAAGCTCCTCTGTAATATCCTCGTAGACGTTGGATTCCACAAAGTCTGGGTTCTTTCGTAATTCGCGCACAATTGGAAGTCCGTCCTCGTACACGCGATAGATCTCCTCCAGCTTGGCTGCATCTTCCACTGTTCCAGGCAACGCCGGCGGAGAGATTTTCTCATCCACCAATTTCCCGGCAGCGACACCAAGACCCCCGAATATCCCTGCGTAAATGAGTCGCCGAGGCCATTTCGACTTGATGGCTGCGCTGTTTGAGGCAATGGTGCTGGCGTGTCGCGACAATTGCAGCTGCGATCGGTACACTGGTGCTAATTGGGTAGTGATGCAGCGTAATCGAGACTGCCAGATTCTGAGAGTGCCGAACATCTTGGTCACATTGCAATCTTGCGGTGGAGATCGCTATCGCAATTTATCTGGAAACGAGCCATGACGGGGGAAACAGTCTAATTGCCGAGGTCGACCCCCAGTTATATCACGTGACATTGGTTTCAAAATTGGCTCTCTATCACCTCTACCGATCACTGGAAGGCTTTTTGACTTGTGTGATATTGGTGCTACACATTTCTCAAATACTGCTCTTCTCCTAGGATATATGCTACACATACCAAGGCAGCGAAGAACCTTACAACAGCTCATTAGTCAAGCGTATTGCAACATTGGTCTAGTGAGCGCAAAAAAGCTCTGATTGAATTCTTCATGAGTCGTTATGTACCGAGCTTCGATCATCTAAACATAAATGCAGGCAAGTTTATTATTCTTGTCGACCTCTCTGAGGTAATGGGAACGGCTTATTCGGCTGTGGGCAAGTCAACAGCGCGGTACAGGAGAATCAAAGCAGAATGTGATTCACCTAGTATTGCAAGAATCGATTAGAAATGCCTCGCACAAGAACATTGAATCCGGAAGCTTGAACTTACCACCACCAGCAAGAGTCTCAATCTTCTCTCCCTCCACCTCCGTGACCTTTTCGTCGTTAAACCACCACCATTTTCCGTCATCTTCACCCTTACTATTAGGCTGCTTCTTCACATAAGCTGTGTAGTGCCCGCTGTCGGCGCTGGCGCCCTGGTGCGTGATGACTCCGCGCAACTCATAGAGGCCAGACTTGTTCGACCCAGTGTCTGCGGCAATCTCTGGGCTAACCAGGGCGGACAACTCTTTCTTTGCGACGAGGATCGACGCATTCTTCTCGGCCTCATAATCTGCGTCAGTTTTGAAGACATCAGTCATAGCTGTGTCTCCATCTTTCTCCCCGCCCTTGGTAGCCTCTTTCTTCTCCTCGGTGGCTTGCTTCTTCTGCATGGGTTCCAGACTTGCGTCAGACTCGGCAGCTCTCTTCAGTTCCTCCTCCCGCTGATGAGCAGCCTTTTGACGCTTGCGGGCACGCTCAACATCGACTTCTTCCTTTCGGATGTCTCGTACTTTATCCCTGATGGGGACAAGTTGCTTCTTCAACTCCTCCGTACAAAAGTCCACCACATCTAATTCGGCAGGGAAAGTCACTTTGCGCATAATCTTGGCCTTTTTCTGCGTTTCGCGCTTCCAGAAAAAGCGAACAAAGTGCACAGTAAGGTATTTTGGTAGCCGGGCGATGCGAGAACGTTTGGTGTAGACGGCGTCACGATCCAATGTAGGAGAACGCTTCTCAATTTTCTCTTCGAGACCGGCCAGGATGCCATCATGTAGGTGATTTGTTTCTTTCCCGATGTGGCAATCGAGCTTGTAGAAGATGTCGGAGCTTTCTGTTGGTTGCTCTCCAGCCTCCTTAGCTGCTGGATCATCACATTCCGTGACAGATTCGAATCTGCCAGCAAGATACTTGTCCGCGAAAGAGACCTCTGCAGCAGAGTCTGCTTCTCCCTCTTTGATCATGAGCTTGCTCCGGAGCTGAGTCACAATCTGAGACCAAGCTTCCTCAGCGTCTTGCTGAGCATAACCGTGTCCGTTTCTGTCTTTTTGAGCAAACTGAGGAAAGACACTCCTGAGGGCATTGAGGAATAGCAGTGGTGGGAAACCTTCTTGAGTCTCGGACATCTGTTTGAACAAGTCCCGCAAAGAGGATACAATGTCCATAGAAGCTCCGAGACCACCAAGGCCAAGGCTGCTGAGGTCCGAGAGCCTTGAGCTTGCGGAAGAGCCTGCGCTGGGTCGGTACCTTAGAAGCTCTTGCTGAAGCTCAGGGACGCTTCTCAAGGTCTGCAGGGTGGAGTTGAGGTAGCAAGTATTTCCCAGATTCTGCAAGCCAGCAGGAGTAGCTCCCTCTATTCCGGCAGCTTCAGCTTCGGTCATATCCTCCAGGAATTTGACTTGCTCCTTTGGTCGTTCTACAGCGGCTTGACCGCCTGACGGGGTACCCATCATCATAAATGTCTGGCCCGCTTTCGCATTGAGAGAGGACAAAGGCGCTTCATCCTTGAGTTGGCCTCCTTTGACCAAAATCTTCTGTCTTTCGGGTTCGACTCCAGTCAAGGAGTACATTTGGTATTTGAGCGTCTCGCCATTTGCCGCCGGGTCGAGTTCGACTTCGTGACGTTTGCCCTGGTGCTTCACGATAACTAAGGACCTGACATCAGTAGGAGCTTCAGAAAGTCAAGAAGACGGTTCAAGAGAGCAGGTTTTCATACTTGGTATGGTTGCCATATTGTCCCAGCTCGAAAACGAGATTCGGTCCTCTAGATGTCCTTCTCTTTTGATAGCTGCTGAGTGAGTGGCGTCTAAACAACGGTAATGCCAGAGATGGTCTTCGGGGAAGGCGTGGGGCGGCATGCAAACAAAGCAAACAATCACATACGACATCACCGCCCAGCAGCCTAGTGGGACGTCGTTGGCTCCTGAAGCTGGACTGCTCGATACACTTGCCCGGCCTCAGTGACCTATCTCGTTTCTGTTTCAGTTGCTTAGAGCTGTGCCTTGTTTCCTAACTAGGATCGCAATTCTTGATACCATCGATTCCAGTTGGAAGTGACAGACGGCCCGAGTTTTGAGTGTGCGGAGTAACGTGGAACCATCATACATCGCACTCCCGCTATGGTAGGCCGCATCCATTGATTACTCGGGGATCTGATGCTGAATGTGTACAGTCTCAATCATTGCGCCCATATCTTCAATGCGTTCGGTCTTCCCTTACCGCCGCTCTTGCGATCTCGAACTTCGCTTCGCAAACCTCCGAAAGACACAATGTCCCCGAGATCGAGGCCGCCAGTTCCCCGGAACTCCTCCTGAACCCCCTCACCGTTTCGCGCAATGAAAACGAGAAAGTCTTGATCGAACCCAGTGTAAACAGTGTTCGCGTGAGCATCAGAATTAAGCAGGCAGACGAAATCGAGCATATCCTGGTCCACAAGTTCACCAGATTCTTGACACAACGGGCGGAGTCCTTCTTTATCTTGCGGAGGAAACCCGTGAAGGTATGCATCACATAATTGGAGTTGAGGGCTGAAGGGACGCTCATTTTAACCTAGGGATATGATATCTCTTTCCTAATCACCAACTTCCATACCGAGGCCATGTTGAAGCACAAACTGGTGGACTTTATCATTCAGTTCATGGAGGAAGTAGATAAGGAGATCTCCGAGATGAAGCTCTTCGTATGTGCTGCTAGCCTTGATCTCTCCTCTAAGAGCTTCAATATTTTAACGATCTACAGCTTAATGCCCGCGCTCGTTTCGTTGCCGAGTCCTTCTTGACACCAGTAAGGGACCTTCTTGAAAGACCCTTCGTTATGAACATAACTAACGCGGCTATAGTTCGACTAGATGTGCCATGACCCAATTTACACTCGACATTGATTGCAACAACGCCTCCCTCTCCCGACAGCAAACTTTGTATAGACGATCTAGGCTGGTATAACGAACCGATCACTTTATTGGATGCTTCATTCCTTCCCTGGACCCTCATTTCCATCTCGAAAACAAGTCTCTCTATGAACTCTCTCGCTGTTACAATCCATTTGATTTACCCATGGCAGCTCTGAAGACCATAGCCATCTTCATCACGTATAGTCTCAGCTTCTCTCTTGGACTATCCAATTCCAATTTTAAAGTACTTGTGCCAACAATCCGTATCTATCTATCGCTGTCACTTGCTTGAGACACCTCTCATTACATTCTAGAACCCTACTGGAATGCTTTCTGTAGCTAATATGATACTTTATTAGCGCCAATCTTGCAGTTAGGTCAGGACCGACCCGTATGGCTTTGCTCCATCTCTTCTGTTCATGCCGAGGATGCCCCGACACCTTAATCACCAGTTTCATTCACTTCCTGCTCTTTTGTTGAGAACCAGACCCCCGCCTCCCCCCTAACAGCTGTCAGATCTGCTGTTGGGATGAGATTCTTCAAATTTATCCAATCCTACATTCAGTCATGCGATATATTCTTCTTAGTAGAGCTAAACCTGGCTTGAGCTATAGATATAGAACTTATTGTCAGTCAGTGGGACTCATTGTTTGATTTTCATAGAATCACACTATCTATAATGAACAGTGCATTGCAATGAAGTGAGAGATGAGTGAATGGAAAGCTACTACAGATCTTTTCCTCTCGGCATTCCCATTCACATAGCACTTCTCTTCCCTAATGCTGTTGGTTTTCTTCTGTAGGAAAATTAGACTCTTCCCTTTTCTCATCCCCCAACACCTGATTGCATTCTATCTCCTCTCACACCATGGAGTCAAGGAATGCAGATGACCCATTCGCTGGATACCATCCTGCGTATCCATTTACTCCTCCACCTCTTCAAGACTTCAATATGATCCCCTTTGGCGCGCCAGCCATACCGGGCCAGTATCTGACGCCCCCTGACGCCCGTTCGTCTCATCATTTGGCCCAGCAGGGTCCCTTCCTATACCCTTCTGTCTATTCTATGCAAGACATGTCTTCTGCACTGATTGAACCCAATTCACAGAGTCAGCTGGGCCACAGTGCTCTTTCTACCGGAGCAGCTCGTTTCAGTGGTCTGCCCAGACACAACGATAGCTTCTCATCTGGTTCTCGTTGGCCTCCACGCTCGTCTTTGCAGCAACTGTACAGGATTAATGCCCAGGATCATCCAGAGACCCGCCCGCAGACTACTGATTTTGCCATGTCCTTCGACACTGTCGCTCTAGCCAGTGAAATACCAATCGGAAGCCAGGTGCACCAGATGGTCCCACCTAACTGGGGCGTTGTCAAAATCGCGAATGTAAGTGATCATGTCCATATAACACAAGTCGTCTGGTTGTACCTTGCCTGGGGTTTGGGCTAACATTTGGAGAAGATCCCATATTCAGTTACCAGAAAGGAGATCATCCAGTTCCTTGGCCGCCACGCCCGCCTCATTACTCCCCAGCAGGGTTGTGCTATTCACATAATCATGGAGCGCTCGACCGCGAAGACAATGGACTGCTATGCTGAGTTCCAGAGTGCCGAAGATGCAGAGGATACAGCCACTCGAATCAATAGGATCTATGAAACCGGTCGTGCCCCTCGTCTCGGTAACCGTTCTGTAGACGTTGAAACCAGCTGCCAGGAGGCTCTCTTGAAGGACTTGTTTCCTCGTGCTAAGTGTATTCTCTGGAAGGATGGCATGCCCTTTGCTACCCCCAACACAGATCCCTATTCCACTGGTTTCACGGGATTCTTCACAAGTGAAGAGATCGTTGGTGCTATTCGCCATGCAGAGATACCACATCGGGTAAGTATCCTGTGTTGTCTTCTTGTATGCGAATTCTTCTTATCTGTCAAATGTGCTGACACCACAGTCAGTCTCCTTTTTGTGCCAAGTGCCCTCAGCGTACTTACGAGTCAACAATCAGCACACTTTACAAGGTAGAATGCTTCCCTTCCGCGTGCCACAAGAGACTGATTGCAGAAAGGCCGACTGATTTGTTTCTCCCTTGCCTAGTTCCCATGGTATGCAACCGAGCTGTACACAGTTCATAATCGCAACCAGTTATTCGAGCTCGTCAATCGCCACATTCTCTCTCTTGTGGCCCGGGTCAAACGATCTAACACTGTTGGTCTGGATCAGAGACTGCTGCGCGAGCTTCTCTATGCTGGATTAAATTGTCCCGCGTTCAACGAACGTCAAAAGTACACACTCTGTACCAACTCGGAAGATACTGCGGAGATCATGAAATTTCCAGATATGGGCAAATGGTTCCCATTTGACACGCTTGTCAAGTTGCCCAAGACCGAAGAGAACAGGCTTCTGGTAAGTTCTCCCGTGATGCATCCCGCCCTGGCGGATTTCTGCCTGTGCAAGGAATGTCTGAGTCGAATCGTGTTTAGTACTACGTGAAATTGATTTCAAAGGGCATGCACGAGGACCACGCAGAAGCCATGTTGCCCAACAACTTTCCCGTGTCCAACGTCCATCTTGAGTCTCCTTATGGACGTATCTGGTTTGAATGGCCTTTGAACGCAGCCAAGAGTCTAACTTGGAAAGATGCTGTCGAACATGAGACGAAGATTCTCAACAACCTAGTGTTGACCGGTTGGATAGAAAACTACAAGGAGAATAATTTGAAGTCCGGTCTCATCCCTGAATCTTCTGCCGCTAGCAGCCGCGAATCTCAAAACAATACTATCGTGTCTTCTGGAAGCGACGTCAGCCCGAGCCACATGAGAACATCTACTAGGACCGATATATTCGCGACACCTTCGCGCCGTGCGAGGGACCAAACTGCCAACAGCCCCTTTGCTGGCAATAGTGACGATGGTTGGCGGCGTGCGTTGTTCATGCACTCTTCCAATGGAATACGGGGTAGATTCCCTGGACACCGCAACACTTTGTCCTCTCCTACCTGCCTTCCGTCTACCAGGGACACTTAAAGTCTCAGCAAATCACGCTCACGGGACATCTTGCGGTGCGAGAATTTGTACTGCTTTGGCCAATTGGCTCCGTGAAAGTCGTCTATGGCCGTTTTGACGGTAGCGTCGTCCAGACCGCTATGCATCGAATCTGTTCATTGGGAGGTATTTTTTGCCTGAGTCTTGGTTCCTTTGCGAAAAGTACCCACATCATGATAGTGATGTTCGTCCTTTTTTGTTCCTCAGGTAGTATTATCGACCAAAGGCTTCTGAAAGGATTGACATTCTTTGACGACACGAAGGATGTACTAGATTCAAGTCGTTTCAACGAAACTGGGATTGATGGAGATATTGCGCTGCGGTCTTTTCAAGTGTCACAAAGAACCTTTGGGAGTTGCATGATAGTAAAGATAGCATTCATCGTTCTCTTTCTCTTGCTATCTGGTGCTGATTGATCTTCGTTAGCACAGGCGGATTGGATGTCTTTTTTGATGACATATCATGAATAGATGACGTTTCTTATGTGGGGTGCCTGGAGTTTTCATAATTTAGTCACATCAATGATCTCCCCTGTCTCATGTGTCTCCTTCTCATTATTGGCGTTCTTTTCCTGATCCGCAAGGAGCCTCTTTCTCATAAGGCCTTCCGCTCTTTTCCTTTCCCTGCGTTGATCAGGATCCTCCCAACCCTCCGGTCTAGCCTTTGTCTTCGCCTTCGAAGTACCCAATTGATCAGTAAAATACAAATTGAGAAGAGTTGCCCGAAACCTCTCTTTGCGCTCGCCATTCACGATGAATCGCTCATTTGAGATGTCAATTAGCATCTGGAGATATTCCTCGGAGACAAGACTGCGAATGACAGGCTCTTTGCTACTTGTATCGTCCTCTTCATCAGCATCTTCGCAGTACCCGATAACAGATTCAAGCGACAATCCGGCCGACCGAACAGCAACAATCGGACTCGGGCCGTCCTCGCCTTCAAGGCAACGTAGACTTTGTAGTCCACTCTCACGGAAACCCGAGGTTGCAGCCGCTGACAATACTGGATGGGAATGCTGCAGTGTCGCCGTCATAATGTGGAGAATCTGTGAGTGGGCCGGCATCAGTACAGACTCTGTAGATTGATCGTTTCAATCTGATGAATAACTTCCAACCCATCTTAATAGGTGCCTCAAGGATGGCGTTGGGCACAAATAGAAACATAGCCAAGAAGAGAAGTATCACTAGCGGGAATGAAGAAGAAATGCCAACTCACCATGGGATCATAATGGAATCGCACCAGGCGCGGGGCGTGACCGTCCTGTTTTGTCTTCGGCAGTTTCCCATCTCCAGGAACCATCCCAAATAACTCATGCAGACTTTTCATCGTATTTTCTTGGTGTGAATCATAGCCATTGCTGCTGTCATTCGTTCCATATCCCTTCAAAGGGTCGTGTGACACATATAACCACTTTCCTGCTCCTTTGCCTCCAGAAGGTGCGAACTGCCGTTGCTGCTGCTGCTTTTTCCGTCCTTCCAGGAAGACACTGATGCGTCCAGAGCAGCTGCTGGTAGTCACCAATCCAGGAAGGGTATTGATCTCCTGGATCAAGTCTCGGATCCCCTCATCCACCGATCCTTTTGGGGAGAGATCGGTATACTCTGTCTCCGGTGTTGATAGTTCGGTGAGGATCTTCCGTTTTCGAGACTCGAAGACCTCTGGGATCTTGCCTATCCGAAGCCCACTCATTGGTGCCACTGTTTTAGATTTTCTTTCTTTGCCGGTCACCACGTACTTTTGCAGTTTTGATCGGGGCAAAAGAACGCCAATATGCGTTTGGCTGTTGAACAAGAATCCGAATGTGGCTAGCACGACGCTGACGGATCTTTCTCTTGTACAGAGCGATTGACCAGATCACTATATTAAGATGAGACGAGCGTTACGAGAAAGCATTCAATATCTACAAGAAGGCGAGATCTTGTTCCTTGAAACGTTGCTGCCGATTTGCTTCGCTATCAAATTCTTTCTTCGACGTAGGACGCGCTAAATTTAGCGGTGCGGGAGCTTGTCATAAGTTAACTAACAACCTTTCCGCCTTTTCCACTGCCCCAGAACTAGAAAGTTACCAGCCTCCTGGTTTGTCCTGGTCCCTCTTTGTCCACATGAACCATTTCAGAAGTCGATCAGTCGCTAATTAGCGCTTGCGTAGCCTTTGAGCCTGGCTGTCCGGTCAGCTAGCTGCATTGCAGTCACAAACAGTCTCTTAAATGCTAGGTTTAGACTATCGCTCACCCCCAAATTCCTGCTATCGCCTGGCTTTTCTCGATCCTGCGTAGCTACGTATACATCAGGAGAATATCTTCGTCAATAGCTTGCACCAGGAGAGTGAAGTTACTATATCCCTTATACTACTATTCTTTTGATTTATTTTATATTTTTACTTTTTTAACATCTCCCAAATCTCAATGCCTCGTCGATCGTCTCGGGCCGTTCCCGCATCAGCGGCAGCTCCAGCGCCAGCACCAAAAAAGCGCGCGTCTGACAGAATCTCTGCAGCATCGAAAACCGACTCAAAGAGACAAAAGTACCACACCACAACCGCCAACAAGCCTGTGAAATCTACAAATAAAAAGAGCAAGTATTTTGAAGACGAAGGCGCTGAAGAGTCCGAACTCGACTCCAATCATGCATCGGAGCTAGAAGATGAATCCGGCTCGGCATACGAAGAGGCAAAATCCACATCCTCCCATTCCCTTGGAGCAGACTCTGGAATAACTGAGGACCCTTCTACAGATGAGGAGATAGCGAGGAAGTCCAGGGCTCGAAAGACCGGGGAGAGTGGGCAACAGCCTCAACGACAAGGGAGAATCAAAAAGGGAAACATTGATGGTGGAAAGGACACATCTGACGAGGAGACGGCGCATTCTCTGAAAGACAAAGAGTTATGGAGAGAGGGCGTGAGCACCGGTCTAGGTCCTGGAAAAGAGGTCTTTATCAAGAAGCCAAAGGCAAGGGCCGCAGGAAAGACTCCGTACCAAGATCATACTCTGCATCCCAACACCATGCTTTTCTTGCAGGATCTAGCAAAACACAACGACAGACAATGGCTCAAAGGTACTTCATCAAGGAATGTGCGTTCGCTCGTTGATACAATATCTGACCCTCAACCATCCCTCTAGCACATGATGCGGATTATCGTGCTTCGAAGAAGGACTGGGAAACCTTTGTGGAGAGCCTCACAGAGAAGATCTCGGAAGTGGATGGCACCATCCCTGAACTGCCTGCAAAAGACCTCGTAAGTTCTTGACATCACGGAGAATCAACATTAGACGAAGTGAAACAAAGCAATTCATTGACTTGGTTGCTTTGCTAGGTTTTCCGTATCCATAGAGACATCCGGTTCAGCAAGGATCCCACTCCCTATAAGGTATGTGCAGTTCCAATGCCACTATTTGAATGTGCCGGGTCTCTTTTGTGGTAATGTATGGCGGCCGTTGGTGTACTGACGGCTGAGATAACCAGACACACTTTTCAGCTGCCTGGTAAGTCCATCTCTTGTCCTGTATCAAAATGATGAACTAAGAGTCTTATGCAAGGTCTCGCACGGGCAAGAAAGGGCCGTATGCCGCCTACTATGTGCATCTTCAACCTGGATCCTGCTTTGTCGGTGAGTAGTCCCCTTAAGAGATTCACCCACTGTTCACTCGCACTATCCAGCATCGATTATATGATCTGGTAGCACCTTTTTTTACCTGTCACACGGTGTCCTATTCCTATCTGAACTTGATCCCAAGCTAGCCCTTGAGAACGTCGGTGGCTGCAGTAGTCTGTTGAACTCCATCAGGAGTGCAGTTTTCTCTCGAGCTTGTCATATCCATAGCGACAAGCTCTCTCTTTTCTATTTTTATCAACCCTTCCCGGCTGTTTTGCAATCGCACTCACTGAGAATGCGCGAATTCTAGGTTGTGGACTTTGGAACCCAGGGGCTGATAAGCTTGCACTTCTTCGAGAGGAAATTGACCGAAACTCGCATCGTCTGAAGGCGGTGCTGCAAAGACCGGATATGCGCCGCGAAATTTTGAAAGGTATACCGGATGATGAGAAGAAGTCTGTTCAAGCTTTTGTCAGTCAGAATAAGGAAAGTGCACTCAAGACGAAGCCTAAGGTATGTGTTGCATCGTTTGTTTGTGTTTTGCCTAGTCATCCAGCACACATTAAGCAGCATGATCACGGGCGCAAAATATCCCACAGAGTTGTTTGATTGATATTCAGACAACTCCGTGATCTCCCCAGCAACATGAGGTGCCAGATCCCAGTGTTTCACTTTCATGTCCTTCGGGCGCAGTGCTTCCACTTGCCAGTGGCGGGCCCATTTCGGAGGTCGAATCCTGTTAGTCGATATTCCCCATCATGTTTATCAAAAGATAAGATGGATTTTCAGATCGAGAAAGGCAGCGGCCAAATGGTGATTTGCACGTCAACCAGATTCACTGGTTGCGTGTCTGGTCGTGTTGAAACACTGTTGATGGGAAGAAACGCGGCCACGCACGGGTGGCCCCGACTTCCCGTGTTCTTGAGGTCACCAACGCGGGCTAGAACTTGGTACCTGAGAACCTCGGACTGCTCGGAGCCTGGGGCAGGTTTCTTCCCTTACTTCCCCAATTCCCCAATTCCCCAAGGACAAGACAAAAATATCTTCGGTTCTGCTGAATCCTGGAAGTTGGTACTTTGGAATTGGGGCGGAAATGCCATCGTCTGTCCCACTGGAGTGGTTTGGTGACAATGGTGTCGAAGAATTTTCTGCGCCGTCTTATGCGTTACCATGGTTCAACATCTGCCTACTGGCGGGTCTTGTGCCGCGTCTTAATTTTATGGTAGAACTCCATGCACTGACAAACTTTGTTCCTGTCTAGGGTTACGACGTCGATAACCAGAACATCGAATTACTGCGCCTACGCAGCTTTACCATTGGAAAGCCTCTCGCCGATTCAGAGCTCATGGCCTCCAATGCGCAGGAGAAGATCGCTGCCATCATTGCTGTCATGGAACCCTTTGTAAGCCCTGTCTAGCCGCTCCCTTTTTCGCAGCCTCATTTGGCTTTTTCTCCCCGCTTGTCCGCGTCTGTGTCCATTGGGCCTTACCACCCTTGGGCCCCGTATCACTTACCAGACACTTGTCCGGGCCTCCTTCCCCCTCTTAGTCTTCCTCCTCAGCCACTTGAGCGGTGTGAGCATGTGGTATCCGAGACACAAGGATCCCCACCATTTAATATCAGTGGTGCTTCAAGAGATGCAAGATGACCAGAGGGGTTTCTTTTCTTCGTACTGTTTCACTGACCAGGTATCGTTTTACAGGTTACGTACTTGAATAGTGTTGTCATGCCTGATCCAGCGGACCAGGATAGCAGCTCTGGATCCGACTCCTCATAGTCAGGCTCCTCTCATCGCTAGATTTCCCCCTCCATGGCAGTCTGGGGGATATCCCAGCCCAACGGCGGGTCTCATCTCTCTCGCAGTGTAGTTCTGCTTTGGCGTACAAATACGAAGTCCTTCTAACCAAGCAAATGACATGTCTCGAAGCCTCACTTGTAACATTATCCCAGAGTTTGCTTTGTATGCCATTGCCTGGTATCTCTGGCGCTGAATTGGCTGGAGGAATTTTGTGCAATCGCCTGTTTTTTTTTTCCTTTCTGTTGGCTGAGATTTCGTAAATGGTGATGAGCATCTTTGTCTATGTTGGACTAGCGAGGGTGCGCAACACAATCGGTGAATTCCTCCTGCCTCTTACCGCCAGTTTTGGGTGATCAAGGAGGGCTCTGTTGGGGCCGGTTCAACAACAAAATACTCGAATCACACGAGTTACAATACCTCCATCGCTGACTCGCCTGGTATGACCTGCTGTGATACTGTCCGTGTGCTGCTGCCCGGCCCGTCGGACATGCCGCTAGCTCCACGACGCTGCGGATTTTTCATCTATAGACGTTATCGACTTCTGCACACATGCGAATTCGTCGAAGCTGCCTATACCATAATGCCACCCTCTTCGCTTCGTCTCATGGTCCCATGGATACACGAGAAGTTTCAATTTCTGCATCAGTGCCCGAAATGCCGAGACACATGTGTCCTAACACCATCTCCTGTCTGATTCCATGATGTGAGGCAAAGTGGATACCCAGCTCTAGCAAGGCCTACTATCACTCCCGGAGCTAAGCCTCCTTGTTTTGCCTCTCTCAAACATTCAGGAATCCCCCAGCCAGCAAAAGCCGCAAAGGAAGCAGCACATCTCAAAAAGGATAGCTGCATGTTGTGCCCAATTGCCCATGCATGCTGCACTTCTGTCTTCCATTTTTGCGCGCCACTAACTTTATGCTCCCCAATGTTCGATTCTGATTTGACTTGCCAGATCCTAGCGGAACTTTCCGTTCAATAGATGCGCCTATCGATCCTCGCCCAGTTTCCTGATTCAGATCCAGAGACGGAGGCACTCTTCCCCATCCGACTGAGGGATTTACTGGATATTTCCCTTTCCGCAAACGTGGTTTCCATGCAATTGTAACGTTGGGATATTCCGTTGGAACCGTGTTTGGCATTTGCTGTATCGGTGCCCTCAGTAGTGAGCACCTCTACTATGGACGATGAGAGAACTCCACAGGACAAGAATCGCCATGGGTTCGCACCAAGACACAAGTGAAGATTTTTCTGGACTTAGATAATATCAATCATTATTGGCTCAGTGAAGATGAACTGCTCTTTTGTGGGGTTGAATTGTATCCTATATTATATTATAGTGCTTGCCTCTGGATATATATTTGTCACACAAGACAACGCCTCCATGACTGTATGGGAGGTCGATTTATTTCTCTATGGAAGGCTGTCTAACCTCGCCATTACATAGGTGATAGAGCCAATTAGGTTTATAGAACAGATATCGGTCAGAAGTGTAGTCAATTCTTTCGATATGGTCAACATAAGTCAACTGAGATGCTGAGACATGAACAATTTTATCCACCAAAGCACACGGAGATCAGATGGAAGAAGAATAGGCTATTAGACTTCCAAATGTTCTCTTGTAACCGTGGGCGCCCTATGCCCCATAGATCTACCTAGATGGAGCTCACCGAATCCACAGCCTCCTATATGCGAACATACCCATTCGCAAATTCTGCCTCTTGGTGCTCTACGTTCATGCCAGCACAGGAGGCGGTAACTAATAGATGAACTTGATCTCTAGACACTCCTCCTTGCATGAGACAGGGCACCTGATGCTGATCCCTAGCAAACTTTATCCAAGAGATGTGGAAGGAGCAAGATATAGGAATGTGATACATCAAAACACATGGATAATGTGTTCTCTCCCACCCCAAGTGTCTTAAAAAGGAGAATGATGAATGCACGTCACGCCGCCTACAGTCCGTAGCCCTAAATTCTGGAGTCTTTACCGAGATCGGAACCAGAGGAAATCGTTGTTGTTGTTGTTGTTGTTGTTGTTGTTGTTGTTGTTGTTGTTGTTGTTGTTGTTGTTGTTGTTGTTGTTGTTGTTGTTGTTGTTGTTGTTGTTGTTGTTGTTGTTGTCGTTGGACTTGCGGCATCTGCAGGTTAGTTGATGCTAACCCGCTGGGAGTGGACTGAGTGACGATCTTCCGTGTCCTTGCACGCCCTTGGTGTCCAGACGAACGAATTCCGGGAATCCGCGGCCGTGTTCCTCCCCCCCCCGGCCCGGGAAGGTCTCGTTATTATCCTGACCTGGATTCGAGTGCTGATCGATCACCGAAATGGCTCTTGTTTCTGGAAATATGTCTTCATATGCTGTGCGCCATAGGGCGATGTGTGTTGCGTTGTTGCTGACTGGGTTGTCAGCACCGACTTGGTCGCAAGGGTTAGTTTGTCTAAGCGTCCTGCTTGCTCAACACCGCTTCTTCTCGTCTCTCCCTGGCTTTCTCCGGGAGAAGAGGACATGAGGAATGCGTCAACGGGGGAGAGTCAAGTGATCGCAAACCTCTGCGCTGCATAACCAAGGCCTCATCATTGCGCAGGTCCCTGACTCGAAGCTGCTGGTTCAGGCTCGTCACACGATGATTTGAGAACGAATGACCTCGGGTGACTTGTTTGCAGCTGTGCTCCGCCGGTTGTTTCCCAGCTCTTGTAATCGCAAAGTATGCTCCATGCATCATGGCTTTAAGAGACGGCTCAATACCAGGACTGGCAGCGCGAAGGGATTGAATCCTCCAAAAGAACTCAAGGTCAGCATCCGACGCGGCTGAGCCTTCTGAATCAGGACAGGACTTTGGACCGTCCAAACAGCACCGAAGTCAAATGAAACCGGTCTTGCTCGACGTCTTATCTTGCCACGTCATTAGGACAGACCGCGCTTGTATGCACTCCCCATGCACCCAACATGAGCACAGACAACAGAATCATCGGGTCACGATGAATTTATGTTCCTTTTTCCTCCGACATGACAAACCTTGGATTAGCTGACCGCAAGAACCCACACCGTCAGGCTGTCCATCCAAGGCACCCTTTTAAGCGCGCGACGCAAGCCACAGACATGACAACGAGTTCAACCAGGCTTTGGACACAGGCCCACGGCTGATTGGCCCCGGTGTCATCACGTGATTGAAATCGCATGCGGGCTTCCCGTCGATCGCGAAACTCCTGGCTCGGTGGGTCGGCCCTGCTGCCCAATCACAAAATCTGTTACACAGTTAGCTGTCATAATGAAGGAAAAACAAGACCAATAGTAAAAAATTAATCATTCTCTTTTTCAATTTTTCCCCTTTCTTTTTCTTTTCTTTTCTTTTTTTTTTTTTGGACTTCGACCACTGGTGCTGACTGCTGAGATTAGAAAATTGGCCATGCTGCCGTCTGAACAGGGAAGGTGGCTGGGCATGGGCTGCGGACGGGATACTGGACGCCAAACCATGCAGCTAAGCTGATGAGGAACCATGGAACCGCAAAGTCTCGCTGGAGTCTACTTACTAGGCCCTACTGGTTAGCCAAGTTGACATGGTCACTCGACGAGTCGACGGGTCGCCGTCTTATCTATCGAGCCGTGTGGTTATAGTGGCAAATGACCTGGAGCCTTCCCAGCAGTATGGGATAGATGAGAGCATCGTGACACATCGAGCTGAGACTACCAGAACCTGGATGAGGATACATCCTAGTCTTCTACTTTGTCTGGTAGATTGCCCAATGATCCAGTCAGCAGGAAACCCAGAAATCCACCAGGTGACTGTGGATTCTGGCGGCAACGGAAAGACGCGGACGGCAATGCACCGCGCCGATCGGGTTCGAAAAAACGTGGCAAGAAATTGGAAAAGATAATAATAATAAAGCCCTTCCTAGTGTAAAAGGAAAATAGGAAACGGGAAGGAGGGTGGTAATTACTAATGAAAAAAAAAAAAAAGGGAAGATGACGAGAGAACCATAACTTACATGGTTATCGTATTACCTTTGTTTTTGTACCGTATGAAATGCAGTTACCAAGTTAGATACCAACCACATGAACTTTGATTGAGAATCCTCGTGGGGCTATCTATGGTGCAGTGAGAGCAAGAGTAATCTGGCGTAGGGAGGCTGGCTGTGAGTCTCAGACCTGTCTGAAAATTGATTAGATTAGTAAACACAATATTTCCGTCTGTTATAGACATGAATGTCCAATCTATTATTGTTGGTTTGTTGGCCCGTTGACCTGGCAAATATCCTGGTCTTCTCTATTAGGAAATGTATGTCCGATGTCTGTCGCCCAGTAACGGTTGGGCTCAGACTCTTGTTCTATGCGCTTGTGATCAATCCGTCCCATGTCAATTCAAGATGAACACAGTCAGATGGATGCCTGGAAGGGTAGATAGAGACAATCGAGGGAAAAAAGACTGCCCATGACTCGAGACAAAGCGGCGCCTTCGACAGTCGAGGGTTGCCATTTACAGAGCTTAACCGACGTAGGCGTCGGAAAGGAAACACTCGATCCTTATCAGGATTCTCATCACCGCCTAGGCGCCTAGGCTGGCTCATGATGACGAGTTTCAGAGCATGCTACACTACACTTCATGCATAAGATCAGCGGGAAGTCGGAGCGGGCCGTCATGGACATGTCCAGGAGATGACTAGCGGTGTCGAATGATAGGATGGTGCCCAACGCCTAGAGACAAGCACATGCATCTCCGTCACATTTGGTCTACACCGTAGTCTCCATTTGCGATCGTAGCTTCCCGGTATTGTCGGTGCAGGATTTCCATTTCCCAGGGCGTCCGTCACATGATTGTGTGCGCGCTCCTTTGTCTTCCTTGCCATCCTCTTCCCGTTCCCCGGCAGCTGCATGTCTCAGGGTGCCACAAGAGAAGAGATACCAACTACCAGGAACAGCAACACAAAGGACCGAAGTAGCGCCGGAGGCCTTGACACTATTCCGAGTCACACGATCCACTCCTTCCCACCATGCTTTGACCGTCGTGTCCTGCTAGCTAGAATCAAGATGAATGGCGTTCGACATGCCGACTAGTCCAGATATGCCTTGCCCTTTCGAGTTAGGAATCCAGTCCATGTTCAAATCCGACAAGGAGGGTGGGAAGGCACGACAGTTCGCAGACAAGTGGGTGAAATACCAGGGGTGAGCGTTGTGATGAACCTGCAGGTGCCTGCAGTGTTTCCAGGACGATGACAATTCCAGCGAGCCCTCCTTGATTATGAAGAGCCGTTTCCCTTGACATGACCAGCTCTGCTGGCTGAGATAGACATCATCATACAGGAGAGCTATCGAGTGCCAGTCGCCTTCTCACATTGATCTATTATCCGCCTGTGTCATCCTGTATGTGTCAAATTCGTCGGAAACCGATGATATCAGCACAGATATTCCTGGATCAGTCAGTCCATTAGGCCGATCATCATCGCCTTACGCATCCAAAGCAAAAGATCGCAGATTATGACTGGTGGCCCACGTATTTTCAACCCCGCAAACGCCTTTTGAGTCGCGAGCCATAAAGCATGGCAGGCCGATGCCGCCGATGTCCGCTCATCCGCTGGCCAACCTAGTAGAACGGAGAACCTACTGTTCCTCTTTTTTATTATTATTATTTCCCACCCCCCTTGCCAACCGCACGCTAATGCAGGTTACCTTGACAGTGCCACCGATTGGGCCATGGGAATCGAAAAATGGCCAAAAAGTCTCGCTGGTGTGGTCCCAAGGCTGTAGCACTGGGAAACTTAGAGACCTCCACCGGGATCCTCCCTCTCCATGACCAGGGCCAAGACAGCAGATACGGCCCATCGTTGGTCGGTGCTGCTCTGTTAGATCAGCTGCGGTCTCTTCCCACGGAGCCAATGAGATATACAAGACGCCTCGTGACGTTCTCATCTTCAATAGAATCGACGAGAATCAGCCGACTATTGGCGGGCAGGCACAGTTTGCTGACCGCCCTATTGCCTAATCACATCCTTTAAACGCCCAGTTCATTGAGAACCTGCCGAGGGACCGTCATTTAGATGGTTGATGTGGCAAGCTAGCGACAACTAACAACTGACAACGCGTGTTCTCTCATGGGAAGTGGGTGTTTTGAGTAGATTGTGTATCACCTCCAGCTGAACTTCTAGAGGGGCCCACCATGATGGAGAGGCGTGTGGCTCACCGCCTGATAAAATCGTCACTTGGACACTCCGCAGTCCACATTATTACGGACACTTGTCACCATCTTACCCGTATACATTACACTTGCCAGGGCTGTAAGAATGCGTCCGTAAAAGAACAACATACCCAGGTACTCTGTAGTTTACCACTCTATCAGATAGGTAATTAAGATTGTATCATATAAACATCCTAGGTAGTCAGTCTTATGAGAATGGACACAGTGATGTATCATGTGGAACAAAATAGTATTCTATATAGGAATGGTATCTATAATTTCTGTACATATCTTCTTACCAGTAATGGTACACAGTGACTACCTAGTGACCTCCCACTTGCCTACATACCATCCCACGTCGAAGGAGGAATGAGGATAGATAGTTACCTCGGTAGGTACTCAAGGAAGTGGCTCCGCCGACCCAATCATTGAGAAAATGCCAACTCGACGTGCGTTCAACCACTGTGCTGTGCATCTACATATGTTTGCATTATCATCATCAAGCTGGAACCGAGCATCGCCGGGACAAGAACAAGAAAAAAAGGACGACAGAGTGGTAGGCTGGTAGCTGGTAACACCAATCCCATCATCCCTTTTTTCTTTTTTGTTTTCTGTTTTTTTTTTGTTCTTTTTTATCTGCAGCTGCGGTTCGGAGCGCTCCTTTTCCCTTCTGGGTCCAACCAGAAACCTCGCAACATATGCCGTTTCGATGCATTTTGCTACCAATGGGAATGCCAGTGTGGCTCTCACGAACCAATTTCCGGATTCGGTCTGGCAGGATCACATTTGCGATTGGGTGCATTGAGATCATTCGGAGTTCCAATCTTATCTCCAACGGCCAAGGCTGGAGTGGTATTTGTCTCTTTTGGGTATCTGGGTAGGAGAGAATCTAGAGAGAATTCCGTATAGACTCCCCTTGGGTCGACGGAGCCTGTTTATACTTGTATGCAGATGTCTTTGGCTACAGATGTTGGTACAGTGGTTGATGTGGTCTTGCAAGATCAACACCTAATACCTGGGAGATAAGCAAAGAGCATGTTCTTCAGGCATTAAAGCTGCTGATGTCAGCCCATCACGGCAGTGGATGAAGATATCTTCGGCAGCAAACGATGTCAGTCTACGGAAACATGTTTTTGCCGGCCAGCGGCTGCGCTTTCCCATTTGGACCATGTAGAATGTACCTACTGAGACCTGCAGCGATAATCTGCCTATTATGGAGAACAAGATCATTCCTCATGCGTATTCCCTGTACGGTTCGTACTGAGCCAAGTTTGTATGCACGGTGATGGTTCATGCACCTGAGATTCATGCCTTGAGCCGGCTTAATGGTCATTTGTGATCAAAAAAGTACGGACGATGGAGCTAGCTAAGACCTCCCGGGGCATGCTGCTGGGTGCTGGCTGCTGACAGGCTGGACCGTTAGCAAAAGCAGCCTGGAATGCGGAGGGTGGGTGTGGTCAGTGGTGCCACTAGTGGTGCGCAGTTCGTCCTGTATGTGTGTGTATGTATGCAGTACGGATAGATACATAGGGTGGACTACAATGTACTCGACAGGCTGCAGTAGTAGCAAGCCATCGGGCATCGTACGCCTGTGTTTCTGCAGCTGATCAAGTTCCGGGTATCTTCAGACTTTTTTGACCTCGATCGATGGCGTGAGACGAGTCTCGACGCTATGCATGCTGGAGGGGAGGGGAAGTTTCTGGACGATGTGTTGACTGTTGAAGAATCAACCATGTTACACAGAATCCATTATTGTGCGACTGACCTAAGGGCAAAGGCACTTTTTCGTGGGCCGCTTCTCCGTTCTGGAATTAGTATAATACTATTTTTTTCTTCTTCTTCTTCTTGTATGGCGTTGCAGGTTAGCCACGTATTTCTTGCCTTGCGATTGATAGACGTGGAATTTTTTCGGGAATTCCAAGCCTCGTTTCTGGAATCTGATAGCTGTCTCTGCTCATGTGCCATCCCGTGCTGGATGAGTAGGCAGGAAAGGTGCGGTCATTCCCATTACCTGCTGATTTCGAAGCCGATAGACATGTTCGATGGGGAATTCCATTTCGGGGTCCAAGTGGAGGGCTGCCTCTAGCGAGCGCGAAGAATCCTTCTAGAACAAATTGATTCCGGACCCCCTCGTTCACGAAAGTCGATAGCAAAAAAGGGGCTTCTGGAGATCGTCTGTATTTCCCCTCGCGACCGACCGCGCAGTTGGACTCAGCCCACAACAAACAATCCCAATGAGGAATAACTCTAGAAAGGATTCTTCGAGGAGTCATAAATCCCTCGGTAGACATCGGAAGATTTGGAGAAAACGGATCAGAGCCTAGGAAAAGCAGACTCATCTCAATTCTGAACTCTGGTACTTGGGACACTAGGCCATTTGTCAACCATGGTATGCAGCTCCATGCCTGCAGAGACATGCATGGCTAGTCCTGCACCAGACCAGACCCGAAAACCGCACTTTGGAAAATACGCTTCCCAGAACCATTTGGTGTCAATTCATGGTTCCTTCATTCTTAGCGCTTTCAGAGTAAGTGAAACACGGCTCTGGTACACACCATGCAGAAAAGGCGGCTCAGCTGGAGAGAACACACTGGAATGTCAAGGTCTGGCGGTAGGAAACCGTTGGGTCAACTCGCATCCCGAACTTGCGGTATGTATGGCACTCTGCCGTATCCATGACAAATCTGAGCATAACATTGTTAGCAGATGCCCAACAATTCTGAAGGTCTTCGTCTACTTACTGAGATCAGATATGGTTGGATCGTTCGAAATGGTTGGATGTTTGTGAGAATCTTGGACTTGTCGGAATTTGATCTCGTGGATTCGCGACCGTCAGCTGGAGGATATGGGGACTTTGACTCGACTTCTCAAGGTGGTAATGGTATGGCCGGTTACGGGCCGATTCGCCCCTCTCCGGTCAGTCTCTTCCAATTTTTCTTTTTATAATTTTGTCTGTTGAGGGGTTTCGGTGGGCCTGAAGTCCATTCCGTCGTCTGTTCATCCTTATTGCAGACCTGCAATTTGCTATGTGCCAGTGGCGACCCGAGGGAGTATGAAACTAGGAGGACGGCAGTATGCGATCGTCTCTTTTCCCAGTTGCGACGAAAGAGAAACTCAGAGTCCTGAGCCTCTTGCTTTTATGGTCAAGAAGGTTTCCTAGTCTGCAATGCAATACAGGCACACAAACAGCATTGTGCTTTTGAACCTTGTCTTTGCGGATAGACAGATCCAGTCAGGAGGAAAGGAAGTACCTGGCAATCGAAATACCCTCTTGATTAATGAGTCATTATACTTTGAACCAGTACATACTTGCCTTGCTCACAGCCTGAGCCCGCTGCAGGCATTTCCTCTCTTGTCTAGGTACTTGTACTTGTGTCCTGTACGCCCAAAGCATCGGCCCAGGTACTCAAACTGGGTTAGTTCTCACGCATGGATTTAGTGCTGCTCAATGCACCAGCCCATGGACCACTTGGTCATATGCATCGTCTTCGAGAATCAATGCGCAACAGGCTCGACAGGAATAATCGGAAGCCAATTGATCAAGAAGCACTAGATGACTGCCATGTCGCGAAGTTGACTCTGCACTGAAGTAAATACCTGACAAATGGATAATATTACCGACAATACAGGGATTACAATACCTCAGCAGTGACCGTACGAGGAAGAGAAATTGAGACGGGAAAAGGACTCGAAGCAAACGGGACGGTGGAGTCCCGTCACGGCGCCTTTACCCGTCCCGGCGTATCCTTACGCCAGCCCAGTGTACTACGCCTGTTTAGTAAACTAAATTCCAACTCCCAAGACCGAATTATGTTTGCCGGGCATGCCCCCGCTCTTCAGGCTCTAGACTTTCTGCAGGTCGCTGTCTGAGTGGCTGGCAGGGCTGCCAAAAGCCCAACCCGAAGGCTTACAGCAATTCAGCTGATCCCCTTGGAACCATGAATGCGTTAGCTGCGTTCTAGGACAGTCCCCGTCCATGTCTATGGGTCGCTGGCGTGCTGGTTCGGCCGGGCCCACCCTGTCTTGCGCACCGCACCGTCCATCGGTGATTGGGTTTCCCTTGCTCACCTCGCATTATGATAGGATCAAGGCTCGTAAAACCCACTTCTTCTCTGTGTTCGCTGATTTGAGTGTCGGCCTCACCTAGTTTTATCGTGGAGGGCATTATCCACATCGTTTATTACGGGTCTCCCAATCATTGTCCGATCCCTTCATTATCGCTGCTTGATATTATCTGGGATGAAATTCAGCGAGTTGATGGCCCGCCATATATGTAGGTACACTTGGCTTTTTGTTTTTTCTTTCTTTTTTCTTGCGTTGTTCGTGGGGGTCAAAACCTGCCGAAGTGCCTTCGAATCTTGTTTATCAGAATGCCCTCGGATTCGGACATTGCGACGCATAGGACAAAAATTCACGATGCTACGAACTGTTCATCAGAGAGATCTGGCATTCTTTTGCGGCCTTTTTTTAGTCTCTTAGATCTCCATCTTCGAATCTTCCCGCCCTTCCGCTTTCCGCCCAGTCGTGGAGACCTGCGTCTCACTTCCATCACGTGTTTTGCTTTGACCCAGCCGTTTTTTATTCTAATTTTTATTGCCTCTCGGACGGATCGGTGACCCAGATACTGACGGGATACTAGTGCAGTATTACCGACTACGACACGGAGTAGAGTTCTTGCTCTTCTTCTGGCGGTTAAGATGGTCAGACTTTGGACTGCAGAGCCGAGTCGCCTCGTTTGAAATCCTTCACATGGAATTTCGGATGACATGGCGCACTGGGCCGTTGGAGACTCGAGGCGCAGCTGGAGGATACAGTACGGACTATGGAGTAGACTAGATAAAACCCCCATAGCAAAAGAGGAAAGCAGTTGGAGGAAGAGTTACGGAAGCTATAGGTCATTTTATCTGTGCTCCCTTGGCTTCCGATCTCTCAAACTATGGTGTACTTAATCATTGAGTAATCATTAGATTTCCATTGTCCTTCCTCATGGCCGGTAGTTTATCATCTCTAGATATCATTCAAATACAGGTTACCTAGAGTATTCGTATTACTTTTTGGAAGGTATACATCATCTTCCCCCAACCTTCAATGTGAGTTGTGATACCGCTGAACTGTTCTTCCTCTTGCTGTGAAAGTTTTTTGGCCCCCTGTTGTTGACGAACTGGCTCGTTCTTCTTGCAGGAATGAACCTTCTTCCTCGTCTTTTTCTTCTCTTTTTTAGTTCTTGGTGTTTAGACTAATATATACTGACACTTGCATCGCGCTACTGCCAGCCTCGGGGCCGCTAGCCCCCCACTGTCTGCGACTAGTATGGTCTGCCCGACCGGATAACTATGTACTAGCCTACTAGGTAAACCGGTAGATAGATATCTATTGTAGAAGTGTAGATACTTGATAATAAACCCTTTTTTTTTTTTTTTTGTTTGCATGTCATATAATCAGCCCCCCTATTTCCTTTGGGTATTCATTCACCCACTACCAAAATCCACTTTATTTTACGAGTGATTACATCGTACTGCTATCATAGTATTATTATTATGATTTTTTATTTTTATTTTTTATTTTTTTTAATTTCTTTTCTTTAATCATATTTCTCCCTCCCTTCTTCTTCTCCATTTTTATTCAACAATCTGCAACCCAATCGTACCCATTCGTACCAGATTTTTGTACTCTTGACCACAGTTTTTCTCCATCATCCATATGTGTATCATATAGAGTCCCTCATTTTCCAACGCTCACGTCATAGCTAAAAATCCCTCGCGGCTCTTTTTTTTTTTTTTTTTTTTTTTTTTTTATTTTTGTTATTTTCCCTTTTTTTTCGACCATCTTCCCTTTGTCCTCCTGATTTTCTCAATTTCCGTCTCAATATTCTTTTTTCTTTTCTTTTTTTCCTGCTGCCCTTAATCGAATCCCTCCCTCGTCTTCTTCCAATTCCTTTCTAAACACCTAACTTAACCACCTACATCTACCTACCAAGCGAAATAAACAGCTACTTGATTTTATTCCTTTCGATCCTCCAATCCTCTGCTTTCGACGAGGAGCACCCCCCTGGCTGTTCTCCGCCCCGTCTCCCCGCGCATTCCCGCGGCTTCTCTTTCTTTCCTTCACGGATTGGCCCTCCTTCACTCATTCGTCTCTCCGGGTTCAGCGTGACCACGAGGCTATGCTAGCTTTGCAAATCACCCGACGGGAACTGGAACTTTTCTGATTTGGTCGTGTACTTTGTGACCAGACTTAGGAGTTAGGACTCCCGCATCTTTGACCCATCCTGGTCGTCTTACACATCCGCTACACTACCTCTACTCCAACCTCTTTACCTACAGTACACACACCACCTCGGCCGCACGTACATACGCATACATACCGCCATACATACAGATACATACCTACATCCATACATCCATACATACATACATACGGCTACCATTCAAACATACTTAACCTTTACACACTTACTTTACATACTGCGCCAATACGTACGACCGGGCACACCAAGACCCCTGCCCTGCCCTATCCTTGACCAAACAGCTGTTGGGCGTGACTTCCGACTCACATCATCCTGCATTCGCCTCTTATTCCCAGGCCACCCCCCCCGTCCTTTTGTTTCCCGTTCTCTTAAGCAGCCTCGCCTCGTCCTCGCCTACAAATGTCCACCAACCCCCACGACTACAGCGACCCTAATCGACAGGGTCAGTATCCACCGCCTCAGTGGAACTCCAGTCAGCCTGAGGACAGTCCAGCTGCACCTCAATATCCGCCGGCCTCGCAATACCCTGTAAGTCGATTTGAAAGACTCCATACGCTCTTAGGCTTATGCCTGGCCTCTTGGTCCTTGCACTGTCCTGTCCGACCATTCGCCTTATATATTGTTCCTTCCGTTCCTGGTTTCTGTTCGCTCTTTCTTCCCGCATATCCCCTCATACATTACATTCGTGCCATTGAGCTTGTTAAAAGTGCACTACTAAACCAAGCTGATCGTTATAGTATCCTCCGGCTTCATACCCCCCTCCTACCGCAGACCACCACCAGTATCCGCCTCCGCCGCCTCCATCGCAATATCCACCCCCATCGAGCATGGCAGCCATTCATCCGCATGTTCAAGGTCCCCAAGACCCATATAGACTACCTCCACCACCCGGTGCCTACCGTCCTCCAGATGTTTATGCCCAACAAGCACCTCCGCCACAACCTCAAGTCGTATACCAAGCTGCTGCTCCCAGACAACGGACTGCCATTGCCTGTCGCTATTGCCGGAGACGGAAGGTGCGTCATTGCGCGGAATCATACTATTTATATTGCAATTCGCTATTCCCGGACAGTGCCATGCTGACAACACTTCTTTCCTGTTCAAACAGATTCGATGCTCAGGATTCGAAAGTTCCCAGGATGGACGTTGCAGCAACTGTATTCGGTTCAACCAGGAGTGCATGTTCACACCCGTCTCTTCCCAAGCGCAGGCTTTCGTCCCCGCGCATGCCGCCTACCCTCATCTTCGGAATCCCCAAAATCAAGGGCGCGGTGGTCCACCAGTGATGCTCTATGGAGCTCATGGTCAACCGTTGCCGCCTCAGCAGCAGCCTCAGCCCCCTGTTGAGGCGACCCTTCCGCCTCCTCAGGGAATGTACCAACATCCGTACGGAAGTGCTCCTCCACCCCTTGCGTCCACCATGCCCGCGGATCATGTAAGTTTTCAATACAATTTTCACGTTCCTTGCGCGACTTGAGAGGGGGGCTAGTCTGACCATATCTGACAGAGACCTGCTGGTCGTCGTGGTTCTGGTTCCGGTTTCGAATACCCCGATCCAACCAATCTGGCCCCCGTCACCCCAGCAACATCTACTGCGTATCAGCCGCACACTGCTCCCAGTCCTTACTATCCCCCTCAGCAACATGATCGCCGTCCCTCGCCGCAATCGGCGTATCCCTACGATAACCGGCACTCTTCTTCCCCGCACAGTTCTCCATACCCCCCCATACATCCCGCTCAGAGCGCCATGACGCCTCCCCCTACCTCGACTCCTGGCAGTTCTTCTCGAGGCGGACTGAACGTGCGCGACATGCTGAATCCCGGCGATAGCCAAGGCCGCTCCAGCACCGATAGCGATATGCTGAACGCCTTGAACCGTCGCGGTCTTAACCAGTAATTCCAAGGGAATTAACTGGCGCATGCCCATGAATTGGATAAGATGAGCGGCAAAAATTGTGAAGGCGGTCATGGATGAGGGTTGAGACATGAGGGGGTTGGGGAATAGTTTCATTTCAATGACGATTCAGACAAGAGGGGTTTTGTGTGCTGGCCACAGCATTTTAAATTGACGCACATACGTGGCTTATGTGATCTCTCCTGGGATCATGTTTGAGTCACAATCGATCGCACGATTGGAAGAAGAGAAGAGTCATTCTTTTCGTTCTTTTGCCTTGCGGCAATCCTGAATGTTTCCTATCGCGATATTTGGTGGCAACACACGGAAACATTCAAGGCGGCATCGGGACTCGGGAAACAATCTACACTGGTCGGTGCTGGACATGCGACCATTTCGCGGCAGGCAAGGCAGAAGAACACCCAGGGGAATAAAAGGAAAACCATATTGCATGCACGATCAGAAGGAGGAAGAGGTTCGAATGAAAGAGAGAACAAATCCGAAGAGGAAGGGGGCCGAAGGAGTTCTCAAGACGAAGTCGCCATGATTCGCGACTGAAAACGAGGCCATGGACATGAGACTCAAGAGTATTACGAACTGCACGATTTAGATTTTGCGATTGCGATCTTGGTTGTCATTTGCCAGCAGCCTTGCACCTTTGCTGATAATCGTTTGCTTTGTGAGAGTCAGTGACCTCGCAATCCTCGGTTCTTATGCTTACCAGATCCATCTCTCCGAACAACACTGCGTTATAAACCATATGGGGCGACCCGCTAATGGACATTTCTTTTCCTGCTTCGTTTCTCATTTACTCTATTCGTTAATGCGTCTCTCATGCGAACGTTCTCTTTCAGCAGTGCTTTTTCATCTCAGACGCCATCAAGTGATCTGAAAGATTGATTGACTCGGTACTTTTTCTGATGCATGCTAATGTCGTGATTCTGCTTGTTCTGCCGTTCCGGGTGTTTGGTGTGTCTGTGGAACGGATCCTTGCGCATTCACTCGCATCATCATCAAGTAGTAGCATTGCGCTGCATTGGCCTTGTGTCTTTTCATTTGCAACAATTAGGTTCGGCGGCTTTTTGTCATTGTCTTGTGTTTCATTATCTCGGGTGGCTGTCTGTCTTCTACATTCATGTTCAACGTCCAATTTATCGAGTTCTTTTTCTTTTCCCGGAGAACGTTCGTGTCTCAAGCAAAAGGTGGTGGGCTTTCTGATTTCAACTCTGCGCGTTTCTCTGTTGTTATCAAATCTGGGTGGCTGTCTGATCAAGTTTTTATCTTGCAATTTTGTACATCGTTTGGTGCTTCATATGTCTGTTATTTTGGCACTTCGCATGGTATTAAACGATTAGCCATTGCGATTCGAATGGTCATATCTTCGATGCTTAATACTCGTGCTCGACCTCATCCTCTGGGAACCACCTAAGGCTGCTTATCCAGGGAGCTATAACGGCCTAGAACACTATCTTTCCACGCTGTAGAAGCTATCGAATCGCACGAGAAACATGCAACATCAACACGCTTGAGCTTGCTTGTTTCTTCGATGAGTGGAGGATTCTACCACGTGACAGCCAGCGCAGCCCTAATCATCCAGATGGCAAAGGGAGGAGTACAAGGGGGTTCCAACATCTACTCAAAACTTTGCGGTCAATCGGAGGCAGGACACTGGGTGGTACAGAACCGCTGTAGGACAGGTCCATCTAAATGCCCTAAGTGAACTACTCGTCTTACAATGCAACGGTGAATACAGAGTCCGCCTGCCATCTCTCCTAGTGGGATCCATTGTCAGATACAGTGCTGCAGGGCGCAGCTGGGCAAAAGCACAGCGAAGCGAATGGGAGACTATTTGAACAGGGCGCAGCACGGACAATTCAAGTAAGGTTTATGCTATGTTGCGGCATATGGGCCTCGTAGATGTTGGTGAGTCTGTTTGGGGAAGCTTGGCCAGAATATCAGACGAGAGCAGAGACATTAAGTTGGCTAGGGGCTGCTGGCTTGGTTGCTAAAGATGGCGACAGTGTGTACAGTTAAAGAGAAGATTATATCAGTTGATAACGTCTGTATTTGGAGACACTATTCGTGAGTCTGGCAGAAAGGGAGACTTTTCAGAAGCAATAGATAGGTTCAAGAAACGAGGGGCTGGGGACACCTTGTAGGCAACGAGGAGTTGATAAACCAAAATAGGGACCTGGATTGACAAGAGGGAGGACAAAAATGTGTTTTGTAGCAGGTGTGTTTGACGAGGACTTGATTAGCTGGATACAGCGAAGATCAAAGTAAGAGATGCCCTGGACAATGACAAGAAGGAACAAAAAGGCGCTCAAAATGCAGAAATAAGACCAATCGTAGCTGTGTGATGGGAAATGAAGAGGGTTATGATGCTCCACGGGGGGGGCAGTCTTGACGCTGCGTCTTAGAACTTAGCCATTTGGGAAAGCGTCCAGGATCCTGGCCATCTTCTTTGCGCGATCAGCATCGTCGACCAGGAGGCCACGCTGCTTCATGGACATCTCCAGTGTGTCCACGACCTTGTGGAAGGAAGAGGCGGCTCCCCGTTCCTGCTTGAACCGCACGAGACTGAGATTCGCTTGTCGGCCATGCTCGAGGACGGTGAAGAACTCGGCTGAGAACTCGACGGCTCGAAGACGCAGGCCTAGATGAAGAGGTTAGATGTATGCAGAGATACTACTGAGCCTTGTGCAAAGCCACTTACAGTTCACCTCGCCGACTCTACCGTGGATAACGCCGTTGGCTTTGTCCAGATGCGCGTTCTCCATTCCGAACTGCTTCCATTCGCGCAGAATCTTCATGACGTCCTTCCTGCCCTTCATCTTGGAGGTGTTCAAGGCGACCACTCGGATGGAGGGCTTGATTTGAAAAACGCGAGCGAACCAATTGTGACTCCGTCCACTTGGATGCGGTGGACGAGGAAGAGGCTTTTCAGTCTTGTCGGTATCAGAAAACTGGTCGATCTCCATTGGGCGTTCGAGCAAGGGGTTTATATCTGCAAACTCGGGTTCTAGAGGTGATGGTAAGTGACTGAAGAGTAGATGGGGGGGGAAGTAGGCATACCTGCTAGAGGGTTTAGCACGTTCTTGCTTGGCTTCTTCTTGATGAACTTCTTGAAAAAGCCACCCTTTAGTTTCTCAGAGGAGTCTTTAGGAGTCTTGGTTTTGTGGCATTGCTCGTCAGGTCCAAAGCTCGAGTCTGGCTCGATCTCGTGGACAATGACAGTTGCTGAGCTTGGCTGTATGGGTTTTATCTCTGTCGAGACCTTTGTTGTATTCTCCGATGCGCCTTGCGATTTGTTCCGAAACCAGGGCCATTTTTTGTTGTCTGAAGCTTTGGTCTGTGACCGCTTAGGTGATTTAGGTACTTCCTGAATGGGATCTAATTCACAAAAGAAACGTGTTTGACGCGAGTCGGCGGAAGCATATCGAGTAGTAGAGAGAACTCGCTTACTGTTATCGTAATTGGCGGTGTTCTCCTCCAGAGGACGGCGAGCATTATCTGAAGTGCTTCGGTTTTTTCTAATGTTCAATGGCTTGATCTCTTCCAGCGAATGTTGGGCACTTGGAGAGACCATCCGAATCGTGGCTTTCCCATCTCGGCTTTGACGCTTTGTACGAATCGAGCTGGCAGACTGTGAGTTGTGCCTTGATACCTCCTGGTTCTCAATGATTGACTTCCCATTTTCGAAGGGATTGATCAGTTCCTCTGATATGATGGGTAGGTGACTGGTTTCATTGGGGGATTTCGTGAACGTATCTTGGCCGAAAGCGACATTCTCATTGGTGATATCCCCCTGGTCTCGGGGTTGTGACTTGTCCTGCTCAATGAGGCGATCCAGGTGGTTGATCACGGCAGAGAGATATGATGTGACGTCCCCAGACCCGTTCTGGGTAGAATGTTGCATCAACCTGCGACGGGTCTCAGCTAGTTCTCGTGCAGTGGTTGACTTGGGTGGTTCGCCTGAGTTTCCTGGTGATTGCTTGGATTTATTATTAGATGGAGAAATCTGCTGCTGTGAATCTCCCGCGCTGGCCATCGAGACTGAAGTTGCCGGAGTCTCCGATCCCATGCAAGTGCTAGTGGTACATCTCGTGGATAGGAAACTACCATTGAAGGCTTCTTCACATATCTGGCTGAGCTCATGAGAGACCTTCCGAGCCTCGTCCTTCCAGATGATGTCGGACTGGGAGACTCTCTTGACCTGGGGACAATTCTTAATCGTAATACCAGAGCCTCTCACCATTATTGGTTGGGCAGGTAGCAGAGGACTGCTCCGGCCGTTTGAAGATGGGCCAGCAGCAATGTCAGATCTGAAGCTACATTCACTCGTTTGTCGGCTGATGCTGGGAGCGATTCCGCGAGACCTCTTTCCCTTCGTGGACATTGATCCTTGCGAACGAGTTCGGCCATGGCGAAACAAGACATTTCTCTTGTAGCTTGCGGACCGAGGGGCAGGTGCAGGGTTGACAGCTCGGCGAGAAGAAGAGTGTGAGGCCCTCGAATGAAAAGACCTTGTGAAGCTTGCTTTGGACTTCTTGTTGGGTAGGATTGAGAATGGGGAACTAGGGGGACACTCGTCTTCATCTTCGACTTCTTCCTCCAGAACTTCGGTTGACTCTGGAGCAGATCCTTCCAAGTCTTTTGGCTCTGTTTCTGACCCCTTCCGGTGAACAGTCACTTGGGCACATTGAGCTTCTGGGGCAGGGATAACATGGCGTGGAGAACGAAATGGATCGTAGCTCTGTTCGGTTGCTGAGGACTTCAAAGCCTTCGAAGAACTCTGCTGTTGACTATCATTTGTTGCGGAATTCTGGCCGCGTCTCCTAGAACCACCTGGAATCCGGATACTGTTGCGCTTGTTTGCAGCCGGGCCAGGCAACCGGGAAATGTGATGATAATCACTGGCAGAATATTCTAGTGACTGTCCCTGGTAGTTCTCTAGCTGTTCGTTTCTGAACTTCACGAGAGCATTGTAGAACATCCGTTCCTGGGTTGGTCTGTAAACAAGATACTTCATCAGCATTGCTGCAGCATTTCAACAGAGCAGCGGAGACACTCACTCAGGATGCAGAATTCTCTCTTTCAGAGACTCAGGCTTAACATCATGCCACAAAGTCTGGAGGTTCCTCAAGATGTCATTATCAACATCCTGTCTGCTTGTCACTGGTGGACCACAATCTTGCCTAGTCAATGGGGGTGCAGGACCGATGTAGTGATGGGACATAGCCTGATGAAGCTTTTCATACTTCTTCAGAAGTGGGTGCATCCATATACCCTGCATCGTGATGCGGTCCTCTGGTCTCTTCTGCAGGATGCGCTGGATTAGGTCCGATGCTTCGAGACTCAGTTCCCTGGGAATGATATATTCGCCTCTTTTCACCTCTCGTAGTGTACTCGGAAGATCACCACCATCAAAGGGCAGATATCCGGTGAGAAGAGCGAATAAGATGATTCCACAACTCCATATGTCCGCCTTGTCTCCGCGGTACTTACGGCCATATATGATCTCCGGCGCAGCATAATGCGGGCTTCCACATGATGTATTCAGCCAGTGTCCAGCGGGTTGGAGTGCAGCCATACCAAAGTCCGCAAGCTTGACGTTGTGCCAACCATCAAGCAGTATATTCTCTGGCTTCAGGTCTCGGTGGCAGATGTTGAAGCGATGGCAATATCCCAGACCCGCAATAATTTGTCGGAATAACCGAACTGCTTCCTCCTCTGGCAAAGGTCCATGCTTGGAGACATAGTCGAACAGTTCGCCCCCTTCAACATATTCAAGAACTAGGTATCTAGACCATATGGATTAGTCGTCATCGGTACCTCCAAGGTGTTCGACTTACAGTTCCCCTCTGTTTTCCCACACGTCATATAAACTGATAACGTTAGGATGCTCAATGAGTTTCATAATGACTACCTCCCGTTCAATACCGGAAGGCATCTGTCTAACTCCCGTGCCACTGTAGAGACTTGCGGTTCGGTCCATTGCCGCAATACTCTCGCTCTGAGCTATGGCAGCGGACTTCTTCGAGACTATCTTGATAGCGGCCGTTTGCCCCGTCACAGCATGTTTGGCCAACCTGACTCGGCCAGTGGCCCCTCTCCCAAGGTCCTTTCCTAATTGCCATGGTCCAACATGTGTTTTTCTTTTGCCTTTTCCTGAGAGGATGGAGGCTGCGGAGATGACAGAGTTTCTCTTCGACCCAGCCTGAGAGTCAGGGGCTGGGGAAAGACGGTTGGCTTTCACATGGTCCTTGGTCGACAGTGGGCTGTTGACGACAGACATCCGGTCTGGTGTTTTCAGCAGGTTGTGTTCTTCAATAGATCGTGATCCTTGTTCTGTCCTTGGAGTTGAGCAGCCGTTGACCCTCTGTGTGGCATCTGCTAGGGGAGGGCGAAGTGACTGAGGATTGGTATGGATCCCATCCATTGCCAGGCAAGCCCGGACTAATGTAGAGAGAGGAGTCCGTCAGAACACCGCATATGGAGGTTGTTTGTTTCGTCTTCCCCGTTCGACACTGTACATGAGTCAAGGATCAATGAGTTAGATTTAGTCTTGCTATGTCGTGCGCAACAGGGTATAGTGGACGAACGTTTGATGACGGGGGTGTATCTGGAAGAAGGTCCGGCACTTCGTTAGAGCGTGAGAGATATGTGGTGAGTAGATGGCGAGGTTAGCGAAGACGTGTGCTAGGAGGGTCGACTGTAGATAGCCTAGCTGCTCAGAAGTATGGATGTTTCTGGATTAGTTGAGCATGTTTACGAAGGATCGACAACTCAAGAGCGTCCAAACAAAGACAGCAGATGGTTACTGATGGTCGAGTAATAATTAAAGCAGAACTCGAGCTGCTAGGGTGACAAATGGAAGAGTTGAGAAGCTGTATACAAACAAGTCAAGTATAAACCCCGTGGACTTCACGCACTTCCCACCCCAAACATACTTCCAAACACACAATCAAGGCCCAAAACAAGCAGAGAAATCCCACTACCAAGCTATCAGTCATACCAAAGCCAGGCTGAATTCTTTGGGTCGGACATTGAGTGTTTGTTTTCTATTGGATTCTTCAATCTCCCAGGCCACTAGACACTGGCTGAAGAATGCACCTTTTACACACGACATACCAACTCGGCACCCCTGCTAAAGAATGACATACTGCTGCAAGACAAGCAAAGTATCTCAAATAAAGGATGGAATGGCTACATCTGGTCTTTAAGGGCTTATAATATGAGTTCTAAAAAGGGAGTTATTGTGCAAACTACCCTTATACATCTCTTGACTGATAATGATAGTTAATCCTCAAAGTATCATCTGCTTTCTCTGGCTTTCGAGGATATCGGCATCGAGTTATATTTTCTCTGCATAATCTACAGTGATACCAGCGATGGCAGTCAAAGAAGTGTGAGTGGAAATGTACCTGCATACAACAAGGGAGTGCGTGGTATGCCCCTGGCCCGGAATCGAGGGATATTCTCAGGGTGGGAAAAAAAAGCATTCCAGTTCACACACTTAATCTGAGAATCCTGCTTGAGGACAATTAAGATCAGCAATTGAGAATTTGGCTAGATTTCGGGCGGAAATGATCCTTGGTGCACAGCACGGCGGAAGACCTAATGCCCACGCTCTGTTTTCAGTGTCGGATTAAACTGGAGATCGATCACCGAAGACCTCAATGCCTTTTTGATGCCTGCATTATGGTTATCTTTTCGACTATGATGATAGCTGAAGGGCATCGGTCTATGACGGAGACCTGCGCAGTTACCAGTGCTCCTCGGTGATCGCTACATCGTCAACATCAATCCCATCCACAAACCACCTGCCTCGACCATTTCCGCTGGGTCCGAGCACCAAGTCATTCCCACTCATCATTCTTTTGCGCATCTTGCCCGTCTCCTCATCAAATGTCCAGTCTTCAAGGCCATAGCAGCGCTTCCAGCGCATCTCGTCTTCTGCATCCTGGTACTCGTACCAGAATTGCACAGCGATCCGGTCATCTGTGAAGGCGAAGAGCTCCTTGCGAAGGTTGTAGTTTTTCTCTCGATTCCATTTGCGCGTCAAGAACGCAATGATGCCCTCAGTGCCAGAAATGAACGAGTCACGATTGCGCCAAATGCAAGTAGGAGTATAAGCCTGCGCGATTCGAACTGGGTCCCTGTAGTCATGCGTAATGTGGTCAGCAGCCGCAATACTCTCGATATAGTGCCCATACGAAATCTGTATCCACGCATGCGTTTGAAAGTAGATGCACTTGTCAATCGTGCTTTTCTCGAGTTCAACCCACGAGTGCATGGTGTAAACGTGCAAGGGGTGAGACAATGTCGCGTTTCATGCCGGAGATATCGAGTCAACTCCAGTAAACTATTTTCTGTCTCACCAATCGGACGCCCAAAGACATCAATAATGGCAACCTCATGAGAGGTACGGTATCTTCTTCTCCCATTGCTCGGGATGGTTGTGTCAGTTGATAAGCTTACCTTGTATTCCACAGGGCCTGTGCTGCTTTGACCTTCGTGTTCGCTGTTTCTTTCGTGAATGGAGGTTTAAGATCCGCCATTTTGAATTGAGGAGTAGAATGTGTACACGGTAGCAAGACTTCAGCTACTCAACGTGAGGTTTGACGTGCTGTTTGAGTCATCAGTAAGATATGTGCTACACCATCACGTGATGAACCTAATACATAGAACCCTAAGCAATATCGTAACGCTGGAGATGATATCAGTAGGTCCGACTAGGATAGGATGATAGATTTTCTCCCATGTCTATATCAGATTTGCCCACGAGACTCTAGTACCAAACGAGATTTGCAATGCCAATCAAATGAGTAGGAGTTCGATTGATCCTTTGTAGACGAGCTATCGTGGTGGGACACTCAGCTTGTTATAGGGGACTGGGATTCAGCGTGGATAGAGCCCTCATGTCCCGAAGAGCTAACCGGAGTATTATTTTTCTCCAAATCATGGATGTTGATGAACTTGCATGGAGTGAGCGTACGGATTACATTCTTAGATGTAGCCCTATCTGATTAGTACTGTCGGCAAGTCAATTATATCCGAGACTTGAGTCGGATATATATTTCCTGACAGATTGATAGAAGTGGACAAGAGAAAACCATCCTAACACCTCATTCGAGAAGGTCCTACAACCCTACAAGGATGAAACAGAAGACAGGGAGTATAATTGAGGATAACACTTTATTCGATTCAACGCCACAGTCCAAGCTCGATGATCTTTGCACCACTGTCCTTATACAAGCCGCCAGTAGTCACGTGACAAGATAACGAGGGGCAATGTGGAGCAGGCGATGAAGCCGCAGATAGAAGACCACAAGGACGTATACACACCTAGGTAGTTGTTATCCATGCAGACATCTCAATGTGAAGAAGAAAAGAGTCGGATCATCCTGATAGCCAGATCGTCATAGGATGTGTAGACACCATTTGTGCCCCAAATGAGTAATCAATGGCCTGATAGTAATACCCCTCATGGCCAGGCCGGCGGCAGTAAGAAGGGAAGTACCCTGGTAGTAGTACAGAGTAATGGCTTTTAATAAGCCATCCGAGTCCAGATTCAAATCTATACCAAAAAAAAAAAATTGATAGAAGAAAAGAAGAATGGAAATCAGATAAAATAATCAGATTTATGACTTCACTGATCGATTTGTCAAAGTGCTGGGTCTAGATAGATAGCATTAACAGTCCACCCATGGTGGGGAGAAGAATAGTTGCCCCTCCTGCCTTAGGCTGCCTCAGTCTCGGGCGGTCTTCTTGATAATCCATGATCCATCGTGGATTTGTCCATTGGACCCCATTCCCCAATTCCAATTCCCTCCAATCGATGCGATTCGGTCCTCTTCTATTTTGGATCACCTCATGGATGCCTCTAGCGGGCCGCTGTCTACATCATTTGCTGGCTTTGTCATGCTGCTCCAGCTGCGCGGTCTCCGAGAGGAACCGTCCGCGGGCGTATATATTGACCGCCACGGATCCTCTCTCAGTCCCTCGACCTTCTTCTCTTCTTAGCTTCCACACTCCACCCCACTATTCGCTAATCGGCCTTCTCGTCTTCAATTCTTATCTCTTCATCTTCTCAATTCCTCCTCTTAACAAATCCCTAGTCAAATCAATCCTTCAAGATGTCTGGACTCAAGACCGGTGACAGCTTCCCCTCTGACGTTGTCTTCTCGTAAGTGTTCAACCAGTTCACCTGCCTCTTCCTGCTCGTTGAACTACCAAGTCCATCCGTCTCGATTCTAACAAACTTTGGAATCAGTTACATCCCCTGGTCCGAGGAGCAGGGTGAGATTACCTCCTGCGGTATCCCCATCAACTACAACGCCTCCAAGGAGTGGGCCGATAAGAAGGTCATCCTCTTCGCTCTTCCCGGTGCTTTCACCCCCGTCTGCTCTGCCCGTCACGTCCCCGAGTACATCGAGAGACTCCCCGAGATCCGTGCCAAGGGTGTCGACGTTGTTGCCGTCCTTGCCTACAACGATGCCTACGTCATGAGCGCCTGGGGTAAGGCCAACCAGGTCACCGGTGATGACATTGTATGTTCAATCTTTCCTACAATCCATTTTTTTTCCCATCCAATTAATGCTGATCTCGCTTCTCTAGCTCTTCCTCTCCGACCCTGAGGCTCGCTTCTCCAAGAGCATCGGCTGGGCCGATGAGGAGGGCCGCACTCGCCGCTATGCCATCGTCATTGACCACGGCAAGGTCACATACGCCGCTCTTGAGCCCGCCAAGAACCACCTCGAGGTAAGAGATCTGGACATCCCACCGTCATCATGAATAGTGGGCCGCGTGCTAACACTATTCTCACAGTTCTCGAGCGCCGAGAACGTTATCAAGCAACTGTAAAGGTTGAAACTAGATATGATAGATGCGGCACGGGTTTAATACACAAGGCGTTGATACTTTGATGGTGGGCTAACTGCCTGCTTTCGGGCTAGATTCGAGATAGAATTTTAGATTTCCCATTGAAGTACAGCGCTTTTACGATGCTATGAAGAAAAAGAAAAAGGTCCCTTGGGGTTGTTCCGCGTATGATGTCTATCCTCCGACCAGAAGCTAAGGCCTTAAGCAAGCACCAGCTGTAGATAGACTGTAGTAAAAATAAACATTGTATACCCCGGTTCTCCAAGGATCTACGTGAATCAAAGCGTCGTTGGGCTTCTTTTTCCTCTGGCTGTTATTGGTGCGTGACGTGTGTGATTTTCTCGGCCGGAAAGCATGACACGCTAGAGCCCCAAAATTTAAGCTCCAACACCATGCAGAGTGAGGTACCTAAGGCCAATAATTTTGTACGACGGGTTCGTCGTCCCAGCGTCCAGACCGGCAACGAAACTATATCCTAGGGGCTTGTGTGTCTAAGAAGCTCCAGCCTGAATACATTCGATATCTGTTTCAGTACCACCCGTCTTAGAAAACGGCCGCCATGGCCTCGAACCAGCCCTCGAAGCGCAAATTTGCTTTTCCAGGCGCACAGAATGCCACCGCGGCGTCCCGCAAACGCGCCAAAGCCTACGATGCGCGGTCGCTCGCGGTCCAGTCGGCCGACGCTGCGCTCTCTGCGTCCGGAGAACTCGATGTAGCCGCGTTTGTGCAGGCCCGGGAATTCGAGATCCGCGCCCTCGAGTCCGGGATGCAGCGATCCAAGTCGGCGTTGACGAGCCGTGCGTTCCAGAAAGTACCCCGCGCGCTGAGGAGGAGGACGGCCAGCCATAATGTGAAGAGGGTTCCGCGGAGGTTGAGGACACGGGCGAAGAGAGAGGTTAGTTGGTGATTTTTTTTTCTTTGACGTGCTATGGCGGGCATGGCTTGCTTGGGGGTATCAGGCACAGGCTTACGATAGACACACCCGTGCAGATGATCGAGGACAACACGCCCACCGTGACGGCGCGACGACGGCGACCGACTGAGATCCTACGGATTCGTCTCGAGACCGCTCGACGGCTTCAGAACCTCAATTCCAAGACCAAGGCGAAGCGTGCAGCAGCGAAAGCGAAGCGCGATAAGGAGACAAAAAAATCTCTAGAAGAGTCGGGGAGCCATACGTACGACATCGCGCCGCGAGTTCCAAAGATCAAGAAATACAAGCTTTCGCGACCGCCGCCGCCGGATGCGAAATATAAGAAACGGCAGCGCTGCAAGACATGGCTTCCGACGCATATGTTCCATGCGAAGCGTGCCCATATGGCCACCACGAAGAATCCGCTGTGGCGGTTTGCAATTCCCTTGTCGTCCACGGAGAAAAGCTACAGGCCTTCTCATCGAGCGAAGGGGGCTAGAGGGGCTGTGGCCTGGGATATGAGTTACATGTCTACTATACAGTTGGAGGGGACCGAAGAGGCTCTCGAAGCAGTGCTGAGAGCGATCGGGGTTGATGGACCGGAGGCTTGGGGTCTCAAGGGGAAGAAGTGGAGGGCTGGAACAAGAAGCCTACAGGCATGGGCGTTCGAGCGTCAAGGGACACGTCGGCCCATTGGACCAATTACGTTGATACGATGCGCTGAGGGGAAACCTGACGATGTGGAAATGGCTGGTGTTGATGACACAGGCGTTGGGTCTAAGAAGGACTGTCAGAAGAACATGAAAAAGTTGTTCATCAGAGTACATCCGTCGGCGTTCTTGCAGCTATGGAACGAGCTTCTCGAGCTTTCGAAAAGGCAGAATCCACCCGTGATGGTCGAAGACCTTCGCTTCGAGATTGGCAGCATCGACATCACCGGTCCTGGGTCTACAGAGACTCTACTCTCGGCGCTCAAGCCGTTGATGACGGATGGCTCGAATATTTCGGTCGGAAGCCCAGAAGCCACATGGAGCTCGTTGTTGGGTGTCTCGAATCCTTCGTCCCTGCCACAGAATGCCGTCCTTGGTTTCTCGATCTCGGATCCCCGCCTTCACTTCCCTCCTAGGACGCTAAGACCCTCAGGCTCAGACCTTGAAATGCAGAACCTGGCCGTCCTACTATCGACATGGTCACCAGATAGTACCCAAACCTCTCCTGCACTGTTTGACCGTCGCGCACGCCTGGCCGCCGCTCGTCAGTTACCGAGCCAGAAGGCTATAAACCGTCGACGTACTCAAGCCGGACCAGGAATCTACCCGCCTGCCGAAGCTTCTGATCCCAAGATCCCAGTGATTATTCTCGCTTCACGTGTTAGCAGCCAGTCGAAAAACAGCAACGCACCTGGCACGTGGACGATCCTCCTCCCCTGGAAATGCGTCACCCCGGTCTGGTATTCGCTGGTATACTACCCGCTCTCAAGCGGCGGAAACATTCGATTCGGTGGCCTGAAAGAGCAACAGCAACTTGCCTTTGAAGCTGGAGAACCCTGGTTCCCCGGTGATTTCCCGGGAACTCGTGCTGGCTGGGAATGGTACTTGAATGAGCGGGAGAAAGCGAAGACCGAGTGGGAGAGACGGCCAAAGGGCCGTAGGGCTGAATTCGATAGTTTGGATCTGGGAGGCGGCCAGAAGGGCGAGATTGGACGGGGCTGGGCGTGTGACTGGGAAAGGCTTGTTCAGGGGCCACCAACAGATTCGACTGCGGAGTCGAGCAGCGCCAAAGAGAAGGAGCAGAATGAAGATGGAGAACAAAAGGACGTTCCAACACAGGATGCTGAGCAGCAGACCCCCGTCCAGCTGGCCCCCCCTCTCAACATACACCATCTCCCATCATCCAAAGCAGAAACCACAATCAATAGCCCTCCAAGCAGCGCAGACGCGTCTGCACTCGCAATAGTCCGGATATCGCTCATCAACCGGGGCACACCGACGCCCCAAGCTCGCATCTACCGCCTCCCAACCACCAACCCCGAGCTCCGCCAAAAGTGGCTCCAACTGGCATCCGAAACCCCCAAGAACAGCAAACCCAACCACCCCCGAAACCAAGCACACGGGCAATCCTCGCAGCCTGGCCCTGCCGGCGACGAAGAAACCGCTCGCCAGCGCCTCGCGGCCTCGCTTATTACGCCGTCGTCCGATGCCGCAAATCAGGCGGAACACCTCCCGGTTCCGCCGGAGGAGGATCTCATCGGGTTCGTCACGTCGGGAAATTATAATCTTTCCGAAGGCAAAGGGACGGGGATTGGCTCGATCTTGTTGGCGAAGGTTGCTGGGCCGGGTAAGGGGAAAGGGAAGGTGCGCCAGAGGAAGATGTGTATCATCCGGAGTGCGGGTGAGCGTGTAGCCAGGCTGGGATATTGGGAGCTTGCTTGAGGTAACTGGTTGTTGTATCGATATGGATGGTTGACTACCTTGTGTTTTATTGATGATACCCAGCGACCACATTTAACTACGACTTCAGACGAGTTGGTCATCCTTTTTAGACATCATGATATGTCCCAAGTGCTAGGATTGGCAATGATAAAATGGCGGAATGAACTCATTTTGATCAAGACATAGATAGCTATACATATACATGCCACAGCACTCAGGCGGGGAGGCCCCAACAACGACGACGACAACAACAACAAAAACAAAATCTATTTGTAAACCCGCAGATCATGAAGCTTTCTTTTCCACCCCCGCTCCCATCAACATGAGTGACAAAGAGAGCAGAGCCCAACAGCCCTCCTAACCTACAACACGATCCACAAACGCCTCCTCCAGCCTCGCCACCTCCCGCTTAAACCCCTCAACCTCCTTCCAACAATCCAAAGGCCGCCGATCATGCAACCGCAAGCACGTCACCACCTCCGCCCTCGCCTTCTCCACCCCCTCATCCACCTCCACCAGCTTCCGGCGGCCCTCCAGCTTGCTCCGCAGCTGCTCGATCTCCGAATTCACCGACTCGCGGCTCAGCTCGCGGTTGGCGGGCTCGGCGGAGGCGGCTGCAGCTGGAGCCGCAGCCGCAGCGGTGTACTCGCGGCCGGCGAAGGGGATGCGCGGCGCGTCCAGGTCCAGCGAGCCGGCGGGCGCGCCGAAGCTGGGCGTGGAGAACGAGGGCGCCGGCACCGTGTCTTTGACTTCTGCGAGGCGCTTTTCGATCTCGGCGATGGTCTGCTGCTCGCGCTCGCGGAGGCGCTCGAGTTCCTGGGCGACGCGGGCTTGGACCTGCAGCTCCAGGCTCTTGGCGCGGGAGGAGTCGGTCTGAGAAGGGGGTTTTTTTTGCATGTTAGATGTCTAGTGCATACGGAGGATGGGGGAAGTAGGTGTTTAAAAAAAAACGTACCTCGGTGTTGGTCTGGAGGGCCTCGACGAGGTTGGAGGAGAACTGGACGGGGGAGTTGCTGTTGCGAACGTTTGCATTAGCTTTCTTCCGTCTGGTTGCGTGTAGGGATGTAGCAATCAATGGATGCAATGAATCCTCCGCTGTACGGGCTTTCTGCTTCTGTGCCTAGGCCGAGTTGAGTTGAGCGTTCTCTGCTCCCAACGCGAGATACTCAAAAAGCATTGAGACCGCTCATCTCCAAGGCTGCTGCAGACCCAATCGAATCGAAACCCATTGTGATAAGGATTCTAACCAATGTAGACTGCATACCTGGAGAAAACATGTTTCGAGCCAGCCGAAGCTTCGGGCTTAGAGCTGCCGGCGCCCATGATGATTGGCTTTGTGTGCGGATGTGGTAGTCTCCGTGGACAGATTTTCAGTGGAAAGACAGATGTAACGAGGCCCCGTGGAAGACGCCAAAAAAAAAAACCAACAGAAGTGCTATGCAGAGACCCTCTCAATGCTGTCTTGGAAATCTGAGCATCACCGCTTCCAGCAGCCGACTTTCCGCCCGGCTTGAATTCGACTCGGGCATTCCGCATGTCATGTCATGTGACATGCTTAGTCATGGGGTGTTTGGTCGGGTCTTTTTCCTGCTGCGGGCTGGGGTAGATAATGGGCCTGTGATTATCAGATATCGACTTGGTCGCGAAGTCTGGTGCTCTTCCATGATGGGGCGTCAATAATGCCTCGACTAGACTATACAGCTAGAATGGGCATGCGATGGGATGGATCGCGAGTGATGGTCTCGCCATCAGAGCTTCCGTCTGAATGTCAACCCACGCTGAAGTATATCCCCCCATGTCTCTCTCTGTCGCATGGCCTGTATCTATCAGGCAACCGAGGTAATTTTTCGGAGTGGTGAGATCTTGAGTTTACGATAAACCGCCGTGTCTACATGAGAGTCTTCAGAAGTAGTAGATAGACTAGGAGATACTCTTGTCACCCCCAAACTGAGAAACAAGGTTCGGACATTGATCGGAGAACCCCATGATGGGGAGAGTTCGATCCTCCATCGATACCTGATTCTGTATTCGTGCCTAATGAGGTATTTTATGGTAGAGTGTAGATAGTTGAGTGTGGCTAGTTCTGTGTAGAGGGACTGGGAATGTTGTACTGTTCTGCTTTATGGGGATTGGGGAGCAAGTAATGAGGCCAGTGGGCCAGTGTACTCCGTGAGAGTCAACTGGTCAAGTTCATTTCCAAAGAGATCAATCAATGAAGAATGAGGGGTCTCCAGTCTCCGCGTCCTCTCCATATCGTAAGGTGACCCAGGTCCATGCTCCAACTCCAAGACTCCGGGATGGAAAGATAGAGTCGGGATAATTTATGCACGTCTTAATGAAGGAACAAGGATCAAACACTCAATAGACGAATGAATTCTCCCTCTCCCGAACAGAGCAGGGAAAAGATAGTCAGGCACCGTGCATTTTCTCTTCTTTTCCTCCGGCTTCTCCAGTCGCCAGGGCCCCGGTCCTAACCATTGTTTCTCACCGGTAGGAAAGTAGGCATTGGTCCCCCCACTGGGGATGTTTCAAAGCGTCAAGGCAACGGTAGCGAAACTGAATAGGAAATCCTGACTGACCCTTGAAGCCGAGAAAACCTCGCAAGTCGCCAGCGGTTCATGCGGGATCCATCATCGTCACTCGGGCGGGTTGGAATTGAGGGATGTCGGTGCTGATGTCTGATGAGGCTTTGAAAAAGTTGCGACCACGGACTAGACGGTTTAGTATCGCGATCAATTGGACGAGACGGTCTGCTCATGCGTAATATGACCCTTTTTAGTTCCCGTCAAATCTCACTTTAACGCGATTGAATCAAGTCCCGCGGAACACGATGACGACGTGGCCGGCAAGCCGTTGACGAAGGGTCAGAGACATGAGACGGGAGACGGAGAACGGAAGACTGGAGTCTCGGAGACGAGAGAAAGCAGAGAAGAGCACGAGACTGCTGGATAGCATGGTCACTCGGTTGGCATTATACCATTATCCTGCATAGTTATTTTGTAGTAGTAGTAGTAGTAGTCGTCGTCGTCGGAGCACCATCGGCCGTGTATGTAGCCAAGGAAGGGCAGCATTAGAATATGGCTCATACTGTCATCTACCTACCCTAGGTATCTATCTAGGTATCTAGGTATCTACTCCGTATGTATCTATGTGTCTACTGTCGACATAGGTTGCGCCGGTGAACCCGGTGATGCTGCCAATAATACGGACAGCCAGGTAATTACAGCAAGAAATGGAGGGGAATCACTGACCTCATCGACTCCTCCGATTTCTTCCTTTTTTTTTCCCCCGCCAACAACCTGGAATCAATCCATTTATCACCATTCATTTTTATTATTTTATTTTTATTTTATTTTTATTATTATTCCACTCGCTGTTAGTCTCTTGGTATCTACTACTAGTTAGTCCTCTCACTGCTAGCTGCTACCTACAAATTAATACTACTTATAACTTAACTACTCCGTAGTCGCCGTTATTTCTTTTCCTCGCTGCCCCTCATTCTCCTTCTTCTTGTCCTGTACATCAATTACATAGTACTCTCCCCCTCCCCCTCCCTATTTCGATCCTCCTTTCTTCTCTTGTCCCCACTACCTTCTCTTCTCCCCGTACTTACTTACTCTATCCACCCAATCCCTTTCTTCAAGATACCCTCTTACTTAAATAACACACACTCACACACACATACACACTATGTCGTCGCCGTTGGTGGAAGAGGCTACGCGCATTGCGCAGCTGTTCCATTACCCCGCTGAGAAGATCCAGCTCGGTGTCAAGGAGTTCATCCGGGAAATGAGCGAGGGTTTGACCAAGGAACACACGACATTAAGCCAGATCCCTACTTACGTCACATCGGTACCAAATGGTACTGAAAAGGTACCGCAATATTGTACACAACGGGGGAGAAATGAATGAGTGCATGGCTGACTGACGGACTTCGATGTGCTTAGGGCTTGTACCTCGCTGTTGACCTGGGAGGTACCAACTTCCGGGTGTGCTCGATCGATCTCCATGGAGATACCACATTCAACCTCACGCAATCCAAGATCATGATCCCCCGTGAAATGATGGCCTCTGGAACCTCAAAGGATCTCTTCCTGTTCCTGGCGCGGCAGATTGAATCCTTCCTGCGCATTCATCACAACGAACACTTCGAAGCCCACTTGCGCCGCCGGCGCGACCCCGATCACGAGGAAGAACTCTTCGACCTCGGGTTCACCTTCAGTTTCCCTGTTCGTCAGTTAGGCATCAACAAGGGCACTCTCATCCGCTGGACCAAGGGATTCAATATTCCTGATGCGGTCGGCCACGATGTTTGCGCGCTTCTGCAGAACGCCATTGATGAGCTGAATCTGCCCGTGCGCGTGGCTGCGCTCGTTAATGATACCGTGGGAACCTTGATGGCTCGCTCCTACACCTCTCCCGGAGAGACCGGAACCTTCATTGGTGCCATCTTCGGCACAGGTACCAATGGCGCTTATGTCGAGAAGCTCAACCGCATCACCAAGCTGCAGACCATGGAGCACTCCAACTACGAGACCTGCACTGGTGAGATGATCGTCAACACGGAGTGGGGAAGCTTCGACAACCACCTCAGCGTCCTGCCCAACACCAAGTGGGACCAGGAGCTGGACGAAGAGAGCAACAACCCCGGCATTCAGATGTTCGAGAAACGCGTCTCGGGCATGTTCCTGGGTGAGATTCTGCGTCGTGCTCTCATTGATATGCATCAAGACAAGAGCGTTGGCCTCTTCACGCCCAGCGACACCTCCGATGTTGTCGTCCCCGAGAACTCTCCCATCTACCGGCAGTGGGGCATCGACACCAGCTTCCTCAGTCTGGTCGAGGCTGACAAGACCGAGGCGATGGAGGAAGTCAAGGCGGCCCTGAAGGACCATCTGAAGATTGAACGCCCCAGCATGGATGACTGCCGGGTCGTCCAGATCCTGGTCCACGCGGTCGGCAAGCGTGCCGCTCGTCTCAGTGCTATCCCTCTGGCTGCCATCCTGATCTCCACCGGTAAGATCGAGGAGGATATGGTCGACATCGGTGTGGATGGAAGTTTGGTCGAGTTCTATCCCAATTTTGAGGGCCACATTCGGGATGCGCTGCGGGAGGTGCCTGAAATGGGCTCGGCTGGCGAGAAGAAGGTGCGCATTGGCATTTCGAAGGATGGCAGTGGAGTTGGTGCTGCCCTCATCGCCCTGGTTGCGAGTCGAGGCGATGTTTCCCCAGCTTCGAAGTAGAACTGAAGAGCCAAGAGAAAAAAAAAAAAAAAAAAAAAGAGAAAGAGAAGAAAAGGAAATCTTACGCGGAAACGAACCATTTATCTATTTTGCATTCTGCCGGTCTCTTTTGAACCCCGTACTGGTCGCAAACCTTGCACGAGTGACGGTTGTTCGTCATGATCTCAGCTCCTTTCATCTATCTCCCTTTTGCTTGAGCAGATGTTCGACGGTGTATCTATCTTATGTCGGGTTGGAGTCGGACTGGGGATGTGCAGGACCGTTGAAGAAAGCCCGAGACCCCCAAGCAGCAGTTCGCTTCCTGTGGACGTGGATTGTCTTGCTGGGGGAGAGGCTCAGGGGGGCCAGGACCCCCATCCATGCATTATCTAATTTCTGGGTCGGTGAGGGGAGTGTATCACTATTGATCATTTAGCGGCGTTCGACTGCCTATCGGGACATATCATTTGTTTAACAATGAAAAAAAAAAAAAAAAAAAAAAAAAAAAAAAAAAAGCCCTCCCATCTTTGTATTTCATAGGACATGATCTTCAGCAACCGCAGGGCGTCCGGTGCATATGTATTATGTAGTAGTATACTATGTACTTACCGGACGTCAGTAGAAGTAGGGCGCTCTAGCGTTACACCACCGATCGCGCATCTGATGACATCCAAGGTTTATCCGGAGGGAGGGGGAGAGAGAGAGAGGGAGTCATGTATAGAATAGAACCACTCCGGAATTATCCTTGCAGCAGGTACCTTGCCACGCTGCTGACTGCCAATGCCAGTTACGGCCGGAGAACTCCGTCCATACGGAGTACGGAGAATACTGCCTAGGTACTGTGTACCTACATGGAGATATACATCCATACAAGGTCACCTGTCCTGGATCCTCCCATCCCTTACCCTGTAAATAGGAACTAGGAACTAGGAACTAGGAAGCTAACACGGATCAAATCTCAGCCAACCCCTCCGCTTCGGTTTACGTACAGAGTACGGAGTAGTACATATAAACAGTACAAACAACCTAAGTAAGTCTTGAGTCTAGTCTTACTCAGATACAGATTCAGATACAGATTCAGTTCAGATTCAGTTCAGACCCGACCCGGGAGATCAGCAAATAGTTCGGTAGACTAAGAAGAAGTAGATAGTTCCGTGCTAGAGCCAGTACAAAGTCGGGACTCGGGATCCGAGGCTAGCGTAGTACAATACTTAAAAGACTTTTACGTACGGAGTAGGGTGATATCACAATCATTGTCTATAACTATCTTTTTTTTTTTTTTTAAAGCATGATGATGGGCTATTATTGGGAATGACAATGTGTGGCGCTGGAACTATGGAAGAAGCCCGGGAAGTACTAGGTACGGAGTATGGAATACCGTATGGATGAGTCGTGAAGGGCTGAGGTACCGGTAAGGGGATTGGGGGGGGTTTTTTTTTATCTGGCAAGGGATGGATGGGATCATTACTCTTGTATAGGACTGTATTTGATGAATGGATGAATGTACAGTTCTATGTAGGATAATGGATAGTTCCAGGGTGGTAATAATGTAGTATCGACGGATCGACCAAAGAGGGAAACAGTCGAGAGAAAGGGGTACAGTAGTTAGTTACCTACACAGTATGTACTCCGTACTATAGATAAGTCTATATTGTACTGGACTCCGTACATATGACCTTTGAGGTTTAGTCCCAAGTCTATCTGTCTACTTACGGAGTAGATCAGGGTCTGTCTGGGATTACCTATTATTAGGGTAGTTGTTGATCAACAGATTTTGCTGGCAGTGTCTGTGTACCACAGCGTATAGCCGATTGGAACAACCACAATGAGTATTAAAAACATTCGGGAGTGAAATAGAAAAGATCCGAACTTGATGAAATACTCTGGTACCTCTCAAGATGGATATGGAATGTTGATGATGATGATGCTAATGATCAAGTCCTCCCCCCTATGTATACTTCTTTGTACCTTGCTTGAATCCACTCGGATAGCATCGATACTCCTCCTTGATCTGCAGCTTTACACATACCATACCGGATGGGATCAGCCCAATCATGCCGATACGTAACTTTGCTACTGCATCCGAAGAATGAAAGAAATGAAATGAAATGACATGACATGGATGATGGACTACTACCTAGCTACCTAACTAGGTAGATACACCATGGATGATCGGCTGGACCGCAAAGGTCGTACAAACAATCCCCATCAGAGGCTCAGAGCAGGTCAGGTCAATCGTTCATTTTCTTTGTGCCTTCCCCCAGGGCAGTCGTCTCCTTTTTCCTCTTCATCTCTGGAGCTTTCCTTTCTCTCCCCTTTCTTCTTCCATCCAGGAATTAAAGTGACAGACATACTTCCGTTGTTTCCTCGAGCCTTTCAAACGCCACCACCTGCTGGCTGCTGTGAAGATCGAACAGTGTCGGTTCTCTCTTTCCAATATACTGGAGGCCCGCGTTGCTTCTGCCTGACACGATCTAGACCGTGTCCTCTTATCCAGTTGTCTCGTCTCCCTGCGACGATCGTATAGTTCCAGGCTGTCTTCCTCTTCTCCGGCTGGATGCTCTGATCCCCCCCACCCCCCCCTCAAAAAAAAAAAAAACACTGTGCTGCTGCGCCTATATATCGCATTCTCGAATAACCTCTACCACTGAAGTTCAACCCGTTGGTGTGTGTTCACTTCACAACCTCGCTGTCCCCCCCCCCGGCTAGTGCACGACAGCCGCAATCATGAATCCGAGTAGCAGCCCTGTGCTGCACCCGTCGGGCCCTACCGACTCGGTGACAGAGCTTACTGCTGAGAGCAAGGCCGCCGGACGCGCACATTCGATGGACCAAGAGAGAGCGCTAGGGCAACCTTCACTACAGCACCAATATCCCGACTCGCCGGTGCCGGACCATCACCCCGAGAACAAGGGGTTGAGTATGGACTACAGCGAGGAGCAGGAGGATGAGAAGTCGGAGCCCGAATATCTCAAGTCGTGGAAGTTGGCCTTGGTCATGACGGGTCTGAGTCTGGTGATTTTCTGCATGTCTTTGGTAAGGACCCCCAGTCCATCTCTCCCAAGCTCGCTCATCGGTTGACAGGAGGTGCTAACCGTTGACCTCCCCAGGATAATACTATTTTGGCAACCGCCATTCCCAAGATCACAGATGAATTCAACTCGTTGACGGATGTCGGTTGGTATGGGAGCGCCTACTTGTTGACCAGTTGCGCCCTGGTTCTTCCCTTTGGCAAGCTCTACACTTTCTACTCCACTAAATGGGTGTACCTGAGTGCCATCGCTGTCTTTGAGCTTGGATCGTTGGTCTGTGGTGCCGCACCGAACTCAGTCGCGCTGATTATCGGCCGTGCCGTCGCCGGATTGGGCGGTGCAGGACTGTTCACGGGATCTATCCTGGTCATCTCTCAGACGGTCCCGCTGCAGAAGCGACCGATCTACACCGGCATCATCGGTGGCATGTACGGCATCTCCAGTGTTGCCGGACCTCTGATGGGCGGTGCCTTCACCGACCATGCCACCTGGAGATGGTGTTTCTACATCAATCTGCCCATCGGTGCTGTGACGTGGTTCTTCATCTTCTTCTTCTTCAAGGCACCCAAGTCGGTCAAAGACACTTCGGATTGGAAGAATCAGGTGTCGCAACTCGACCTTCCGGGAACCATTGTCTTTCTACCCGCCATCGTCTGTGTGCTCCTGGCGCTGCAGTGGGGAGGCACCAAATACGACTGGGGCAGTGGGCGCGTCGTTGCTCTCTTTGTTGTTTTCGGTGTCCTACTCGGAACCTTCATCGGTCTGCAGATATGGGCGCAAGATAAAGCGACGGTGCCCCCACGCATCATCAAAAACCGGAATGTCTGGGGAGCCGCCTTCTATGTCTTCTGTTTGTCGGCGTCGTTCATGGCCTATGTGTACTACGTAAGTTGGATTCCCGGCTGATATCTTGAATGTGGTGAAGCTAATTCTTCCCCCCTGGCCTGGCAGCTCCCCATCTGGTTCCAAGCCATCAAGGGTGTCTCGGCCACCAAGTCAGGAATCATGAATCTCCCCATGCTGCTCGGAACGGTCATCCTCTCCCTGCTTTCTGGTGCAATGATCTCTTATTTCGGTTACTATACGCCTTTCATGTTGGCCGCAACGGTAATGATGTCGATTGGCGGTGGATTACTGTCCACTCTCAAAGTCGACTCGGGGCATGCTGCCTGGATTGGCTACCAGGCGTTGTACGGGATCGGTGTCGGTATGGGATTGCAGCAACCGATGATTGTGGTGCAGACGGCGGTGGAGGCCCAGGATGTCCCGAGCGCGACCGCCATTGTGATGTTCATGCAAACCCTCGGCGGCGCCCTCTTTGTCTCGGTCACGCAGAACGTGTTCCAGAACCAACTGTTTAAGAATCTCACTGCCCAGGTGCCCAGTGTCGATCCAGCGGCCGTAATGAGGGCCGGAGCCACGATGCTGCAGCGGTCGGTTTCCAAGGATGTGCTGCCGGCGGTTTTGTCTGCCTACAGTTCTGCCATTACTCAGGCATTCTACGTCGGTGTTGCATTGGCAGCAGTCTCCTTGTTCGGTGCTTTGCCGATACAATGGCTGTCCGTGAAGGGCAAGAAGATCGAAATGCATGCAGGATGAGGGGGTTCGATTTAAGGACAGGGGCACAGTTGGTTTCATCCACGATGTTGACTGGCTTTATTGCATGGACGGGTTCAGGCGTTGAACGAGAAAATTGCTAATACCGGGGTTTGGCTTGATTTCTGGCAGGCTGTGGGAGGTTGTATATGAACAGCATGGTTATAATGATTGATTTACCTACCTTTTACCCTTCTTGCTCCCCCAGCCTCATGTCTTACTAGAATATGGAATATAAAAGATGGAATGTGGAATCACTGTATGTGCATCACAACACCCGATGCAATCAATATCAAAGAGACCGCCATCTATCCTCTATACCTTGGACATACACACACACACACTCTCTCTCTCTCTCTCTCTCTAAACAGCCGCATACAGACTCAAATACACCCCCCAGATCACTCCACACGCACTCCCAAACACCACCCGTCTATCCACAGGGACCACCGTAAACAGCAGCCCAGAGACAACAGGCCGATAGTACAGCCGCGCCAGCATAATCGGCCCAAAGTCCTGCACACAATCGTCAGCTTAGGCCCCCAACCCACGGCATTTCCCAAAAGCCAAAAGCCAAAGCCAAAAGCCAAAAGCCGAAAGCCCCCCCCCCAAAAAAAAACAAGGGAGAACGGCATAAACTAACACACCTCATGAACCATCTCCACCGTCCGCCCCCACCCATCCCCTTTCAGCAAACTAATGAGCACCAGAAACAGCACGATGTTGACCACCGACCCAACCGTCTGATCTAGCATGAACTTGATCGCGAAGTTGCACAGCCCCGAGGAGGAGGGGGATGGGGATGGGGATGGGGACGACCAGAACCAGGACCGCCGAGGAATCGCTAGCACCGGCTTATCTTTGATGAGTGTCGTGCTAGGGGGTATGTGTGTATCGTCGATGATCGTGATTACGGCATCTTGCATTTTCAGCGTCGCTGCTGCTGCTGCTGCTGCTGCTGACGTTGACGTTGACGCTGGGATCGGGTTGAGTGGTAGGTTAGCGCGGTGGTGGTTGTGGTGGATAGAAGACGCGAGATCCGATTGCCATTGCCATTGCCAGGGCCATTTCCATTTCCAGTTCCATTTCCGTCGCCATCGCCATCGCAGACGGCGGGGAAACCCCGGCCAGCGGGCCTCGAGGTACCGCTGCCAGTAGAAGTTTGGGAAGACGACGATGACCGCGTAGACGATGAACTGGAGGAGAGCGGGTAGGTTCAGGTGGAAACGGAAAGGGTTCTGGGGAAGGCCGGGGGGGAGGGTTTATTGTTGTTAGATTAGTTTTTTTTTTTTTTTTTTTTTTTTTTTTTTTTTGATCTGGGTGTGTGGATTCATTCTGCGGTTTGCGATGGAGGATGGGAATGGAGGAGAAGGGATAAGAGGACATACGGTGTTCTGGTGCTGGTCGATGAGTTGGGCGAGGATGTTGGAGATGGCGTTGAGGATGGTGGATTGGATGAGGGTGGTTGTTAGCGGGGAGGAGGGCATGGTTGATTGATTGATTGCACTATGTGTGTGAATTTATGGTAATGGTGGTGGTAGTGGTGATGCTAGCTAGCTAGCATCACCGGTTGCATTTGGACGAGCTGAGAGGGTGATGGTGAAGATGAGGGTCAAGGGGGATAGGGGATAGGGGATAGGGGATAGGGGACGGGGACGGGATGGGAACCGGGCAGGAAGAAGAGAGCAGGAGGATCTGGCTATGTGTCTATAGAATATACAGGACTGCTGGCTGTGGATATTGGCATCATAAAGGAGTGCATGGACATGGCAATCTTCCGCCCTCTCTCTTCCTCTCTGCTGGGGAAAACTGGGGATGGAATTTCGAATTTAGATCACTTCGGGGGAGGGAAAAGACCCGAAGAAGACTGAAAGGAGACTGGGAGAGGGTTTCGGGGGGGCTTGGGAGTTCGTTAACGACATTGCAGCGGCGTTGGGCCAAGACCATAAGCGGCGACCGTGTCTTCTTTTTCCTGTGTTAAAGGGCCCAGGTCTGCGGACGAGGAACTGACATTGATGTAGAATGCATCATTCGTACTCTGTACATGGAGAGAGAAATCGTTCATCGTTCATCATACAAAGATGGGGGATCTGGACTAGTATACTCCGTCACTTCACATTTCCCTTTTCCGAACAACCACGTTGGGCCCGTACTTGGCGCTGGTGAAATGATCCACCAGAGCCAACTGGCCCTTTTCGTCTTCGCCCCGGCGGTCCGCCAGCTCGAAATCAAACAGGAACATTAGCCGCGCAATCGTCAGCCGCATCTCCATGAACGCCATGCTTTTCCCAATACACCCGCGGGGCCCGATGCTGAACGGGCAGAAGGCCCGGCGCGCCACCTCCACGGCCTCCTTGCTGACCTGCCACGACTCCGTCGCCGTCTTGCATGTCGCGCCCTCGATCCATCGCTCGGGGATGTACGTCTCCGGCTCCGGGTAGTACTCCGCCTGCCGATGGACCGAGTACGTCGGGGTGCCGCAGTCGGTGCCTGCGGGCAGGAACACGCCGTCGACCGAGGCGCCGCCCTCCAGGATCTCGCGCGGCGGCGCACCAGGCACCGCGGGCGCCAGGCGCATGGCCTCGTCGAGGCACGCCTTGAGGTAGACGAGCTCGTTCAGCTGGGGCCCCGTGATGATCTCCTCGACCGAGGTGAAGGCGTCGCGGACCTCCTTCTGCAGCAGCGCCAGGGCGCGCGGGTCGCGCACCAGGTAGAACAGCGTCGCGGACAGGGTCGTCGAGGTGGTGTCACTGCCTGCGATCATCAGCACGTTGGCCTCGCCCCAGAGCTCCGGCGTGGTCAGGCCCTTGCCCGTCTCCGGGTCCTTGGCGTTGAGCAGGTAGTAGAAGAAGTCCTTCTTGGCCTCGCGGCCAGCCTGCGCGCGCTCCTTGGCGCGCGCGTTGGCTTCCACGCGTGAGTTCATGATGAAGTTCCACCGATCGTTGGTCAGCTTGTGGATGAAGATCTGGTCCAGGTGCCACGTGTCCAGAGGCATCCACAGTCCGCACTGGGGTCCATTGCATCAGCTTTGCTGCGACTTGATCCTGAGAGAGAAAAAAAAAATGACTAAGACTTACCACATAGTGCCGATTCGCCGCCCGATCCACCAGCTCGATCAGCTTCCGCTTCCCGCTCGAAACGAGCATGTCAAAGCTCTTCCCAAAGCACAGTTCGCCCATCACATCATACGTCAGGTAGCTGAAGTAATCGCCCAGGTTGAACACGGCCTTCTGGCCCGCGGCGCTGCCGCCCGCCAGCGCCGCACACAGCTGCCGCACATGCAGCAGCATCACGTCCTCCATGCTCTTCAGCGCGTGGTCGGAGAACGCCTGGCTCAGCACGCGGCGCTTGCGCCCGTGCATCGTCTTGTCGATTGCATTGTGCGTGTTGTACACGCCCTTGATGGCGGGGAAGGCGTTGTAGAAGTTGGCCTTGCGCAGCCGCTTGCCGTGCCCGTAGATATCGTGCAGGCCGCGCGCCGTGTTCACCGAGACAAAGTTGGGCGCCACGCGCACATGCGTGCCGTATTTCTGATGCAGGCGGTGCAGCCACAGATGCCGGTCGCCTTTCAGACCGTGATAGAGTTGCACCCAGGGGGTGATGGATGCGAGGAAAGGACCGGGGATGAAACACAGCTGGCTGATGAAGCGCTGGTACACGACCCAGGCTATTGACTATGGGCTTCCAATCAGCACGTTCCCACAAAACAAGATTTCGGGCATCAGCATCGCATCAGCATCACATCAGCATGACATAGCAATGTCCCTCGTCAACCGAGACATGTGTAGAATGTAGATAGATAGGCATTTTCATGAGACACGGGAACATGGATAAACCTTACCAAGGCACTCAGCAGGAATGATACGCGGACAGCCACATCCCCCACGGACAGGTTTGCCAACAACGTATGGACAAACATGTCTCTTTCTTCGAGAACAACAAATGCGGCACTGCTATGGGCGATGATCTCAACGATGATGCCAATGACTCTGCAACCCACCGACGATAGCCGAGCACAGCCGTGGCTGAGATTCCACTGGTTACTGTATGTTCACACAAACAAGATGAGGGGAAAAACTCGGGGAAGTGGAGGCTGTAGCAGTAGTAGTAGTAGCAGTAGTAGTAGTAGTAGTAGTAGATAGTAGTGGATAATAGTAAATGGTAATGACTTCCGTAGTCTGGTTGCGTCGAAGTGTCGCGATGTCGGGGGTTCTTTATATATATATATATGTATCTCTCTCTCTCTCTGAGGCCTCGGTTACCTGCGGATGCTGGACTTGTTGCTTTCTGGGCCCGCGCGATCCTGACTATGATTATTAGTTGTCCATTCGGGATGCTCTCGATTTGTCTCTGATAAGAGGGTACTTAAGAGTGTCGTTGAAAACGTAGAGGATGTTGGAATGGAGATAGATAGATAGATAGATAGATATACATGATGAGGGTGTTCCTATTGCTATTCGAGGGAAGGATAGCGTCATTCTACAATATGCGTCATGTACCACCATCGACGAACTTGGAGAGCATGATCATATCATAGAAGAAGACCCGGGATACAGCAAGTACATCAGTAAGGTAGTATTATTGTCTTGTCTTGTCTACGGCCTGGTGACTGATTATGAAGCCTCCTAATCAAGCGTTGACATTTGCTTCACCAACTGAACCAGCTCCCACATCCCGGTCAGGAACTCGGCTTCTCTTCTCTTCGTTTCAAAATTCTCACTCGTCGAGACCCCAGGATATCATATCCACTGCTCGACCCCACCACTACTACTACTACTACTACTATTGAATACCCGCTGATATCCGAACTCGTCTGGAGTAGTTCTGGGGTCTGGAGTAGAGAGATGGAGTGTGGATTATGGATACTGGATACTGGATACTGGAGTATACAACACCGTTCTCCATCGGCATCCGTGGAGGTGGATCACGGGGCCAATCCGGGCTGAGCTAGGACGAGGAGTGCTGACTGCTGAGTCTGACTGCTGGCTGCTGCGTCAACGCGCAGGGTCTATCCAGCCAACCAACCGGTTGGATCCAAGTCGCCGTTCTCGGTCAGTCCCTCGCTCCGCAGAATTTCGACGAAGCGTTCGACACGTTTGTGGGGGTCTCCATCAACCCCGAGTCTCGATAGGCCAAAAGCACTCATTTGCCAAGCTAAGAGGTATACCCATGCAAGCCACCATCAAGAATCCATTGTTCATTGTCGTCGTTGTCGTCCTGGACCCGGCGCCATGTCTGCTTCCGCTCCTTTGGAGTCGTCGTCGTCGTCGTCCCCTCGGCCGGCGTATTTTCTTCAGTCTTCCAGACCGGCCGGAGCAGACCGCCAGCGGCAAGCAACGGATTGTGGCTGAACGCTTCGCGACCACTGCGCTTCGTCTCGTCGCGAGGAACATCATCGGCATCCTCATCCTTCGTATCCGCAGCGGAGCTCGACTCCGCCGGCGCAGCGGACTGGTACACCCGCGTCACACGACCACCCTTGATATCCAGACTCATGATTGTCGTCTTCTTCTCCCACTCCGGCCGCGCCTTCTCCTCCATCTCCCGCAGGATGCGCTGCTGCTTCTTCAGTGCCAGCGCCCGCTGCGCAGGACTCATCCACAGCGTCGACGCCACATTCGGGGTCTCAAAGTCCGCAGCCTCATCCACCACCCGCGTGCGCTTGGCGTTCTGCGCCTGGAACTGCAGCAGCTTGTCGCGGTGCGCTTTCGCCGCGTCCAGCTTGCTGGCCCCGACGGGTGTCGGGCCCGGCCCGCTCTCCCGCTGCACACCCTCGTTGTGCGCCCGCATCTTCTCCTGTCCGCGCTCCGCGCGCAGCTCCCGGATCATACTCTGCACCTCGTCGGTGGAGAGGAGCGGCGTCCCACAGAACGAGCACGGCTGCAGACCCTCGAGCGAGCAGATGATCTTGCCGCAGTGCAGACAGTTCGGGACCGGCTCGAAGAGCGGGTGGATCGAAGCGTAGCAGGTGCATTTCCGGCCGCCGCCGCCGCCGCCGCCCAGCGTCGGGTTCGTAGAGACTTCCAGCGCGGCGATCGCCGCCGTCAGGTCGGAGATGTTGCTGGTTGTCAGCGATCCCTTGCCTGACCCTCCTCCCTGCTGTCGCGACGAGGATGACGGCTTCGCCGCCTTCGCCTTCACGTTCGGCAGGAGATCTGAGATGAGTTGTCCCGACGCAGACGGGGGGTTCTTGGGGGTGGTGGTTCTCGGCACGGGGGACTGGGTGCGGGACGGTGCGGCGGACGAGTCGCGCGACGATGGAGCGCCCTGCTGTCGTGGAACCTGTAACGAGCCCGTAACTGTATCCCCTCTCGTAGACATCCGCGCCGGCGCAGCAGCCATGTAATCCGCGTCCCGGTCCTCCTTCCTGTAGCCGCCTGTCACATTCCCAAAATTCTCCGGCCGCCGAACGGGTCCGGCGCTGTGCAGCGGTGCCTTCGGCTTCTTGCCCTTTCGAGCTCCGCCTCGGGGGGCGGGGGTGTCGGCGGTCGCAGGCTGATTGTCGCCGCCGCCTCGTGCTGGGGCGGCAGGTTGCGACCGTTGAGGCTCCCGGCGGGCGCTGAAGGACGCGATGAACTCGAATGCGGCGGGGGAGTCGCCGAGGAGATTCTTGAGGTGTTCGGCGCCTTCTTCCTTGGACAGGTTGGCGGAGTACGTGACGATCTGGGTGAGGGATTCCTCATCCAGCGGCAGTAGTTGGGCCAGGCGAGGAACGGCCCAGGAGATGAGGTTCGAATCGCTCATACTTTTGCGCAGATGAGGAAGGAGATGGACTATCCAAGACAAAATGAAGGATAGAATTCAAGCCGGAGTAGCGCGCACGCTCATTTTATGGTCACTGTGTCAGATCGAGTCCAGAATGAGTGAGAATGACGGAGGGTGGATTAACATTCGGGCCCGCAACTTTGCTACGAGTCACGGCAGCATCCGCTTTCTAAGTCGGACTACAGGAGGATCATAGACTCCACCGTTGCTTACAAGAGAGAAATAGAAACGGAGATTCACTATAGAGAGGGTAACTAGTTTACCCATGTGTCCTGTTCGAGTCCAAATGAGAAAATGAGAAAACAATCCATGCGGGCGCTATCCATGAGCTGGCGATAAGGCCAGAGTATTTATTGTACATATAAATCGCAGCATCGTCTATGCCAAAGAGCAGATGAACCAAGGAATCAGAGGAGAAAGAAGGACCCCAAAGATAAAAAGCAAATGAAAGAAAACAATGACGCCGAGCATGCCCCGGAATTTTTCGGCCAGGCATGGTTGAGAGTATTTCCTGTTGACGCCTTCTGATGCCCAATATGTACGTCGATATCGTTAGGAGAGGGGAAAGAAAAAAAGGGGAAAAAAAAGGTGTCAAAAATGAAAGGCTATGTTCAGAGGTTCCATCCCCAATGCAAGTAGCCTCCAAGTAGGCAACCGTGGGAAGAATGAGATGGAAGCAGAGTCAAAGTGTTCGTGTGAGTCAAGATCAGTCCTTGGCTTCACTCTTGATGTCACCGTCACCAGAACCCGCATCGGCAGCTGCGACCATGTCAGGAGTAAGGCCATTCCTCAGTTTACTGCTTGGAGGCAACGGGGGTTTCTTTCCAGAAAGCTTTTTCTGCATGAGCTTTTTCTTCTTCGGCAACGTCGATGGGGCGTCCTCGTCAGCCAGCGGACGCTTCGAAGGTGCCGTGCTTGAGGTGCTGCTGCCATTCTCCATCGGAGTCTTGTTGCGATTGGGACGGCCTGAAAGTCCCAGACAGCGATCCAAGTGTTGCGCCACGCGAGTCACAACAAAGTATCTCGGGCAATTGGGGCATTTCACGGTCGGGAACGACACCTTCTCAGGGGCAGCTTTGTTGAAGGAGCTATCTGGGGTGGTTGGAGGGCTGGAAGCGGGAGTGTTGGCGGTATTCGTCTGTTTCTTCTTCTTGGGGTTGAGCTTGTCCGTGGCGAAGGGGTTCCCATGAACATCGTGCCCAGGCTTGGAGATCATGGGCTGTTTCTGGCAGTATTCGCGATATGGATCCGGTGGTTGACGAGCGCCGATCCCAGTCACTGGGTATAGTAGACGCGGCAACCGGCAATCGGGACAGATAATCTCTTTGGTGGTATGGAGAGGATTGCCCTTGAGGAACACTTTTCCGTCGTCGAATACGGCGGCATCCGTTTCCGCATGGATGCCCTTGAGGTCCTCGGATTCCGCCTCCCCAGGCTTTGAAGCGCCGGCTGCTTTATTACCTGTTTCCTCGCGACGCCGGACTGCTTCTTCTTCGGCTTTTTGCCGGGCAGCAACGACTGCCGAGCGCATGCGAGCGACCTTCTCATCGTGATGAACTTGGGCAACAATATCATAAATGATGTTGTAGAATGTTTCATTGAGGATATCACGAGTCTAGTATAGTCAGCGAAATGAGCTCCGCGAACAGGATGACCTGGAGAGATCTACCAATTTCGCGATCGTTCCCGAAGGTAGGGAACCTCCCTGCGCTTCTGTTCCATTCGAATCCCCCATGTTGATGCTTTGCTTTTCTGATTTAGCAATCTCAGGCGTAAGAAGCAGACTGTGTATAGATATCTGTGTAAAGATCGATTAGAGAATTTAGAGCAGGCATGATCGCGACGAAGGCCGAGATACAAAGCAGACAGGTCCAAACAAGATTCTGGATGAAGATGCATTGCAAGGGACATGAGGTATCACGAAGAGAGAAAGACAGCGTCTTTATCTCCTTGCGAAAAAAAGAAAAGACGAGAGGAAGTCGAAGAATCTCACCTCAATAACCTATGGTTGCAGCGTCTGTTCCCAGAATTGTATCTCGAATCAACCCGCAACGCAACAGAAGTGTACTTGGTATTCAACCCCGCGGACCCATCTATTGTCAATTCACGCTCCTTCGAACAATACTCAATGCGATCAAAGGCTAAGCAACGCCAAGTGACGTCGATGGAAGAATTGGCGGTTGGTAAACTGTCTTGGTCGGGAGTAACGGGATAGGCGAGAAGGAAGGTCAGGTTAAGCTGGACGGTCTTCGGAGTCAGAGCTCAGGAAAGAGAAACACTGAAGGCGCAAAGACTGCTATCGCCCATCTGGATTATTGGCTGGACGAGGACATCTGGAGAGAGCTGTGAATCTGCTGGGTGGCAGGAAGACATCAGTTGACCGAGCCGAGCACAGTAGGTAGACCACACGACTCCGGACGGGAAGGGGATGATCACTCACCTTTGATCGCTCTGGTTTTATTTAATCAATAGAACAAGCACAATCAAATCCTCTCGTGAAAAAGAAAAGACAGAGCGAAGCCTGTGTGCAACTGGTAGTCGACTGGCTGTGCTGTGTCTCTGTCACTGTCTGTCTGTCTGTCTCTTCTGTCTCGTTCTCACTCTCGCAACTCTCCGCCGACCGGCTAAAAGTCGATCTTATCTTATCGCATCTCCGCGCGGTTCCCAGTGCTACAGTGCCCAACTCTCTTCCCTCATGCCATGCCCGTCTGCATCTTTGCAAATGATTCATACAGCTCTTTATGCTCCTTCTCTTTTTCCTGATCTGAGTTTCTATTGACTCGGGGGTCTCTCACGCGATGGCATACCAGTTCTTTGCAAAGGCGCATCAGTCCAACAAAGCGCCCACTTCTCCACCCCTCTCCCCTCCCCCATCCTCCCCCTCCTCCAGATACAATAAACCATCCATGCAGCCTCCTTCGGTGGCCCTCTCTCACTCCCCAGGCTCTATTCCGAAGCCCAATATTGCATCCAGACTGAAACCGCCAGCGGGAAGAGACACATCCTGCCAGCTCCCCGCGTATCCTCACCCCATTTCCCCAGGCTACCAGACCCCCCATCCCCACATCACCATCGACCCGGTCAGCACGGCGCACATTCCGTCCTTGACCCGGATCACAGGCCTTCTCCTACCCATCCGCTACCCCAACTCGTTCTACACGGCGACTATCACCGACCCCGTCATCGCGTCCGTCTCCCGCGTCGCAATCTACCACGACCACCCCGTGGTCGCAGCTCCGTCATCTACCTCCTCATCCCCCGCCTCAAGCCTGGGAGCAAGCACAGGAACAGATAAAGTGATTGGCGGCATAAGATGTCGGCTCGAGCGATCACCAGACGCGGACACAGCGCCTCAGTCCGCCACTGAGCCGACAAATCTATACATCCAGACGCTCCATCTTCTCTCTCCGTATCGGGGCTCGGGCGTTGCTGCATCGCTGCTCAATGCTCTTCTCTTTGCCACGACGCCCTCGCCTTCCTCGCCTCTCGCCTCGGCCGAGGTATCGGCGCTGGTGAGGCATTACAATATCCGCACCGTCACAGCGCATGTCCACGAGGCTAACGACGAGGGGCTGAAATGGTACCTTGCTCGTGGCTTCCAGGTGGAAGAGGGCCTGGTGGAGAATTACTATCGGCGGCTGAAGCCCTCGGGTGCGAAGATCGTCAAGCTGGTCCTTGACTGGAGCGATGATGACGGTGAGGAAGATATCCAGGAGTGCGCGCGTTATGGTGAAAACGACGCCGACGCCAAGAACGAGGATGACGATGAGGACTGGGAGAAAGTCGAAGCCGAGGATAGCGATGACCCTGATACGCACGGGGTACAGCCAGTTACCGATTCCAAAGTCCTCGAGTTCGACGAGGGTCCTACGCGGAAACGCAAAGCGGATGATGAGCCTCAGAGGCTATGATTTACATACTTCCGTGTCTGTTGTTCGTCTGTTGTCGAGGTTTGTCTGGTCGATAGTCTTTTCGTTTCTTTGTCATGTTGCATTTGCCTGCTTCCACATCTTGGATACCCTTTGCAGAGTTGTTTGTTAAAGCTATAGATGCCAGCATGGGCTGTCTTCTACACTTGCTAGATTGTTTGCATATTCTGACGTACAATACACCCCGTGCATATACACATTTCCCCGATACTGAAATACCATCCCTTCAAATGCAATTAGGCGCAATTATACTTAGATCAATGTACAAGCACCTTGTGGATCACAACGAATTTTGAGGATCATTGAATGCATATTCAGAAGCAAGCACGAGTCATTCGCCTGCCAGTTGCAGGCCTATATACAGTAAACGCCAACACCCCTCAAATATTATAATTTTCAGCATGCAGGAAGATTTCATCCTTGGACGAGTCCATCATCACCAGCTGCTGTAGCCGCGCCACCGTCTTCGTGACCTCGATTCTCATACTGGGCGGTCCGCAGACAAAGACGCATGTTCGGCGGCCAAAGGTCTGCGCGTAATCCGCAAGCATGCGCGGAATATCCGGCCGCATGCGATCGATCCGCCAGCCATCCCTCCTCTGCAAGGGAAGAGCGGCAAATCGCGGCACTGATTTCTGGGGTGGTGGAGACGGGGTACCCGGGAACGCAAAGCCAAGGGTGTTGAACTGCCGGCTGCTGCTGGCCACGGGCGACGTGTAGATTCGCGGCAGAGAGGTGATGGCGTCTTCGTTCTCGCGGCGGAGCTCTTTCTCGCGGTCGAGATCGCCGGCTGCTGCTGCGCGGATGTATGCCGAGTTGCGCTTGTCCATGCCTTGGAGCATGTTGTATATCTTTTCCTGGACGAGGCCGTTGCCGGGCTGGTTGCTGTCCGGTGGGGATCCATGTCTGGGGCCTGTGAGGAAGAAGTGACAGTGCACTGTGTTTGCGGGAGCGTGTTCTCTGCAGATCCTCAGCTCTTCCCGGAACCACTCGATGGCTTCCGGGCTTCTTAGGGCCCAGATGACTCGGACTCTTTTGGTCACGGCTTTGCCTTCGCGCATCTTCTTGATCAAGCTCAGAAGCTGGCTTGCAATCGCGGTGATGCCGCTGCCGCCAGCGAAGAAGATCACGTCATCGAAAGCGGCCATCTCGCGCCGCATTCCGCCATAGGGTCCTTCGAGGTATGCCGTCCAGGTTTTGTACGGACCGTGTTCGAATGCCTTGAGATACACTTTGCGCGTGAAGCCGCCGAAGGGACGGAAGACAAGCGTGAGGTCGCGGTACGCCTCTCCGTACTTGGATGGAAAATCGTCGCTGCACAAGGAGGCGATTGTGAAAGGGTGGCGCCCAAGGGGCGAGATACCTGGCATGCGGAGATACACATATTGGCCTGGTTTCCATCGCATCCGAGTTGCCACCGTCACCTTGATGGCATTATGCGGGAGCATCGTTACTGCTGACTCTTCTCCGATCAGGAATGATATGCGGAAGGGGTTGGTCCAGTTGAGATAGAATAGCCGTGCAAGATACGAACTAAGCCAGATGGCGATGGTGGCCCAAAGATAGTCCCACGACGCAAGGAAGTTCTTGCAATGCCAGAGAAGCATGGCGACAAAGACGACAGCAGCCGGCAAATGCATGAGAAGGAAAAGCTCATACATCCAGCTTCTGAGCGCCGGAAGAGAATGAACACATAGAAATATCAGAGGCACGAACGCCGCCATGCCAGTCCCATAGACCCAGACGTGGCGCGGAAGGTATTGTTGATACCATATGAGAGCTCCGTCTTCCCAGATTGGCGTAACGAAGAACGGAATCGTATGGATCAGGCTCAGGAACAAACATAGATAGCCCGCCCAGCGATGAAGCACGTTGAGACGTTCATGACCGAATCCGGTTAGCATGCTGATGAAGTTTGCCCGAGTACTGAGCATAACAATCCAAGGAACCATGGCCACAGCGATCATACCAGCGCGGATGGCCAGTGGAGGGGATCCAATGGCGATGGATGTGTAATAGAGCGGCTGTGGTACAAAACAGTAAAGGGTAACGAAGATCAAGGCCACAAGCACCACTGCAGAGGCCCCCATCGACGGAAAAACAATGTGCAGCTTCCCTGCTTTCAGCGACGGAATCGGTCGATAGAATATCCATCGCATGAACGCAATGGCGTTGTTCAGCGGCGCGATGGTGGAAACTGATGACTGTTGTTTCTTGAAACCAGGAAGAGGGCCGCGCGCTGGGAAGAATTGGGCATCAGAGCTATCGGTGGCAGCGCTTGGAAGCTCATACTCGTCCTGAGGAGAGTTGGTCTGCGATGTGTCTGCTTGATCTTCCTTGCACAATGCGATCCTCATCTTATCTCCCCAGACATGGTAATAGCGAATGACGGCCGCGAGGGCGAGCAGGATGATACAAAAGTAGACCCAGCCCAGCCCATATTTGCCTGATTGAGACCATGGATCTCTTTGGCGTTCCGCGACCACATCTGGCGTGGTTGAGGCTGTGGTGGGAATATTGATACGCTTCACCAGGGAAGCCACGGAACCCCAGTCAAGCAGCATGATGCACTTCTTGGGACAGATTGATGCTCATAAAGCCCTTCGAGAGATTTGATAGACAATGGTTGTTATGTTATCCAATAAAGGAAACATTTGTACACAAAGTGGCATTGGTGACGTTCTGGTATAACCCTCCTTGGCTAGCCGAGAACTGAGTCGCTCATCACTCGCAATCCCGGATGTGATTTTGACAGAAAGATTTGTCGAAGATCAGCGACCAGGGAAGAAGAGATGGTCCTGATGTATCATCCGGTGAGGGTACAAGAAGAGAGGAGCCTACAGAGTACCGCTGCAATAGATGAAGGCCATCTTGGCTGGGTGTGATCCAACATGCTTTCCAAGTTGGTTTGCATAATAGTTGGTGTGATGAGAAAAGTCAGAACTCAGGTTAGTTGGTTTTGTTTGTGATGAGAAAGAAATAAGCTCTTTAAGCACAGCAAATGGGCAGAGCCTGTTGGACAGAAGGTATCCAGAGTTCAAACACCCACGCCGAGGGCATACAGCTGTATTGCAACCATAACATGTGGCGTTGGAGCTAGAAAGGGGAAATCAGCATTGGACGAGCCTACTGAGCCAAGAAGAAGGTTTGGCTCATAAATTCCTCTTCTTTTCCTTCTTCACGTGGACTTGCTGGGAGAACAGCAAGTGAGATTGATGGATTAAGCGCCGGCCATTGTGACTCTCCACCAATTGTGAACCACAACAGCGTGAGATGCAGGTGACAATTGCTACTGTAAGTTGCTACCATTGCCAAGGAAAAACCGACAGAATAAAGAATATCTGTGTGATTGTGACAATGATCCTGCGGACGAATGAGTGTGTGGGGAGTAAGAACAGTAAGCTGAGGTCGGTAGAATCTGTAGGCTTCAATATGACCAGGCTGATATAGTTGTATAAAAAAGGTCCTATTCAACAGCAAAGCGTGCGTTATTGTCCCTTCCCGTCTGTTGTCATGACTTGGACAAATTCCACGTGTCGAGACTCTAGACTATATTCTCTAGTAAACACAATCAACTTCGAGATGCCCTGATTGCCATGGATTCCCGCAATCCCAGCACCAATTTTGGCGACATAGGCTGCCTATCACCAAGTGCAACTGTTAGTTGTTGTGGCCACAGAAGAGTTAAAGACACATACATTGCATAAATTTGCATCCTCCAGCTCTGTCAGTCGGTACATGACAGCTCGGGCAGGGCTTTATGGTCTCGTGGGTCATGCAATCATTCGGAAGCCCTTTATTTGCTGGATCTATATGACCATGTTTACTCACGAGATGGCCTTGAAGAGCAGGCTCGGCAGCTCGCCAAGGAATTTTGAGTCTGTTGATTCTCGACATTAATCCTCGGCCGCCTCTCGGAGCATCTTTCTGTATTTCTGCGATCTCGGCTCTCGGTCTGGACATCAGATCGTACTCCGCGCACGTCAAACCTTCATGCCACACGATGTCGCGATGTATGAAGCACGTCCGAGTCCCGCAGGAGTTGCATACGACGAGCGGGGCTTCAAGCCCGCCGGTATGGAGTTGTCCGTATCCGCAGTCCTCTCTGATGCATGGAACAAATTCAGCGTCTTCTTCCAGGATCTGCCAGGTCCGTCTGGCGTCATAAGCCTGAAAGGTTCGTCTGCTGGTCCATCGGCGTACCTCCTCGTCCGAGAGCTGTTCGAGGCAAATAGGGCATGTCAGCCAAGCAGCACCTGAAGCAAGCTGCTTGTCTAGGCTTTGACGAAGACATGTGAAGCATATATGCATTCCCGAGAGAAAGGCATGATCACAGCCAGCTGCGATCGGTGGCTCGGGGTATCGTCCATCCTCAAGGTCTCCAAAGCAGGCCACGCAAGTCAGTTGCATCTGTGGGGCCTGTGTGTTGGAACGAGGCCGTGGGCATGGCGGTGGACTGGATGGATCCTTTTGAAGCAGAGAAAGAACTGCACCAGCCGTTGTCGCATCGCTCCAGCAGTTGTCATCGCCATGGATATTCCATTGAATGGTGGAAGGGAGCAGGCACAAGTTATTCTCGCCGTTCGAAGTGCCGTTGTCTTCAATTTCTGTTTCTGTCGCCAAACTTCGTTGTCGGTCCTGATCATATGGTGATATGGGTGATATGATTGGGGACACGTCCGCGCATGTGGTATTAAAAGGACTCTTTGGGTATATTGGAGTGCATGGGCTGACGATAAAGTCTCTCGCATATTGATCTGTATTTGGACCATGGGACTTCATCTCATGCTTCTGCCTTGGAATGAAGCTGAACTCTCTTTGAGTGTGTTGCATTTCCCCGTTACCAGGACCTCATTATCGACGATGACGGCAGCAAACTTGACTTCTCGCCCCTTTTGTGTAGGATAAGGCGCCCATTTGAGTCCGAAATGACTTGATGCAATGCGGGTCATTATTTGAGAACAGCGAACCGTGCACACCCATAGCCACGCGATGGGCCATAAACATGGCTCCTCCCGAGAAATACGAGACCGCTGTACATCGCCAACACGCCAACCCCTATCACTGCCACAATTCAAGCTCAACCAGCCCGCATGAGAATTCACTTCCGAGTTGAAGAGCGAGTTGCAGGCAAATCTCAAAGTTCCCGTTCACGAGTCGATGGAACAGATTGGCTCTCGACGATTTTTATAAATAGAAGGTCAAGCGACGATCCTTCAATTCGACGCTTCAGGATGCTTCTTTTGCAACAGGTCTAGGCTATCAATTGCATTGGACGATCTATGTTTCAAGAACAGGGGGTGTATCACGAACTCGTCTCCTGTTTCATTATCCGACATTTGATCCATGACTCTGGAATGCTTTTCCTGGAGCTCCTCTTCGTGCTGCACGATATCTATTGCTGAAGGAGACGTGACGAGTATGGCCAATTATGCGGCAGCGATGGTCGTAAAGGCCATTCCGAAAGTTCTCCATGCTCTCCCATAAGATCGAAGACCGGAATTCTCTTAAATAAATCAAATTCCATTAAGGTTTAGTATAATATCATATAAATCTATTCCGATCCCAAACATAGAGAGAGGTGTATGTCTCCAACCAGAGCCAGAAGTCCATTGCTTGCTTCCATGTCACGTGTAAATACATTTGATGGAAGCTCTCACCGCCATCAGAACTGGGCCAGGATTCTGCCGCATAAAAATAGGTTGAGCTGCGTTTTCTTTCCGCAGATCAAGCCTTAACTCACGCTTCCAATACGCAGCTCTGTATCTTGATTGATTTGCATGGGATGATATGATATTAATTTACTCTTGTTGAAACTATTCTTGAATCAAAATGGCTCCCGCTACAGCATCAGCAACTGCCCCTCTAACCCCACCATTTCTCTCACTACCACCATCCCAATTCGCCCGACTTCAACCTCACGCCTATCTTCTCGCCCACCTCTCACCACCCGCATCGAGCAATCAGCCTTCAGTCCGAGCCAATGGCCGGGCGACTTCTCAATTCCGCATTACCTCCGCCAACACCGGTTCCTTGACACATACAAACGGTAGTGCCGTGGTGAGAATCGGCGATACTGCAGCTGTCTGCGGCGTGCGCGCTGAACTCCTACACACCGAGGATATCGCTTCGTGGAGTATCGCCCCGGCATCGGGGGGCAATGCGGGCAGTAAACGGCGGAAGCTGACCGATCCCACCCTGAAGCCGAACGAGGAGCTCGGCGGCGAGGAAGAGGACGACGAGGACGAGGACGAAGACGAATCGCAAATCCAGGAGCTTAATCTGCTGGTTCCCAACCTTTCGCTCAGCACCGGCTGCGCACCCGGCTTCATCCCCGGGGCCCCGCCTTCGGCGTTGGCGCAGTCGCTATCACACCAGATCTTGACACTCCTGCATAGTACTCGGTTAGTCCGCGCGGAGGACTTGCGAGTCTGGTACCAGCCACCTAGTCTCGGCGCTGAAGATCTCGAGCGCCACAACGAAAGCGAGCAGATGGACGTGGATGTCCAGGGGGGTCATTCGGAGCTTCCGAAGAACAGGGAAATCAAGGCGTTCTGGGTACTCTACATTGATGTGATGATCATTTCTCTAGCCGGAAATCCGTTCGATGCAGCCTGGACCGCCGTGCTGGCTGCGCTCCGCGATACGAAACTGCCCAAGGCGTGGTGGGACATTGATAACGAGATGGTGGTGTGCTCGGACGCGGTGGCTGAAGCACGCAAGCTGTCGTTGCGGGGTATGCCTATTGCGAGCTCGTTCTGCGTCTTCGAGGCGGATGCTGCTGCAGGCTGGAGAAAGGTCATTGTTCCTGATGCCGAAGAAGAGAGGAATATCGACGAGAGTAATAGGAAAGGCATTCAACGGAGGTGGATCTTGGCCGATCCTGATGGGTACGAAGAGGGCTTGAGTCAGGAACGAGCTTGTCTCGTGGTCGATAAGGAGAATGGTGGCAGAGGAAAGACCGTCATCGTCAAGATGGAGAAGAATGGCGGATGGGCTGTAGATAGCAGAGAGTTGAAGCAGCTGGTTGACGTATCCGCGCAGCGATGGGATGACCTGAAACGGATACTTGATAATTGCTGATCTATCCGGTTTGATGCAATGTGATGTCTAAGTATGAAGGACTATGATGATACCATTTTAAGAACTTCAATTGAAGCCTTGAGACAAAATATCGTTGCTTTTTTGAACCTATTGTAGCAAAAACATATCAAATCCATGCCAACCCCGTCTAGACACTCAAAGCAGCATATGGCACCAATCCGATGACGCATTCTAGTTGGAAGTGGCACTGGCAATCCTAGGGCTCCTTCGTTGCCTCTTGGCCGGCGGCTCATTGTCGCGATTTACCACATCAGAGACAGATAAGCGCTCGTCATCTGCGGCAGATTTACTGCTGTCGGTAGATGTTTTGCGCCGTTCATTCTAAGCCCTTCGAGGCATTGAAATAGATAGCGAGACTAAATCCAGTTCCCTTCCTTCGCTCGAATCTTGTGACTTGTTTTTTGACTCTTTCTCCTTCTCAGCTGAGCCCTTCGTCTCATCATGCTTGGAATTTTGCTCCGCCTTTTCTTTAGAGTCAGGAGCCTCTGAGTAAAACGCCGCAATGTCACCGGACAAGATGCGCATGAACAGGCTCTTTGTATTCTTTGAAGGAGGCTCGTCCTGCTTCTCCTCCTCCTTCTTTCCCTCCCTTTCTTCTGCGGGCTCCTCTTCGCTCTCTTCAGCGTCAGAGAACTCCCACATGTCGTGAAGCTCTCCCCTGATAAGCGCCGTTCCCCACAGGAACGATAGTACTCCAGGTACTAGGTAAAGCAGAGCCGGCTGGGGATGATTGGAATATTGCATGGCAGCAAGCGTTGAAATCATTCCAGCAATATAACCAACCAAACTCGCTTTGAAATACGGTTTGGGAAAGGATTTGGCGTCCTGATAGGGAGGCTCGAGCTCAAGTTTGCGGGGCGCAGCTGACCAAGCCCAGAAGCGTTCACCCCAGCCGCCAGTGGCAGATTGATATTGGGACTTGACAAGTTCCTGTCCCTTGCCTTCCAATCGCGCCTTTTCGACTCCCTTCTTCTTGTAGTAAAGGAAAAGGTCAAATCGTAGTGCCAGACCCGCCATCATACCAGGAATGACAATGTCCCCCAGTCCCAACATGGCTAGAGAGATGGCATCGGGGGCCTCTCCGGGAGCCGGAGGGCGAGGGAACAGCAATTTGATAGGTACATCCAACTTCGTAGCGACCGTCACCATCAATGGGGTATAGAAGACAAAGTAGATGTCATAGAGGAAGAGCGAGCTCAGGATAAGTGATCCGGTTGTGAACGTTGATGGCGACATGAATTGCAGCGCACCGTAGCAGAAGCTGAATCCGAGAAAGTTCGTTAGCCACCATGGCTTCATCACGAATGCAAAGTATCCAACAGCGGACAACGCCAGCACAGCACTGATAATATCCAGCAGTCCAATCAAACATTCGCCAGTGAAGATGCCGCGCACATGAGCCCGAACCTTCACTCTCTTATATGCAACGTTCCGACACGCCCAAAGAGCTTTATTTAGAGTACCAGGCAGAGGAATCGAGCCGAGAATGCTTGGAAGAGGAGAACGACGGGGTTGAATCGCCTTCGAACCAGCGGATTCCTGTTGTTCAGCTATGAATGCGCCTTCCGACTGCTTCGCCTTCCAAATCCTGCCAGCGTACCGATAGCGCCGAGGGAACACGAAAGATCGAAAGACCAAGAGACAGTCCTTCAGGAACGCGACGGCGAAGAATATTCCCATCTGAGAAAAGTAGAAGCTCAGAATCTTGTTCAATATCGCCGGGTCTCCCAACCATTTGATGATCAAGTACAAACCACCAAGGGTCAGGCCAGCGGTCAAAGGGAACATCAATGCATCTGAGGGTTCAAGGCCTTCCATCTTCTGGACCGGACCCTGTCCTTCTTCTTCGTCCTCCTCCTCATTGTCTGTGTCGCTCGAAGTGTTTGATTCATCTCTTTTAGGTGGTTTGGCGGCCGATGAGGGTCTCGATAAGGATGCGTGTGCACCGATAAAGATTGGGAAGAGAGCTGAGACGAGCAGATGTCCGTATGTTGGTAGGAAGGGCTTGATGCTCGTATATTGGTAGATGAGCTGTCCCAATAGCTCCGCAAAAGGACTGACCTCATCCATGATGGCGGCGAAGTGTTCTTTGAAAGTAGAGTGTCAACCAGGTCTATTGACTTTGAACTCGAAATTAGGATGCTTGCCTGAATGTGGTGTTGGAGAAAATTAGTCCATGGCTGTAAATGACTGTGTTTGTTATGGAGAGGTAAATGTTGATTGTTGAAGCTTCGTGTTCCCTGTCTTCCTCCACTTTAACTGATGCCAAGACACGCGCCTGGATGATTGATCCCCGCCGCGGAATTGTTGGAAAGCTCAAGTTCGCCTTCTGCCTCTGCGGGAAGCTCGAAACACAGACTCTTTCTTCGCTATTTTTTACTAGCACTCGAACACCCTAAATATAATGGCGACTGATGTGGTCTTTGATACGAGCATGGTAAGAAGGACGGTGACACCCAACGCAATCGCTGCGACTAATTGATCTCAGGGCTCGTTCACTGTAGAGCTTTACAATGAGCATGCGCCAAAGGTGAGCAATGAGCGGACATTCCAATATGAGCACTACTGATTATATTTGGACTAGACTTGTAAGAACTTCGCGACGCTCGCCCAACGAGGATACTACAACAACGTCATTTTCCATCGCATCATCCCCAACTTCATGGTCCAAACTGGAGATCCTACTGGTACTGGCAGAGGAGGAAGCTCGATCTACGGAGAGAAATTTGAGGATGAGATCCACCCGGGCCTCAAGCACACTGGAGCTGGTGTGCTGAGCATGGCAAACAGTGGACCTAATACCAATGGAAGTCAGTTCTTTGTCACGCTTGCGCCTACGCCCTGGTTGGATGGAAAGCACACAATCTTCGGTCGGGTGAAGAGCGGGATGCGAGTGATCCAGCGCATGGGACTCGTCAAAACAAATCCAGAGGATAGACCTGTTGATGAGGTCAAGATTATACGCGCCAAGGTCGTGGAAGACGGCGAGGAGTGAGGGGGCCAGAATCCATTCTAGCGCAAACGTCTTCCATATACTGAGGGTTGAACCGAATGCTGTCTCCCCCAGACGAGACGCTTCTTCAGCCAGAGAACACCACGAAACATCGTCTCCACGCGGGTTGAGCGAACTTGGTCTACCGCTTCCCTCCCATGACGGCAAAGACGCGACAGCCAAAACAACTCAGCAGAGCCCAGCAAGGCAGAATTGCTACATGTGTATGCTACATGTCTATCCTGTGACAGCACATAGAACTACAGAGTAATGATAGTATGAAGAGATGTATCACTACAAACGAACTGCTTCTATCAAATGTCTCCATCCAGAGCAGCAGATACAGAGTGACAAGAAATCTTATCTACCACTCCCTCTAGACGACAAGACCAATGAAGGCTTGCCAAAGATAGACGACTCTGCTACGGTCAAATGCAGAATGCCTGTGCAGGACACTGGGAGTGGTGTGGTGAGAAAAACAGAATTGCTGGAGCGAAAGTCTTTTTAAAGCTGCTACCGAGAACTATCTAACTGTATTTGGAATAGCAGTTCAAGCGCCTTGAGCCTCAGGCTTCAATTCGTTGAACCGCCAAGAAGTAACTATACAAAGAGTCGGACGGGCCGGCAAGCGTTGGGATCGTACAAAACGAGATGAATTTCGAGTATAACCTCAAGATGATCAGTTTCCTGACATGAGTACTGGAACGGAACCAATCCAGCTGCGTAGAACGACAGCGACCTCTCGAAGGAGCTCGGAATGACCCGAGCATAGTCACGTGCCGCACTACTGGTGCGGGTCACGACGCAAGTATTTCTTCGCGCATCCTTCACTTTCTATTTTTCTTTCCCTTGCGGCTCTCCTCCAGGACGAATGAGTACTCCTACTTCGTTCATGGGCAGGAATCTCCTGCTTGTGAGGACGGGCTTCATTGCGTGCCACCCAACCTGATGGTCGTTGGGTTTGCTCATCATAACTCTATACTGAACCATTATTTCCAGCTGTGATCGCCTCTCGATTCCCATTCAAGAATGGAGTCTTTGGCAGAGACACCATGGGATGTCACAATCTCTGGTACGGGGCTAGCTCAATCACTTCTAGCACTGTGAGTTGAGCAACTCTAACTTGGTCTGCTGTGTTGCTAATTATGCGTTCGAACAGCGCACTTTCCCGGTCGGGTAAGAAGGTACTTCACGTTGACCGTAATCCCTTTTACGGCGGCTCGGAGGCGGCTTTCAGCCTGCAGGAGGCTGAGGACTGGGCTGCTCGGGTGAACCACGGTAAGTTATGGGATCAAAATACTTGCTATTTGTCGATCACCGTCCATTTGCTGACTAGGTTTACTAAGCTAGAACCTGAGTCGTTCCCTGTTGAAGACGTAACTATCTTCAAACCGCAGCAATCAGCAGATATCAAGGCTCACCTTGGCCCCTCCCGAGCATATACGCTAACATTGTCTCCACAACTTATCTACTGTCGGTCTCGGTTACTGCCCACGCTAGTATCCTCAAAGGTTTACCGGCAGCTTGAGTTTCAAGCTGTCGGCAGCTGGTGGATATCCAAGCCATCGGACGAGGCAGTGACCGGAGCTAGCACAAATAGCGGCCCTTCTCCAGATCTGTACCGTGTCCCAAGCAGCCGCGAGGATGTCTTCGCTGATGACGTTATGAACGTCAAGTCAAAAAGGACATTGATGAGGTTTCTCCGCCACATTGCCAAGCCGCCTCAAGATGAAGCTGTATCTGGAGCAGAGGACTTGAGCGGCTCGTTCCCGGATTATCTGTCCTCGAAATTCCAAATGCCTTCTCAGCTCTATGATCCTCTTCTGTCGCTTTCATTAGCCCAGGCCTCCCCACTTGAGACATCGGCCGAATATGCGGTAGCTCGCATCAAACGGCATCTCACCTCGATTGGTGTTTTTGGCCCTGGGTTTGGAAGCCTGTTGGCCAAATGGGGAGGTGGGTCAGAAATTGCTCAAGTGGGCTGCCGAGCTCTCGCAGTCGGAGGTGGGGTGTATGTCTTGGACGCCGGGATCGACTCTGTCAAAGATTTTGATGAGCCCGACAGTGGTGATTCAGACCGCGTCCAAGTGCATCTTTCCAATGAAGAATCAATCAAGACGCGGTTTTTGGTTGGTTCGAACTGGGATCTTCCAGCCGATGTTCTTGATCCTCCTCGTTGTGACAAAGCCTCGCGATCGATCACGATTGTGTCATCGTCCCTTGAGAACCTCTTCCCAGTCACTGCAGAAGGCGGCCCAATTCCTGCTGGCGCCGTTGTAGTCTTCCCTGGAAACACTCTAGGCCAAAAAGACGACTCGCCTCCGGTGTACATTCTTGTTCACTCGAGCGAGACTGGCGAATGTCCACCTGGACAAAGTAAGTTCTAACTTTCCCGTTCTCTCCCCACCACAACCCCTTTCAATTGCTCAGATGATGATTTTTTTGAATACTTATCTACATTGCCTGTAATTGCATTGATGAGAAACTCAACATTTATCTGATATGAGCATCCCACTATCTTCACATGACTTGCCTGGTTATTTGTGACGTGTCGCTAACGCTCTGAAGGTGTCTTGTACTCCAGTGTTTCCATGTCGGGACCTGATGGTCAATTGCTTTTAGAAAAAGCTGTACAAAAACTTCTCGAATCCAGTTCGGATTTGGACGCGAGGATCTTATGGTCTCTACGTTACACTCAATTGGGACGGGCTGGTGAGAGCATGCGCAACGCCCAGGCAGCCCAACTTGGCAGCCCGTCTGCGAACATACTCTGCTTCCCACCTCCCAGTCTTGATCTAGCCTTTGATGACACACTCATTGACGTCGTCAAGGACGCCTGGAGGAGAATCGTTGGCGATGATGCCCCCGATGATTTCATGAAGTTCGAGGACCGAGAGGGTATCTCTGATGCTGAATGATGTAGCTAAATAGCTGGTCGCTTACATTCTATGGTAGTATATATAGATGCACAAGACTAAATCAAGACATTCAACTGTACTCGGTCCTTTTTGTACGAAATTCCATATCGGCCAGTGGACATCCCTCCCGTGGGTCCACCCTAATCATTGACCTCTCCCAGCCCAATCTCGCCTCTGTATAGTCCTTGTATATCTCTCTTTGCGGTGGATTTGTCCTTCCGATAGCCAGATAAAGCCCCATTCCCGACACCGAGCTGTCCAACCTGACGGCGATCGAAACACTCAACACTCACCACCCCCCCACTCTAGGTCCCAAACGGTGGTGTCCCATCGATGCCCACCCCTCCTCCCGGCGCATGATCTGCTGTTTCTGCGAAGTGCCAACGTACGTGCTACGAGCCTACGCCGTTACCGCATGCCTGTCTGCATCAGCCGTGTATCATCTACCTATCTCTATCAACTATCTATCTATCGTATAATCCTCACACGGGGGAGATCGTGTAGATGTGACGACGGAGGAGGGGAATATTTCATTCCCACGGTATGCTTGATTAGGTAGGTAGGTAGGTATGTATGTATGTATGTTAGGTGCATTGTGTGCACTCCACAGGCGCTGCGATAAGCTTATGTATGTATGTATGGGGGGGGTTACATCCGTTGAGTATGTGTTCGTGTCACACTGTCACTTGGGTGTTCTCGGTGACATGTACTGTGCTGATTGGGGATGGGGATGGGTAATCAGCATACGGAGTATGTCTTAAGGTAGTCGACATAATACAAAGGTATTGTTTGTTGTGACTGGAGTCTGGACAGAAGGGCGCGCCAGAATGCGGCTGATAGGAGTTACCTAAGAGTTAAGACCTCTTCCGTACCGACTTCGTCACTCTGCTTTTATGAGATGAGTCCGAGTCTGGAGCTGCTGCCAAAGGTTACCCAAGATGGGAAATTATGAGTTTGTACGGAGTACGGAGTACGTAACGCAGGGATATGTGTTTACGTGGATGTTGGTTGTCTTTGGCGAGTGAAGCTAGAAGGCTGTTGCGGAGTTTGTGTATGACTATGACTATGACTATGATTATGACCCGTACCTAGAATAGAGTAGAAATAACAAGTTGTACACTGTAGTCTGTACAGTAGCAGGAGTAATTGGCTTGTACACCTCCTTCGAGCGAACCTGGACGCAGTACAGAGTACACAGTAGGAGAAAAGACCCTTAAGCTTACCGGCGTACCTACTTGGCAGTTGGCAGTGGCACACATGTCCTTGGCGGGACGGATGGGGCTAATGAAACAGAGATCTCGATAGACTAAAGAAAATAGGGGCGAGAAAGGTCCCGACGACGGGTTTCAGAGGATGAAGATCAGGGGTAGGTCTGTATACTATGGATATTCGGTTGTACACCGTACAGAGTAAGTACCTAACCATCCTCGTCGAATTCTTCTGATTCGGACGTAATGGGTGTATTTTTAAAAAACCTTTCTCTCAGTTGTTTGCAAACACAGTTACACAGTTATGAGAGTCTGAGTACTCCAAGTCGACGAGATCAGTTCATATAACTGACCATTTCCCAATGATTATTAAAGGGGGAAGGGGGGTGAGTGGTGACAGGCGGCCAACTGCCAACTGCCAACTGCCAAGGTCTTCATAAGCTTAAATGGCCGCTTGTACATCTTATTACTAATAAGTGCGTTTGACTAAGCTGTTAGCGAGATGATGCCAATTCCGTGCAGAGTGCAGACATTGCAGACTTACTTCGTCGACCTGGCTGGCAGCAATCAGCATGACTTGCGTCAACCGCAGTGCGAGTCGATGCTGGAAGGGCCGCTTCCCGACCCCGTATCCTGTACACGCGTCCCCAGAGTGACCCAGAGGGGTCTGCCGAATGCGCATTGTTTGATGTTGATTATTGCAGTACGTACAATCATACTTCCTTGGATCAACCAGGCCGATCGCGATCCACCCTGCCAGGAACAAGTAACGACGACTACGGCGGCAGATGCTAAGCAATATCATCCGCGATGACGAACGATACTTGGTGCTCACCACCACCTGGCTACTTTCTCCGGAGTGGTATCCGTCGACAACGAGGGATGGACATGGCATTGATTCAATGGGGGATACACTTTGGAGAGAGAACCAACAGAATAGGAGAAATCAACGGGAAAAGGGACACGCGGCCGGTGGGGCGACAGAACGCAACACCCCTCGGGAAAGCGGTGTATGAGTGGCTGGCGAGACGGGAACGGCGCAGATCGATTGAATTTTCCACGGAGTAATCGTTGTTTCATTTAGATGTAATTGATGACTTGGTTTGAGAAATCTATCTTCGATAACTGGCTAAAGAAAGTGCTGATATGGTCCGGGAGGATTCGAATCGATACCTATCTATCTATCTATCTATCTATCTATCTCTATCTCCCTCAAATCTCAATGATACCTACTCTCAAGATCCCTTGTCGACCGATGATGACATCACGTAGCAGGTTGAGGTGGAATGACTGCAAACATCTACTGGAACATTCCGGGGGAGGATCAGATCATTCCGTCGGGTGAAACCATCAGCAGACAGTCAATCTGATGATTATGATGATGATTATTCCAGTGATAACAGCAGACGGCTACTCGAGTATCAGAGGGAGAGATCCCGGTAAGGTATTGACTATGATGATTGAGAACCAGAAGCAGCAGCCACGGCCTTGGATAGCATCCACCGTGGTGATCCTGGCCTCCTGTCCTGTGTAGATTGCACTCTCTTTCCAGTTGCTTTCCTGATTGGGACAGACCAGTGGTCAACCCGAATCAAGTATCTGATCCTGATCCTGATCGTGACCCGGAAAAATGGGAGCTTAGCATCCATCCCCGGGGGGGGGGGTGCACAGTAGACACTCGACACACAATCAATGGAATGACAGCTAGCCCCATGCTCTTGACCTACACACTACACACAATGCCGGAACCATACAGAATACTTCCAGAATCAAGAACCTACTTGATATCAAAATGGCTGATTACAAGGGTCCCAGACTCCATGGCCGGAAGTGAAAAATACCAACCACCCGCTTCAGTGGAGGGGGAAGATCCATCAGAGCAACATTCTTCTGTTCGGTCAATGATCTGCATTCACTCACTGTCTGTACTATGTAGTAGGTAGTAAGTAGTTAGAGGGCGAAAAAAGGAAACAAAATACATCTCTCTCTACTCTCTGTAGTGACTAGTTTAGCATGATGGAAGCAGGAGGCGTCAACACTCATAAATATCAATGTATGTATGCATCATCGATTCATTCAATTCTTATATGACTGACCTTCTTTTCCATCACTTTTTTTTTTCCCCTTCCTCTCACCTCCTCCTTAACCGGGCCAATTTGCATATCTATCCACCTAAATAGAGAGATAGATACCTACACAGTAGGTATCTGGTGGACGATCCCATTGAACCCTCGAGGCGATCTCTTTTTTTTTTCTTCCCTCTTTCCACACGGATCATCACCTCTCTCTCTTTGGCCTCCCCCTGTTTGATCCACTGGCCAGCAAGAAAAAGGCAAAAGACAACGCCTGAGCTTAATTAGATTGAACAGATTTTCATTTTGGGAGCGGTGGCCCGAACACCAACCCGTGGTCCAAATATTTCGGCATTCCCACTTGGATCGCTTCCACTTCCTCTCTTCCTCTTGTCTTCCATCATCTTTCTTCCTCTTCTTCCTCTCTTCTCCCCCCCCTTATTCTTCCCCCCATCCTCTTCGACTTCGACGACCAGACAATAATACTTCGACCTCCACCCTACCTTCCTCCACCGGATAGTCCTTCTAGTTGTCTTGACCTCTTCTTTCGATCTCTTCTGTGATCCCGCCATTCCTGCGGTGTCTATCGATCAATCCGCCCAGAATCTTCTCGTCTGCCTTTCGCTTTTTTATTTTATTTTATTTTATTTTATTTTTCTTTTTATTCTCTTTCCGTGACCGTGTCGCAGGTCTCGACGCTGCCAGCCTTTCGTTGTCAGTTTCCTACGCAAAACATCGGGATCTCCTGATTTGCTGTATCCACTCGTTTGTGTCGACCACCGACTGTATAATCAACTCGATTTTTGTTTGCGACCACGCTCGCTCGCTCTTCTCCCTCCCTTTTGATGGGCTGCTAATCAATCAATCCAAAACACACACCACCTTAATCTTTCAACCCTGATTTACGACCGCCTTACGGTCCTTTAATGTGGAAGGAGTCGCTTGGCGCCCATCATCCCACCAAAATGCCTGTCTTCCGCTTCAAGACCCTCGTCCCGCTCGTCGCCCTTTTCTCCATCATCGGCTTCTTCTGGGGCATGCAGCGCTATGATCGGGCCGCCCTGTTACGGTTCAAGCAGCCGGTCGACCGTGGAGCGACAACCCAGCAGACTCCTCAGATCCAGCTCCAGCCATCATCGCCTCAACCTCCGAAAACCTGCGAAGCGGATCCCAATATCATGCCTCCCTTGCCTTTCACCGAGTGGCTCCCTCGCAAGAACTATACGCGCGCCTACTTCCGGCCTCGCTTTGTGAACCCCAGAGCGGAATTCAACACTCTGGAGGACGTCAATGTCCCAGTGCTTCCCAAGATGACCGTGATGGAGCGTGGTATGGTCATTTCTCCCGATAGCACGGATCCTTCGTCGATGCCGTGCCCTCCCATCATTGATGTTGATGTGGCGGCCGACGATGCAGTGGATGAGACCGATAAGATCCTGTTCGGCCTGGCCACCACTGCGGACCGTCTGGACCGTCTGCTTCCATCGCTGCTCTATTCCTACGGTAACACCAAGGCTGGTCTGATCGTCCTGGTTCCTGACTCGGATGACGACCTGGATAAGCAAATGACCTACTTCCGCAACCGCGGCTTGGATCTGACTCTGATTAAATCCCCACTGGACTTCACGGCTCGTTACTTCGGCCTGGTCCAAGCCTTTGCGGAGCACATCCGTACCAAGCGCCCCCAGACCACGTGGGTCAGCTTCATCGATGATGACACCTTCTGGCTGTCCCTTCCCACCATTGCCGAGGAGCTGAAGCTCTTCGATGTGAACAAGAAGCACTACATCGGAGCCCTCTCCGAGGCCAGCTGGCAGGTTGACACTTTCGGTCACATCGCCTTTGGAGGTGCGGGTGTGTTCGTTTCCAAGCCGTTGCTCGACGTTCTGGAGCAATACTATGACGAGTGCCAGTCCTGGGGGGAGCAGCCCGGGGACCAGAAACTCGGCCAGTGCATCCAGAAATATGGGGAGACCCCCCTGACGCTCTGGCCCTCGCTGTACCAGATGGATATGAAGGGGGAAGTCGACGGCGTGTACGAGTCGGGAAGGAAGATTGAGTCCCTGCACCACTGGAACAGCTGGTACACCAAGGACGTCGTGAAGATGACGACCGTTTCTGCCGCTGCAGGCCGCAAGTCGGTCCTGCGTCGCTGGGTTTTCGACCAGGAGGAGTTCGTCAACAACTCCACGGGTCGGTCAACTCGCACTTTCTGGGTTATGACCAATGGCTATTCGCTGGTCAAGTACACCTACGACGAGAATACTCCCGACGATGCGATCAACTTTGACCATGCCGAGAAGACCTGGGAAGAAGATCCTCGCGGATACGAGGCGCGCCTCGGTCCCCTCCGCCTGAAGGATCAGCCCGGTGTTACCAAGGATCGCTGGTTGTTGAGAGAAGCCTATGTGGTCGGCGACAATGTGCACCAGTGGTATGTTCGTGAAGAAGACGAAGGTCACAGTGTCATTGAGATTGTCTGGCTCGGACCCAAAGGAGGCGGTGGTGCTGGAATCCACGATTTCGGCGTCCGACAGCGTCATTGAACCTCGCTCCATTGAGCGAGTGCACGCCCACCCCTCCCCACGCAACCGAGACTGAGGCTGGTCCTTGGGTTCTCTGAACATTTTCCATTCTTGCACATGACTTTTCTTTTCTCCTTCCCTGTCTTGTTTCTTTTCTTTGCTTATCTCATTCCCTCTGGTGACACCATTGCCAACCGACGAACACCAACAATCACAGCCACCATCAAAGCAAGATCTCGAAAGGGGCGCATCTGGATGACTTCTGTTCTGGAGCGTCTCCTGTTGAGGCCCCATCTCTCAATTGATCAGTTATGCGGCGTTGTATTTGGTGGAGTCAACGAATGGCGCAATCAACAGGTCTGGATTGGTGGTTTTCGACAGAGAGGATATTTTCGTTTGGGTTCCTTCAGGTGTCCTGGCTTTTTATACCTGGTTCTGAGGAATCTGACCTCGGGAAGCGATACCCCCCTTTCTCTTGATCGTTTCCTCTCCCTTTCCCGCTTCTACGAGGCGCTTTTGTTTTCTCTCTGCATTTTGTAAAAATAGATTTTCGGGCCATGTTGTGGTCGACCGCTTCTGGAGATTAGCGTTGAACATTTGTCATTATGCAGGAATATCATGACATGAGTGCTAGAATATAGATTACTTGGACTGTTCCGTATGCTCCATTGTATCTGAACTATTGCTGTGTTGCCTGCTGTTGACTCTATCCATCATTAATCTTGGGGGGCGTCTGGATGAACCCGAAATCCGATGCTACTTGTTCAAGACTGGAGAGCTGCCAGCTACCATTGATACCAGTAGCTACTTGAGAATAGCTAAATTTGTTGTCCTAGACAGCTTTAGATCTATATTCCCTCGGCATCCCCCCTCCCCTGTAATATTTGGTACTCCGATATAGCTTCCCTTTTCTGCCTTGTCAGACCAGCCCTGCCGAGTCAGCCTCCGCAACAGCTGCAGCTGCATATCCTTGACTAGTACAAGCATCTAGTTCTTCTAAGCGAGTCGGACTTGAATCGAGGACCTCATACTAGGACACCAGTCGGCGGACCGATTCCGGCCTCATCTTAGCGCTTATCAAGTGTCATGCTGACGGCGGCTGTGTCCGACTGTCATCATTATTCAAGTGCTGATGGTCTGCAGAATTAGTCCCCATGTGTTCATTGTGCGGTGCTGACACTGACAGGCATGGTTCTAGAGACCTATGGCTGTGACTCCACAGTCCACATGGATGTTGTATACGCTACTCATCAGCATGGTCCATCTCCAAGCGGTAAGAGATACGAAACGGTGCTGTACCATCATACCATCAAGTAAAGAAGGATCGACGAGCCCGTGGCCTAGTGAATGCCGTCGCATCAACTGATGCGCTCCGCTAATAGATACAAAGCTAATATGCAAGCTGACACTGTTCCATTTCCTGACCGTCGGAAGCGAGCGCGACCAGCCACGTCCTAGCTAGGGAGGTAGCATGGCATGGTGAATGCACGTCAGGACTCCAAGGCCCTTCCCCCCCGGCGTAAAAAGCCTTGGGGAGGTAGGGGGACACTCTTATTAGGGCTAATTCTGCATCCACAGGGCGCCAGTTCACTCACTCCCTGTCATTGCCGAATGTAAAAAAAAAAAAAAAGAAAAAAAAAAAAGAACAAACAATATCCCTTCGAGTCCTTTTGACAAATTCGCTTGTGACGATGGATGCCGCAATTCCTCCCGCGGAGAGTATCGCCCAGCTCCCCGTCTTGGACGCGGCGAAGCTGCTGCAGGGCGATGAAGTAGAGATCCAGAACCTGCTGCGCGCCTGCAAGACGCATGGGTTCTTCTCGTTGAACCTGGGCGCGGACGAAACGTCGTATATGATCGGCGCGTGGACCGATGTTCTTGCGTTCATGGATCGGTACTTCGACCAGCCGACTGAGGTGAAGTTGAGGGATGAGCGCCATAGCGATACCCATGGGTTTGTATTAGAAGACCGCTGGATCGAGAAGGGTGCCTTTCTTGCTGACCGCAGGCAGCTACGAGCCGTGTGGTACCTCGACTGGTGCCACTGATGAGCACCTCGACCATTATGAGAGCTTGAAGGTCTTGCCTTGATATGATTGACTCCCATTCTCCCAGACTGCAAGCTGACCCCCGCAACAGATCTCGTTCACGGAGTGCATGTCTCGAAGCGAGAATCTGGCCCCGGCGTTGAAGGAGAATATCGAACTCTTCGAGACCTTCATTGGCGGAGCCCATCGCCTGGTGATGGCTTTGCTCAAGTGTCTCACCCGCACGCTGGGGGATCAGATCCCTGGTCCCCTGGAATCATTCCATGACCCTTCGCAGCCGACGACAAGCACGATGGCCATGTTCCGGTACCCGCGCCAGACCGAGGAAGAGGCCGCCAAGGGCGTCGGGCACAACAAGCATACGGACATCGGCACCTTCACCTTCCTCCTCTGCCAGCAGTGGGGGCTGCAGGTTCTCTCCCCGGTAGAGAAGAAATGGCTCTATGTGGCTCCCAAGAAGGATCACGCCATCATCAACGTGGGGGACTCGTTGCGGTTCTTGACGGGCAACCAGCTCTTTTCGGCCGTCCACCGCGTCCTGCCCTTCACCCATCGCCAGCTGGAGCACCGCCACTCCATCGCCTTCTTTCTCCGTCCGGCTGATAACACCATCTACCGGGATTCGAAGGACCGGTTGGTCACGGCCCGTAGCTGGCACGATGAGAAGTTTGATCATTTCCGCGCTTCGCACGCTGAGCAGTCCGCCGACAGTATCCTGACCGGTGGAATGGAGCAATTGGACCAAATCATCGTTCCCACTTCTGCCTGAGATGGCAATTAGGTTGAATATCTGTGCTTGTGAGGGGGGTTTGAGTGGTTGAGAAAAGCTGAGGGAGAGCTCAATAGGAGAGAATGAATGGTAGTCGTATTGTTGTATTCAATGAGCCTTCTATCACACATTGAACGCAATAGGTACAAGATTAAGTTTTATCCAACGGTGCTCCGTATTCTTCCCTTGCTCTACACTGACAAGTTAAGAGCTTTTGCTACCTCTCAGCTAATTTAGCAAGTGACGCTGGCTCTTGCACAAGAATCTACGTACTTAGAAACCAACATATGCAGATTCACTATGTACCATCTTCTTAGGGTCATAACTCATAGCATTCAAAGAGGAGCTGGCACTGGCACTATTGATCGAACTATCATCATCTGAAAAGCTAAAACAAAACCAAGCAGCAGCGCTTCCACAAGGACCACCTTTGTCGGAGTCCAGCAGACACCTCACTTCTCCAAGCTGGCATCGACTAGCTTTTTCAGCAAAGGACACCCTACGCCAATCTTCTCACATAACGCACTGATGGGATCATTGCTGAGAATATCAAAGACGGACACGCTAGACCGCGCCTCATGGAAGACCCAGTTGCGAATCTCCACGGCAACGAGCGAATCCACCCCATACTCGTGCAGCGGCTTGCTTGGGCTGATATAGTCCACCGGAACCAGCAGCAGTTTCGACACCTTCTCGATGAACGCCTCGCCAATGATGCCATGAGTCTCTTCGAGCGTCTTCGCCTGCTCCAGCTGAACATACAAGCTTTGAGTCTCCTTGTTGCTGCGACCGCTCGCCCCCACAGCCCCGGTGCGGTTGATGTCCACGTTACGCAGATGCGAGAACCGCGCGTCATGGAAGTAGTACGGGAACTCGCCGCCCCGGTCTGCTTGGATCACGCCTCCGGTCCCGAGACCAGTGGTCAATTGGGCCGGCGTGTCGCTGTCCGGGGACGGCTTGGCACTGGCAATGGCTCCTCGCAGGATCTGCAGGAACTCCCGCTCGGGAATCCCAACAAAGCCCCATCGCTTGACGTTCTCCTGGGTCTCGGCGTTCTCAGCCACGTAGCCGACGTCCAGGATCACTCCGAGGTCGATCGTCGACGCCGCCAGCCCCTGGCCGCGACGATAGGCGGCCAGCGCATCTTGGTACGTGTTTCCGGCCGCGTAGTTGCCTTGGCCGCGGCTGCCGATGATGCCAGCCGACGAGGAGAGCATGGTGAAGAAATCGAGATCGTGAGGCAGAAGCTCGTGCAGGTTCCAGGACCCCTGCACCTTGGGGCGAATGGCGGCATGGAACTTCTCGGCTGTCATGTTTCCGAACAGGCTGTCTTGCAGCACCATTGCTCCCTGGATGACGCCGCGGATCGGAGGCATGGTCTGGCGGCTGGTGCGGAGGACCGTCTGAAGCGCGGCTTTATCACCCACGTCGCAGGCATAGATGGCTACCTTTGCGCCGGCGTCCCGCAGCCGACTTTCGAGCTCCTGTGCCTTCGGGCTCTGCGGTCCGGATCGAGAAATAAATACAAGGTTCTTGGCGCCGTGGTCGACCATCCACTGTGCGATGCTTCGTCCCAACCCACCAAGACCACCGACGAGGAGATATGTGGCATCAGCGCTGAGGTGAATGGGAAACTGGCTCTTGGGGTCGACCTGTATTCTCTGGTTAGTATTCCTATGGACGGTGGTTGATCCCGCTGACATACCTTCACGATGCTGCTCTCGGTGGGCCGAAGCACCAGCTTTCCAACATGGGAGCCCGACTGCATGGTCCGGAAGACTGTCTCAACCTCAGCGTAGTCGTAAACAGTCACCGGATGTATTTCCTTGATCACATTCATGCGCAATAGAACTGCCATCTCGGCCAGGATTCTGGCGGTGGTCTGCCGGTCCATCTCCATGATCATGGCGATATCGACCGAGGCGAAGGTGATATTCCCGTTGAATGGCGCCATCTCCAGCCCGCTGTTCCCCAGGATATCGGTCTTCCCCAGTTCAATAAACCGGCCGTACATGGCGAGACACTGGAACGATAGCCGAAGGGCCTCTCCGGCCAAGCTGTTGAGAACGACGTCGACGCCGCGGTCCTCCGTCATCCGCTTGATGCCCTTCGCGAAAGTGAGGTCCCGGCTGTTGAAGATATGGTCTTCCGGAATCCCGTAGAGGTCCATGATGGCCTGCTTCTTCTGGTCCGAGCCGACAGTGGCGAAGATCTCGGCATCGAGTGTCTGGGCCAGAATAATCGCTGCCTGGCCAACACCGCCGGACGCCGCATGGATGAGGATCTTCTCGCCTCGGCGCATGCGCGCAACCTCGAACAGCGAGTAGTATACAGTCATGTAGACCAGGGGCAAGGAAGCGGCCGTTTCGTAGCTCATACCTGCCGGGATCAGGTGGAAGAGCGACTCGTGGCATCGAACACGCGATCTATAGGCCCCCAGTACGGTGGTCCAAACCCGATCACCCGGCCTGAACTTGGTCACCTTTCGGCCGATCCTCGTCACCCGTCCGCTACATTCCAAGCCGAGAGGGCCGGAAACCTTGCCCATGGCGACCATGACGTCCTTGAAGTTGACGCCGGCAGCCTTGACTTCCACCTCCACCTCGTCATCGGGGAGGGGCTGGCTAATCTCTTCGTCTTCCGTGAACTGCAAGGAATCGAGGAGCCCGCGCATCCTGACCTCCAGCTTCAGAGCACTCTTTGACCGTGTGAATGGGATGAGGGCTGACTGGGTGCTGGATTGAGAAACAACCATGGCGTTGACTGGTTTGATCTCCTCGAGTCTGCTGATCAAGATCGACCCATCTCTCTCCACAAACTCGTAGTCTCGGGAGTGAGGGCTCAATGCTTGTGAGGCGGATTGGAACTGCAAGATCTCCGCAATCCGCTCTGCGGTCGACTCCGATTCTGGACTCAAGTCGAGCGTCGAGAGGAGAGCATTGGGCTGTTCCGCGCGGATGCTTCTCGCGAGACCAACGATCAGGTTCGCTTCGGGCACGGGCGTCTCCATGGCAGCACCTTTCGTGACCCAGAGGATCTCTTTGGAAGTGAGGAGCAGCCGTTGGATTGAAGTGAACGCTTCGCTCGAGACATTGGCCAGAATGGGGGTGTCGTACTCTAGGAGGACAATGCAGACGTAGTCTGTCAGGTCTGAGGGTAAATCAGCCAGGAGAGATCGAGAGACTTGATGGCCTCGCTGGCTCAGCGTGTCCCCTAGATTGATGATGGTGTCCTCAAGCTTCTGGCTTCTCTGCTCCGGCTGAACGATCAGCGTCCCCGATCCGGAGCGTGAGACCACCGAGCTGCTGTCCTCGGCGGTAGAGACAATGACGCTGAACAGCTCGTCTTGCTGATATTCAGCATAGTCCGCGAGGCCAATCTCAACCCCCTTGAACCCTTGCCGATGGAGCAGTGCATCCCATTCTTTAGCATTCAGCGTCGGGCCGCCGTGTCGGCCATCATCCTCTCCCAACCACCAGCCCGGCAGGATGCCCATGATCATCGGGATGCGCATCAGCTGCTGCGTGATCTCAATCATGACGAGCTTGCCGCCTGGCTTGAGGAGCTTTCGGACGTGGGCCATCGTGGTATCCATGGTGTTGGTTGCATGCAGGACATTGGCGGCGATGATCACGTCGTACGTATGCGGCTGGAACCCTTGATCTTCGGGATCGTTCTCGATATTGAGCTTCTGATACGAGAGATACTTGTCCCAGCCATCGAACTTGGCTTTCGCCTTTCCGAAGAAGCCCGAGGAAATGTCGGTGAACGTGTAGGACTGGAATCGTGCGGGACGGTCTCCATGTCCACCGAGGGTTTGAAGCACCGGCAGGGTGGCACCGCCCGTGCCTGCGCCGATCTCGAGAAAGCTCATGTTGGGGTATTTGTGCACCAGCCGATCAAGGTATGCGGACATTTGATGGTAGACTCGGTCCAGCCCGAACCCCTTGGCGTAGTATTCGTGGAGCAGGTTGTCCTGCAAGAGCACCTCCAGTGGCTCCAGACGACCTTCGAGCACGGGCTCGAGGTGGTCCCCGACCTGGCACATAATGCTACCGTCAATGCTTTGGGTCCGTGTTTGTTCGATCAGTCTCTGCTCGGCGTCCTTGTCCAAAGGCAGAGTCTCGTCTCCAAACGTCTCAACCTGCTCCTGCATCCACTGGACAAAGAGCTGGTGGTGAGTGGCCAGATGCTCGGTGCCGGGCTGCTGGATTGCCCCCAAGCAGCGCTTCATGTAGATGAGAGCCGTCTGCTCCAGCTCCCGGATCATGGTATGTTCGTTGGCTCCGGGGGCCAGTCCTGCCGTGAAGAGCCGAGCAGCCTGTTCCTGGCCGATGAAGTCGATGTCTTCTTTCCACGTCGAGTGGAAGACGACTTTCCTCGTGTGCGAACTGGATCCGTCAGGCAAATCGTGCTCGGACACCGCTGCCAACCGCTTCAGTTCCAGGCCGTGGATCACCAGCTGGACGCTGTCCCAGTTCGAGTCGGAGACGACAACAGTCGCTCCAAAGCCACTGTCGTCCTCCTGCGTGACCGTCGATTGCCCCGCGAGGAGCGTCCCTGGGTCGTTCTTGATATCAGCCGAAATGTACAGACTTTGCAAGGAGACCGGCACATGCGCATCCATCGACGCACCCGACCCGACCCGGGAGGGTAGAACCATGTGGAAAATGTTGTCGAGGGTGATGGGATGGATGAGGTGCTTGAATTCATACTCGTAGGGCATCTGCGCTCGGGTATCTGGGATGTGCAGCTCGCAGACACTCTGGCCCTGGCCGTACTGGATGCGAGACATGTTGCGGAACCCCGGGCCAAACTGCATGCCCATCTGGCCCAGACGATCGTAGAAGTCATCGATGGCGATGGTCGAGGAGCAGGACCGAGCAGAGCGCAGATACTGCTCCCGATGGTTGCGAAGCTCTATCTCGGCCTCCCGAGGCTGGTCAAAGCCTGGCTTGTTGGTATGGTAGTGGGTGACGATCAGGCCGCGCGCGTGGTCTTGCCAGCCCTGTTTCGACTGATAGGAATAGATGACGAACTCCTCCCAAGTAGCGCCCTTTGCGTGGCCATTCGCCTTGTACGGTCGCAGATGCAGCATCGTTTCCACGCCCTCTTCATCTTCCGGCACCTGGAGCGCGCGGTTGATCTGCACGTCTCGCAGCTCGAATCCCTTCACCGTCTTCGACGCATCGGCGAGCTGAGAAGCCGCCTCGATGGCCATCACGATAAACCCCGCCCCGGGGTAGATGATCCTAGACTGCACAACGTGTTCGCGGATCCATGGGCTGTCAGACACCCGCAGATAGTTTCTCCACCGCGGCTCCAGCGTGTTGTGGTCCGCCGTGGGTGCGCCGAGCAGATGATGGCGGGCGTGTGCCCGGTGACGGTAGTCATAGCTCAGGCGGGACTCGTACCAGAACCGGTGCGAGTGTATCCACGGGTAGGAAGGAAGGTCTGTGAGGACCTTGAGCGCATGGCTCTCCAGGTGATCCAGACGGTTCGCCTGCAGGATGTCCACGGCGACGCCCCGGAGGAATAACCCGCCAGCAGCCTGGTAAAGGGTTGACAACCCGCCTTTACCCCGAGTCAGAACGTTGAAGTACGGAACGTCGAGTTTCTCGTGGTCCAGGATCTGCTTCAGGGGTCCTTTGAGCGTCGAATGGGGTCCAACCTCGAGCAGGACATCGACTGCGGACCGCCCCCCTCGTCGAGCTTTCTTTCCCGAGGGGCGAAGCAGAGCCTGAACAGCAGCGGAGAATCGCACGGGGGAGACCATGTTCTTGACCCAATAGTCTGGGGTGAGTTCCTCGGCTGTGATTTCCGAAGCTGTCACGGATGAGAACATGCGCACCGGAGTGTCTTGCTTCGGGGTGAGATGCTCCACGTCACGAAGACTGTCCCGATACTCCTCTGCGATTATCTCCATGTGAGGCGAGTGGTAAGCATGCTCGACCTTCAGTCGCCGGGCGAAAACATCCTTCTCGGCCAAGATGGCCTCGAGGGCATCGAAGTCGTCCCGGTCTCCCGAGAGGGTGACAGATGAAGGACTGTTGATGCAGGCCACCACCACTCGCAGCTTTGGGTTCTGCTCCAGAATCTCCTGGGCTTCCTGCTCCGAGAGATTGGCAGCCATCATGGCACCTGCTGTGCGAGCCTTCGTCTGGCCGATCTTGTCGCAGAGGCGCCCTCGATGATACGCAATCTTCCATGCGGATTCACGCGAAACAGCGCCGAGGGCATATGCAGCCGCAATCTCGCCGCTGGAATGACCCACAACGACAGTCGGACGCACCTGCAGGTGGGCGAGCAGTTCAACCAAGGCGACCTGGATGGTGGTACAGATCGGCTGGCTGAAGGCGGATTGGTTGATTTTGGAAGAAGCCGAGTCACGCACCAGCTCCTCTGTCCCGAATCAGTATCCACAAGCAACTCATGATTCTAGGGAATGGCGGCTCACCTATCAAGTCCCATTCACAGCCTAAGGACTTCAGATAGGCTGCAGCGGACTCGAGAGAAGTGCGGAAACTGTGAAAGACCAGCAGCTCCCGGCCCATCGTGGCCCACTGCGCACCTTGGCCGCTGAACACAAACGCTAGTGATCGAACCGACGCCGATTTGACCGGCGGTGATACCGTCTGGAGGGCCTCGCTCAGTTCGGTGGCGGAAGAGGCCACCACGAAGCTCTTCCACATTAGCTTGCTCCGTCTCTCGCTCAGGGTGTAAGACAGATTGTCTAGCAGCTCGCTGTTCAACTCCGCCTCTTCTTTCTTACCCAGGTATTGCTGCAGGGACTGCGCAATAGACGCACACCCCTGCTCATGGTGAGACGAGAAGACAAACAGGCGGGACGGACTGGACGAAAGAAGTTGCGAGTCGGATATGTTCGTGCTCTCGGAGCATGATTCCGAGACAACGGTTCGCGGTGGCTCGTCGTCACTGTTCGAGCTGAGGTCGCTGATCGCGTCCTCTCTTCGGTTGCGATCTTGTAGATAATGATAGGCATCGTCTAGGATGACATGGGCATTGGCGCCCCCGAAGCCAAAGGAGTTCACACTGATCCGTCGAAGACCGTCATGAGGCCACGGGGTAAGTTTGCTGACGACCTGTGTTATTCCAGAATTACTCCATGTGCACCACGAGGTCATCGTATGCGCCGTACCTGTAACCCCTGTTCCTCAAGACGCGTCTTCGGGTTCGGACTCTCGAACCCTGCGGTCGCCGGAATCAGGCCCTTCTCGAGAATCAGGATTGCCTTGACGATGCCGGCGAGACCACTGGCCCCCTCGAGGTGACCAATGTTACTCTTGACGGAGCCAATGAGCAGGGGATCCCCCGGTGACTTGGTCGCCCCAATGGTGTTCCCGATGGCACCGGTTTCGATGGGATCTCCCGCTTGGGTCCCCGTCCCGTGGGCCTCGAAATAGCCCGTTTGGCTCATACTCAGACCTGCACTTCGATAGGCGGAGTGGATGAGGTCCTCCTGGGCCGCCTGGTTGGGAAGTGCGATTCCCGGTGTTTTCCCGTCATGGTTGGTCGCCGTGCCTCGAATGATGGCCCGGATCGGGTCGCCGTCGCGCAGCGCAGCATCCAGTGGCTTGAGGATCAGGGAGGCGACGCCCTCTCCGCGGCCGTATCCGTTGGCCTTGTTATCAAAGGAATGGCACTTGCCATCGGGTCCGAGGAAACCCGGCCCGGCGAGGAGGATGAAGAAGTCTGGACTCAGAATGATCGCGCTTCCTCCGACAATGGCCTGGATCAAATATCAGCATGCAGGCTGCGTCTTCTCGAGGCGAATACTGACTGATGTGGCCTCTCCTGATCTTAAGCTCTGGCAGGCCAGATGGAACGCCACCAGACTGGAGGAACAAGCCGTGTCGAGCATCACGCTGGGCCCCTTGAGGTCGAAAAACCACGAGATTCGGTTGGCGAGCACGGATGTAATACTGCCGGTGCTGTGGTATCTCGTACTAAACTCCATATCTTTGTGCAGGTTGTCTCCGTAGTCATTTGACAAGGAACCGACGAAGCACGCCGTCTTGCTGCCCACGACATCTTCCAGTCGTATTCCAGCTAGATGACAGGGTCAACTCACAGACTAGCTGACATTCGGGAATGCCAGGAGGCCGGTGTTAAACGTACCATTCTCATACGCTTCATAGGTGGCCTCTAGCAGCATCCGCTGCTGAGGATCCATCGCCTTGGCCTCGTTGGCGGAGATGGAGAAGAAGGGGGCGTCGAAGGCTGCAATATCTTCTTCTAGGAAATGGGCACCGCGGACGTAGAACTAAGCCATACCAATGCCCAGGCCTCTTAGTGACCGACGCAGAACAAACGATGCTATCTCAAGCCGCGATCCCACTCACCGTTCCCTTTCTTCCATTATCCGGGTGGTAGAACGCCTCCGCGTTCATGCGGTCTTTGGGGACCTCCGACCATGCATTTCGACCGTTCGCGAGCATGTCCCAGAGGGCTTCCTCGGAATTGGCTCCCCCGGGGAACCTGTAGCTCAGCCCAACCACCGCGATGGGCATGGGCTGGTCCTCAGTAGTCGTCATAAAAGGCATGATGGCAAGGGTAGATATTGGCCTATCACTCAGCTAGATCTTCGGCCAGGGGTTCAGCCCTCTCCGGTTGGATTCTATAGTTTTTTTTCGTTGTCTTGAATTCGCTAAGTATGAGCTTCAACGCTCCGAGATGAACAGTACAATTCGTCAATGATCAAAACGCCCTTATCTACAGCTATCAAACTCGACAGTCGTGAACTACAAGTATGTTGTTGCAACAGTGCCATGAATGTCCTCCAACTGTTAGTGCTTACCCATTCTTATTCCTGTCTATGGACTGCTTAGCTGTCTACCCCGAACGGCTCGACGAACTCGCTCAACGATCTGATCTACTGATCCTGCAACACGATCTGGAGACTCGCCAGTGTTTCGAAGGTTTGCGTCAGGGGTACTCCGTAAGCCGAGGTCATTGTGGTTGACATTGATACTGACCTGCTTGCTGACTGCTGACTTGAAGCGGAGTCTGGTCTGACACGCAGCATTTAGTATAATACGTGTAGGTAGAAATTAGAGAAAATAATACAGGCAATCGAGATATCTCCAAAGGTGATACTACAAGTAGTGAGGAAGAGAAAGTAGCCTCTATCAGAAGAGAGAGAGAGAGAATATAGGGCTTCAAAGGTCTACAGCCATGTCAACGCGTGATATTCGATAATAGCTGAAGCCAGTAGATAGATATCTGGCATACACCCTTTTTCTAAGGAGAAAAAAAAAACAATAATATCTAATGAATCTTATTAGTCTGGTCAGCACTTAATGTGGTCTGAAGAGTTGGCTTGTCTTCCCTTCAGTGCGTGCAGAGAACATCAGCTCCAGCTAGCTAATAACATCCAGATTGGGGGTATTTCGCCGGCTGTATTTTGATAGGAGAAACATACCAATCAAGAGAAAGCTTAGATAGCCCTACTGCAACGGTCAGGAATGAGGCTGACTCGCATCCTGACCGTCAGCGTGCGTGTTAAGCGTGGGGATCTGCATGGATCTTGCAGGGACCAAAGGACCTCCGATGGATGGCCTATCGAGGATTTCGGAGTTGTGTAGCTTAGGAGGAGTCTTACGCCACATGGCACCGGACTAATCTTCGAGCCATAGACGGTATGTAATCCTTTCTGGGTGCTCCTTTCTACGAATGACGGGAGCTGAGAACGAACTACACTCGCCCCGCCAGGATCAAGTCAAGAGTGTCGTGTCCGTCTCTCGTCGACTCGACTATGATTGATTCAGCATATACTAACAGCTAGTGCGAGTCGCCCAGGACGAAGTGATATCCCAACCGAGCATTGTACAGTGGCGATTCAAGACGTTCTGGTTCCCCCGCGCGATACTCGACTGTGCCAGCAAACCGTTGTAAGAGACGGTATTCGATCAAGATGAGAATTCTTTGTCTCCACGGGATGGGAACCAATTCCCAGGTAAGCGAGGGCAAGGCTCAGGATTGAGTTCACGAGAGAGAACGATGGATTGTTAATGTATATCGTTTTTATAGATATTCGAAGCCCAAACAGGTGAGCCAGCCTTGCCGAGACAGACACTGTTAGTCGAACTAGAAGAGTTGGAACTGACCATAACAAACTCCCACTGTCTCCCAGCCCTTCTGAGAGCCTCCCTCAACGCCGAGCTGAACACAGAATGTGAGTTTGTCTTTGTCGACGGCGAGATTGAGACCGAGCCACGGAATGGTAAACGGCTCCCATCCTTCGAACATCCTTCTCTCCCTGGGACCCTCCTAATGCATTGCATTCCCCCGTAGGAGTGGAGAAGTACTACGACGGGCCCTTCCTCTCCTACTACGACTGGGACTCGGCAGCAAGCCTCCGCAGCGCGTATCAGCTTATCGACGAGCTCATTGACGAACAGGGACCGTTCGATGGCATCATGGGCTTCTCCCAGGGTGGATCCCTGGCCGCTTCCTTCCTGCTGCACCATTTGGCCACACGCCCGTCCGAGCCGATTGAGCTGCTCTTCCGCTTCGCCATCATCATCTGCAGCGGCAACCCCTTCGACGCCCGCGGGCCCACGACCCGACGATACCACCCGAGCGAGGACCCGCGGCGCATTCCCATCCCCACTGCCCACATTGTGGGGCGCAAGGACGACGAGCACGCACGCCAGCTGCTGTTGCATCGCTTGTGCGACGGTCGACGGGCCACGATCTATGACCATGGCGCCGGCCATGAGATCCCACGCCACCCTCTAGTGGTGAAAGGAATGACCGAGGCAATTAGCCGAGCCATTGGTCAGGCATACCTCCTGTGAAGGGCCCGGTGGGTGGGGGAACTAGAGTGCATCCAAAAGGGGGGGACGGGAGGGGAGGGGGGGGGGGGGGAAAAGACAGGAGCGTTGGTGTATACCGTCGCGTAGCCGACCATCAGCCAGTTAATGAAGAGACCTTTGGGGTCAAAGTGGCTCGCGATACTGTACATGGTTTGACAGGCGCTGATGATGAGGCCGCGGTGCATGATGAATTGGGCCAGTTTGGCAGACCGTTTGTATGAATTGCGGCCGTGCCAGACAAGGAGCTTCGTGAGGTGATGAAATTGTGTGATGCTAAAGTCGGCCGCTAAAGAGGCTTGACGTCCTTCTTTTCCAACAATACCAATTCCAACGTCAGCTGCCTGGATCATCGAGACATCATTGCCACCATCGCCGATGCAGCAAACCCGTTTTTTCGTATACTGGCGGATCAGGTCTGCAACCTCGGCTTTTTGGGTAGGTGAACACCGACAAGCGATGACCGCAGGCAGCAGAACGGCAACCGAGATAAACGAAGAGCGGAATTGACCAAGCATCAGCGACAAGGACTCGCCATCGATGAGCAGACAGCAATCGGTTTTGTTGCGCAGAAAGTCCAATGCCTCTTGAGCGGCTGCGCGGTCCTTCACTTTGGAGACTGTATGGATATACTGGCCACGAGCAAC